TCTTGGGGGTGCCATCACTGTTGAGGTACTGCTTGGTGAACTCCTCCGGAGAAAGGAGCGCCCCGGGAGCGGCTGCCGGCGCCGGCTCAGCCCCGGCCGCGGCTGCCGACGCCCGGATCGGCGCGGAGCCATCGGAGGGGAACAGCGGGCTGGTGTCGGGCAGCGCGGCGGGCAGGGGTGATTGCGCCGACGCGGCATAGGCCAGGGGAGATATACCACCGCCGAAGGGCTGGTAGGGCGTGCATGCGTAGGTCTTCCCGTCCTTCTGCAGCCCAATCACCCCTGAGTCCGGGGGAGTTATCGGCTGCTTCGCGGCCCAACTCGTCAGCGAATTTCCGTCGGGCAGCGTGGGCAGCCGGCCATTCTGGCCGGGCAGCCCGCTCTGCTGTAGGCTGCTGCCCAGGCTGTCCACGGGGTTCTTGGCAAGCCAGGAGTTGAGCTGGGATGCCGGGTCGGCCGCGGCGGCGCCGGCTTTGGGCACGGCGAAAAGGCAGAAGGTGTTGGGGTCGGCCTGGAAGCCGTAAGGGTTCTGCCCCGGGAACGCCCCCACGATATTGCTCTGGGCCAGCGACACCAGCCGGTTCATTACGGGCGCCAAGTCCAGGTTCTGGTAGATTGCGTTTGTCAGGTTCACCACCTTGGGCCCCACTGTCGGCACCGCTTGCTGCACACATGCACACAGCGAGTCAGCACCTCAAGTTAGGGGACCATACTGCCTTTCCTATCTGATAGAGTGATGTGCAGATCCGCACGTTCAATCGGCGCAGGCACAGCACCCACTGTTGAGCATGCCTGGGAGGGAGCGTGCGAGGGTACAGGATGCCATGCAGCTTGCAGTAGGCGTGTATGGAGTTGCAGGGCAATAGAAGATGCACTGGCAAGAGGAAAGAGATACCAGAAGGAAACTAGAGCAGGGAAGAGGGCTCACCGCAACCTTGGAGGTAAATTGCTGCACGAGGACCTCTGGCTTTGGCCCTGTAGAGGGGTCTGGGAAATTGAGCTGTCCATCAATGGTGTTCTTTGCTCGTGTCTGTACCTGTGTCACGTCCGACGAAGCCTGCATGGATGCAGCCCTGCTTAGACCCACTTCTGTGAAAATGCTTCCCACGATCCTGTTCCAATAAGTCTGTTTGTCTGGATCCTTATGCAGAGTTCAATTACATTGAACTAATACAGCACAAATTCTTGCCTCCACATACGTCAGAAAGTCGGGCAGACGTGTGTGAGCACCCTGTCTTATTGGACAGCTGTTTGCAGAAAGTCTGCTTCCAGCATATAGGGGCTGCTCACCTGCTGCAATCTCCTAATGGGTATTCTCCTGCTAAAATCGTCTATTTGTCGTCCCTGCAGATCAGAGGCAGCATGTTGGAGGCTTTGTGAAAAATAATGCTGTCACACAGGTGTCAATCCCAGAGCGGGAATGGGACCTGGCTCCTCTCTCAACAGAACGCTGCAGCCCGATGTCGGACACGCCCGTCTTATCATAAGGCCCAAAAAAGCCCCATGGGACAGCTACTGTGCAAATTTGCCCTCCGAGTCCCGCGAAGCCCAGGTCCTGGCACCAGAGGCCTTGGGTTCGAAAAGTCGCGGCGGAGCCGGCTCCCGCGATAATGCTGGGCATGGATCTCGCGTTGTGCTCCCCGAAGATTCGAGAGGTACAAAACGGCACTGGCTGCTGCCGCGAACATCCACAACGCACCACGAGTGCCACCCCGGGCGTCAACAGTGACTTGCACATTGGGTTGGTGACTAATATACCACCAACAAACACCTCTCTTCTGCCAGTGACAGCACCTATACAGACGAGGTGCCGTCCCAACAAAGTAATGCGAGCATTTTTGGTGATACTGTGCACAGAAACAGAAGGGTGCGAGGAGCAAGGTGATCCCCGCCTTTAAAGGTATATCTTAAGATGTGGTATGCTGTGAGTGGATGTCTTTACCTCATCTCCTAGCCTCACAGCAGGCTCAAACTGTTTTTCTGCTGTTACTTCAAGCACAAGTGACGCATGTAAGGCTAAGACTGCTGCTGCCAGTAGTGCCCTTCTGCAGGATCTCCACACCATCTCGCGGCTCACACGCTCCTCCTGCAGGCTGGCGCTGCGGCTGCGCTGCTCCTGTTCATGCGGTCTGGCGGTCGGCTGCCTGCTCCGTGTCCAAGCTGCACTGCTTACCTTGTCCTGTGCATTGCCCAGGCTGTCACTGAAATTCAACTGCAGCGTGCCCCCCCGCTGAGCCTGTCTAGGCAGCGATCTTTCAATCCGTTACTCAGCAATTACTAACGAGAACAAGAAAAGGGGACCTCCTCGCTCGTTGCTGCCAGAGAGAGGCAAATGTTCCTTACAAGCTGGAGGTACTGGCTGCCACATATCCTACCGCCTGTTGCACTCGCCTTGCACAATGGGTCACAACAACGAGCTTGCCAGATCAGCGGTGCCGCATCAGCTCGAAACTTTCGAGCCACTATTGCCATAATGCTGCACTAGGCAACGGGGAGAAGCATTATAGATATCGGTTGCTTTTCCACGGGACGAACTGTGCTTGCCATGCAATCGGCACATTTCGAGACTCACCTTCACTTGAAGTGATTGGACACAGCTGCAGTCTCTGTGGGGCCCGTCTTGACAGGCTTCTGCCGATTCTGATCACCGGGAGCATGTCTCTTGAGATCGAGGCAACAGAGTAGGTCCACCCCATGATGCATTGTTGTCGTCAGATCACCAACTAGACATCCACTGGTTGTGTGCTGTGAAAGAAGATATGCTCAGTGCTTTTCAGACAACTCTTTGTCTTCATCAAGGGTGTCCAGTCCTTGTTTGACTTTGGTGCACAGTTGCTGTTCGATGGTCACTTTTGCTCTCAGAAGGACTTTACAAGGAAAACTCTCCTTTGCAACTTTACAAAAGAAATGCTAGATGTTCCTGAACACAGTGGACAGAAGGTATCGTGGCAGACATCAACGTTTGGAGATGGGAAGCTGTGTTCCCTGCTGTTGCACACAGCTTCACCTTCTCATCTGCACACCAGCACAAGGGTCTGAGTGCTGCAGTGATGTGCTTCAGATCACCTCTTGAGGCTACTCATCCTTCTACTCCCATGTGCAGGTGCTGGTGTGCGCCTGCCTTCCTGTAACTTGCCTTGCACTGACTCACTGTTTATTTTCCTGAAGACCAAGCGTTCTTTAACCAGGGGGGCCCTTGCGAGGGGGTCTCCCACGTCCTGATTCCCCTCTTTATTTAGAGACAGCTTTTCTAATTTTCGACGCACTCTTGTATTGCTTAGTAAGGTAACTCTTCCTCCCTACTTTGGCGCTCGCACTATCATGCATGCATTCTCTCCGGTTTGGACTGCCCGAAGTTCTTCATAAGCTGGCTCTCAAGCAAACCTGAGTCAGGCCCACAGGCATGGAAAGCGGATCAGGCTAAGAGCCGGCAGTGCAAGTCGGGGTTTGCGCAAGGGAAGGTGCAACTCCTGCACTATGCCTGCTCATGCATTCATCAGTAGGCATGCATTTAAATTCGCTAGAAGTCGCAATTGCACTCACTCGCCTTGACAAAGCACTCAAAGCTGATACTTGCCCACGTCTTCTCTGGGTTGGCTTGTAGCTTTTCATTCAACTAGCACAGACACAAACATCAATAGCCTGCCATTAACAGGCGGCAAACAGGTCAAAGCGAATCCCCTCTGCCCGCGCGGGTGGAGCTCAGAAGCAAGGTAAAAGTTCTTCATCCGATTAGCGATACCACGTGTGAAAATGAGTCACGGTTAGTGTCTACAAATTGGGGATTGTAAGGTTTAGGGTGGAGCGACAGTGGGGACTACATGCATGGATCCCAATCAAGAAATCCTGTTACGTATCAAATATGAAGCAGCTGCAAAACATACACAACAGAGAAGACACAACCACTGGCAGTGGAATGACAGATAGTTGACTATGCCTGACTCGTCTCACGCACTTGCGCAAGCGCATGCAGCAAGGCGACCGTTGTTACAGACAGGAAGGCAGGCAAGGAAGGAAGGAAGGATGATTACATCACTCCAGCCGCCCAGGGCTGATTGGATGAACTGGCAGCATCCAAATAATCAAAACAATCCATCACGAAATGGGCAACACCAACAATGTCAATCTGCCACATGAGTTGCTGCATGGGTCACAATGTCTGCACCAAACAACCCAGGATACCTATCCCGAACAGAATGCAAGGCAGGGCACTCGAACACAAGGTGGCGCTCAATCCCAATACCCTGCTGGGCACAACGCATGCACAAACGCTGGGGCCGAGGAACCTGGCCCAGCGGCCCGAGACATTGGGCAGACTATGACAGCCCATCCTGAACTTGAACAGTACACGCAAGCAACGGGCACTCAAAGGCTGCTGGAAGAGCTGGCAAGGGTGGCGCACATAATCTGGCCTAGCAAACCATCTGCGATATGTATATAAGGTGGCATTGCTGGACGGGCAGGTCCTAGGGCAAATGTCAAAGGCAAAGAGCAGCACCTGCAGATCGGATCCGGAGTGTCAAGGTGAGTAGCCCCAAAGTGGTGGGCTGCAGCACAGGAACGCAATAGAGGCTAGACGAGTCAGTTTGGACAGATCAGCATCAGTATGCAAGCATTCGTTCACTGTCTCAGCACTCCCCTTCAGTAAACTATACAACTTTCATGGAATGACCCTGCAAGCTAAGCACAATACGGTTGGACTGTCCTTGTGGGACCCACAACTCTGCAAGGTTGTTTGATTGGTTGTCGTGACTGATGAAGACGCGCATGGTGCCGGAGGAGGCACATCATATGACATGGAATGATCTATAATGCAACACTGACACTCCAAGAAAGCACCTAGGTGCGACCCAAATCGAAACCGAAACCGAGGGAACCCCGCTTCAGACACTTTCTGTTCACGCGGCAAGTGTTCACGAGGTCTGCAGAGGATAAATAAGTAGTCCAGCAAGAACTTTACTTTTCATTGATGCGAGTTACTCCCCTTGCTAGGTGGTGATGTTTGCCGCCTGTTAATGGCAGGCTGTCGATGTTCGTGTCTGTGCTAGTTGAATGAAAGCTGCAAGCCAACCTAGAGAAGACGTGGGCAAGTATCGGCTGTGGGTGCATTGTCCAGGCGAGTGACTACATTTGCGACCCCTGGCAAACTTCAAATGCGCACCCTATTGATGAATGCACGAGCGGGCTTAGTGCAGGAGTTGCATCTTCCCTCCTGAAAACCCCGACCTGCCCTGCCGGCTCTTAGCCTGATCCGAATCCTGTGCCCGTGCGCCTGACTCAGGTTTGCTTGAGAGCCAGCTTACGGAGTACTTTGGACAGTTTGGCAATATTCTGGACATCTACCTGCCGCGCGATAGACAGTACGCCTTCCGACTTGCTGGGCTGCAAACTGTGCATCACCCAATTTTATCATTGATTTTCCTGTCAGAAAACTTTGCTTCTAGCGAAACTCCGGGCGTCTTGCATTGACTCATTTGTCTAACGGCCATCAAGGCATCCCCGTGCTTGCGAATGTCTATAAGGGACTCAATTGTTTCTGTGTCATGCGGTGCGTGCAGCAACGGTGCTCGGAAGAATTTTGGCTTTGCAACGTTTGAGAATGAGGAAGGACTGCAACGCACAGTATGGCTCACGCCCATTCCCGCTGCTTTGCTTGCTCTATCTTGACACCTGCAGTGATCCTCACTGGGCTTTAGAAGCAGCCTTCAGGCTCATGCTTGCCCCAAGCCTGGTCCAGAAGGCTGTCTCTGGCGTCATCCATGCATGTCTTTCGGTCCTACCTAGCTAGACTTCAGGCTAGCCTTCAGACTTTAGCCTTGGGAGCCTCTAGTTGGGCCTCCCCTTGGTGCACATTTTTGGTGATGATCCTTCCTGGAGGCGTCAGTTTTTGACGCATGCTTCGCCTGCGCTTCGACTGCAGTGTGGCTTGCGTTGAAGATGTCCTCCGATTCGCCCACCCATCTGGGTGAACCTAGGCTCTGGTCAGGCTCCGATCAGTTTGCACAACACCTCTCTGACGCGCAACTGAGGCTGGCTGGCGCAACACTCGACCGCAGCGCTCTACTACCAACTGCCACCTCAGTATGTGTCTCACTCAGCCTCCGATCAGTCTGTTTACATAGGTTCTCTATTCTAGGCTGTCTGCACACGGCTTCATGCTCCTGGGCATCAGTAGGCTGCCTTTCAAACCAAAAGGCAGCCTACGCGCTGCAGGGGAGACAAGGTAAGATTGCGCACTCAGGGGGTTGGGTGTGGGGTGTTTGCGCAGCTGGCGGCAGGCACGGAGCATATAATTGCAGGCAAGACGGTGCGAGTGAATGTTGCCGGCCCCCGCCCGGAGCTACCCCTGCTATACTTGCAGCAAGGCCGCGTGCAGCAGGCTCCCATGGGGCCGCCTTCCGCAGGTGGTGAGAGTCACCCTTTGTAATCCTTCAGTCATTCTCATGCAGTAATTCTAAGCTCTGTGCATGCTTGACGTCATAGTGTACCGCGCAGCGCTGTCCAGGATTCACGCGGCAGGACCAACAGCATGCATCCTGGATTGCCAGGGGAGCAAGTGTTGCATGCATGGTGGTGTCATCTGCAGCTCGCCCACAGCAGGATCCATCTTTAGTCCTACATGGGACATGCAGGCCTTGAATGCTTTGAGCATGTGGGAGCTCTAGAGAGGCTGCATGCAACCGCCACTTGCGTCTCATGCAGGGCTCTTGATGTACTACATTTGCATCTGCTGCCCGGACCTAGTGGCCTGACAGTTTCCACTAAGCATGAGCTCATTCAAGAGTCCCAGCAGGATCTCTCATGACAATGCCTGAGCCAGGCATGTGATTGAGTTGCACAAAGGGGTGACAGGCTGGCTAGAGCAAGTGCAGCAAAGCAAAATGAGCACGAATCTATCGTCAGCGCCAGATGGGGTCAGGCAGACATCCATGCATGCGAAAACAACGATGACAAATAAGTTGTTGCCTGTTGCTTGCGCAGGCATGGCAGGGGCAGAAGGGGGCATTGGGGGACCGGCGGTAGGGGGGGATCCCACCGCAGCCGCCAACCGGGGAAGCGGCCCTCGCATCTATGTGGGGGGCATCCCCACAGCCGTCTCAGAGACCATGGTCCGCAACCACTTCACGCAGTGGGGGCAGGTGCGCGGCAGCTGCCACATGTGTGTGCCTGCATGCATCTGCATTGTTGTGCTGGTATACAAGGCAGGGTCTTTGCTTAGCAAATGAGAGCTGCAGATGAGTAATATGCTGTAAGCGGCCATTGCGCCAGCATGCATGTCATGTGCCGATGCATAAGATGCGGGGATATCTGGCTTTCACTGTGCTGTGATGCTTTTTATGTGCTGTTGAGGGACCCGACCCCATTTACATTTGGACCGCAATTCAGCTTTCCTAGCCTATTTCCGAGATAGCAAACGTTGTGCATTTGTGCCCTTTGCATTATATGTCACCTACTTTTGGGTCATTTTTTGGGCCTGACCCTGATGCAATGTGCGCAGTGTGGTGTTCTAACCTCTGTGATAATGCTACATCTCCTCTTGCTCGAGACAGGCTTGCCTTTTGCGAGGCTTCCTGTCAGGTGCCTCGGGTCATGTTTAGCAGATCAGGCTGGCACCTGAGGGTCCTGGCAATAGAAAGACGGCCATGGTAAGAGTGGTTTGCATGCTGGCAGGTTGTTGACGTGTACTTCCCAAAGGACAAGTACCTGAACCGCCGCAAGAACTTCTGCTTTGTGACGTTCGCAACGCAGCAGGTGTGACTTTCTCCCCAATTCCTCCCCCCCATCTCAAACCCTCAATGCCTGGCTGCCTCAAGCCGCATCTTCGTGTAAGCAAGGCTTGCTATGGCTGATTGTGCTTATTCGTAGTTTCTCATGCAGCTTGCATGTATGCCTCAATGTGCCACTGGTTGAACATTTTTTGCAGCGCTGTCGGAAGGCTGTCCCGCTTGCAGACAGCTGAGAAGGCAAAATTGCTGTGTGGCTGTGGATTGTTTTTGGCAGTGATCAATGTCAAAATGTCTGTGACCCTTGAATCTGGATTCAATGTTGCAGCCAGTTGTCGACAAGATGGCAATCTACTTGTTTTTGGGTCATCAGCTGGCAGGGAACACTGTTGAACAGTTTGCTGCAGTATCAGCTTGACCTTACTTGGTTTCAAATTGAATGCAAATATCGCAGGCAGCGGAGAAGGCGGCGGCGCAGAGCGACCGGGAGATAAATGGGTACCGGATAGAATCCATCTCGATCACCCACGACCGCCAGGAGCACTACCAGCGCCAGTCCATCATGACCTCGCAGGTGCGGCCACATGCTCGCTCGTTGTGGGTGGGTGAAATGAAGCATGCACGGCCTTTTGTTAGAGGGTTTGCAAGCCTATCACAGCCTCGGGGGCACATGCGAGGGGTTTGGGGATTTCCTGGCTGGGAGGCATGGCTGGATTTAGTTGCTGGTGCTAGCCAGTCCATCATGAGGTCGCAGGAGCGCATGTGTGCAAGGTTTTAGGGGGCGTGATTAGCCTGCAGGGGCAATAAAGGGCTTGGCGGCCCATCGTGGGGGCTTGCATTCAGTTGTTGGGGAATTAGTGGGGCTTGTGGCTGGGGTTTGTAGCTGGGGCGTCACAATCAGCCTTGTCGGGGTGTTTTTTATGCATGGTTTGATCAATGCATTCCTCTTGTGTAGTTCTCTGGCCTTTAGTAACGAGATGACTCTTGGTGGGGTTACCTAACCCAGCATTTTACAATGCATGGAACCTGGTTGTGCATGGGTGCACCCAATTCCCTGTTTTGGACCGGTGGAGCACGTCAGGATCTGCTGGATAATCTCAATTGCATGGCTTAATACAGTTTCCCGTCACACTTCTTCTTGCTAGAGGTGTCCATGGTCTGCTGACACGCTGGGCTTGGCATTGCAGGTGGGTCCCTCAGGAATTGGAGGCAGGGGGCATGGGCCGGCTGAGAGGGGAGGAATGCGATGGATGGGCACTGCCAGAGGTGGATATGGCGGCGGAGGCGGCAGCCCGAACGCCGGCGGCATGGCCGCCCTCAGCGTGCCCATGGTGCGCCTTCCCTCTCTTATGTTCCTTGCATCTTCTTGGAGGCAATTTTGATCCTCTATTTGAGCCCCCCACAGGCACCTTGGTTGTGTGTGGTCAGCATGTTCACTGCAAAAGAGTTCTCAAAGACAGTCTTCTGCTCTGCCAGCATGTGGTGCTGATGGCATGGTCCTTCCGCCCCATCCATTTTCTCAAGACTTTCTGCATTAATTTTCTGCAACTGATGAGCCCTTCACAGGCACCTTGTATTCCTCTGGTCTTTAGGAGCCACACGCTGTTTTGGTGGGGCAACCTCTCACATTATGCATAGCAGGGCTGTGCATCTGACAGGCGTGGCTCGGTCAAATGAGCACCTTGATTGTGTTTGGTGAGTGTTTTAAATGTTGTACGAAGCAAGGCATTGTCAGCGTAGGCTGCTGATGGCATAGAGTGGATGTGATAGGTGCTTAACGAGCCTGACAGCATCGGCAGATCCGTTTCCGTCAGGTCACTTCATTCAGAACTCAGAGTGCCTGCATGCACTCTTGTCTCTCTTATGTGCACGTGTGCTGCAGCATTGATCTCTGCTGCATTGCACAGATCAACGTTGCCAGTCTTATATAATGTGCTGTCTTGCACCTTTGCACTGCTCAAGCCTTCTCGGACGGCTGCGTTGGATGGTTTGCGGCCATCCACATAAGGAACTCCACACGTCTAATACGTCTCTCGGCGCATGCAGGCGGCGATGAACATCGGGGGTCAGGTGGGCGGCGGCGGGAATGCGCGATGGGCTGCGGCGGCTGGCGCGGGGGGGAATCCGTATCTTTACGGGGTGATGGGCGGCGCCGTAACGGGCGGCTACGGGGAGATGCAGCAGCAGTACATGCTGCCCGGGGGCGTTGCCTATAGCTCCATGGATGCCATGTTTGGCGTCGGCGGACAGATGGCACAAGGTGAGCACACAGATTCGAATCTTGAATGATGCATGTCATCTGCACACTTGGTGCCATGTCTGTCTCGCAGGTTCCAGTGGGCTTGTGTTCTGCAGATCATACTCTGCACATGACCTAGGCAGGCTACAACTTGTTCAAAGTTAGCATCTGGGAAGCTCAGCTCACCTTGATATAAGCCTTCTTATGCGCTCATAGCTATCATATATCAGTCTGTGGAGCAGGTCTTGACTCTAGTAGGATCCTTGTGAGCACTACTGTACTCATACTGTCACTGTTAGACAATGTATCAAGATGAATGGTCAGCTCAAAAGGGAATATTGTTTCGTTGCTGCTGACGTCCACTTGCGAGGCAGCCCTTCCTTTCATCTCCTGGTGCTCGCATTGCTTCGATATCTGCAAGTCTTTCCCTTTGAACGTCATTCTGATTGGGTGCAGGTCAGCTGGGAGCCAGGGAGCACCTGGGGCTGGACACGGAGACACTGCGTTACATGGACCCCCAGGGGGCGCTAAGCTACGAGCAGCTAGGGTATTCTATGATGCACGGCAGCGGCAGCACCATCGGACAGGACGGCTCAATCCCCACTAGCCTGGTGGCGGCCGGCGGCGGCGTTCCCTATGGCGGAGCCTATCTTGGCGCCAGCCCGGCCGGCAGCAGGTGGCAGCCGCCGGCGCCGGGGCAGGAGCCGGCCCTGGCCGCGCCAACGGCGCTAACTCACCTGCCGCAGCAGCACAGCCTCAGCTCCCTCGGCAGTAGCGGCAGCGCTAGCGCGGCCGCCGCGCTGGCCGACGCGCACAGCGGCCAGCTGGATGCAGACGCCGCGGCGGCGGCCGCGGCCGCCGCGCAGATGCTGGCGGCCAGCCGGGCCGGAAGCTTCCCGCAGCCGCAGCAGCCGCAGGGGGCCCCCGGGGGGCCTGCTCAGCGGGCAGGCTTCCCGGGCAGCCGCCAGCAGCAGCCGCGCGGCGGCCAGTACCGGTGACTGCTTGATCACCGCCGCGCCCTCCACGCTGCTTCCATTTGCTTGAGCTGCAGCAGTGAGGGGCCCTCGTCTGCACATGCAGTGCAAAAGAGATGATGCGAAATCAGCTGCGGCTCAGGCATGTCACGATGAAACAGCATCTGCAGCCAGCCTGGATGACAAGAGGAGTGTCTGCCGCAGTCTGTGATACATGATCTTTGGAAGCAGTGATGCGCTCAGACCAGGAAAGTTAGAGATCAGCTATTCTGCAAGGATCAATGATTGAGAACGGAGTAAATATGCAGACGCTTTCATGCAAAGGGTGTCTGCACTATCGTCCGGGCTGTGCTCGGTCCACAGATTCGGGCTGTGACAGGTGCACTACACCCGATCTCTGATGCTGCTTTTTGTAGCGGCTTCAGAGGTCTCAGGGGTTATGAATAGGTTGCTACAGGCCTCCTGATAGCTTCTGTTGTGAGGGTGTGTCTCTGGGGGACTTCCTAGAGCTGTCTGATCGTAAGAGGATTTGCAGGATTCCTATCGGCCTGCCAGGGGATATAGAACTCAGTGCTCTTGCTAGTCATTTTCTAGAGCACCCGGAAAAGAACTACGTTGTGTGCCTGTTATCCGGAGTTGAACCCTGCCTGCAGTTTCAGGACTCCAAAAGTACCATCTGCAGATCGGAACGGGACGGGCCCAAGTGAGATTTTCCGTGCACTCCCTCAGCAATTTGCAATTGCATTCACCCTTTATTCCAGCCTGATCCTTTATCGGCAGCTATTTATGCAACAGATTGTCGTGCCTGGGTGCTACTTGTTCTTGCATGTGATGGAATTTTACCTCGAGGCTTTCTGGGCGGAGCTAAAGGCGGGCAGTTTTTTGCGCACACAGCTTGGATAGAACAAAACTTGCAATAGCTTGTCTGTGGGGCATATATAAGGCGCATCAAAGCAAAATACCACTGCTACAGCTTGTTAAAGTAAGTCCAGTAAAAGGAATATTTGAGAGACAGTGCCTATGGCGGCTCATGATGCTAGATGATGCATAAGTGTGCTTGTGGGAGGGACTCAAAGAGGTTAGCTGTCAGATCAGGCACTAGTGGCCCAGCAAGCGGGCTTATCCGCAGGTCGGGCCACTCTTTAGCATTCATGCAATCTGATTGTGATTTATTTCATGAGGAGGCCTGATCTGGCGGGCAGGAGACACAGCGGGGTGGTGACACAGATGTCAAATACACAATGCGAATGCTCAGATGGGGCAAGCGCAGTATACAGAGTTATCTGGCCCCTGCTGGGGCTGCGATTTATTTGGGGTTGGATTTGAATATATAAGCGCAGAAAAGGAGTTTGCTCCCAGCTCATGCGCAGTGGGAGCTGCGAGGCAAATATATTCTATAAAGGGCTGGGAACATTCACATGGTATGGAACCATCTCAGTGTTCTCCACTGTGATGGCGCAGAGCAACACCGAATTCGAATTCAAGTTCAAATTTTCCTGTCGGCTGGTGCAAATGATAGCCATTCCCTGAGATGGGACATGGTGAAAATGCCTCTCTGTCTGAGTGGGGCTTTCCTATAAACACCCGTGTCTGCTTTTGGCTTGCATGCTCCAGTTCAGGGTCTGTGGACGTGCCAAGAATAAATCTCAGAGCATTGTTTATGCCTGCTCATGTCTGCGATGTCAGTAGCTAGTGCCTGGTCTGTGGATCACCCTGTCAGTGGGTGAAGCTGCATGCCATGGCAGCTAGCTTAATGGGGGAACAGAGATGCAAGCTGAAGATTCAGCTGTCCGGGAAATTGGAGTTTGTCCAGATGAACTGCTCATGGAAGCAGGTCTACCATAGACCTGCTTCCTGTGACATATTCAGTGGTGTCAGACTTCCAATTGGATGGTTGGGTCTTTCTTTATATTTATTCATTTGATATGTCAGCGCTAGCCGAGTGATGAGAATTGTTCTGATCAGAGTGGTGCGCTGTCGACCTGATGGCATGCAATCAGGCGTTCCAGTTGGATGTTCCCCATTGGAATGTAATAAGGCCGGCCTTGAGGACAACTTGGCACCTCAATGCTCTGGCACTTCACATGATCATGAGCAACAGACCCCATGTGCAGTGACTGCGCAACCCCGCCAGCCGGGGCCAATACACCGTGACGTGACTTCATTACCTGCTGGAATTGTGCATGTGCCCACTTGACATGCATGCACGTCTTCCTAGTTCCAAGATCTTCCTCTCAATGTGATTGGGACAAACATTCCTCGGACCGAGGCATCTCTTCAGCGCTCATCTCGCAGCAGGAGCCACGATGCTGATGGCCTTGCCCACCAGCGGGCAGCCTGGCGGGTACACACTTCGCAACTTCGTGATCAACTTCACGGATCTTCGGTCACTCACCTATCTCCTGGACACTGGCAAAGGACACGATGACCAAACATAAATCAGACAGCATATTCATTTGGTCTGTCGCGAAGAGAGCTAGGATCGGGTATTGGGCCTTGCGTTGTCGCATCAGGAGGACTAGAATCGAAATTTATCGCGGTTGCTAGGCCCGAAGACTTGGATGCGCTGCTCTGAGCGGATGGAAAGGTTCTCGGGGTTCTTGATTCCGGAGATCGGTCTTCGGATAAGTGCAGATCCAAGCTTCTTCTGTCCACTGTCGAAGAGGTTTGTGCTCATCACCGACTCAATTCGCCCGCAGTCAAAACCCCGGACAGAAGCTTCCATGGAAGTCATGACCCGCATTGCACACAATGGAGATGTACGTGTTGATAGTTATTTGATTTGAGTCCTTACCCTTAATTGTCTTTGAACATTTCGCAGCCTTCTTCTCGCGCCTGTGGACTTGATCTTTGGGGACAACAAACTCACGGTGGACCGCGCCAGTCTCGAAACCTGGTTCAAAACAGGTGAGCACGCATATCGACCGAATTTTGCACACATTTCACCAGACAATCTATGATAGAACACTAGCTATGCCTGCTCCAGCATGAGGGGACACGGTGAATGGCAGGGTTGTTTGACTCAAGACCTTGAACTTTAGTGTGCTTCTGCGCAGTCGGCAAAGATGTGTGCCCTTTGTCTGGAGCGTTGATAAGGGATTGGATCATTGTGAAGCCCAACAATTCCCTGAAAGATCGCATCAAGGAGTGGGCTCGACGGCAGATGCTCGATTTGGATGCCATCGAAGTGGCTGCGCTGAAGCTTCGAAGACAATCGGTTCTTGGGCAGCAATGGGAGCTGGGTGGGCGAAGAGACACCTTTAAAGAGCAGCACGGCGGAGCTCGGACGTGAGTGCACATTCCTTCGCTGGGTGAAAGGCTGCTGTTTTGGAAGCTCGGTTGCTCCTCTTTACGTTGAGCACTGGTGTGCATGGAAACATGATATATGTGACATCATTGCTGATCGACATGATGCAATTGCAGGGACAGGGAAATGAGGCTCTCACAGAGCTGCGAGGTGGACTGGCTCCTGAGCGACCCCATCTCTTGAGTCCACGACTCTGGACCCCAGCATTTCTGAGAATGCTCGAGACGAGCTTTCTTCAGCTTCAAAAGGTGCCAGCATGCCAGCGCAAACCGCATCCACATGACTGCAGACCTCGCTGCTGGCCGTGCCTCTTCCTGCATTGCACCCAGCAGCCCACTGGCTGAGGCTCTACCTGACATCAGATGCAGCAGTGGTGGAGCCTCATCCATGCATGGCATCGCTGCAGACTGGAATCTGTGTGTTTGAAGAAGCAGCACTGGTCTCAGTCAGACCAGTGCATGGCAGATGTTGGCTGCACAGCGCCAGGGGCACAGAAATAAAGTTGAAGGTCTCTCTGTTCTTTTTTGCACCCCAATAAGATGTGAGCCAGTGTCACAATCGGAGAGACATCCGCTCGCAGGGCTTGCATGCCTTTGCTGAGACTTCCTAGTTGACCGTGCATATGGAATATGCTTGTGTCCCGGCAGCTGCTTACAAGACAGCCCGGCGATGTACTTTATTCCCTTTGTTATCTTCAGGTCAGACACAGTGGCAATATTGTGGGGCACTGCAAACTTGGCCACTTTGATATTCTGCGCGCGCGGTCGGTTGATTTCACGGCAGAGGAATTACTTCGGCTTTTCCCGGGTCTTTCTGAAGGAGTCACCTGTGTGACGTTTGAGTTTGAGTGGGGGCAATTATATTTGGGATGAAAAATGCAAGGACTTGAAATGCTGACATACACGTTCAGATCAGCGTATTGCCCATTAATTTGCTGGAAGGATGAATGTGAGTGTCAGTGGCTCTGGAAACTATCAGGGGAGTTATCAGGCTGTCGAACTTGAATACAGCTGTGTCATCATGATACTTATTTGCTTGGATCTGAATCCTTTTGCTGGTGTCCGCAATTGATTTGAAGGAGCTGTACCTGCTCAGCTGTTTTCATTTTTGGACATTCTGCCCGTTTTTTTGAATTTTTCCTCCATGTGCTCAGAGGCTGCTGGGGAACGAATGTATAGTAAACCCCCCTGCAGGGGTCAGGCAAAGGTCTGTGTGCTGGAAACTCTCCGTTTGATATCTTCTTATCCACGCACTGTTGTGCCAATCCTGTGACTTTTTGCTGCGAGATTGTGGAATGGATCAAGTGGTCACGGCTTGCTTGTACATCTTTTGACAGCCTGTCAGTGACATCATGATGAGCAAATACAATGAGAGCAAATTACTTTTTGATTGCCATTCTTGATTGCCAATTTTGTATCTTAAAGCCTGCCATGATGTCGGCAGACCTCTTTCTCTAATAAAGCTGGTTGAGTGACTCAACTTGAGTCTCAAGTTAGATGCCCCTTCAAACGCTGGAAAGTCAATGTAAGAGTTGCAACAGTTGCTGATCAGCTATCCATGCCTTGTGTGAGCATGGATGTTGCTTCACAGACGAAACTTCATCGGTTTGCTTTCCTATTGAGTAGCCCATGCATTGAGCAGCGGAGGCCAAAGCATGCTCAACAGCCCAAACATGCTCTAGATGTGCACAGTCCTTTTTACCATGCACTGAATCTGAGCGTGATTCCAGGTGAGGAAACCTGGCATGTGCATGTCTGGCGCACGTTAGATTTCTAGAGATCAGCTAAAATAGACCAGTCTGGTCATGTGCCATTTTTTCCGCACTTGCGAGACATTGCAACTGCACCTCAAGCCATTGTTGGAGCAGGAGTAGAAGCTTTTTGTTAACATTTCACAGCGCAAAAAAAGAAACTTGCATGCTTGCATTGCCTACCACGAGTCAGCAACTGGACTGATTACAACCGGCAGCCATCAGTGATGAAAGAACCGACAGATGTCTAGATAGACATGCAGTACAGTATTGATATGAACCACCCAGAAAGCAATGCTGAGAACCTAGAGCTCCTGTACAAGCAGATCATTTAGGGTGATTTTGTGGTGTGCAGGCTCAATGCCATATTCACACGTCACACATAGTACGGTGTTAACGGCCTCAATACCATAATCATCCAGTTCAGATGACTCTTCTGGAATCAATTATCCTTATACCTGCTTTTTAGACTGCAGCGTTGTGTTGTGTCCCAGCGTTGTGTTGTGTCCCCGGACAGCTGTCACAAAATTTGATTGCAAGCCGGGAAATCACAAGCGGTCTGGAGCCAAAAGCACACAGAATGCTATAGAAATTGCCTCTGCCGCCTTGTGCAGAGAGATAGGGCAGCACACAGAGTCTTAAAGCGTTTTGTCACTTCCTGATTGTCTCTGCACTGCATTTGTGTCTCAGTCTACAGAACGCCTTATATTTTCAAGTCTGCTGCATCCGCGCTAGGCCCATTCACGAGGTCCTTCTTCTACGGGCCACAGAATTCATGGCGCCATTCTATGGCTCCATGGCGTTATTGATACCATCAATCCCTTGTCTCTTTATAGCACTTTTTTCCTCATTTCCCAGGGCGAAATCTGCCCCCAACTGCTGCATAAAGCTTGTTATCGTAGCCGGGCTTTTCACACTGCTAAGGACCCACAGCCAAAGTTGTTATCAGGCATGCTTCAACAGCGGAGGCATTCTCTTCTGAGGCCTTCCTTCTTGCATGCACTTGAAACCCTGGTTAGGGTAGAGTGCGCGGCCCCTTGCAACCGCAGTGCCTGGGGGGCCTCACAGCGATGCCAGCTGGCAGGGACTGACTGGACCCCGCTGACTCAGCGGTCCCGTCAGCTGCCGCCAAACATGCATGCGCATCGACAGTAGAGAAATATCCTATCAGGGAGCACACAACTTTGCATCCCCTTCCATCTTTACTTGAGTGTGCAGTCTCTTTGTGCACAGTGAGTGCTCAAAGAGACACACAGTCCTTCTGTCTGTCTTGCACAACTGAGAGAGCTTGGCAATCTGTCTTGTGTTGTGCAGCAAATCGATACCGTTTCAGAACCGTCTGCTAATGGGATCACGGTCTGGACAATGTATGTCACCTATGGGCATCCTTGCAATATGGAGCCGCCAAAAATGAGCTGTGCGCGCAGCCCTTGCCATGCAAGCAGCTGCGTGCAAGCTCTCTTGGTCTTTTGAACCTCTTGCGCAACTTCCTGAGCGTAAAGTATGTGGCCAAGCAGAACTCTTGGTGCTTCTATGGTCCCTCCAGGACAGAGTGCAGTTGTTGCAAAACATAGGTGCATTCGGCAGAGTACATCTGAACTGAGGCCGCATGCGCGATCATCATACTTTGTGTCACAACGCCGTCTGACTTTTAGGTCTCTTAAAGGCTGTTAAGTCTTCAAAGGTTGCTGCTTCTGGATCTTTGTGGGTTTTTCATATCTATCGTCCTTGCAGCTGTGACGCCTCATTCATTCGTGGAACTCGCCTGCAGTCTGCATGCAGCTCCCTTTGATGGGACCACACAAGGGGGGCCTCCCTTGGTCGAGTCATCCAAGGTCCTCTCGTGGTTGAGTCATCCAAGGGTCGCTCCCGGTTGAGTCATCCAAGGGTCGCTCCCGGTTGAGTCATCCAAGGGGTGAATCATCCAAGGGAGGGCCACTCCTGGTAGGCGGCATTCCCTGCGCTGACCGAGTAGTAACTCTGGGAGAGCGCGTCGAGCGGCGTTGCCTCTGCCGCGCCTGAATTGGCGCTGTCCATGGAGGAGGGCACGCCGCCCAACACATGCTCCTGGAACGCCAGCGCCTGTAAGCGCCAGGTCACCACATTACTTTCCATCTCTGATCCTTCCTGTCATGGCTTTCATCTTAGAAGGTTTGCATTACATTAAAAATGCTCTGCCTTCATTGCCAAAATCCCCGGACCCCTTCCCAGATATTGAGTTGGACAATGCTAATACTGCTAAGGGCCCGAAACAATGCAAAATGTGTTGCTTTAAAATCAATGCCCGATGCAGCAGGTACACCGTGTACCTGCTGAGTCACCTGCAGTCACCTGAGTTGACCTGCAGAGTCACTCTGTACCTGTCCAGAGGGACTCTGGACCCTGGGGACCTTCGGGTGATGTAAGAGTAATGAGCAGTGTGCCCAGGGTGGCATTGCTTGAATGTGCCACCTTCTCTATCTTACAGCATCAATAATGAGATAAATTACTAAGGATCAGGCACCTGGACGTGCTTGGGGTTGACGGGGACGCCTGATTTGGCAGCGATGCGGCCGATCTGCGCGCGAAGCTGCGCCAGCTCATAGCTGTCCACGTCAGTTCGGCGATTTGCAAGGCCCATGAAATTCTCGCCTGCCGCTGCTGCGGAGCCGCCCAGGTCGTCCAGACCGCTGAAGGGCGCCGAACCTGCGCCGGCAGGGAACGCCCTGTGAGGACTATGCAGTGATAGTGGCATGCTGTTTAGTAACTCTTTGTTCCTGACACTCGGGAAGGCTGGTTGTACCCGACGTGGCGCCATGACAGGTCATAACCTGGCATCTGAGGTGTTGCAATGTGCCAGACTGATAGCACGAGCTGATGCGCAAGCATTCGGATTTATGACTGTCCGAGCGGCAGAGGCGAGGTAGGCTCAGCTCTGCAAGACTAGCACCAGCAGATTCACGGTCTGCCCACGAAGCCTCACCTAGAGGTCACCAGGCTTCTGAAGAACACTATTGGGGAGCACAAGGCAGGATGTCTGCCTGAAGAGCCTTACCTGAAGCTGTAGATAGTGGCGCGAGCAGCAGGGAGTCCAGCGCAGTCTGGGGCCGGGCATCCAGGCCCAGGTTGGCGTTCATGAGGTAGCTGCTCGCGTAGCTGAGCGCGGTACCAAGGCCGGCGCTGCCGGGCATGGGGTGACTCATCGGGTTAATTGCCGCCTCGGCCGCGCCGCCGGCCGGCGCCGGGAGCGCGGCAGGCGCGCCGGGGTCCTCCCGGTCTGGGACCCCCCGGAGGCCCGCCTCCGGCGCAAGGAGGTTATATGGTGGCCGGTGCGGCTGCAGCGGCAGGCGCGCGTCAGGGCGGTTAGTCATTGGCGCGCCGAAGATGTCGGCCCCCGGCAACGGCCGCTGCGGCGGGGGCGGTGGCGGCGGCGGGACCCGGCCCGGCCAGCCCGACGCCGGGGTGTTACGCATGTGCGGCGGCCGATGGCTTACCGGATCTGCAGGAACAGATGTGCATAAATGCATCACGCAATGTGCAGACTGGAAACCTCCCAAGAGCAGAGGGATTTCATGATGCACCACATGGCAGAGGCACTTCTTGTGACATCTGGCGACATATAAGCCATTGCCTTGCCTAAGATGTGGGACGAACGAAAGAGTCTAATTGGCGCAGAAAGTACGCAATACCTGGCGGGCGCTGTTGCTGGTGAGTGTAGCCGTGGCTGCCGTGGGGTCCGTAGCCTGAGCGCTGGTAGCCGGGCGGCCCGTAGTAATCCTGTACGGGGTTACGGGGCGGCCGGCGCGTGTGTGGGGCCCCCGGCCTGCCACCCAGAGCGGGGGGCCCCTGGTGCAGCGTTGTGGGGCCCCGCGGACGCGCATGCACCTATTGTATGGTACGGGAAGTTGTTACAGTCTCTGCGCGAGGACCTCAAAAGAAATTGAGCAACCTACACATTCACAGGCCGCAATGTACAATTGCTGTGTTCACCCGTGTGCTGATGCTGCAATTCTTTAGCCCACTTTGCTAAAGACAGCAAGCACCGGAGGGGCTCTGGCACTCCATATGGTGACTAAACCCATTTGAAAATTTCTGCGGGTCTTCCTTTTGCCACTGAGAGGTTCTTTTCAGACAGCAGCACAAGCCTCACTCGAAGTTTTGCGCCAAGGTGTCTTTACTAACCTTATTACGTCATTGCCCCAGGGCAGTTTGAGATGGATTCATTACCTGGGGTTCCTTGGGCTCGGGCTTGTGCTGCTTGCCGATGATGTCATGCACGCCCACAGCTTCCACCAGCTTCTCCAGCACTGCGGCCGCCGCCAGCTGGCGCGCCATCTTCTTCGCGTGCCCCTGCGCATCCATTCATCTCCCTTAAATAGCCAAAAACAGTTTCACGGAAAACAGTATGGTGGAAATGGCTGAGCCTACTCTGTGACACATAGCCAGATCATAGGACCAAGTCAGCATTACAGCACAGGCTCTGAGTCATGAAGGCATCTGCAATGTTCATCGTACACTGCATCTTGCCCAAGAGAGGCAGAATGCTTCACTGGAAGGTCCGCGCATTTCCTGCCCCTTTGTTGGACTCACCGTACGGTATGTACCAAAGCAGTCTAATGCGGGGCAGGATTCTTCGTCGTCATATTGCCCCTTGCCAGCCAGGGTCCCAATAATGGTTTTGAGACATAAGGCTCCCACCTTGCCGATGCCGGGCTCGAAGACATCTTCGTCATCGATGGACCGCACATGCGCCTCCACTGTGAAGGGCCCCGCGGTGCTCTCCGCCGCCTCCGAGAATGTCAGCTGCGCAGCGCAGCAACAAACAGCCTCAGCCCACACCACAAGCAGCATTATGTTCATGAAATGCATGTTCAGCAATCAAAAAAGTTTTGAGACGCTAGGCAGTTTTCCAGCAGCAGCAGCCTCCGAGAATGTTAAACTGCGCAGCGCAGCAACAAAATACCTCAGCTCACATTGCCTCAGCCTACACCGCAGGCAGCATCATGCTCATGAGATGCATGTTTAGCACCTCAAAAAGCCGTCATGCATCAGGCAATGTTGCAGCAGCAATTACTCAGCTCACACCGCATGCAGCCTTATGTTCAGGAAATGCATGCTGCACCCCAGAAAGCCTGGGATCATCTTGACATGCACCAGACAGATGTGCAGCCGCCTCTGCTTACAGAGGACGCAAAATGTTGTGTCAACCACGGAGCCAGGGTTGTTATCTGCAGCTCTGTTTTCATTGCGTGCTACAGGGCATTGGCCTCATCTGGAATCCAGGGTGAACAGGCAACAGCGAGCATGAACAACCAAGCCTGGAGTTCTCTTTCTGTTCATTATCTTGCATTAGGAGGGAGCAAGCCTCCGATGAGAGAGCAGACAACAGGGGAATCCTGTCTGCCTTGTCAATTTCCATGCCATTCGACGCACAAGAGACTGAGGTCAGCTGAGGTGAGCCCTCACCTCCAGGTTGAGCCGTGTGGCGTGCTCATGTAAGATTGACAGCGGTGTTTTATTGGGGATCTTAAGCGCAGTCCGGTACAGGGAGATGAGATGCTTGCAGCGCGGGAACGGATTCAGCGCCTGAGCGAGCTCCTCTCGAAGAGCGCGCGCCGCCTTTGACGCCGCATCGTCTGCCGGGTCCTGCACAGTGCGGTTCAAATCCTCAGGTGCTTGTGTTTTTTTCCTTTTACTGTTTGGCAGTCCGTTTTGGTGGTGCCGTGGGTACCCAATACAAAACACCCTGATTGCAGGTCGATAATGGCTGGCTTGATTGCGGCGTTCGCCTTAAAAGGGAGTAAAATCCAGCACAGTTGTCATGCCAAATGAGGACTCTAGCGCTGTAATAAGCTGCCTCAAGTGCTGCGCAGGATGGAGGGCAAATGCCCAACATGGCTCCTGCTGGAAATCAGGCTAAGCATAAGTATCTACAGATAGACAGCTGCAGCGCTGCAGCCTGTGATTGTCATGATGGATAAACTGACGCCGCTTACTGTGTAGACCGAAGGATGCTGCGTGATCAACGCGCATGCGTATGAGAGCATGCAGGGACTGAGAAATGAAGCCAGCAGGGGGCAGAATGACTCACCAGGTGGTCATCTGTGGCAGAGTGGGGCGCGGTGCCGGCCTTGCCATTGAGCATTCCCAGGTCTGTGAGCAGCTTGCACATGCCTGTCTCCATGCTGGACCGGCCTGCTGCTTCGGGCTCAGCAGGCTCGGCTGGAGCCTGCACATGCACAAGATTTCCCGACTGTAAGTGGTGACATCAGCGATGCTGGACAGTTTCAGTCTCAGTTTTGGCCTGAGCATGCACTTGCGGATCACACCATGGGTCTTGCTGCCACCAAGCCAACCCCATTTAAAGCAAGGTGATGTAGCAGCAAGGATGATATTGCAGCAACTGCACATACGCATGCAGGCGCAAGCTAGTGTATGTGCTACTCTTGTATCAAGCAAGAATGCATGGTCTGCTGTGAGTTTTGGAAAGCAGATGTCTGCAGGAAGGCTTACCTGTCTTCGTGGAACTGACAGCACAGCATTCAGGGCAGCTGCCACAGCGGCACGTTTGTCCTCATGATTGGTCAGAAGGTACATCAGCGCGCTCAGGCTTGCTTGGAAGCCTTCTTCCGCGCTGTCAGAGGACATCTGGCGCTCCAATTGAGGCTGCTGCTGCTGCTGCTGCTGCTGCTGCTGCTGCTTCTGCGATAGAATCTCCTGGTCTTGCAAAGGCAATGCCTGCAGCTGCTGAGGATCGTCTGCCTCCTCCTTTCTGGCTTCCATTTGCTTGTCTTCAGACGTTTCCTGCAGACCGTACGCAAGAAATCAGCAGAGAAGTGGCATTTTTCAGATGTCCTAATATATTTTCTATTCATTTGAGCGTGCAGGGGTACTCAGGATTTTTCCGAAGATACACCAGCACGAATCCTTGCTGTTCTTCTTTTGAATCATGTCAGCAAGCAGGTTGAATGTTGGTGGAGGAGCAAAGTAATACTTTTGGAGTCTCTGCACTGTTTAAAGTGAATGACAGTGGAAGAATACAGCAGGTTAAGCAAAATGCTGATTACTTCTGCTGCATTGTCCAAAACAGCTCTTCTGTGTTACTTTCGCACCTCCTCAAAATCCGCCTCCACCTTCAGCATGCAGGCCGTTGCATCCCTGTATGGCATATCTTTGATGTGAGATCCGCATCGATATTCCTGGGACAATGCTAAAAATCGGAAAAGTTGCGTTTCCCGTACTTTTCTGGGACTTCGAAGCCTGGCGGAGGAGGTCGCATGCTGATCGTCGCCTTGCACTCCACCCGCAACGGAACGCTCTCCTCGCTCATGGGTGCCAAAACCTCTTGAATAGCAGAGGTATTGAGGAGGAATCTGTTTGGTTGTTTTTGAAAGTGAATCCTGTGGACTGCGCCTAAATAGGCAACGCCAGCCCCTGCAGCGAATGCAACCTTGGATGAGATGAGACCACGCTGTTGATTTAAAAGTAAAAGTGATTTATTTTTGGTAGTGACTCGGCGGAGAAAACTTAGAGCGCGTCTTTTGGGCTTGAAGCTTGCTGCACGTGTTGACTAGGTGCAGGAGGATTGTGAAATTACTAGTGTCTTCAACCCTGAAGACATAACAGGATGTGTATCACCGTTTTCTGCTTTATACTTCAATCTTACAAGTGGTTATGTTGCCAAGAATTCAATCGTGCGTAAGGCCAGAGAAGGACTGACACGCCAGCACATTGCAACACGAGGGATATTGTGGGGTGGAGGGATCAACATCCCGACGTGTGGGACTTTCTGGATGAGGGTAAAGGCATGGAGGCAGCAACTGCCCAGCGCACTCCGCTCTGGTGTGGCTCTTGTCCGTAACACAGTGCTGGCACTGCTAGTGTGTTTCCCTCATCCTGAGACACAATGCAACAGGCCAGCGACGCAGAAGGCTGGAAAGACTGCAGCCTAGGAGTAACATATACTATGCTTGCCCATCGACGCCATGCAGTGCAGGAGTGTTGTTGGTGAGGGATGGCCTGCCATCTTCCTGTGCAGGCAACGTGTTGGTGGTCGCTGGAAAGTCAGCTTGCATGGCCGCACTGTACACTGCAGCACCGGGACCCTGGCCAGCGCTGCAGATCCTGTCCCTACTTCCTCTGTTGCCTGAGAGCCGCAGACGCAGGGTAAACTGTCACAAGCCCCTTTCCAGGATGTCCAGTATGTGTTCAGAGCGTTTATGGTGTCTCTCATGGCCTCCTTCTGTGTACTAGCATCCTTCTGGTTGGCAAATGTCCAAGCAGGACATCCCAGCCTTTTAACTCTTAGGCAGTAGAGGAAGATTTCTTCTGCCTCAATCCTTTCCCAGCTGAAACGCATGTCGGGTGCAAGTTTCGGTGCAGAGCATCACAGCTTGCCTCCTCTTGCACATACAGGTTTAAGACCTACCTTTGCACTTTGTCCTAGCTGGCGATGGCCTACAAGTATCTTGATGTATGTGCACCGTGCCAAGACATGACTGTGTCTCGCTTGAATGTTGCAACTTTGTGTATTGGCCTGTGGAGTCGCCGCAGCCTTTACCTGCAGCTCGCCTGCAGTTGCACCTTGTCTCTTTGCAAGAAATGTCTGCAGTTCAAAACTGCACAACTAACTCGGCCATGCTGTCGGCAGGTGCCTGGAGCGCTCGGGGCGGCAGGGGAGAAATATGGGGGGGTAATTCTGGGGGTCACCGTGCTCAAAACCCTGATAGCCTGGCTGGCGCCTGATCTGGCGCGCACCGTGCGCATGTGGCGCCAATTCCTGCCCATCTACCTGCGCTGCCGCTGGACCAAGTGGCGCTACCAGGAGGCCCGGGGCTATACTGCGCGGGTGAGTCACCCTTCAGTATTGAGGACTTCCTTACACACCTCTTATTGTTCTTCAGTAGCTGTAGCTGAGCCTTCTGTAGCTGAAACCAACTAAGCTTTTGAATTTGGGCCTTCAAAAGGCTCATTCAGCTGGACTTTTGACTCATATACTTGCACAAACATAGAAGGATGCTACAGGGACCAGTATGCTGCATGAGAAATCGCAGCGTTTGCCCTGTCATACTTCCAAGGGAAGGATGCCTGCAATTTCAGGGAGCATGAATGCCAGTTTAAGAACAGTTTCACTGCAGCTCGGAGCGTTGTTGCTTGAATTGCAATTCAAAGCTGCATGCATGGCTGCAGGAAGTGGAGAGGAAGTGGGCTGTTAGGCATGAGGCGGAGGGAACAGCGGTATACGAAATGCTGCTGGACCTCTCTGGCATGTATGTCAAGAGCGCGCAGATTCTGGCTTCCAAGGTGCGGGCATTCAGACCCTTTATTCTGGTCATTCTGCCATTTGGATCATTGTCGGATGCTGTCGATACGTACAGCATCATCAGCTCGTGATCTGTGAATATCTCGGCAACCAAGGTGTGGGCCTACAGACCATGCAGCATTTCACGTGGCAAATGGATATTCTCGACTTAGCTTATATTTGTCATGGGTTGCTGTGATCTCTTGGATGCTGTTCACACATATGCTCATCCTCCTTTCAAGCCACCTGATAGTTCATCTGGCAGGTGGGTATTTTCTCTCTTGCTCATATTGTCATGGACCGCGTGATTGCTTGGTTGCTGTGAGCACAGCTGATCGATGGTACTCTATTATAATCTTACATATCTTAGTAATATTACTGTTGTGCCAGGGCGACTTCATGCCGGCTCCCTGGGTGAGGAAGCTGTCTGCCATGTTCGATTCGATGCCCCCCAAGCCCTGGCACGCCGTTCAACGGGTGCGCATGCCTACTTCAGGGATTTGACCAGTTTTTTTTCTTGTCATTAAACGAGTGTTAAGATGCCTATAACATGTGCAGTAAGGGTGGATCAGCAGTGAAGCTACCGTCAGCAGCACTGAAATCTTCCATGCATACATGCAAGCAAACAAAGGAATTGGCATACAAATGACCTGTATGTCATCTGAAGCGCAAATATCATCACGTTCTCTGGCAATGACACTTGCGACAGGCTCATACTTGGGTCCAGTCAACCAGAGCTGCCTTGTGACAAAGGCCATGTGTTACTCAAGATCCTTTCGGGCAACAGACGCAATCCGCGAAGGTCAAACAATGCCGTTTGCAAGCAGAAATAGGCTGTCCCCGTGGGGAATGCAGACAATATGTTCGTGAATGGCTTTTGAAAACTGGAAAAGATGGAGGCATCTGTGTCATAACTTGTCACAAAGTAGTTCTGTGACTGTCAAACAGGCGCTGCTGAGGGATCTGCAGGAGAGCCCGGCCGGGCAGCTGAGGGCGCTCCACGGGCAGCCCGCACTGATGGAAGCTTTCCTAGAGACAGTGGAACCTGCACCCATGGCTTCTGCTTCCATCGCACAGGCGCGGAACCCCATGCAGCATACTTGGATGGTTCTCAGAATTTTGCTCACGAGAAGACTTGAGATGCTTTCCTGGACAGTGTCAAATCCCCGCCCATGGCTTCTTGCACGGGTGCTCAACCCAATGCAGCGCATGAAGGAATCTGAATGCTGTATCAATTTTGAGAATGTTTTGGGCTTTGCTCAATGAAACGCAGACCGCCCAGAAAATTGCCCCCTCTTTTGTCTGTGCATGAATGCACGCCTATTTGCTTGCGGTTTATCTCAAGATTGCGCTCAACCCACTCTTAAGTGCTGCGACCTCTGGGTAGCTGGGTTAACAACTGAAAAATTTGTAGCTGCCATCATGTGCATTGGTCAGGGAGTGCGCCTACAAAGTATGATATATATATATTTTTGAGGTTGCAAGAGTTGCTGTTGCAGGAGCATACCGCGGTGCTTACCGGACGGGGGGCCCCTTGCTGCTTTCCCCTTTGCAGCAGCATCCAAACCCCTTTCATTTCAGGCAATGAAGTATAATTTTTCTTAGCGGGAAATCCTTGTTGCCTGCAGGTGCACGGCGCGGTGCTGAGCAAGGGGTTGATATCAGAATTGAATTGGCGCTGGCGGCACGGTCCGAGCGTGGTGCTGAAAGTGCAGCACCCCGACATGAAGGGCCTGATGGACAGCGACGTGCGCAACCTCGGCCGGCTCGCCGATTTTGTGCGGGGAACCCTGCCGTTCGATATCTTCCCCGTGCGTATCTCCCTTTTCCCTCTCTAGACGGTTAGGGTTGTACAAATTGAGGAACTTGGTGGCGGGGGTGAAGTGGAGAAATGTGGCTGCTTGGCGGATTTTGGGCAGGGAACCCTGCCGTTATATATATTCCCCGTGTATCTCCCTTCTCCCTCTCTAGACGGCTTTAGGGTTTGACTGTTACACTGGAAATATATGTACAGTGACGTGCGCAACCTCGGCCGCCTCGCGGATTTAGCGCGGGGGACGCTGCCGTTCGACGTATCTCCCGTGCGTATACTCCCATGTTCCGTATCTAGACGGTGTTAGGGTTAGTCTGGACACTAAAGCCTTACAGACATCAATCACATGATGTGCGCACCTCGGCCGCCTTGCTCATTTTGAGCGGGGCACGCTGCCCTTTGATGTGTTCCCTGTGCCTCCTTGCCTTCTAAAATTTGTGTTCTCGAGTCCCTTCCTTGTCTATGCGGCGGTGGAATGTCCAGCTACTGCATGGAAAGGCCCTGGTAGTGGGGTAAGAATTTGCCAGAAACTACTGCCAAACGCTTCTCAACGGCCTGGTGTTACATTTCGCAGCATGCTGCTTATCGATGTATCTCCCGTGTGTATTTCCCTTGTTTCTCTAGATTGTCGTAGAGTATTCAGTGCACAGCTGGCGCCTTGTGGGGCTCAAACGCAGGTTATAAATCCCTCGTTCCCCCGCAGGTCCTGGGGGAGATGCGCGAAACGGTGCCCAAGGAATTTGATTTTCTGCGCGAGGCCCGGCTGATGCGAGTCATCGCTGCTCGGCTCAAGGCCGCGGGCATTGAAGGCGTCATCGTTCCAGAGCCCCTTATGGCTCTGTCTTCTCAGCAGCTGCTCGTGATGCAACGCATGCCCGGTGAGTGCACTACAAGATCATTGCATTTTTTGAGAGGTAAATAGGATGTAAAAAGAATCAATGAATTCACAATATGGGTACACACCAGTGGCAGAAGTGTGATCGATCCAGAGCCTCTGATGGTACTGTTTCTCAGCAGCTGCTCGTCATGCAACTCAAACCTGGTGCGTGCATTTAGAATCATCATTTCTTTTGATGGCAGGGCAGGGAATATAGATCAGATTTTGAAGCATACACTGGCATTGAGGGAGTGATCCTGCCAGAGCCGCTCATGGCTCTATCTTCTCAGAAGCTGCTCGTCATACAACGCATGCCAGGTGCGCAAGGGTTTAAAAGCCTGTCACTTGCGGCAAGTAGAAAGGATGAAAGAAAGGAACTAATGAAAGGCTGCCACAAGCAGATGTTTTGCTGGAGCCGCTCAAGGCCTACTGGTCAGCATGTGGTTGTGAGGCACTGAGAAAGGGCTCATGTCTGAGGTTCGGCAGCCTCTCAAAGAAAAGTAATTGCTCTACACAAAAGAATACAGGCTGATGACAACAACAACAACAACAACAACAACAACAACAACAACAACAACAACAACAACAACAACAACAACAACAACAACAACAACAACAACAACAACAACAACAACAACAACAACAACAACAACAACAACAACAACAACAACAAAAAATAAATTTGCTGAGCGTATCTGCGCATGCGCAGGCATTCCCTTTTCGCGCATCCTGGAGGCGGCCGTGCTGGCGCCAGCTGTGCGCCAGCGTGCGCAGCGTGCGGTGACTAACCTGCTGCATGCGTTCGGCTGCACCATGCTGCAGCAGGGGCTCTTCCAAGCCGACCCCCACGCCGGCAACCTGCTCCTGCAGGTAAGAGTCTATGAATAAACTGCCGTTTTTGCACTTCTTCCGTTCCTGCACTGTTCCTGCCAACAGGGCAGAGTTCAGGAATTGCACAATGCGTGTGAATCTGCAATGCAGAGGTGTTTTTTTCCCCATTCACTCCTGGACCCTAAAAATAATAAATGCAGGAGGATGGAACGCTGGTGCTGCTGGACTTTGGGCAGTGCAAGGCGCTCACGGCGCATCGGCAGCGAGCCCTCGCGCGGCTAATTATTGCCCTCGACAAGGGCTGGCCGTCAGGGGTCGTTGCAGCGTTGAAGGTGGGCTCCATTCCTTGCATAGAATGGACCACCAGCCTGAAATATGTGCACCGATTGTGACTAGCAAGAATATGCTGCTCAAATGATGCTGCCAGGCAGACTCGCAAGCAGGCATGCAAATGGCAAAGGAATGATCTGGCGTGTTCCCTGTGACATCTTTCCCTCTGTGTGCCCCTCATCTCCAGTGAGACTGCCCAGACACTGGCAAGTCCTCTGTGACCTGCAGACTTAGCTGTGCTCGTGCAATAGAAGAGCAAACAAGCATCCTCAAGACTTTTGCCAGCATTCATCTCGACAATCCCTGCATGCTGCGACACATTCTCCGCAAATCACACGCGCGGTTTCCAGACAGGAACCACTGTTCACCAGTGCTGGAATGGTGAGATCCTCTCGCGGGTGCCAGGCAGGAATACGCTTGCTCATCATTGCCTAAGAATCTTTGCATGCATGCAGGGCATGGGCATGGAGTTCAAGGGGCTGGACGGCAAAGCAGCCGACCCCCTGCTCGTGACAATCGTCGCCAACATAATCTTTGATGTCAGGCAAGTACTTTTCTTTTCCGTCTTTTGGAGCACACCAGCTCTAGGCAGCTCAAGTAGGTGCAGTAGAGTCTGGCATGCTTGCGCTATCCATCTGCTGAAAGGACATCCAAAAGCCTTGGGCACCTCGTTTGCAGTGCAAACTTTGCACATGTCTGTTTCTCTGCAGAATCTCGCAATAGACCTGCTCTTAGAAGGTCAATTAGCCTTGGAAGAGTCTCTCAGGGCAAGGAAGCCTGTGCAGCTGCCAAAGCGCCCTTGAGAAACGGCGTCCAACAGCTGTGGGCGCCTTGTATTCAAGTTGCAGAAAGAGGTATGCAGACATCACGGCAGAGGGACCGCCAGAAGACAGGAGAAAGCGCTGCCTCGCAAGTGCACGGCATGTAACACCAATGTGAAAGATGACATACAAGTTTGTTTGTTAAATCTGAATGTGAATTTTAAATTTGCGCAGGCCGATGCCGGAGGCGCTGGTGTGCCCACTGTCGGCGGAGGCGACCATAAAGAAGATTCCACTCGCGCATTTCCCCCAGGACCTATTCCAGGTTCACCCCTTTTCTTCCATAGGTCAACAACGCACTGCACGCCAACAGCTTCACTCTGCATGGCAGTGTTCTCTGGATTACAAAGTTGCTTGAAACCTTTGCACCAACTCAGATTTTGGGCCTGCACTGTTCGCTGGGAGCACGGGGACAAAGAGGCCGATACCTTGGTTCTTAGTTTAAGCAAGTGTGACTGGCAACCTTCTAGTGCAGCTTCTGTGCGTATCTTGCATACAGTCGACAACTTACTGTGCGCTTTCCAGTATGAAGTGCGCATAGGAAGCAGCGTTGGCTGGGCTGCGCATTCTTTAAGCTTCCCTTGCATCCATGCAGCAGAAAAGGGCTCTTTGCCAGTATATGGCCTACATTGGCTTGCAGGACCCCGCAGCGTTGGGCTCACACCTAGCGTTCAGGCTATCACAGCATTGTGGAATCATCCTCAGGGGTTCAGAAGCATGGTGGAATCTGAAGGGATCTGTCACACCGTTGTGTGTGGTATGCAGGTCGGCCGCTCCGTCATGATCTTGCGAGGCCTCACGCATGCTCTGGGCATGGATGTCCGGGTGCGATCCATCATTCTCAATGATTGATCAACCATTGATTACGAACATATTAGGTGGCGCTTCTATCGTGTTTATTGCATGCTGTTCCTGCCAAGAGGCAGGGTGCATTTGCGGACAAACTGCAGGTGCAGGCTTCTGCCAATCCCACCCATTGATGGACACGCCAGACCCAAGCAGCCGTTGGCACGGTGCTCAAAATTACACGCACCCCGCCAGAGGGACAGGTGGATCTTAGGGAAGGGAATTAGTGCAAGCGGGTGATGACAGCTGGCATGCGCAGGCGGCACAGATTTGGCGCAAGTATGCAGAGGCCGCACTGGCCGACCCCGAACTGGACAAGCGGGCCGAGCAGAACCTCCGCTACGATGACGGCTGAAGCGGTGATTGATGTCAGGATTTCTACTGATCACCCCTGACGGCGGCTGAAGGATAATTGATGATAGGGTTCTTTTAATCACCCCTGATGAAGGCTGAGGGGCCCGCTGCTGCCTGATTTGGCGCGCCTGGGGATCTTAGGAAAAATGGCGTTGTACACGAAACACATTCTACCATTCTTGCTCAGGGATACTGGCATAACAGCCTTGCTACAGCGAGCAACTCAAAAACAAAACGGAAGATCCCAGACGCAACAACTCGTTAGGTTTGCAGCACGTGGCACGCTCAGCTGATATACTCTTTGCAAGGGCACAAGGAATTCCACATGCAGTAATGATGCAGTAATGACACGTGTGCACACAAAAGAATGCGCAGCGATACACCAGACAGAACTACATACAACAATAGGCTCTTCAGACACCAGTGTGTGAGCATTGGAAATTTGCACCTCGCTTACAAATTCTTGCAGCACAAGTTCCTGCCATTCGGTAAAGGGATGCTGTTGCCCTCTCAGCACAACGAGTCGTAACACACTTATGCAGAAGACTTGAGCGTCTTCCATCACCTTGACATCTTGTATGCTGACAACTATCCCGCTAACCCAACTATCGATGCTGCACCCATGCTGCAGCAAGTGCCACCGTTGAAACACATTACCTGCTCCTCAAGACAAAGTCACCAACTGCAGGCAGGCAAGGCAGGCTCCACATGAGCACTGCCAGCCCCAAGAGGAGGAGTCTACCACGAACCTATCATGCTCTTCCCACGGCCCCAGTCCTGTGACACCTCGATCTTGCTCAAAGTCTTCCTAATGCCGGACATGACGCCCACCACCTCAAATTTGTCAAAATCGGCCACGCAGTGACATCAACTCACAGCATCATGACGTCATTTGACATGACATCCGACTTGCATCCGATCAGAGGGATACCAAAATGACCAAGTTTGTCAATGCTGCCACCTGGCGCAACAGCTCAGCATTTTGACGCGTCAGCTCCCGGATCTGTGCCTCTGCCACCCCGAGCAATCCGCGTAGCTGCTCGTCAGCTTCCCCAAGCCGCGCTTCAGCTGCCGCCGCGCAGGCGCTCTGCGCCTGCAGCCGCCATTGAGCCAGATCAGACCCTTGCAATCTATTGCTCGTCATGATAGTGTTACGTTATGCCTTTCAAGGAAGGCTTGGCTGTATTGACTGCTACCGCATGCCGCTTTGCTTTGTAGCCATTCAAGCCTTCACCACGCCCACGATTGAAACAAATGACGTGGTGAGCACTTCAGAGAGCCAGGGAAATGCGGTGCCTGAAAATGCTGGATCAGAACCCATCCGCGCTGGAATCTGAGTGGGAAGTCATGATTCCCTACACATCAAGAGACTTTGTACCTGAAGAAGTTGGATGTAGCGCCATAACTGTGGGCACTTTATGAATATTTCCATATCCTTCAAACCCCGGAAAACAAATGATAGCTGCAGCTGCGTGCCTTGCTGTTGGCTCTGGCGCAAGTGCGCTCCCAATGCGCGGCCGTGAGGCGGGCCTGTAATGGACACAGCTGCCGCTCCGCCTTGGGCCTCACGTCTTTGACCACAGCTAGCCTTCCGCGCGCCGCCTCGGCTCTCCGGCTCAAATGCGGTGCCGTCAAGTGTATGTCAATCTGCGAACGCACATGGCGCCATCTCAAGTGGCCTTTGCATAGAGTTCTGTATGGTGAGGGCACGGCATGCGATATAAAGAGTTCACAGTAAATCCAAGTGCAGGTGAAATTGACAGGACCGCACCCTTGGCTCATATAATTTCTCTTCCCCAGCTGTCCAGCAGCGGCCGCGCTTCAGCAAGCCGTCAGCATGCGCCGCAGTTACTTCATCTGCCTCGGCCATCTGGAAAGCACAGCTGGGTGCGCCGACCTGGGCGGCTGCGCAGGCATTTGCAGAAGAGCCGCCAGAGTCGGCGGCAACCTTGCAGCTGTCTGCAGTGCGAACCGGCTCCAACATTGCTGCGTGCCCGGGCGGCTGAATAGGCTCCATGATCGTGGCCTGCAGAGCATTCTGACCTGGCTGCGTGTCCGTCACCTGCCAGGGATCCTGATCTGGAGCGTGCTGCTGCTGCTGCGGGAGCCAAGAGGGGAAGCTGGTGAAAGCTGGACTGTTGGCGAGCGCGATGCTACCGGCTGCCGAGGCGCCACCGCATGTCAACAGTGCTGCTGCAGAATCTGCGATTGGGGGCATGCCTGTTTCCTCCTGCGGCAGCAACCCGCCGTTTCATCAGCACAAATGATGTCATTCCAGACTGGATATCCGAGGTGCAAATTTGCAGGTCCCCTCCCAGCCATGACCCTCTATTCTTTGTCCTTCTCTAAAGTAATTGCATCAGAGATGCGTGAACAGCTCTGCAGAATGGTACATCCCTGCACCCCCTAAGAGTGACAAGGTGCCTTCTTGTCTGATCCATGTTGTACAGAAGATGTGGCTTTGGGTATGGTAATCATTGCGGGGCACCAGCGGGTAGTACTTGTTTGAAATTCTGTGAGTACACGTCTCAGATCTACAGTGACTAATGCTGCCGGACCATTACCGCAAATAAGTGTACTGTATATCATCAATGTTGTCAACCTAGAAAGTAATAGAATAGGCAGTCGATGCACACCTGTCCCCCAAATTCATCCCACAGGCAGCTCATGGCCGAGCCGCTGTCTTCATGGATCTTGTGCTCGCAAAAGCCGTCGGCAAGTGCTGGTGCATGTTCAACCAGGATTGCCGCCGAACGACCTCCCCCAGCAGAGCACAATTGAACAGGCAAATTCTCTTCAAAAGCTGCACTGGCCGCCACCTCTGCGCATGCTGCCACCATGCTCGCTGTCTCCTGCATGCCGCACCAGCGCCAACTTTAGCAGTGTTCTGCGGAGCACAGATGTTACATTGATGCACTCTACTGCTTTTGTGATAGCAGAATTCTCAACTTCATTGCTCTGTACTTCTATGTGACTAGCACTTATTACTAGGTTGTACATTTCCCCGCAGAGTTCTCTATAGATGCATAGATGCACGATCTTGATACGAGAAGCGTGTTTGCACTGGCTGCCAGATGTCGATGCTGCTGCAGACGTTTTCGTCCTGCTAGGGAAGGGATCTGGCCGAACAGTCAGCACAGCATACTCCTAGGTGCTGCAGCATGATGCTTTGTGATCTCATCGGGAACTCTACTTTGGCATTTGTTGGCAGTTTTGACAAGGTGGCAGGGCACCTCTGGAAAGAGGCCGTAGCTGCTGTGCTGAGCAGCTTCATTCCCGCATGTTGCATTCCGGGTGTCGATGGAGATCAGCTCACAGCCCTGTAAAATAGCAGCCGTTCCTGTTTGCCGCTAAAACAGACGTGTACGTCCAAAGTTCCAGCTGCTGTCTGCATTTAGGCAAGCAAATTTTCGGAATATTCGGCTGTGGCCCCGCTCATCGTCGTCTTCACTCATATGCACATGGCAAATTCCCTGGACACATCTTGCTATCTGTAGATGCCCGGTTCCACCTCCTGAATGGCTTTGTCGGCGCGCCGTCTCCTTCTCTTCCTCTGAGCAGCACGCCTCTCTTGTAGGCACATCCGATGATGATTCCGTAGATCGGATGGCATGAAGATGCAATCGATTGCGTGTTCAGAGAGCACGGTTTTGTCGTTTGCTGTCATCCTCGTCCGGCAAGATTTGCACTCTGCTGCAGGATTCGTGCCTTGGGTCACTCGCTCAAATCCTTCCCATTCCTTACAGCGCAATCTCCCCATTTTCAGACACGGTGGCCAGCCTGTTACTGATACATTTTCCTTGCTGCTTTAGGTGAAAAGCGCTCACAAGCTACCTAGACTTCTAAAAGACGCCACCTTGCCTTTCATGCCTAAATTGAGTTCACGCAAAGCGGATTATCTCTGGCGAGACTCTGCCTCAATGGACAAACAGCACAGAGTTTGCGCGGCAAGAGACAAGTAGACGGCAACTGCTGGCCCGGGGCCCCAGGTTCTCACTCCCCTGACTAAGAGCAGGCAGGGTTTCATATATGCTGACGTCAAGCCGCGTGCACCGTCTATTCAATGAATTTCTAGACGCACAAGTACTCCATCAGGAAACAAATCTTCCAGGAGTATGAGCTTTCCATGCTGCAGGGGTTTTCTAGAGAGTTGTCTAGTGCCCAACGGCGAGATCAGGAGACATACGGATAGGGAGCGCTTTCGTGCCTTCTTAATCTAGGGATACCTTCACTGGATCGCACATTATGCCAATCTACCAATTTCAAGCGGTGTAAAATTGGCAGATCCATTCAAAAGCACACAAAATTGACGGTGGCGAGGCAACCAGTACCGAACTGCAGTGCCTCGCGCTTGCACCGCCGATGGCCCTGGTTCTGGCGGGTACCACCTGAGGTTGGTATTCAGGGCTTTCACCTCAAGCATTTATTACTACATGGAAGGCAAGCTGCAGACCCTTCACCTGACCTTTCCACGCAGACTGTCATCAACAAACAGTCTGCCTATAGTGCAGTGCTTGACAAGGCCCCTTTATGCTCTCATTTTCCTGACAACTCCAGCCTGTGACTTGCAATATATGCTTACACACTCACATTGGACATTATGCTCTCCTGCAGAGGTAGAGCCCACTGCATGGGATACTTTGTTAAAATTCCCAAGCAGCCTGGCAGGGCAGCAAGCCGTGCCAATTCAAAGTGTCAGATATGTGTCCAGGGTCACGATGTTCCTTGTCTCATGCATTGCTGATAGCATGCAGTGGTGTTCACCAATCATTGATGCCAGTGGCATCACGCCACCAATGGTGACACAACATGGCAAATTTTACTGCCATAGCCAGACGTAGAAGGAGGCCCCGGCCTTTTTAATATCCAAATACCAAACACACCATGCCCTTTAACCAAAAGTAATAATTGAACGTCAGGGCATTATGTCAATGATAAAATGTCCTCATCATGCTAGCCTAGTGGGCAGAACCTGAAAAACATGGCCATGTACGTGAATGTAGTACATTCAAGGTGCTCAAGTTTTTTGTTGCATAGTATACTGCATTTTAACTGTGCCTTTTTTCTGTTTTTCCCTCTCGTAGTGGGAGTGCTTGAAGTCTCAACACATGGTTGTGCATCAAATTCTTGCCACACCCAGTTGTATTTGTCACAAAAATCGTCACGCAGGCGACATTAGTGCAGGAGCCTTTGCTCAGCGAATATGTCGAGGTCTAAAGTAGCGTGTATTTCGGAGAACGCTTTCATTTCATTTAATGAACCCTCAAGTTTGAGATCTGCTAGTACCATGACAAAAGGTAAGTCACTCTCCTGCTATGCCCCATTTGCTTGGCGTCACAAACTGAACTAGGCTGAGCCTAACCAAGCTGCCAAGCAACGTCAATCGCTTCTTTACGTGCTGTAGTGCCACGCTCCTCCGGTGGTGGCCCGGGCGAGCCAAATCAGGTTGAGCAATCTTCATCAGCCGCTCCCTGAATTGGCTAATCCGCAGGCAGCGCAGAGGGGGCCATTGCAGTACTCCGGACCATATGGACAGAAGCTGCAGCGCAAAAGAAAGTTTATGAATAGATATCGTGCTTGTCCGAGTGGAGTTTTGGTCTTAACCTAAAACTTTGTTGGTATATGGAAAGGCTCTCTTGGAATCTCGGTTAAACCGAGTCGGTTTTTTGTATTGGCAGGTAACTTTCACTACCCTAAAGCATCTTATCAATTAGTAATCTTCAATTTAAGCATCATTTTGAAAGTAAGGTTGACGAACTTAGTCACCTGCAGGCAATCTCGCATGACAGGTCCCCTTGGCAATCATTGCAATCAGTGCTGCATTTGCCAGCGAGGAAAAAGGGGCAGGCCTGCCCGCAAAGGTCACAGTAGCTCCTCGGGCAGGGGATGTCTGGGTCCTTATTGTTTGAGGACAGGAAGTCATAGGCGATGGGCTCTGTGAATTCTGGGCCGGTAGCGGTATTGCTGCATGTGTCGCTGACTGTCGGGGGGCCGCAGTACTTCGTGCACAGAGGGCACAGCCTGCGCATGTAATCTCATCGTCAAGGTGTCCTGCTACGATATTGGAGGATTGTGTAATGTCCATGGTTACCCCCATAACAGGGTAACCTTACCTACCTAGGGAGCATAAGAGAATGCCGGAATGATCATTGCTGTTTCAACATCTAGATACATCAACATCCGAATACAGCAGACTCTCAAAGACCACGCATACATGCAGACATAACACCTTGCACAGAAGAAATTTGACGACTCCACAGCGCGAACAACTCCAAACACTGGCAGAGCAGGCAATTAGGAGAGGAGTTGTCATGTGAGAGAGGTGCTTACTTGCGGAGCTCGATGCAGTCCACATCATTGGAGGCGCAGCCGCACCCAGGCACAGTACAATCGCTTGTGCAGTAGTAGTTGTGTAGCGGCAAGCCTTGTTAAGGAGGTCACAGGGAACTTCGCAGGGGCATTTGCCATTCTTGTCACCATGGCACTGGCCAATGACATAGTCTGCCGTCTCCTTTTGTGCATCCTTGTATGCCAAGAAGCCTAAGTACCTGCATCACAGATGACATTTCAACTGTCGACAATTTTGATATAGCATTGCAGGGGAGAAGGCGGCTTGCATGATAGGGCAACCACATGAGACTGCAACCTTTTGACTCATGCACCTGAAACCAGACCCCTACAAACATTTGGGCGGTTTGTTGCATGCAGGGCAGAAATTCCCAGGACTTCCCATATCAAATGACCAGTTAAGAGGTCATTGTCTTGTGAGGGTTCAGGAATGACAATTTTTATCCGTGCTTCACATTATCAAAGGTATTGCAGTACCTAGGATACCTTGATCCTTGGACTCCTCCCTCAAAAGCTGATATTTCGGGGCACGAACCTCTCGAATACCTTCTTAATTGCGATTTGCCAAGAAATCTTCACCTTTGAACCAGAGTGTCAAATCAGATCACTGACGCATGAACACCTATGAGCCGTCCATGGACCGTCGAACATATTATTTTATTATATTATAATTGTATATATTATTATATTATATATATTATATATTATATTATATTGACGTACTCCAAGAAAAGATCCCGCTCAATAAGCTGCTCCAAAACAAGGTGCTAAAACTTACTTGCAAAGCTTATCGGACACAATCTTCAATAATCAGACTCTACAACCGGCACCACACTTCGCCGCGTCGTCCGTAGCGGTGCGGTTTTTGGAGTGCCCCCCTAAGTTGGCAAGTTGTCATCAAAGGCAGCTATCAAACTGAAAATTGACAGACCGAGAGAAAGTATGGTTTTCTCTTGTTTATTCAATGCCGATTTCAGTCTTTGCTAGACCAAATTGACTTCCTTAGACCCTCAAAAAGGGCGACTTTGTCGGGAATCGTGCAGACATGCATTTGTGACAGACTATGTCTTGGCAGGTTGTCGAAGCTCGCGAACAAAGTGAAAAGTGTTTTAAAGCCTGTGAAACTGACTCGGTGGATCATCAATTCAGTTTTACATGAAACATATGTGCGTCGTCCTCAGCCTGACTCAGAGGGTCCACGCCCTGATGTTTGGGACCTATTTGAGCGGAGCTCTAAGTGTTGTGTTCGCATGACAGGTGCCATGGGACCAGTTACAGTCGACCTGCGCATGAATTGGACGATTATTGCCGTCGTAGTGGTCACTGCCGCTTTTGCGTCACCTATGGTTACCGGACAGGTAGGGTGGCAGTGTCTTCTAGCACTCTCAGAGTGCTATTAAGCTGCCAGAAAGGTTTTGCCCATCATTCAATGCGAGTGCCCAGGACCCAGATACCATGTTGTGTCTTGAGTCAAGAGGTCCGCCGAGTAGACGACAATTTTTCAAATCGTAGGAGATGCCAGCTGTTGCGGACCGAGCAGCGTAACCTTCATTAAATGTCTAGATTCAGATAGCATTACCTAGCATTTCTAATTTCTTTTTTGTTTTTGCACGCAGTCCGTCACCTTGAACCTCGTTGGCAACGGCCAAACGGTGGACATCGGCGAAGCCCTGCTTAACACCGGCACCATAAATACCCAGCTCTGTGCTGGCGTCAGCTACTCGCTGCAAGGAGACTATTCCCTTAATGGTGCCTGCAGCCAGCCTCCCGCATTCACGGTTGGCTTGAGCATCGACGGGACCTCCATATACAGCCATACCGGCCTGAGCGACACCAATGTCAATGTGCCACTGCCAACCTTTACCGCAGGCGAGAACGTCCAAACACATTCTCTCATACATGACATTTGGCTTCGCCAGCTTCGTACTTTGCCATGCTTCGCGCAGGGTTGCACAGGTCTTTTGATAGGCGCTTGAGAGCTGATGGCGCAGGGCCACGTTCCGCGCTGTCCTGCAATTAAAAACCCTTGAAAGCATAAGTGAGCCCTGACATGCCAAGCTTTGCCCGCAGGTACCAAGGTATTCACGATCACATTTGCCGGCGGCACAGACATTGCCACAGGCGCCTACCCCTCATGCGCAGGCAAGAGTGTATCCCCTAACACTTGCTTTCCTTTCCACAATCCTCCAGACTCAAGGTGAAAATCGGTGTTGTGTAAGCTCCTCAGGTTGCCTTTGGCCTGTAGGCTCGCGGCAGCTGCCACCGTTGCATCCGGTGTCTTGAGCTCGTTCTGATGAGTCTGTAGACTCACAATACTGTGGTCCCTCAGACTATCAAACAACGGCATGTACTGTTGCCGGACCATTGATGTCTAGTAGAACCCGATGCTGGTCAAAACCAATACGCCCGAACCATACACAAAACTTCCAAATATGTCAACCTGAAAATGCCCATACACTACTCTAAAAGAAAATGTTGCTGCGCAGCTCTCATTCAGGGCGAGCTCATCGGCAGCCAGCCCCCAAATAACCTGAGTGTGGAGGTCATTGACTGCAGCAGTACTCCCCCTGTCACTGGTGCCCCCACTCCCCCAGCCACCCCTCCACCCGCCAAACAGGTAAGCACTCAGGGATGTTATAATTATTTGTTGAAAAGGTACTTCAACAATAAATTTGCAGCCAATATTCATTGCAAACAGCATGAAAGTAAGCCCTACCCTATCCGCAGGACCTGCTTTCTATCCTGGCTGCGGCAAAGAAGCGCATTGACAAGGCTGTGCACGATGCCATTGTCAGCCAGCTTCGAAGTGTTGTTGGCTGATCGCTTCCGCTTGCTAAATCTAAGCAGCAGGTAATGCCCCAGAGCAGCTGCTCTCGTTAGTCCCGCACATACACTTGCCCGACATGCTCGGGGTTGTCTGAATTGAAACTTTCGAGCTTCAGCCTGGAACGTGCCAAGACACAAAAAGACAAATCTAAAGTCCACTGAGCATGACCTTGCGTTGCCGGATGACACTCTTATTAATGATGACTACTCCTACCCATTGTGATTATGACTGATTCTACCCTGCTCATACGTAAACCTATTATTTGAACTTGACAAGAGCGGCTTGATGTGAGCTCATGTTTTTTCGCCATCTGACAGTATCTTTGCTTGTGTCAACTAAGATTTGCAAGTGTTAATCAATGATTTTAGTGAGTGGTGACCGGCTTTTCCTGTGCGCAAAAAGTGGGGATACAAAGCAAAATGGGATATTATGTGTTTGTCTTGTAAGCATCTGCGGTGTTACAATGTTGACAGCAGATAGCAGCACAGACTATTTCAAATTGACACCAAAATGCTGAAGTGAGTCAGTACTGAAGCATGCATCACTAATAAGTTACTAAGCCTGCCCAAGACTCTCCCTCCAACTCTTCTCCACCCAAAACTGCTCCTTGGCTCTCCACACTACAGTGTCATTGCATCACGGTCATGCAACAAGGCTACGGAGGCATTGCAAGTAATGTTGCCCGATTCCACGGCGCCTGGCGGCACTTGCATGGTTGCCAGCAAGGCAGTCCTGCCAAGGCAGAGATTCCTAAAGAGCACTCCATGGCGAGGCGCATCGCTCATCTGCACGACTCTGGTTGGTCCTGGGGGTCAAAGTAGTAATACACTAGCGCCGCTGACGCCGCCACCCTGATCAGCCCCGCCTACCTGCATGACACACCCTTGCACCCCTCACACCCAATCTCATGCAAATTGTTCATCTGCAAGACAGTTCTCCTTTCAATGTATTCACATCCACTGCCCAAACCCTCTCTCTTTTCTGTGGCGCTTTACCTGACCAACAGAGGCATAAACCTGCCTCTAAGGTGCCGATGCCACCGACTAAATCTCATGGGTGATCAGGCCAATCAGCTTTGTGCCCGCGCATGCTGTCGTTTCTCCTGTTCACCGCAGAGGTGCTCACAGGTCTGAAGGGGAAATGCAGTCTGCAGGAAGCGGGGCGCCGCACCAGGTGATGATCATCCCATTGAGGGTCGGGGGCTCCTCTTCGTGCGAGAACCAGTTGTGCAGCATGGACAAAAGGAACAGGAAGGCTGCGCGGCCCAGCATGGCGAGCGGCAGCAGCACGCTGAAGAGCCACACCGTCTCTCCAAAGAGTGTGTTCTGCGCCCCATCACACATGCATCTCAGGGCATCAATATAGGATTTGTGCCGTGAATATCTGGACTCTCGGAGATGTCTGTGCCTTGCTCCACAGCTATTGATTGGAAGGAGGCAGGAGCCCTCGGCACCTGCTCTTGCAATTATCTTTAAAAGGCCAGTCTTGTCACTTCAGGCAATTGACAGACTCACAGAGTGCTGCATGCAAGTTGAAGTTAGTATTGCAAAGGACAATCACACATAGCAGCAAGCGTGGCAACATATTGCATGCCGACACCCATGTCAGAAGCACTTGTAACGTCACAGCCCAGCAGCATCGCCACAATCAGAGAGTATCAAAAATCTGCACTGGGACTGCCCAGGTTGGACTTTTGCACAAGGCCCATGGCGTCGGCAGGCAGAAATGTCACACTCAAGGTAGCATGTGTGCTCTCCTGAAGAGCAGTGGACCTTACAGAAGAGGGGGAGTTGTTGCTGCTGCATGCAACCGCGATTCGTACAAAAATGGCCACAGGCGCCACAGGAATACAAAGAGAATGCTGGGTCCCAATTGCCTTATCTGCATCCGAGGGCGCTGGTGGAGAGCCTGCATTGTTTGCAATGCGAGGACAGAATTTGAGGACTTGAAAATGAGGTGATGAGCCGGGAGAAGAAGCACCTGTGCCGCCGGTTGTGCTGACGTCAGCGGGGAGGCAGAGGGGGATGAAACAGGGGATGCGGCGTGCGGCGCGTCCCGGTGAGCGCTCTGGAACGCCCCAGCACAGGTGCCGTTGCCCCCTCCGCCGCTCAGCATCACCCGCGCCTTCTCCACGACAGATCGTAACTGAGCAGCAAGGTAATTTCTTAGATCTTGATGTTTCTTGAATGCAGTTGACGAATGCACCGCAGAGCCTGGGGAGAAACCATACAGGGTAAGAATGCACAACGTGTAGTAGCAATAGCAAGTGTCCACATTTGCTGTGCCCTGCAGTGATCTTGAAGTCTGCCTGGCAGCTTGCATGTATGTTCTTAGAGCCGCAAATTTGCCCAGGATAACAGTTGAAAAGGAGCAAAGGGTGAGTTGCAAAGTGATTCACCTGGACGATGCCATCCATGGTCAATGCTGGCCAAGTTGCAGAGCAGCCTGGTGAGGAGCGCCAGCCGCTGGCTTTCACCTGGCAGGTCAGCCAGAACAGGCTATCAGTGTTACACACCCAAGCATGCACATCCGCTCATGAGCTGCCTCAATCCTAAATCTCAACAGCAACAAAAAATAGGGTCTGTGCTAGCACCAAGAGCACCTGGAAAAGAGTGAGAGCATGAAAGCTATATGTCGCATACATGTCCTTGCGACACGCAGTGGGGCATAGGGTCATCTATGTACTGGTGTGCAGCAAAAGTGGTTTCAATATGGTGCAGCTTGAAGTTGTGCTTATCCCCTGTCTTCCAGGACTCAAGTCACTGTGGACTCCAGAGACCATACGTGCCCGGCTTACATGTCAGCTGAGACACAAGCGCCCCAGTTGGAGGTCTCTGAGGCCTCAGGGTCCAGATGTTTTTGAGAGGGAAGGCTGATGCACCCTCGTCGGAGCAGTCATCGCAATGGCTGCCCTCGGCACCACACCGGTCGCGCTGACTGTGCGCCCCTCCGCCTGCGCTGTCATCACCGCAGCCGCCACCTGTGCCAGGACTTTGTTACTTAATTAGCCATTGCAATCAGTCCTTCTGATACATATCAATGTGGCCTGCTAGGACGCTGTGAGGAGGCCTGGAGGCTTGGAGATTAAGAATTTGCATGCTCGTGTATGACTGCTGCCTTTCTACACCCGATAAGTGAATCTCGCGTCCTATGCTTTCAGTGGGAGGCAATCCCAACAGGTGAGGAACTTGCATAAGAAGCAACAGTTTCACAAGCCTGACATTGCCTGGAGTGTTGCACGCCACAGTAGCTTCCAACTGACGAGATGGGCTCACAGATTTCATAACAAGCACGCATGACTAACCTGCTTGGCAACCTGGGCCGTGTCTGCGTACAGCGTCAGCAGCCCAAAGTCCTCCGCCACCAGCGAGTCAGCATTTGTAAGCGGCACGACTCGCCCGAGTCACCACTGCCGCCGCACCAGCCCTCAGCCCCAGCGCCTTCCTGCGCATCCCATATGAAATATCTATTTAGACAAATTTTGTGCTTTTTTATGTTTCGGCTCTAATGGCTCAAGTGAAATCAAGTACTAGCTTGAGCCCTCTAAAATAAAGAACGCATATTGCAACACTCATTTTAGATGCACGCATGCATGTGCCAGCAGCATTCTGGAAGTCAACATGATGCTAGCAACAGAGGCATTCTGATGACAACATTGAGAATTTCTCCCAAGGAAGGAAATACGGCATGAGTTGATGAGCGGGTACTTAGCGGAGCTGCAAGCCTCCGCCAGCCTGGCGGCGGCTGCTTCGCTGGCGGTCAGGTCAGCTTCTAGCGCCTTCTCGTTCAGGCCTGCCTCCTTTGCCAGCGCCACAACCTCCTCCACACTCCCCACCCCTGCCCATGCAAATCCATCCTTCAGCTTGAAAGCTTGAGATATTACACCTCACACCTTATGCTCCGACACTTCTTGCTCGCTGTGAATCTCTGGGTATCATCCAATGGCACATTCTCAGGGAAAAAAAAGAGACATGCAATTGGGGCATGAACATGCCTGATAGGGGTGTGCACATCAGGCATGTGAAATCAGCAAATGCTGAGGTATATTTGGAGGGAGATTGTGACACTCTGCATTGATGGCAGGCTCGAGAGGTATCTAAGCACCTGCGTGGGACTCCAGAAAGCTTTTCAAGAAGGGGAGAATCTTGAGCCGCCGGCTCTGCAGCTGGGAAGCAGCCATCACAGCGCGAGCGAGCACGCTGGTGTCAGCGATTTGAAGAGGCCGAAAAGGCCTGCTGCCCTAGTTCTGAGAGCACTCCACAGCACCCTTTTGCCAACATGGTGAATCTCTCCCATCATACTGCAATGCGCGGAGGAGTCACAACGTAGACCTGCTTGATCAAACTAAAATACATAATAAGCACCATCGAACACTGACACTTCTCCTCAAGGTTCCACCATCGCTCGTGACCAAAAGCCTGAGAGTTCATATAAATATATCAAGTGTTTGCATGATGCACAGCGTGCTGACCCACATCTCCACGTCTGACATGACGAAAATCAAATACTGTATCAAAAGGAGCCCGTATCAGAAGGAGTCCCATCTGGTGCAGATCCCTGTGAGAGAGACCTTTGCAATTAATATGCCACACTGACTCACTCAAATCGGATTTGCCTCGATGTATATCTAAAGCAGTGCATGTCAACGTTGACTTTAATTAGGACATCCTGGCTTGCTGGTCTGCTAGCACAAAACAACAATTTACAAGTCCAGGAAATGGCCAGGTGGTGCAGATCAAGCGGTCCTGATCATCTACGTCAACAAAAACGTGCGCCTTGGTGAATGCCAATGGAATAACATTCATTCCCGCTCGGCTTTTCCACATTGGGGCACACCGCGTCTTGACTAAATCTCTCATGTCATGTTGACCCCTTGGAGGTGTCCCGTGGGGTCAGAATTACTCAGCGGATCGAAGAAGCTCGGAAGCTCTGTAATCAGAAGGCTCCGTTCCGGCATTCAGTAATTCTTGGGCGTAGGGAACAGCTGACGTCCTGGGATGTGAACTTATTTCATGTGGCCGGGTCAGCCACCCCGCCTGGACCACACAGCCGATGAGACTTTTCACGCTAGTTGGGTGCTTGCTGATCTCAGCCCTCCACATACAGGCACGCCTTGATCTTGGGTTCCATTGATGTGACGAGAGGTTAGCAAATGGTTGAAATGTGATTAAAGTAGTTTGGTGCTCAGGTTTGGGTTCGAGGGGAGGAAGGCTCTGACGGAAGGGAACACTGGGATCGGGAGTATACCATCGGACACGTTCCGCCACACAGAAGAGCGTACATTCTCCGAGCGTTCAGGTATCACGAATCAAGCAAGTGCTTCCAATCTTTCTTGGGCTGGGATGCAATCCTGCCAATCAGTTTGCTTCGATTGCTAAGGGAGCTTAGCGTTCGTTCCATGCGCAGGGATGCCCCAGAGGACAAACTCGTCTTGTTTGCTGAAGTGCGAGAAGAAATTGCTGCACAACTGACAGAATGCGTGGTCCAAACGTTCGAGGAGAGCAGCTTCTCGGTTTCGGCAGCAGTCACTCGCCTTCCTTCCAGGTTAGTACTGCTTGCATTTTTTCCTTATTCTGCAAAGGGTCTGTTCCACTTCAGCAAGGTATCTGCAGCACTTCAGTAACACACAAACTTCACTGTGTCGTCTTTTCCACAGTGATCCACGCTGTAAAACTGTCAGAAAGTTCCTGTTAGTCATGCCGGGCATTGACTCTGAGGCACCGGGTCAGCCTTGAAACAGCTGGAAGCGAAGTAGATCTGGCCATTGCTTATTCCAAGAAACTGTTCTGACAGCTCTTTCCTGCGTGCAGCCACGGAGAGACCACGAGAAAATTTGGGGATCGCTCTTTTGCCCTGGAAGAGTATGTGCCAATCCGCGTGGAGTGTCCCCTTCAGCAGAAGCACTTCAGGTGTGCAATTTCTTTAGATCACTTTTGAAGTCACCATCCTGCTCTGATTGGTGCAGTTGACTAGGTCATGCAGCAGGTCATAACAGGACAGGACAGAGTCCAAGTGCACCTTTGTCAGTATTGTATGTCTCGCCATGGATTGGTTCTGCAGTCCTCTGATCTGCGTTCGGTGAAGAAAGAGCTTTCAGGTTGAGCACTATAGCAAAGCCTGGCTCCTTTTGTAAAGTTTGGATGCACCGAGGGCATCCAGTCAGCATGGGCAGCTGAAGATGAGTGTCCAAGGCTCTCCTCCACAATGCAAGGTTAAAACCACGCCTCAATCCTGCAGGTTCGCGGCAGCTTCCCTGAAGGCAGGCGAGGATCACCTGGTCGGGGTGAGCGAAATAATCGATGTTCCAACAGAGCGAGTTGGGACATTAGCTGCATGCGTGGGGCCTTTGGTTTCAGGGGCGCTCTCAGCACCCTGGTTGAAACACCATGAGCAGATGGGAGTTGAGAAGTTCTTCAGCTTCGTGCCTTCAGGTGAGACTTGATTCCAAGGTGTGGGTGAACACAGCTGTGCTATTTCTGAGTGCCCCGCTGTGGGGTCCATTAGGGACGCCCATCCTGCTTAGTGCCTTCTGGTGCAGACTTTGCATTGTCCTCACTAGTGCACTGTGCTTGCTACACGATGCTTGCTTGAGGCAGCCCTCTTGCCTCTCATGCTTGCTCTGCCTTGTGTCTACATCTTGTCTTCCAAACCCAGACCATGCAGCACTGCTGCAGTTCATAGTACAGTTGGGCCTTGTCAGTTCTTCACATCTTTCGCCCCGAATTGTGTTGTACAATAGCATGCTGTCAGCCCACCCAATGAGCCCTGATGGGCGTTGCCACCATAGAAGCCACTTTTTGCATGGTCGGCTTTCTTTGCTTCCATGCTCTTAGTCTCTCAATTCTCCCCAGCTGGTATCTGAACTGCTTCCTCTACTTTTTTTGCAGGCAAGGAGTACACGGATGGGAAGTACAACATAGGAGATGACATTCCCAACACCATCCTCGAGTACCTTCATTGGTCTGGCAAATTCCGTCCCGAGGCATTAACGCTAGTGCCGCACGCAAACGTGCAGTATTTGATATATGCGCCGCCGGCGACCTCGTTCTATTTTGGGCAGTTTGCAATGATGCATGCATGCTGGTATGAACAGCGGTACGCATATGACTTCATTCTAGATGCAGACACAGACGAATATGTGTGGCTCAATTCCACGCTGGCAAATCAGCCACAGCCGCTGCATGTACTGCTGGAATCAGTTCCCGCCAATGCAGCAACGGTGACTCTGCGGCGGTACACTTTCCCGCCGCAGTGTCAGCCGGGGGGAAACATCAATGAGTCACCATCAGTCACGCGGGCAGTCGTGCGAACGGCACACCCGGATTTTCAGCCCAAGATGATCCTGCGTCCAAAGGGGTTACTAGTGGCGACTAACCACATCCCCGTGGATGTGAGGGAGGGAATGGATTGGAGTTATAATCCGGGGGAGCGGGTTTACATAAAGCACATACGGCCCAAGGGGAGGCATATTTACGGGCTGGGCGACGGCTGTGGGGATTTAGTCAGAGATGGGACAGAGCTCGCTCCTTGTGAGCTCGCGGGGTGCGCAGGATTACATGACATATGAGTCATAATACATGCGAGTCATACGCTATGACTCATGTTTTGTCAGCACAGGACGCGAGACACAAAGGCATTTCTGATGGATTGCCTCGCATTGCAACTGCCAGAGTAGGAGAGTATTATGGGGTAATGACATTGTCAGACTTCAGGTGGGATTTTGACTTCATTTGTTTGCACACTGTGGATGTCAGAAGTGACTTTGTTTTTCACTAGCCAGTGACAATATCGAGTAGTCACTATAGTGACAGTATCCAGTGATCCAGAGTCAAGACAAGTTTTTTCTTCCATGGTCCTTCTGGAACTGAGCTCCAGGCAACATGCCGATCTGTGCATTGTCAGACACGCTGGACTGACAATGCAATCGTCTGCTCAGGTTGCATGCATCGGAATGTTACAGTGCAGCTGAGGCGTAGTACCAGTATAAGATCATGTCATGTGGGTGTACAGTGGGAATGTCTGGTATGTCTGCATGCAGGAACTATTATTATTGTTATTATTACACGCCTTTCCACTCCATGAGGATCAGGTGCGTCGCAGCAGCGTTTCTATGACAGCCTTTCAACCTCCTCTATCTTGGGCTTTCCTCCACCAGGTCAGAGATAAACCAAGAGAAGCCATGAATACTCTTGAGTAATAGGACTTTCTTCTAAGTTACTCCCCCTGGCTTCATTCAAATATGAACTTCCACTTCATGGACCCCTGCTGAGTCATGCTTCTCACAGACAGGCACGTCGGCAGGATGCATGCCTACAATTTTCAAGTCGAATCCGCACTGGCCAAACATGTCTGCAATTTTTCCCGCCAGAATCTTTGGAAACTTCCTCGCGAGCAGAGGGCATCCGGATGACAGCGCTGTTCCGTTGTAGCCTTCCCCAGTGCATCCAGCGTTCGAATTTGCAGCCTCCACTGAGCGGACATCCACAAACGCGTCCCGGCTTGAACTGCGCACATCGGCATGAACCCCTTTCAGTCTTGAGCATCGTGACAGAACGATGATAGCCATAAAACCTGCAGCTGTGCTTTGTCTTCCAAGCAAAGACCTGATCTGACTGCAGAGGTCGCAATCCCATAGGACAGTGCACTGCATCTGCATGAATTAGAAACGCGGGACATATTAGGCTTGACTATTATGACCTTTCTCACTAGCGCACATGGTAACAATGAGGGCAAAAGTTCAGACTTGAAATCGGACCTGATGGCTGCCTCTGGGTCGCAGGGCGTCTCCTCCCAGTATCTCAGGTAATGGAACCTGCGATTCAAACTTGAATGTTAAATTTTGCACAGTATATCTGACATAACCTTGCATCACTCATTTCCTCTGCAACAAGACCACCACAGATTTCAAAGGTTGGCAAAGCAGTACTCGCATGCAGCGCAACCGGCATCACAAGAGAGTGCCACGTGAAGGGAGCATTGCAGGCACAGATTTGTGGCATTAAGATGCAATCAATAGCAAGCCACTCAAATTAGAGGCATCAATACTGTGAAATTGGGGCTCACAGGTCGGGAGTGAGTTCCCAGTCTTCATACTCCCTCGGGTGGGCTCCATTTGCCCTCCACCAGTCCACATTAGTCAACCTGTGCAGTGGCACATGCACACAACATGCCTTCAATCTGTGGTCCGGACAGCCTGTCTATGTTGATCCATTGAGCGTTTGTGCTTCCAGGGCCGACTGGCAGATCCGTTGCGCAGTCAAGGAATGGTGACTACTGCGAATTACTGCACTGGATTGTCCTTGATAATGAATCGCAAATCCTAGTTTCTGTGCTATGATGATACAGTCAACGCAAATTTTGCTGTCTGGATTGCCAAGGATGACACATCAATTATGTTAGAGGTCACATTTGTAAAGCACATGTTGAGCTGGCAATGGATTACCTTCCTATGCAGTCTGTCTCGTCTGCCAAATCCTCAAGGGCGATCACCGTGTGCATGAAGTGCTCGTCTGGGAAGCAGTCTGTCAACCTGCAATCACATCGTACCTCGTTCATATCGATCACTTTCCAATCATGCACAACTGTAGCAAGCCAGCGAGGCAGTTTAGACATCCCTCAAAGCCCATTTGAGCGTGCCAGTCGGTTCTAAGGGGATGTCCAATCGATACATCTTTGAAGGTGGGCAGCAGACAGCCGATTGGCTTGCAAGCTGGTGCTTTACGGTCCAGGGACATAGCAGTGTTTAGGACTTCTCTGCCCTTGCAATCTCAAGGAGAAAAAGGCAAAGAAGTACTCTCCATACAGTATTTGTCAAGGAGAAACATGCAGAGGACTACTCTCCGTACAGCATTTGTGCCACCGCTGCCCTTAAACTCTCGAGGAGAAACATGCAAAGAAGTGCTCTCCATACAGTATTTGTGCCACCGCTGCCCTTAAAATCTCGAGGAGAAACATGCAAAGAAGTGCTCTCCATACAGTAAACAACTCAAAGAGTACCATACCTGTGCATGCCACTCGGCACATCGCAGGTGCAGTGTTTGTGGAACGTGTGCATCAGATTGTGGTGTTGCACCAGCTCTGCATGCTTGCGAATCAGCGCAAACCACTGGCTGCCTTTCCTCCAAGCCTTCCTCAGCTGGTGCCCCGTCCTCAACCCAGCCGTCCAGGGAAATCTCTGCATGGGCACAAGGGTGATTAACAGTCTATCTGGCAGGGAACGCCCAATCACTAGTATGTCTTTTACGCATCCCTGCTATGCATGCTGTGATAGAGTGCCCCATCTAGAGGTCATCTGATTACTAATGACCAGAAAAATGCATAGTACCTCATGGTATCCCCAATGGTGTATTCCCCTGCCTGGCAGAGGAATTGTCCAACCTGCCTGGCAGGGGAATTGTCCAACAGCAGACTGTCAGTGCCATGTCTTCATGAGACCCTTGCGGCTGCAAACTCCAGCTTTTGTGTTGAACAGCTCGAGCGTTTTTTGATCTGTTCAGTCCCCAGCTTTCACTGGGGCAGACACCTTGGCTATAGACCTTGATGCCACAGCAATTAAGGGGGCTATCATCATGTCCTCTGCACCTGAATTTGCTACACGCTTTTCTAACCAGAGCCAAGGTGCGTCTGCAGACAAGGAGCAAGTAAAAGCTGCAAATTCCATTATGGGCTCGCCAGATCCAAGCAAGACCCAATCGACCGTGGGCATGCTGCTCAGTTTTCCTAATGGGATTGTGTGATTGTTCAATTGTCTGCAGCGCTCATCTTTAATACCGGCCCCCGCCAGCCGTGGCCGCCCATAACCTCAAGACAAGCTGAGAAGTACTCACATGGCAGAGAATGCTCTTCCATGCACATTGTAACATGGCGGATGGGAGTAGGTTACCTCACGGGGACAGGATTCAAGTCTGGACTTTTGTTCGCTCATGAGCTGCATGTACAAAGTATGGGGCGGATACAGCGGCAGGCAGCTCTCTGACAAAAGAATGAAGCGCTGATTTGCAGCGTCCCTAAGGGCCTCTGTCAGCAGGTTCCTCTCAGCTAGCACTATGTCCTGCGTGCACCTTCTGGCCTGCCAAAATACAAACGAAAACAAATTCAGATTCATGCGCATGCCTCCCAGGAATTCACATGCCATACTTGATGCACCAGCTCTTTCAGGTGCCAACACACAATCATCTCAAGCCCGAGTAAGGCTTTCCAATGTGTCGACACGCAATTAGACTGATTGCAAGATATGTAGAGAGATTGATGTCGCGCTCCATTTGAGGGGCTTTTTATTCGCATTTGAGTTCAGGAGGCAGCTTCACCTTAATGCGTTCTTTGATCACCCGTCCGCGAAAGATGCTGTCTGCTGGAAAGTCATCAAACTCTGGCGCTGCATGCACATAGACGCTGAAAAAAATTTGACTCTGGAGCACCCCAGCATCTGGTTGGGCAAAGCAGTGCTCCCGTGCCGCTTGCAACCTTTGAGCATCGCACTGCTCCGTTTGATCTGTTCATGCACAATCCCACGGCATCCTCAGTCACTCCATGGTACGATGACATCAAAGCAGCCAGAAATCGCAGCACTTTTACACAGCAGCATTCTCGTGTGAAATTGGGGATGCCTTTGCACTGGCATCAAATAGCTCAAAATGAATCCTCGTGTGCTGGTGTGTGCTTGTCAAACAGCACGGGAGAGAGCGCGGTAGTAATTGTTCACCTGGGTGTGGTATTAGGGCAGAGGCAGGTACCAGGCCCGCGGCCTCTTGGAACCAGAGCTTCCAGGTGGGTTCATGGGCTATCTCGGCAACAGTCAAGAAGAGCATCGCAACCTGCGGCAGAGCGGACAGTGAGTGACACATCATCAGGAGATTTTCTGACTTATTTTGTCAGTGATACCCAAGACCGGCAGTCAAGGTGAGATCATCCGGCAGAACTCCCATTTTTTGACTGTTTGGTTACGGCGCAGAGCGTTAGGGTGTGTGCTATTTTTCAAGCTTGCATGCTAAAAACGGCCGATCACAGCTCAGTCCTTGGTCCTTCGTCAGTGCTGCAAGCCAGCGATAGATCAATTTGACATCTGCAGGTGGTAATTGAGATGATCCAAGGTCAAGGTCACCTTGGGTGTATTGAGGGCAGCACATCCGTTTTGGGATTCTCCTGAGCTACCTCTTGCCTCAGGCTGTGCTTCAAGCAGCTTGCTATGTCTTGCGGTCTGCATCAAAACACGTCCGATCAAGCCAGACCTTGATTGAATAACTGATAAACATGATTGGTTGCTCCCTCGTCGCTATGCAGGATACATTGAAATACCAGGGTGATAGGCAGCGCACCCTCTGTGCAGATGCAGGAGCTCTGAAACATGCTGAGAGAAGTAGGTAGAGTAATCCCAGGGCATGCTTTCCCGTTCGTTTCATTCTGGGCCCATTTCGTGCCATACACTAACACAGCCCTCTGACCCTCACAAAATCTCAAGGGACATAGTGGCGAAGAGTTTGGAGCATGAGCATGAAAGTTTTCCTTTCAGGCGATCTCCACGCCACGACATCGAATTACTAAACTTCACAGAATTTTCATTCTCAACGTTTTATCCCCTAGACAGCAGCAAAATAATGTTATTGTACTATATTACGTACTGTGTGTTGCAACCTGGCGAGTACAAGCCACAACGTGCTCTGCAGTACTGATGGACCCCAGAGCCAGATGGGGCGAATCACAACCGAAGCCTATGAGTCTGGCGCGGAACAGTCCAAGCCAGCCAATGTTTTAAATGCTGCAAATCAAAGTAAAATAAAGCGGTGCACAATCGCTGCGATCAGACATCTCGGAGTTCCGTGCCCGAGCCTTGAGTGACTCAAGTTGAGTCGCAGTACTTTAGGAGTATTAGTAAGTACGTGAGTAACCGCGATCACAGGCACATGCCTGGGCCCCAAGGAAACCGACCCTAAAGGGCATGCTGCAAACGATCCATTCGACCTGAATCGTGAGTTTCACGACCGATAGAATGTAGCTGGATGAGGCACATGAATTGTCGTTAATGGCGCAGCAGAGCCGATCAAAGCCGCAGATCGCTCTGGCTGCCAGGAGTCACGCAGTCCAGGATTATGCCATCAAGCTACCAACTTGAAGTTGAAGATGGGACATGCGATGTCGAGATTTGTGCGCACACCTGACCAGTGCAACAAGTACAATACATCATGCTGGACGAGAGCAAATTGCATTCTGCATGATGCCACATCAGTGCCGCATTGCGCAGTAATTTCATGACCTGCATGCATGTGTGCCCGGGCTGTTCGCCATAAAATGCATGGCTTAGCTCTGCCATTCTGCTGAGCTGACCGCATATGGTGCGCAGGAGTTTCCAAAATTGATCGTTGCATGCTTGGCACATAGAAGGATGTGTCAGGCAGCGGCGTGCACACCCTGTCTACAGGGTTGGTCATTGGTGTGGCAAATGCAAGTGGATTGTACTGTGCATATGCACAGGAATGTGGTGATCTGCAAAATGACAAAATGACAGGATGCTGTACAGTAATAGAGGAAATAGCTATGATGGTGGTGGTCAACACATTTCAAAAAATATTACACGAACCGGGTGTGATGCTCTCAGAGCAGGCTGGTAGGTGCTCTGCAGCCCAGGCAGGCTGACAAAGCTCGAAGCTGCAATGCAGCTGGGCTGAGGGCTGATCTGGTGATGTACAATGTGATAGGCAGGTATGGCTACACGTGTAGGTATAAAAAGGCGCACTTCAGCACCCACCTGCAGACTCTGCGTTCAGCAGAAGATGCACAAGTCAGGCGTGTAGTGTGGATGCAGCTGAGCTGTGATAGTGTAAGCTGTCGCTATAAGGCTGTCACACGATTTCGAGTCTGTTAGTCACAAAGCTTGAGATGCATGCTTGGCAGACGGGAGGGAACTCCGGTTCCCTCCAGACCTGATGTCAACAGACGCTCAACTTCCTCAGTATTGGAGCCAAAGTAGGTGGACTCTTCAGAAAGAGGTCCTTTTCTCCAAGGGTGATCCTCTTACGTGAACTCGAATATAACTTGACAGCCAAGATGGCTATGTCTAAAACCCAACATTGAACCAGGCGCCCTTTTCGTCTCACCTGCGACCACCGGCATCTACGTCCACCTTCAAAACACCAGCTCGACCATCGATAAGAAACATGTGAGCTTCGGAGTCCGCACAAGTTGATTTCAGATTGTTGTTGCTTAGCAATGAGGTGTACCTCACCAAACTGAAGCTCGCACATGCAACGTCACACTGCAAGAGATACACATTGAACAGGTTCTTGGCATGCCACACTGAAAATACTGCAAGACGCAGGGGGTCTCCTGCTTTTGCACCGGCGACTCCTTCCATCCTCCGCGGAGCAAGTGCGCGCTAGTCCTAAATAGCACGAGCCGCCGGCTTCAAATTGCCTGGCCGTGTGGCTCCCTGCACTGGTTTGTACTACACAAGATGCCGTTCTGAAGCAGATCGCTATATATGGTCTTAACGATGCGCAGGGAAGGAAGAGCTTGTGTACAAGCTCCTGCTGGTGAAGAAGGCATCGGGCAAGACCTTCACTCAGATCGCCAAGGAAGTCGGTCTCACCAACCTCTACACAGCCCAGCTCTTCCACAACCAGGTGAGCAAGGCCGATGCGTAATTCTTGGGCAACTCTACCCATTGCTGTGCCACTTTAATTCTTTCGTATCCCTTCAAATTTACTTACGGACATCTCGTTTCATTTGTCAGACGGAGTTGAAGCCGGACACGGCACCAGCCCTGCAATCTGCTGTCCCCGGCCTCACGGATGAGCTCATCGAGGAGATGAAAGTGTCGCCCCTGCGCCAGTTCGACCCCACCATCATCCAGGACCCCACAGTCTACCGCCTGTATGAGGTGAGCTTGCAGGAAACCCCCAGTGAAACCTCGCTGGTGCTTATTGCACGTTTCACCACGGCCAATCCAGCAGTCTGCAGATGTCTCGCCTGATCCTCTATTTTCTGAATACCGTTGAGTGTGCATCCTCCAAAAATGATGAGCTGCCGTCACAGCATTGGCCCAGTGTTGGTTCCAGTAGTGTCCAGCAACCCTCTCTTACTGCTGGCCAATGCAGCAACCTAGGGCTCAATATTCACTTTTGGAATTTGAACTCAAACTTATTGCTGTCCATCTGAGACACATTGGTGGCACTGCAGGCAATCATGCTGTACGGCGAGTCCATCAAGGCAATCGCAAATGAGGTGATTTCTTCTTGCAGATAACTTGAAACACTTGGAAATGTCATCAAGGAGATCATGGAAATGACATCAAACCTATTCTTTATCATCGTGGTCAAGGAGCAGTGGATCTCCTTTGGAGACTCTCCGATGGCCCAGCAATCTGTGAAAGTCTGCTCACCATGGATCTCAGAACCTTGTTGACCAGGGGAAGCACAGTTGCTCGGCAGTGTTTGTTGCTTGTTCACGCAATATCTCTGCATAGCAGCCAATATTTTCAGCAGCTGTCTTGCCGGGGAGTGGACAGCTGTTTGAACAGTTGAATATGGAATCTGCGCAGGAGTTTGGCGACGGCATAATGAGCGCCATTGACATGTTTGCCTCGGCTGATGACATTGTGGGGGCATTTGGCGAGAGGCGCATGGTCATCACCCTCAATGGGAAGGTGGGCACCGCTCTAATTCCATTTTAGAGTAGTACTCACACGGGGTAGGATTTTGGCTCCCCTCAATCGCAGCATGTCTGCAGATGCACTTTGAGGCTCGCCTTGGCAGGAAAAGTGTGTAATAAAACCGTAATATTTTTAAAGTATTACCGTAATAATACCGTATACTTTCACTGTCTGTTGTCAGAGACTAACAACAGGCAGTAAAAGTACTCTACTTGCTACCAGATGCTGTCATGTTTAGTAGGTCATATCTGGCACCTAGGATGCAATGGATAACAATTTCTCCTATTGGGAACGCTCTGGTTCGTAGGCTATCAGATGGCCTCTTGGTGGGGTGATCTACTGCATGAGCTGCCGAGGCCGGCCCGGCTATGTCTGCTGATGCCACTCGGACTGTTTGAACATCTCGAAAGCGCAGACAGCAGTGTTGGGATTATCTTGGCAATCCCAGGGATTTAGACCTGCCTAGTAAACGGCACCGGCTGGTGGGGGGTGGATTAAATAGCGAACACCGTGCCCGCGCTTGATTGGGTCCTGCTTGGATCTGACAATTCCAACAAGGGGTAGGATTGTGGCAGTCTTTAAGTTGTCTGCAGGATGCACCTTTCCTCTTGGCAGAAAATTGTGCAACAGTAATATTAGTAGTATTAACGACAGCAAATGCTGCTGGCCGAAGCAGACGCCTGTTCCAGAACCCAGAAGTATTAGCCCAATCCCAGAAAATTCTGCTCTCTCAGAGAGGCTTTTGGAGGCGGTGTCATGTGACCGACTGAATGACTGATGTATGGTGCTTTGCAGTTTTTGCCCCACGTGGAGCAGAAGACTGCCAACAACACAGCACTGCCGCCTAAAGCAAAGTGAGTTCATTTATGTAACCTTATGTACTCAATATGCTGAGATTGAAGATGCTCCTCCTCCTCCCTTTAATGGAAGATGCATGCAGCATGCGTACAAGGATATTTGTCAAGGAGAGGAAGATGCAGCACAATGTGTCATTGGTGCTCCGGCCTAATCTAGAACTGCCTGCATTGCATGATGAACGGGTAAGTACATTCATAATTTGTCACCGGCCTCTTTGTGGGCGGTCGCATCTGTACGTCAAAATGACATCTTTCAGGGACTTCTTGTGCAGTGTTTCTTTGCGGGTACTCGTTCTGGCAAGTTTTGCCGCCAGATCAGATTGTTCTTTGCACTTGTGCATCCGTTGTGTCAGGACTGTGATTAAACTCGCATTGCTGCGCATTCGTGTGTCTACGTTGAGTATTCTTGCAAATTTGCAAGAGCTGCATGCACAACTATCATCAGGAGTGTTGCAAGAGCACTGGAATTGCAAGTGCGTTGACGTTGGGGTATCTCTTCACTGTAGGTCCCTTTTAGAATTTCCTTCTATCCGTCTAGAACGGTTTGTCAGCACACAATTCAAGGGCAGGCAGATCTGTATTGTAATCATTTGCATGTACTGTGACCACCAACGGCAACAATACCTCTTGTAACATATATACTATCGAGTCCGTAGTATTGACGCTCTCAGCCACATGTTATACGTCATCTGAGAGACATGCACTGATTTCTCCTAGCATAGAGCATGACAGCACATCTCACCCTCACTGACAGGCTCCCACGCAACTGCAAAAATCACTTGGGAGCATCCAAGGCATTGTTTGAGCATCTTATGTTCCATCCGAGAGTTTCACAAGACTTGAGAGCCCTGAGACTGCAGCAATCAAGCAGGTACTGACAGCAGCCATGATCATGCTCTAAAATTTAATCAATGGTGTATCTACTCTAAAAAAGTGTCTGCACAGGTGACAACAGCCCATTCATCTGGCTACTAGTCACTGACTGGATGGTTTCACTTCAGGCAAATTGGCGCGTATAGCCACATGACTTGATTTAAAGAAATCGGGGCATGTGCTGCAAGGAAAACCCGGCACAGCAATTATCAGCTCAGCCAGGCGAATGACTCAGCGCTGATGTTCAGTTTCTTGCTAATATCGGCTGCGAGCTTCGTGGCAGTTCCTGGACAGCCGCAGCCGAAGACCAGTGTGACTCAGCGACAAGTCACAAGGTGAACAGGACTTGATACTAAATGGCCGCCACTTTTGCGGCTGCGCTATGGATGACTCAGCGATGACTCATCCTTGCTATTTGTGACTCAACGGTGAGTCACTGCGTGATGGAAAAAGTGCACTTGATGTTCATGGCCGCCAGTTCTGTGACCAGGTACTTGAGCACATAAGGCAGCGCCACTCGAGTCATTGCCCTCCCGGTCTCACACGCTCTGCAGACAACCTGCCCCTTCGCGCTCGGACCTGCAAATAACCACCCCCACATTCACCAAGTCCCTAAGTAGTAAACGTTATTCACGTCATTCTAGGGAGCCCAAATCCCTAAATCCCAAATCCAAGAGGCAGGGTGCGTCCGCAGACAAGCTGCAAAGTATGGAGCCTGGCAAGCTCCCCGGCAAGGGATTATGGATAGCAGAACCGGTCAAAGTTGTCACGATAAGTGGGGTACAAAAGCTACAATTTTCTTTGGCACACCTTGTGATGCCAGCAGGTGTGCGCCGACATTAGTGGTCTGTGCTGGGCGTAGCAGCGGAGTCAGGATTGATCCACAGGAGGCGCAGGCATCCATGACCGCGTAGTCACTGCAAATTGAGAAAGAATAGATCAGACACTTTTTTTTAAAGCACAGCGCAGGCAGGAAAACCGCATAGTCACTGCAGTTGCAGGATGCGCAGGCAAAAGAGCCAAGCTCGTGCTTTGACCAGGCAGCCCCTGCAGAACTGATGCTGTGCTCAATGGCCTGTAGGCCTGAGACAAAAGCCATACAGCAGCCCAAACCCCCAAAGGAAAGGCAGAGAACCAGATTATATGGATCCAGGATAGAAAAAGCAGCATGGCAGGGGGTTTGGATTTTGTGCTCTCGCCCTGTGCGCCTGCGTCTGTTCTGGTGCAGCCAGCTACTTTACATCGAACATGGCAAGATTGCATGCATGGTTTTGAGTCACAATTTTCTACCAGTTTTGTAGGGCTCAAGGGGACTTCAGGGACTTTTAGATACAAAAAAACAGGGTTTCAGGTGGCTTATACTACCCACGGTTGAATCGGTCTTGCTTGGATGTGGCGAGTCAACATGGGGTAGGATTGTGACAGCCTTCAACTGCAGCTTGTCTGCAGGACGTACCTGCCAAAAGGCAAGAAAATCGTGCAATAATAATAATGATACTTCAAAGAGCTGACCTGGAGGTGTGCAGGCGGTCACGCAGGAGGTACGCCGCGCCGTGGGCTTCAAAATTCCATCTGGATTCAGGGAATTCAGGAGGGTTTGGTAATTGTAGGTTATAATTTTAGGGTGTGAAACATGACAGAGCTGATCTGGAGGTGTGCGGGCGATCATGCAGGAGGTACGCCGCGCCGTGGGCTTCAGAATTTCCTCTGGGTTCAGGGGATTTCGGGGGGTTTTGGTGATTGTAAGATATGACTTTTAGGGTGTAAAATATAAAAGAGCTGACCTGGAGGTGTGCAGGCGGTCGTGCAGGAGGTACGCCGCGCCGTGGGCGAGCAGCGCGTCTCGCTCCATCTCCCCGAATCGGATGCCTCCGCCAAATTTCCGCCCCTTTATCGGCTGATGCGTCAGCGCGTTCACAGGCCCGGTTGACCGCACCTGAAAATCAAATTGAGAGATTTTGATGAGGGGCTGAAGAATAACATGATACAGACATGGCTCTTTTTTTCACTGACGTGCCCACTGACCCTTTTTGGAACTCACAACATCTAAGGGGCTATTCGAGGTGCCGCCTTGACATGCAAGGCGCCTGTGGGGAAAAGGGCAGATGCAACAGCAGGCAAGGCCCCGGTCTAGGTTGCAAGACTTCCCAACTTCCGTTGCCCGACAAAGCGGCTCCGTGTTTCCAGCAACACAAGGGACTTCTCACAGGTTACACTGATCTGACATGCCAACAAAACTTGCAGGGCATACCATGCAAACTGCGCCGGATACATACTCGCTCAGTGTGAAAAGCAACCCATTCTGCTCTTCCCAGCATATGGAACGACTGCTGAGCTGATCGGTGGGGGTAGGGCGAGCATCAGCCAGGCGCAAAATGGATTAAAAGCTCAGAAGCTCTCTGAGAGTGGCTGGAAACACACCTGGAACTTGTCGGAGACCATGTGCCGCAGTCGCTGATAGTAGACCGGTCCAATGTAGATGTCGGCTGCAAACTCCTCTCCAGTCACTCCGCTGATCAGCGTCTCCCCTGCGCAGGGGCGTTGCCTCTTTCTCAGCATTGCAAGGTGCAAAGTTTGTAGAGACCGAGCAAGGTCATTTATTTGTCATCTGCATTTTTGGGGTACTGGGGTGCATGCGGTGTCGACATCTGCATGTCCTCGGCTGCTTGCGCATGACTGAATCCAGTAGTCATCGGGGTGACTCACCCCCGAGGCGGCTGAAGCCGGCCCCCTCCAGAGCATCGCTGGCAGTCTTGACCAGCTCCTGAGTGCTCCCCACGCCGTCCGAATCCTGCCCACGCATCACAGCACACATCTTGAAGGGCTGCACTACAATCTATAAGAACAAAGGGCAGCCAACAAAACAGAATAGACACCTGACAGCAGGTACCTTCCTCTGACATGGCTCATGTGATCTGCCAGCACACACTGCGCAAGCCTGCCTGACATAGAGCCTCAACGCTTCTTCATTCTCACAGCAGCAACAGCAGCTGCAGCAGCAGCGGAGTGCGTACTTGCACACCGGGGACTTGTGATTTCTGGCGGCATCGCCGTCGGCTGAGTGCTCACAGCCCTCTCAAATGGGTTGTTCAGGGGTAACTGACACGGGCACATGATTGCAAAAGGACAGCAGATGGGCATTGGCATTGACAAATAGCTTGGACGTAATTGCCATTATGCATCCATCTGGATGGATTACTAACACTGACTTATTGCCTTGCTGTAAAGCAGCTCTTTTCGTGTTCTGGAAACCTGTGCAGATGCACTACTTTTCCATGTTGTCATCTTCACCCAGTGCAGCTGCACGAAAGTCTATTAGGCCTTATCTTTCAAACACAAGTTTGATTTCGAATTCGAATCCGCACATGGAAGGGGGATCCGTTGATGAATTTCCCCTGCAAAGCGCCCGGCGGATTTCTTCTACGCACCTAGTTACTAAACTTTACAGACAAATTAAGGTTTGACTTCAAATTCGAATTCAAAATCACACCTGGAAGGGAGATCCGTTGACGAATTTCCCCTGCAGCGCGCCGGCCTTGGAGACCAGGGACTCCATGAGCATTCCGATGGTCATCCGCGAAGGGAACGCGTGCGGATTGATTATCAGATCGGGCCTGCGCAGCAATCAAATTATAATTCAAACAGGGAACCTCATTTTGGATAGGAATTCAGGGAATTGTAGGGATCAGAATAGGGTTTCAAGGGGAGGCGCACCGGATGCCGGTGCCGGCAACGAAGGCACAAAAAACGTGCTTGTTCCAGCTAGGTTCCAGCTAGGTTTTGAGGGAATTGCACACAATAAATTAAGGGTTTTTAGGTGGGAATAAGAGCAATTTTTAGGGTTTCAAGGGAGGCGCACCGCATGCCGGTACCGGCCACGAAGGGCATGTTGATGTCGGGCCAGAGCTGCGACAGAACTCCCTTCTGCCCGTGCCGCGATGAAAACTTATCTCCCACCACCGGATTTCTGCATTACACACGAATATTTCAATTCTGGGGCGTTGTATCTCTTAAGCCTGCAAGAACCCTTCTTCTTTGTTAAAATACTTATAAAATATGATTTGCACAGTATCAAATTTATTTTTTTATTTAGATTTTGATAGCTCAGCTGGAGTCGCTACAACCACCCTAAGGCGCTCCTTGACATGCTGACAGGTCCTACCGTATATTCCTACTGAAGATGTATGGTTTTCATGCAGGCAAAGCTTTGACCGAGCCAGGCTTGCCGCTTCCACATACCTGCTATGCATGCTGTAATAGGTAACCCCACCTAGAGCTCATCTGGCTACTCTACACATTATGCATCCCACAATCATGCATAGCATGGCATCAAGTACCCTGTTGAGGTTCACTGGCACAGCTGCGAGCTGCAAATTTGCAGACTTCTTATACCAGTACGTCTGGTCTCACTCAAAGATCACGAGGTATCTTCAGATTTGTACAAGAGGTATAAACAGATACAGATGAGGGGATGACCTGTTGATACGCATCAGAATATTTGCGCGCTGGAGATTAGGATCTGCCGTGCCCACAATGGTGACCTGGCAATCACCAAAAAGATTCGTGATCAGTGCAAATTGCAGCGCCTCGTAGAAAAACGTACAGAAGCTCAAAACAAACTGTGCGAAGCACAGGAATTCGGGAGAACAAGGTTCTTGCAGATGAATTTGATACCTGATCGACCACCGCCACTTCTTCGCCCTTCATGTTCCCGGTCTTGGCCTTGCCTGCGCAAGAAAAGGGAATTGGTCCGGGGAATATAAGCTAGTTATTTATAGACCCCTGCTCAATTCTGTGCCTGCAGCACTTGTCAAGTATGCTGTCCGAGTGTTGAACAGGAGGGAATGTCAGGTGTCTGAAAAGGGAAGTCGATGAAGCCATTGGCCAACTAGCAAATCCCACAGAAGAATGATCGGCCTAGCCTGTACTTCAGACTCTGTAGAGATCTGCACAATGCCTCTATCAGCCTAGCATTGATGATCACCTTCACCTTTTGATCTGAAGGAACCCTGGAAAGAGTCTTGCAAGTGCCCCAAAAGGGTAAATCGTTCTCAATGCCGACCGGAAGAGGGTGGATTAGTCACCACTGGCGCGGTCTCTTTTGGAGACCCGGGCAGAAACCCTTGCTGACGCCTTATCCCGACCCCTAAGCTGTTTTCTTCAAGCACCCCAAAAAGGGAAAAATTGCTACTTCACGAGTGTTTTCAGCAGAAGGGTGGATCACTCACCGGTTGCGCGATCCACTTTGGAGTAGTAGGCCTGCCCCGGATACACCACTGTGCCAACGTGCGGCAGGCCATCAACGTCGATCCGCTCCTCGTTCTTTTGCACCCCCTGGGACCGCACCTGCGCCAGGGGAGATAACCCTAGGGTCTCAGGGTGACACAGCTAATACACCAGGGGAGATAGTCTCAGTGACCCTGCATCCCTTCCAGCCACGCCTATGCCGGGTGGAGGGAAGGAGGGGTCAGAAGATCCCAATTATCCAGGAATACAGCCCCACATGCAATATACGTCTAAACTTATTTTATGGGTGGGTAACCCTATGTGAACCCTAAACCTAAATGTAAATAAGTATAAATAGATTTCAAGAAATAAAACTGTAAGCTTGGAATGCCTGGAGGGCAGATACTGCGCTGCAGCTGCGCTCCCCATGGTGCAGATTGCAACGCCATCGCCACATGAGCACTGCCTATTTTGTGCATGACTGGCGGATGACATGCTAATTGCAACATGAGTAACCTTCTTACCGATACTAGCAGGCACAGGAAGCGCACCAAGTGCTCAGATAGATGGCATCAAATACAAGTGCTGATTGGCGCTAAAATGTTTTCAGTACCCATAGTTTAAATGGAGGTCCTCACAGAACCCCTGGACCACACATCTTCCTCGTCCATAGATTTCATGTCTTCATGTCAATTCATTTCATGTCTTTTCATTTCATCTCATTTCATGTTTCAAATGTGAGCCGTGGCACACCTTGAGGGGTCCGGTCACTGCTGAGCTGGCGGGTGGGGAGGTGATCGGGTGCGGCAGTTCCTGCCCAAATGCCCCCCTCGGCCGATCCTGCGGCCTATCCCGCTCACCCCTCCTCTCTGCTGCAAACACCTGCCACACACAGGCATCCTATGGACTCTGAAGTACTCATTATTCTGGATCTAGCTGTCAGACACTTTTTTTCTCCCACATGTCAGTGTACGGGGACACTTCAGAGCTGACACCAATGTCATGGCAGGACTAGTGTCCTCACAAGAGTGATACTTTTAAATCACGAACAAGTCATTATTACCAGTACGTTTTAGAGGCCTTTTGGGAGCCACCTGAGGCTCAGTGGCCTTGTAGGCAGTCTGTCACTGCCCATCTACAAACGAGAGCTAGTGCCTCTGGGCTTACCGGCAGCCTCTCAATGTAAATGCCCACATCTAGCAGATCAGGCACGAGGCGATATTATTATTACTACACGCTTTACCTGCCACAAGCAAGGAGCGTCTGCAGACAAGCTGCAGTAAAGGCTGCCAAAATCCTACCTCTTGATGGACTCGCCAGATCCAAGCAAGACCCAATCAACCGTGGGCACGGTGCTCAGTATTTGTACCGCCCCCGCCAGCCAGGGCATATTTTCTCTCTCAATGTGAATGCCCACATCAGACTAGGCACGAGGCAATATGCCGTGTTGATTACGTAACAAGTGAGGGTTGCAAGTCTTGCTGCCACACATCTCACGCTGCGTCTTTGGTGTGGGTCAATTTAGGGCATCTAGAACGGGCGCGCACTCTACTCGACACTCGCACTGCCGTACATGTCTTAATCTCTCCTAGCCTACTGGGTGAGATGACGTGAGATCATGTAACAATGACTCACCCTGGCTTTGCCCCCGCCTTCACGTCAAAGTGCGCATGCACATTATGGTACAACTGACACACGATATTATGAGATGAGGTGCGGGTGACTCACCATGGCCTTGCCCTTGTCATCTCTCAGGTCGAGGCCCTCTGTCTTGAACAGCGTCCCGTGCGCGAGGCCGCGATCCACCGCAGACTTGTTCAGGATCATGGCATCCTCCATGTCGTAGCCTGCCCACATGCCACATCAAATATTTGCTTCCACTGCAGCGACAGATCCTGCTGTCTGCTTATATTGGCGTGACCTGTGCCGTCCTTTGCACTCACTGTCAAAGTACCGGTCCAGGCGACAAGGACTTTCCATCGGTGAACTGTCAGATTCCATGTTTCGCTTTGCTTGTACCTGCAAAAACTCCTTGCCTGGTCTGGCAACACAGTGACACATACGCAAAAAAGGTGGCGCCAGAATGTGGCGGACCAGATCAGGCAGCGGCGACAGTCATTCCGGTTTAGGGTTTGCGCGGAACGCGACTCCAAAACAGGCGACAGTGCCAATACAGGCAAAGGCAGCTATTTTGAACTCCCAAAACCGGGAAACAGCATGCAGTAACAGCATCATAGGCAAAACAGAACAGAAGTGCCCAGTATATCTGTGGAGGCAAGCACGGCGATGATAATATCGGTGGCAGAAGGAAACTCGTCCTTGTGGTGTTCTCGGCGGAAGATTTACTTTAGCTGAACCCCTTACCTAAACCCCAAATGGTCACAGAAAGCAATGCCAAAATAGGCAACGCCGCCGGAGGCGGCGCCAAAAGAGGCCACACTGAGTAAGCCGATGCCAAGAAAGGCAGCACCACCTCGGCTAATCCCCAAATGGCAACGACCACCTCTGCCAACATTACAAAACAGTAACGCATAGAATCAGACAAAATAGAAGTCCGGCGCGGACCTGTGTAAGCGAGCACAGCGACGATCATGTTCGTGCCAGAAGGAAATTCGTCCATATGGTACTCGTCGTATCGCTGCGTCCGCGCAATGGGCGTCTGAGGCGTCTGCAGCCGGTACAGCTTCGCGTCCGTGCGGTGCCGAACGCTCTACAGCAACGCAGCAGGGTTTTGTTATAATATGTTATATATATGTTTGATCAGGATCAACCCTAATTTCTAACCCTGATCCGCAACCTCAAAAGCCAGGAACCTGAAGGACAAGGGAGCGATTTGTGTGTGCAATGCTCTCACGGCCTGCAATCCTCAAACAGCCACGCTTTCTTTGCATGCCTGAAATGCAGTCTTATGGTTCTCCTGGGCCAGGGGATCACTATAATAATGCTGCAAATGTTCACTTGGGAGGCAGCCTTTCCCCTCATTTCGGGTGCCCTCTCTGCCTTCCATATCTGCATCTCTGTTTTCAACATGTTCTGTGAGATGCAGGAGGCTGCGCCTGCAAGGCCTCACTTTGAAAGTCCGCTTTCTAGGCTGACTTATTCAGCTCATGAGATGGCTACCAAATGCAATTTACTATGCATGCACAGCAAAGGGCATCAGGGCCGTGCCTGCGAGGGCGTTCCCATGGTCTGCTTGCCCATTTGGCATTGATACATGTTCCGCGGCGACTGGTTGAAATCCGAATAGGGTGTTAGGGACGCCACCACACTGAGCATCGCCGCACAATTCACCTATGCATCAGTTCAAACTGTTAATATTATTATTACACGCCTTTCCAATCCATGAGGGTTAGGTGCATGGCGGTCTATTCACGCTTCACAATTTCAAGAGCGTAGCACAGCTCGTGCGCAACTACTAGATGTCCCTGCAAACACGCAATGGCACCTTTCTGGCAGCAGCAGTACATGTTTGCGTGCGGGCATGCAACTGGTTGCGCCTGTTTGGACCTATGCTGAGTATCAATAGGTTGTGTGCTACTACTGGATGAGAAGCTAGAAGCTGCGGGACATGTGAACAGCCTTCAGTGTGCAATTATGTGAGGTCTCTATCTCACCTCTGCGTGGCTGTAGCGCACTCCAGACGTGCTCACAGCCTCGCCCGATCCATCTGGACACCTGCACAGACATTATTAGTATTATTATTATTATTATTATAGTTATTATTATTACTACATGCACAACAGTTATGACGTTATCGTTATCGTTATCGTTATCGTTATCGTTATCGTTATCGTTATCGTTATCGTTATCGTTATCGTTATCGTTATCGTTATCGTTATCGTTATCGTTATCGTTATCGTTATCGTTATCGTTATCGTTATTGCACGCTTTTCCTGCTAAGAGGCAAGGTGCGTCCTGCAGACAAGCTGCAGTTAAAGGCTGCCACAATCCTACCCCTTGTTGGATTTGCCAGATCCAAGCAAGACCCAATCAACGGTGGGCACGGTGCTCAGTATTTGTACCGCCCCCCGCCAGCCGAGGCCACAGACATTGAACGAGGCCACAGACATTAGAGTGCCCCCAGTTTCCAGGCACCATCATAGCATATCCATATCCGTAGATCTGACTTTGAGGACATGAAATCTTTATTTGCACTCGCTGGTCCTGTCCTGCAGTGAGCACCTGCAGAGCTCTTTGAAAGGGCGAAAGGGCCCAGGAAGGTCTCGCCATGAAAATGTGAGCCTTCCAGTATATATCTGTATCCAGTGAATTTAACGTTGTTCTTCATCCGGTGAAACCAGCCAAAGGAAGAGTGTTCTTCTCTTGTACACAATCCTCATTAGATCCATCACGAGCTAGAGACAGACTTCAGGCGCCTGCAGGAAAGTAGAGCTGACCAAATAAGATTGTTAACCCAACAGGGAATTCATGTACTTGTGCGGAAGAAGAGAAGTCACCTGATGTGCAGGTGAAGCTTCTCTGAGCGTGTAAATGATCCATCACAAGCTGGAAAGAGAATTTAGGGGTGTGCATGAATTTAGAGCTCACCTAATGTGCATGGATTGTTCACCAAACAAAGAAACTTCATGACCAATGACCAATTGCAAGGCATGATTAGTCACCTGATGTGCATATTGATCTGCTCGAGGGTGCCGATGAGCTCGGGGCAGCCGCCGGGCAGCTGCAACACCGGCCGGATCATGCGCGCGGGGCCGCTAAATAGATAGAGGCCCGGGTAGGGGCCCCCCGCCTCGTAGGGGACCAGCGCCACCTCCAGGTCCGCCGGCACCAGCGTCTCCGCGCCCTGCAAAGAAAGTAAAAAATCCAAATTCAAATTCGAATTTTAAATCAACAGTCAAGCCCTGCTGTCCCTGCAGCATGGAGGCAATGGAGCGATCACATAATAATCAAAGGCTAGAGGCTAGGACGTAGGAGCTGCCTCCGAGGCACTTTAATCGAGCATTGAGCGGCCAAGCTTGGGGCAAAGCCGGCCTGCCGAAATGGCAGAAGAGCAATTGCAAGCATGGTAGTCAGCAAATAAATTCGCACCCTGAGCGGCGGTGCACCCGGCACTGACCGGCCCATCTCCGAGGCGAGCCGGCCGGCCTTGATGGCGCGCAGCCGCGCGGCCAGCCGCGCCGCCGCGCGCAACTCTACAAAGCCGATGGCTCGGCCGTCCAGGTGCACTCCCATGTACTGCGGCAGCGCCGGAGGCGCCAGCGCCGGAGCTGCCGGGACCATTCCCAAACTCGCCGCCACCTGGCGATGACAATAGGTTCAATTTGTAATTTCTGATCATTTGAAATTTCAGAAAATATATGAGCAGGGCAAGTGTACCGCCAGGTACTGCAGCACCCTTTGAAGCACCGGCGCAGGCGCGGCCGGGTGCGTATCAAATTCGGCTGCCGCCCATTAGGAACTTAGTAAGTACATTGCAAGTTATTCATGTGCGTCTGATCACACATTGAGCCGCTCTTAAGGCTGCCGAGCTGACGAGCATAGTGCTCATACCCATGCCCGATTCCCTGGATCCCTGACATGTGACACCTAAGACTAAAACACTGATCTTTGCTGTGTACGATGCAATCCCCCACCGTAATAATCGCCTGCTGGACGTCTTCGGGGTTTTCGGGGGGCGCGGCAACGACGCGACAGGTGGCGGTCAGGTGACTAAGCAGGCCGCAGGGGGCGCCATCTGGCGTGTGCACGGGACACAGGAAGCCCCAGGACTCCGGCAGAAGCTTCCTCACCGTCGTCGTTCGGAGCTGCGCGAAATAGGCTCCCCTGTGAATCGCCCTGAAGTGGGAAAGGTACCTGTGCGTGCGCAGGTCGATAGTCATTTAGAAGAGAGGATTCACGGGGATTTCAAGAGTAGAACCTGATGTACTGTGCAGTTACGCAGAAGCAGTCAAGCCTGTGAATTGCCCATGATGCCACAGGTATCTGGGCAAGAAATGGGCACAGCAGTGTTGGCTTTGACAGAGCAAAGGAATTTGATATGAAAGTGCGGCGCAAAAACAGCGTGTGACAACACTGCACAGCCATGCAAAGGCCTTCCCGCCATGTGCATGCACTTTGGCGATAGAAGGGACAGCATTTTCCTCGAGTTGTGATTTGTAAGCCACCTGAAGAAGTTGAGTTTCTCTGCCACGACGGTGAAGCCGGTGGCCTGCGAGAGGTCCAGCGTGCTGTTGCTGACCAGGTTCCCAGTGTTCAGAAGGTACTCCACCTGAGACCAGACACACCACACTCATCAGTAATTACTACAGAGTACTGAATTTGGCACGTTGCATGTTTGGCCCCGGCTGGCGGGGTGCGGTACAAATACTGAGCACCGTGCCCACGGTTGATTGGGTCTTGCTTGGATCTGGCGAGTCCAACAAGGGGTAGGAATTTGGCAGCCTTTACATGCAGCTTGTCTGCAGACGAACCTTGCCTTCGGCAGGAAAAGCATGTAATAATAATAATAATGTTTGGGGGACTGAGAAAGTTCCGTTGCCTGCTTTGTTGTCTGGCATGCATGCGAAAGCTTCGTTTTGGGGTGCCCAGTAAGCAGTCTCTAGACATGCACTGGAAGCTTCATCGCTCAAAAATGGCAGTCTACTTAGCTTGAGTTTCTCATTGGCCAGCACACAATCGATGTCTTCATTCTGCAATCCCAATCCAAGACAGACACACATGCTTTGCATGCTTGAAACTTTGGCTTTGATGATCCCCGCAGTCATACCGTGAGTCTTTGTCTGGCCTTCTTGGGATGCCAGTGAGAGAGGAGAAGGATCTGCAACAAAAGAGGGGTGCATGCGAGCGCGTACCTTCTTGCCGATGTCGGGCATGCGGTCTGCAGTCTTCTTCAGGTACTGCTCGTCGCGGAAATTCACTTTCTCCGGCTCCTTCTCGTAGTCCAACAGCACCTGTGACAACACAGCACTGAACTGCTTTACTCACAGATTCCAAGAAAACAACAATCTATCAGTGGTTCTTGTGCAGGGCCTTGACTCAATGCTCTCATGTCAGTTCTTGTAGGCATCGTGCTTCAGGCACTGCTATGTTCCACACCCAACACCAGAGTGGCAAGCCCGGGAGACTGAGAAAGTCCGTTTGAATGCCACAAAGCTGCTCATTTTAAGCGCCTAGACAGACAGGCAGAGGCGAGGGACGCTCATGCAATAAGACGGAACTCCATCCACGTTTTTGTACTTTTCTTTTTTTCACATCATGGGCCAACATCCAAGTAAGAAACTGCCGGAGTCCAGACAGAAATGGCCATAGCACCAACAAGTGCAACCCATCAAGGGTGTCAGGGTGAGGGATGCCAAACAAACGAGGTTGTTCTGCTCAATTAGACTACAAGTCTCTTGTCTGGCGCTTGAAGACAGCGCTGCTCTATAAACCTAAGCTACTGGACCCACCATGGGCTCTACCGCCAACCCAAGAAGCTCGTTTAAGAAGAGACGACTTGCCTGGCGCTTGAACAGCGCAAGGCATTCCCCGAGCTTGTCGGCCATGAATCCGATAGCAGCGCCCCGGGCAGCCCTTCATGACTAATGCATGCAAAGGGACGAACAAAAATTCCAGGGGTAAAAAAGGGTTTTTTGCCTGGCGCTTGAAGACGGCGAGGCACTCCCCAAGCTTGTCGGCCATGAATTTCGACAGCAGCGCGCCGGGGAGCAGAGCCTCGTGGCTGCTCAAAGCATCGGCGTTGTCTTCTGCGCAGAGCCCGGCGGCCAGAGAGAAGAGCTTGGCGGTCATGGCTAGGAGCGCGCCCAGTTTGTCGGCTGGGGCTGACAGGTGGATCAGCACGTGCTCCCGCAGGAGCATCTCTCCCGCCTGAAGAATTTGAAAGGCCCATTTCAGAAAAGGATACTATTTCCAGTTTTGAGTGGTGCTTACTGAGATCGGTCAGGTGACCCGGCGCTTTGATGGCGCCGCGAAACAGGGATCCCAGGTATTCGAGGAATAACGAAAACCCACAGAACCATTAGAAATCCTTCAAACTCCACGACAACAACCCACAAGACCCCTACAAACCCGCCTGCATGTCGGACATGTGGCCCAGTGCTTCGATGGCGCCCCGGAAGAGGGATCTAATGCATGAAACCCTACCAAACCTACCAACCCTCAAAAAGGCCAAAACACCCCGTGAGCTTCAGGAAATCCACCTGCATGTCTGTCAGGTGAGCGGTTGCTTCTATCGCGCCGCGGAAGAGCGATCCGAGGTATTCGAGGCACTGCGCGCGCGTGTGCAAGCCCAGCTGCGATGGCGCCCGCAGCAGCCGCTCTACGCAGTCCGACACTGCCGAATCGCCGTTGCCGCCTGTGAAAACAGATAAAAATGAAAATTGCGTAAGAAGTAAGCTTGTACTGGTGTGTGACGGTTGCAGCCTCGAGTGTCTGCAATGTGGTTGGGTAAGCGGAATACGTCGTGAAAAAATGTCAACTGCGTGCAACACCGGCATGCAAGCCCACATGTGCTCACAAAGGAAAGCAGTCTCCCTTTCTTTGCGGATTGCGTCTTCCTCTGACCGCATGAAATGCCTCATCACAACGCTAGCGGCAACTTTTTATAAGTACTCCAAAGGGTTTCCATTCACCCTCAAAAGCCTTCATGTTTAAGCCTCAAAAGAGGCGGACACTCTCCTCTTAACACTGTCCAGCATAGAGAGGAGGCGCCCGAAGCAGACCCCCCTGCAAAGCAAGGCAGTAAAGAATGGGAAAAAGAAACACCGCCGCACCTGGGTCCTGGGGAATCAGCGCTACCAGCCGCGCAAACAGTGTGCGATCAGACGCCTCCAGGACGTTTTTGGGCAGTATTTTTACGGGGACAAAGTACTCGGCGCGTGCTGAATCTTAAATTTACTCCCTGATTCTAGAGCTCTAAGGGTCACAAAACACAGTGGCCGCATCTGGGGCCTGGCCAGGAAGCAGTGTTCTCCTGGACCAGGACCCTAAACAAACACCTTTAAACGGGGAACAAGAGAAAGAATGGTTGAAAACAGAGGAAGAGCGCACCTGGGTCCTGGGGAATCAGCGCTATCAGGCGGCTGAACAGTTCGCGGTCCGAGGCTTCCAGGAAGCATTTGAGCAGCACTCCGACCGGGACGAAATATTCGGCGCGTCCAATGGTGAACGCGAAAGAGGCGGAGCCGTCCTTCAAGTAGTGGCATCGCACCGTCGCCGACGTCTCGTCCCGCCGAACGCACCTGCGCGATCAGTCACTCATGAGTCATTGATTTGTCATGGTTAGTCATGTATCAGACATTCATTTGTTGCATCCCCCTGTTAGCCACACTTGACTGGGTGTGCAACGTGGTGAATGTGCTCCTGGGCTGGAGGAGTCTTGTGTGCTGCATGCACTGGACACAAATTGCAAGGCAGTCCCTGCTTCCTGCTTGGCGCTTGCACTGCCTTGCACGAGTTCCACTCTCTCATTCTTGAGGCTGTGTGCACAGCATCTGCTGATCGAGTTGGGATAGCCAACTTTCAACTGGAGTGACCACTTCTCCAAGGGCTGCAGTGGTGAAATAGTCTTGTGGTTGCACCCATGATAAAAATATTTTACATGCCGTACTTGAGCCGCCTAGCGACTTCCGTGAGAAGCTGGCTTGTGCTTCTCACACACAGACCGGCACATGCCCATTATGTAATGGGCATTTCTCCGAACGGTCTCAGGCGCTGTGTATAGTGTAGTCGTACAGTGAAGGTGACGTCTGTGAAGCTTAGGCCCGCCAAAGAGACAAGCAGACGACAGATTTGGGGCTTTGTTGCCCTGGGTTTCACAGTCCCCACACAGTATTACAGAGACCATTATTGCACGCCTGGATGATTGGGGCTTGCCTGGATCTGGCGAGTCCAACAAGGGGAACGATCATGGCAGCATTTACCTGCAGCCTGACTGCTAGACGCACCTTCACCGATCTTGGCAGGAAGAGCGTGTAACGAAAATAGATGCATTCCCACCTGAGCAGCGTGGCAACGTCTGTGAAGGTCGGACCGCGCTTCTGGTAGGCCGAGCGCCGGAGTCCCATTACGTAATGGGCATTTCTCCGAACGGTCTCACAGATTCTCTGCACTGTTCTTTTTGGACGGAAGGCTTTTTGGAAGAAAGGCTTAGACTGCCTTGGTTGGTTTGTTACCTGAGCAGCGTGGCGACATCTGTGAAGGTGGGCCCGCGTTTCTGGTAGGCCGAGCGCCTGAGGCCCATTACGTAATGGCGGCGTTGCTGTATCAGCATGCGGATGATCCTCTCAAGCCCGTTGCAGATGAAATAGCCGCCCACCTCCATCGCCTCCTCCTTCCTCGCCACCAGCTGCGCCCTGTGAAAAGACAAAGAAACCACTCTCGATAACGGTTGTTATTTGATGATTTCCCTGACCAAGGCAAGGTGTGCAAGCAGACATGCTGCACTTAGAGGCTGTTGATATCCTACCCCCTTGTTGGACGTGCCAGATCCAAAGAAAGACCCAATCAATCGTGTGGGAACGCTGCTCATCATTACACCACCGTCGGTGAATCATTTGCGTGCTGAAAACACCACCCACAGGGGCTTGAAATCGAAACCAGGGGTTTGGCTTGCTTCCCGAACGCCAAATGGCCTCAGCCCTGCGCGTCATGAGCTGCGTGCTTCGGCAACAACGCCCTTGAGGGCTTCAAAGGGTCTGGGGGATAAATCCAGGGAGTTGGGGGTCTCCAAAGCCACCATCCTCCCGTTGTGTGCCAGCAACTGCGCTGTGCGTGATCACCCACCAGCACTTGAGAGGGCTCGTGGGTGCAAATCATTCAGCTGAGGGCACACCCTCTGTCTTTGCAGTTGCAGCTCTATAAACACTTATCGTCTTTGCATTCCTGCTTTGCACGTAATGTCACAGATAAGCCCACGCAAGGGTTGTCAGAATGCCCCTTGGATTTGATAAAGTTGGCTGTGTGGTAATGAGTCTTTTGGCTCTTGGCTTCTGACCTCCTCACTAAGCCTGAGACCCTCAATCCTACACCCTGGAACAAGACCGAGGTGATATCAAGTGATGCTTGTTTAAGTCTCCTGAAAATCTAATGTAAGGGGAACAAAATAGGGGGTGCGCACGGGGTCAAATAGCGCAGGTAGCAAGCAGTAGAGCGCAGCATGATCGGCAGATAGCCCATGCATCGGGTGAGCCGCGCTGCCGGCCCGTTTTCGGCGTTTTGCACCATCAGATCCAGATAGAAAGCCCCCTTATAAGTAGTCCCCTGCACACGCGCAACAGTTATCTCCTCAAAGCACATTCCATAGATCGGGCTTCATAGTGCAATTTGCTTTTGCCCCTTCCTAGCCTGTCCGCAGCCCCTCCTACCCCCCATCAAGGGTCTTACTGCAGCATCGGGAAATCTGAGCAGCAAGGTGCAGTCGGATGAGCAACGTGTCACGCTCAGATGAGAAACAAGTCACGGAACAGCTCTGGCCAGGGACATCTGCTGGGCAAATTATCTGCGCACCAATTCGCGGCAGTCTCGCGGGAAGAGCCGCTTGTCGGCAGCACCCGACGCGTCATCTTTCACCGGCCGGGCAACCCTCGGATTCTCAAACCACACCCGCGCGCGCCGCGTGGTCCCCGGCTGCTCGATCTGGGCGCATGCATGCACACCGCTAACATCAGATCGCGCTGTACGTTTCATCGCATGTCATCACATGCCATCGTGTGATGTCATCATGCGAGGCAACCAAAGTTATGATGGGGGAAATGTCTCCCTGCTGTCAAAGTCTAGTGGGCATTAGGGGGTGAATACGAGGCCACGGAAGCTTGGAGGGAGGGAAGGACTCTGGTGCAAGCAAGGATAGGACAGTGGAGATGCAATGCGCTTGAGACATATGGTAGCCGCGTAGCTGCTTTGGCGGCTCCTCTAAAGTGCAATTCCTCTGAGCAGTCCCCAAAATACTAAATTTCTGTTGCTACATTTAGGCCGGCGTGATGACAAGACGTAGCCTTCTAAGAAGGAGATGAGTTTGATATACGATGTTGCAGAGCAACAAGCATGTGAGATTCAAGAAAAATGGAGCCTCCAAGGCCGGAGAGCTAGCTGTGCCAGTTTTGGGTAGCACACCAGACATAAAAATCTTAATCAGATAATTAAAAACATCCAGAAGGTGTAAATCCCAGACCTCCGCTGGCTTCAGCAGCTCCACAATACTCTGCAGACCCTCTCCGATGAAGTAGTCGAAGGAGTCGATGTGCGGCCGCACAAGCTCCTCCAAGGATCGAGGGGACTCGGCCATTTGGATATGATACTCAATTATCTAGATGCAGACTGCTGACATAAAAGATCTGATAAGGAGACTTGGTGGCATCTACAAGCAGGCGATCTAGCCTTTTGGTACTCAGATGTACTATGCCGGCTGTGCATCGTCCAAAGGCCATAGATCAGTTGCGTCATATAATCTATTTGGAACGAGCCAATGCAGCTTTTACATGCATCTGCTGCAGCGCAGACTTCTCAGAGCTTTCGGTCGCAGTAACGTGACTCCTGATTCGTAACCCACCCCACGGCAACCCGCCATGCCTTCCCACCTCGGCCCTGGTGGGCAATAGACGGGGCACACCAGAAACAACTGGCGCCTTGAGCCAGCTTGGTGATCTGGATGGAAGGTACCTTCAAGGTATCTTAAGTTAAGCCTGTGCCACGCGGCATGGGGCATCCACTGGTGCACTATGATCATGGCTTGAGCTTTGAGAGAAGGTTGAGCACTGCTTGTAGCAGATGACGTTGGCAGTATCTCTGGGAGGAGATCACCTGCCAACTTTTCAAGCTGTGCAGTCATGCTCGGCTGAAATCCATATCATGATGATGATGCTATTGCCAGCAGGAGCAGCTTTCAAAGGGTTGGTTCGAGCCGCAGACAAGCTCAACTGTAGTTGAGAGCATGCCATGCAGTGCATGCATATGCTGCCGTGTTATCGTCATGGATGATGGCAAACCTACAAATCGATGCATGCTGTCAACAGCAGCAGCAGCTGGCGTCAAATTTGCCGAATTGCTGAAAGACAGCAGCAGAATCTCCTTACAAAATACAAAGAATGTTATTTGGAACCCCCACAAGCCGAGGCAGCTAGCTCCACTCTCTGGCTATACCATCTCCCCCTTTAAATGCACAGGCAAATCAAGAGAGTGTAATTTTGGATAAATACACACCAATATTGCATACTCTGGTCCACTGTTGTCTCCAATCGCCACATTCTGCAATTCTGCAAAATTTTAGGGGCCTCTAACTGGCGCGCCCAGTCGCAGCCAGACCCAACAATGTACTGGCCATCATTTACTGCACTTAGAAATGAAGTCACTAAGTTTAGTGATAAAGCAATGAAGCATGCATCCTTATTCCTAGCCCATCGTTTCCTTTTTTCAAGAGCCTGATTCAAGAGAACCACAGCCATTCTGACCCATGCAAGGCTTCAGACTTCAGCTGGAATCCCCCGTTTCAAACCTGAATAAAACCTTCAGGCATGCAGTACCAAAACCATGCATCAGGGTACCCAATGCAAGCATGGCAAGGAAGAGAGACAAGTTTAACCTCGTCTTCTAAGCTAGCTCAAGCACATATTCACACAGCGACAAAAGTACAAGCCAGTGCGCTGTGCTGCAACAGAGCGAGTAACCCCACTCGTACTAATTCCAGCTCAGCGCTGATCCATCAGATACAAAATTCCCAAGTCCTTCAATCCATCTGTGTCATTCTCGGGCGCTGTAAACAAGGTGCCTCAGGGCAAAGGCCCATTTTGCAATCATTTTTCAGCTTTCTGTGATATTGAGTCGCCAATCCCATCTGGGCCCCCCAGTTTCTTTAATCAGCCTTCCACCCCAGCCTTTAAGCTGCAGTTAAAGGCTGCAGGACGTACGTTAACTCTTGGCAGGAAAAGTATGCAATGATAGTAGATATAATCCCATCTGGGCCCAACACAACCCCTCAACATGCAGCAGTGTGCCTAGAACAGGTATTTGAAAACTACCCCTTCATATGACAGAAAGATCCCTCACCCCACTATTCATCTACCAATATCGTGATTTCATCGTCCACACAACTCCTGGCTCGATTCGCGAGTAATGTGGCTCATGCGCAGCAGCAACAGATGCTGTGACAGCAGTTTCCAGCAATCACATGCATCTGCAGTGCCAGCCTTCTCACCCAGGAGAAAGCACCCAAACCCAGATAAAACACTATTGTCCTTGCTGCATATTCCCTGACTCCACCCACGGCTTAGAAAACAGCAAAGCAAGATGCTACGACAAGGAGCAAAACAGATAAGGATGTGGCACCGGGTGGCTCATTTTATACCCAGCACAGATCTTCTAGGCCTGCCAGCAAGGCAAACCTGACAAGGAACCACCCAGCACAAAGCAAGACAGCCATTGTACAGGCGTGCTCCTCCCAGATGTTAATTTAAAAGGTGGAAAAAAAACAACATGCAGGCCCTTTGCAAAACGATCTTGAACTCCACTGTTCTGTTCCGCAGGGATTCAGCATGTTAGCAGCTGCTTCTCCACCTTTCTCTGGCTTCAGAGAGCTTCACAAGCGGGAGATCAGTCAGGTCAAGGTCCCTTTGCAAAGGGGAGGAAAGATACAAAAAGGTATTGGCTGCATCTCCTGCGCGGCACATGACACCGGCAACATTCCCTCTCCCCTAAACACTAAATTGACACGCTCTTCCACAAGCCATTCTTTACTCTGCCATGCAAGTGCGGAGCCTCTTGAATCTTTGCCAGAGCCAAGGTGCTGCGCACAGGACAGCGCCGCATTGATGTATTTTGATCAGCAAATTACCACAGCAGCAGAGCTGTGATTATGGCAAAGCCCCGCGCCCTGATCTGGAGTGTACAGCTCGTGCCCGTGGCCTGGCCGTTTTTCATTTCTGAATTTATTTTCGAAGTGCCTCGACGCGGATTCGAAAAGGGCGCCCTCAGTTGGCCTGGATGAGGGCTGTCAGAACCGCCATCCGCCGCTGCTGCTCCAGGGAGAGCTCTGCCTTGAGCTGCTGGTTCATCTGCTGGGCCTGCATCACACAACATGCACACAGCTTTTTAAGAGCACCTTCTAGAGGATTGACAGACAATTTGCTGCTGCCTTCTGCATTGACTGGTATACACGGTACTTTCCAGATAGAAATGGTGGGTCCGTTCAGCAGGATAAGGGGCGATAATTGCCAAATGGGAGGCCACACTACATACAGCTTTTCTCCTAACATTGCTGCGCCATTTATTGCCCAGTCAGCCCCGGCCGGCATAGTGGGCAATAAGGCATGCAGGCCAGTCGCAGGAAGAGATGCAGGTAAAAGCACGGATAGTGCACGGTCCTGAGAACTGGTCTGGTAATATGCTGGGGTGCAGATGGGTGAAAGGCGTTGCACAGAGCCAGTCTGCAATCAAGAGCGGTGCATGCTGTGAAGAGGGGATGACTTGCTGGGAGAATTACTCATAGTTACCTTCTTCAATTCCAGCAGCAATGCTTCCTTGGAGAGAGCGTCCACGTTCACTGCTGGCAAGTCCGTTTCTTCCCCTGTAGCTGCAAGCGACCCTGTATGAGAAGGGGCTGCACTGGAAAGGAATAGGTGAAAATCCCACAACATAGAGCTTGGTTACATAGCGAGCTCTATTAGGCCTGTGGACATGCTCCCTGAAAGCGGACATTGAATTTGCACGGCTTGGGCAGGGCATGAAGGTCAGCCAAGGTCAGAGTTAGAGTAGGCTTTGAGAATGATGCCTCACCTGAAGTGTCGGAGATCACTACAGATTTGTTCCCAAAACTTGCCGCAGAGCACAGGGTGCGCAAGCGATCCGGCGTGAAGTTCACCTGTTCGAGCCACCAATTGATCGAGCCTGAGTCTTTGATAAATTCCCGCCGATACTGAATATCAAGAAGAACCGGGCAGATAAAGTGGGTGATAATGTGCGAGCAATATGTTCTGCCAGGCGCGCACGAATGTGCTGGACACTGTGAACTAATGCTGATTGGGCATGGCAGGCGATCGCCGCACCTCTCGCATGGTGAAGTCGATCGCCTTGCCGGGTCTTGCAGTCACATCGGCTCCATTGGGAGGAGGCGATGCCTTCAGTACGCCCTTGGAGACGAGGATTGCCAGTGCCTTCTCCGCAGCAGCGTGTTCGGCGGACTTTTTCGATCGGGACCACGCTGTGAACGTCGTCTCCTCAAAGCCACCCAGGGGAGTATGTACGGCTGGGATCGTCAGAGTGCATGTGAAACTGGGCAGTGCGGGTGGTCGGGGCCCGCTCTCTATAGAGAAGATAGGGATGCCGGCTTCGGAGTGTTTCTGATAGAATTGATGTAGGGCAGATTTTGGGTAAAGTGGCCCATAGTAATTAGAGACAGCCATTTTGGAGTGCTGCAGAACTGGAAAGACTTACAGAGAGACTTGGGCATCACGAGCTGGAATGCCCGCCTTGTGAAATTCCAGGCGGGACAAAAACCCCCTTCTCGACACCTCATAACCCTCTCAAAACCCTCACCTTATAACCCTCTCAAACCGATTGTGGGGTCACATTCAGGATTGGATGATTCACGTTGGAGCCAAATATATCGACGATTTCCATCCATCAGCGCGCTGTATTAATGCATAATATTCGTCGTACTTGTTGGGAGAAGAGAGGGTTGAATCAGTCAGCAAATTTGCCCAGGATGGGAGATCCGATGTATTTTCATCCCATGGCACATGCATGATGATGTAGTGCATGGCAAGCTATTGCTGGGATAGTGGCTTCCAACATCGAGCAAGTCTTAATATGGATGTTTTTTGCGGTGAATGCAATTCAGGGAGCAACAAAAAAAGGTTGAATTAGGTGCAATGTTGACACGTGCAAGCATATCAATCGCACGTGCAGACGTTGCCCTGACCCCAGTTCGATCAGGAGCGGGACCGTGGTTTCTTGGCGCCCAGTGCAAAGCCTGTGCCACAGCAGTCCTACTCTGGTGCTGCAAGTTGCAATTAACAATTGTGAGCCCCGATCACACCTAACAGAAGAGCCTAAGCGGTCATAGGCTTCGCGTTTAGGATAGGGTAGAATTGCCGCTCACAGGCTGTGTTCCAAAGCGATGCTTTTATCGCCCACCCATCGGTGCAATTTCGCGTAAATCTCACTGTAAGACGCCTTTATTCAGCATAAATTATTCCGAGAATATGTAACCTGTGCCCGCCACCTTCTTCTGTAAATGTAAGGCAAGGTGAGAATCCCACAAATTAGACGTAATCCGCGATCGTAGAAGGTCTCGGATATCCAACACGTAGCAAACTAACTTCACATTGTGATTAACCGCAGGTTGCGGATCCAGACCGAAGACAAACAAGTGCTTGAAGAAGCCTTGCAATGGCCACAGAAACAATTTTTGCACAGCCGACTTTAATAGAGGATGCTGACACCTGGTGGGCAAAGAAGACACTAATGCAGGTACTGCTGCTCCCCAACAATGTCGCTTAGCATCAGAATGTGATTCTTCTACTGGGGTGTATCTTCTGCACTCTGCCAACTTCTTCAGGTTCTTTAGTGTTCCACCACTTACCATGGATTGGCTGCCTCTTCGGCTTTGCAAGGGCTCATAATCTAGCGCAATTCAAGACTCCTTCCTCCTTGTGTACCAATTGCTGTGTTGGCATCTTCCTACAAATGCTCAGCTGTGATCTGGGCTGCGTCAGGTCTTGCAGGAGAACGCTCAGCTGCGAGAGAGGCTGGCCAAGACGAAGGCAGCGCTGTCCTACAGTGAGGCCCTGCTGAGCAGCGGGGAGGTCCCACAGCCACCGCTGGCGTCAGTCCCCCCTGCGGTGGCGGCCAGCGCGGCTGCGCGGCGGCCGGCAGACTCCCCAGCCCAGCCAGAGAAGCGCCAAAAGATTTGCTGACATGCTGTGGCGTCCTTCATCAGTTGCCAAAAAGTTAAACTATCCTTTAGTCATCCCTGCGTGGAGAGGCGAGGGAGGTCGCCCTTTCATGCAATAAATTTGATAGCCTGACGTGTCTCCCTGCCTAAGCTGGGGGCCTGCATGGATGTGCTGTCCATGGATCAGCACATAAATGTCTTGCTGGTTTTCAGCAGCCACCTGGCCTCACTTTTCAGGGTTTTAGGTTGACACATTTTCAATGGCACAGCAGAATCCTCATGAGGTGAAACAACTGGTAGTCTGCTGAGCACAACACCGCAGTTCATGGACAGCAGGCGTCAGAAACAGAAAGACATAGTAGCGAGTGTGCGTGCATTGCACTTGCCAACCAGCGTGCTCGCTGTTGAAGCCATAGTATTCCTCCTCAGTGATTGATGTTTCAAGGCACACGCTGCTGCCTTGTGTGACGTGTCAGCGGACTGTGCGTTGGAGTCCTGGCTGGGCTTTTGCCAGAGTCCAGCAGGTCTACTTGAACTTGATGGTATATTTGCTGCATTGCATCCATACCATAAGCTGCTTGCCCCCAAATGCACAGCAATTGGTGCGCATTACTGAGGATTCCTAGACATGCGATTGGCACCTCTGTCAAGTTGCTCGGATTAAGTCACCTGTGATAGGAGTGAGTCACCTGCGCCTGTGTGTGTGGTGAAGTTCAGCTAAGGCAACACTGGTTGCTGGTGTGTCTGGGCCTGATATTTACCGCTGAGGCGGCGGCATGTGCCGGCATGTGCTCATATTGGAATCTGAGTTTGAATTGCCGACTCTTGGGGCTTGTACCCATGTGCTGAGGCATGTGCTGGCACCACCATTGTCTCGAATAGGCTGTGTGATGAGATAAAATCCCCCAGCAACGATCTGACTCCTCATGTTTTGGAGGGCTGGTTCAATCCTGCTTGTTATAATCATTGAATGGCCTGCCGCTAGGTGGGCGGCATTGATTTTAATGAGTCGTGCCAGAATTGCATTTGGCAGTGCATAAGCTTGTAAATCTATTGTTACATAAGTGCAAAGCCCAAATGGGAGCCAGCTGCTAGCAAAGCGCTATGATTGCTTGCCGCTGAGTCTGAATGCCCATGACTTTTCAGGGTGCCTGGTGTGTGCAACTTGCCACTTGCTTAAAGCCACTTGGAAAGATGCTCATGTTATTTCCATTCTGCTATGGGAGGATGTTTCACGCTATTGCTGGACTGCTTTCAAGCTCCAGGGGTTCTGCTGTGATTGTTTGGATTCAAATGCAAGTGTCAGATCTGCAGACAGCACCAGTACCTCCGATGAGTCATCAACTGTCACCCCATCTGCCTTCACTTGGTTGTGCCAGATTAGGTGCCATCTGCCACGCTGTCAGATGGCACAATTAAAATACATAATGGGTATTGTGCTCAGCAACATTCTTTCAGGCAATCAAAGAGTCTTGCTGAAGGATGGTGAGTGCGGATGCTCAACTCAAATTCTATTTTCAAACGCATAATTATGTCATCAAGCTTGCAGCACTCACACAACCTTGTGCTTGATCAAGCCGCAGGAGGAAATTCACTGCCCGATACCTGCTTATCATCTTTGAATTCAAATCAAAATCAGAACGTTGTCGTCTATCAGTACCTCATGGGTTCACTTTCGATGCCTCAATTGCTGCACTTGTCCCCTCAAATTGAAGTACCCATTCATGCCCCTTGCCTCCATTGCTGCGCTTATCCCTTTCACTTCTACTTGAAGTACCCGTTCATGCCTTGGGGGTAGAAAGTGCCGGGCTGCGTGGCGTTCCCTCCATACACAATCGCCAGCACCTCATACGGTGTGCGAGAGAATGCCAGTCCCTGGCCATCTTGGGGTACCAGGTTTGCAAAGGGGTATGCTGTGGTTCGGCCGTCGGCCGGAGGAACCACAATTCCCTGGTCCTTGCCGTTACCGGCCTTGCCGCGCAGGTTGGAGAACCCCTGCACAGGGCAGAAGTTGCGCTGCTCAGATGCATGACCTTTGTGTGGCTTGAAAATGAACTTTTGGCCCAGTAGCAGATAAGCTGGGAATGCAGGCGCAGTACTGAGCTAATTAAGCTTGGTAATGTGGAGTCAACCCCTGTCTGTGGGGTCAAGGCAGGCAGGCAGGCTGAGGCAGCCCTGTCGTAGAAGCAGCGCCAAAGCATTGGACCAAAGCTGCAGGCTTGCACTCGCGACTTCCTGGCTTTCAAAGCACGTGCTGGCAAGCTTGAGAGTCAGCGTTTCTTTACCAGTTGACTGCAAGGACATCAGGTGATCAATGCCAGGGCGGCGAGGGACATGACTGACCTGGACAAAGTCCCACACGCGGATGTTATAGGGAGTGACCATGTCGGAGCCCTTCTGGTACAGCAGGGTCCGCAGAATGGCTGCATGGTATGCCTCCACAGGGGCAATGCCAGCAATCGTGTTGAGCACTGACTTTGAAACCAGCAGGGGAGTTGCGCCATGGAATGCAGTGACTCCAACGTCCTCAAACAAAAAAGCACCTGCCATGTCACACAGCAGCAGAGTGAGCAAGCCACAATGTGCTAGCACAGCATGCATGCTGTGATTCCTCTCAGCTAATTAGCTCAGTACTGCGCCTGCATTCCCAGCTTATCTGCAAATGGGCCGAAAGTTCATATTCAAACCACACTCTTTTAAATCGAGCTGATATATCAGGCAGTTCCCAAAGGGGTAATAAAACTTTTGTTAGGCCAATGTGCAGCATTGCATGCATGAGTGGCATGCAGGTGCACCTAAGAGGAAATTGATGTCACTGTTGTAGGGGAAGAAGCCGTCAACGTTAAGCGCAGCTTTGCCTAGGCTGGTGAAGGAAACGCCGATATCCATTTTTGGGCAGGGTACCGCGTCATTGCCCAGCAACTCCCGAAGGTCAGTTACCTGCACACAGAATTATGTCGAGTAAAGCACGTTTCATGCACATGGGGTCAACCACATTCCAGCTTTCCTGGCACAATATGCTCCTGCACTTCAGGAAACGTTCAACGAGTCACAGTCGAGTTTAAGACAACATCAGGAGCTCACATGGTTGATTTCATCGTCAGCAAGCTCAGTTGCTATCTTGAGCAAGTCTGGGCTCAGGTTGGCCTTAAGCCCTCCGACTGATCCCGGACCACTCCCCAAGGTACTACTATTCAGACCATATCCATAGACGGCGTTAGAGTAGTACTCAGCCTCCAGGCACTCCAAATTCAGGGCGAAATTCAGGATGTCGTTGTCCGTTTGGGCGACAGCTGTGCCGGCAAATAAGACGGCTACACAGGCGGCGAAGCCCATGGAAAGCCTTAAGACCATCATATCCAACAGTGTTATGGTCTAATTGTATTAATGTGCGTGGAACCACCTACACAGACAGCAGCAGCCCTGAAGATGGATACAAGGTTACTCGATAGGTCGATAGGCCCTTCTACTGCAATAAAGGTTGCGCTGTCGTTGTAGATATGTTCAAAGTGGCGTGAGAGTAGAAAAAAATGGATAATCAAGACAGTTTCGCGCCCACGACCCTTCTGATCTCTGACCCAGTTCTTCTGGCAAGAGGTGCCGACCCAAGTCAATCTGGGCCGCTTTACTGATGATGCTCTCATACAGCACAATCTAGAAGTCACTTTGTCACAAAGAACCGATTTTATTTTGTTACCTGGGGCCAAATAATCAGGCGCCGGTTTTGAAGTTCCGCAGTGATGTCCACTGATCTGCACTAGCTTCAAGCAGGTAGTAATGGATCACAGCGAAGCTCAGATGAAAGAGGAACTCGTATCTTAGTGTCTTTGGATGCTCAAAGCCTGCTTTCGAGAACCCAGTGTCTAAATATTCTACGATTTTTTATAGATCGATGCGTCAGGATGGCGCAGCTCACCCGGAAGCTACAAACCAGATGGCGTTCCTGACCGTGATTTGAGCAGCAACTTGAAAGGCATGCAGATGAACATAATTGCCAGAGGGCGATAATGCCCCGTGCAGAGAGCGAAGCAATTCACCAGTCAGTAGTCCAGGGTGCCTGAGTGTGATCTAGCTAGGCGCAGCCGCTTATAAAATGCGCATCGCATCATGATGGCTGCACGTGTTTCTAAGCGGTACTTAGTAGCTAGGCCGGTATCGTTACTCTTCCGTTCTCAGAAACATATAACCTATAAAGATAACTTCTCTTGAAGAGAATATGACATTCTCTTATGAACTCAATTAAGCTTATAAAAACCTGCTTCAAGCAAGCAAGCAAGAGTTTCTCAAGAAAAGAAGCTCCTGCCAAACGGCAAGGTGCGTCTACAGACAAGCTGCAGGTGGATGCTGCCACACGTTCTGCCACTTGATGGACTCGCCAGATCTCAAGCAAGACCCAATCACCGGTCACTGACTTGGCAAGCGGCAGTGCTCAATTCTTATACCGCCCGATGGTGCCAATGGATGCATGCAGATGTGCATGACTATATTTTGATCCTGCATGCGCATGCCCTCAGTGGTCAAATAGGGCTCGGAAACTTCAGAGTATTGTTGGTTGACTCCAAATGCATGGATATGCTCTTTCGGTCGCCTGTTAGGCGTTTGGCTCGCCGCGGGAGACAGAACGGGGTGCACCTTATCAAGATCGTCATGAACTTCAATCCTGTGACGTTTGGTGATGCCCCGTGATGATGTAAAGCTCATCAGAGCGATCATCGACTCTCGAGCTCTTGTTCCGGCAAGGAAACACACTCTGGACCGTCAAGATCGGCCCGATATCGCACTTGCAAAGTCCGCCGGTTGACGATCGACGCTCTTGTGAGATCGGCTGTCGCTGTCAGGGTACGCCCAATCCGCTTTAGGACGCAATTGGCCAATTTTTTCACCCCTTCTTCAAAACTCAGCGAGAAAACCTTATAAATACGCATCCTGGCGCTGTGCAGCTGCTCGTCTTGTATAGTCGCAGCCGTCCGTTGACTTACAGTGAGGGCCTGGCAGGTGCTCGGGTCGAAGCAATACATCGTGGGAGCCTCGCAGATAACAGCTTGGGCAACACCGCGTCAGGGAGTAGGCAGTCAATCAGAGACGGTGCGCCACTGGTGTGCGCGTCTTCTATGAGCTTGCGATTGGAACGAACCAGCACACTTGCCTTACCCAGAAGCCACTCCTGCTCTGATGCCAAGGTCTAGCAAAGCATCTTAGGGAGTTATTGGCGACTGCCCTCGCGACAGGCGCCAGACTTGGAGAATTCACACACACGCCTGCCACTCTCTCGTAGGACACCAATCCATGCCCCTCAGGGCCACGTGTTCAAACACGAGAGTGTCCCGACAATGTTCAAGCACTCAAGCTTGTGGCCTTGTATCATTCAAAACAAATGATGCACCTCCTGCCAATGCAGGTGCCACTGAGCTCGACAACCGCAGAGCCATCCTGCAGCCATGAGGGAGGACTGCACTCTGCAGCTGCCCTTGCCGTTAGACAGACGGCCCCTGGGAGGCTCCAGGGAGTCAAGTGGTCTGCCCAAGACGGGCAGCCCGCCTTCTGGGCTGCCCAGAAAGCACGCGGTCAACAGCTGCTCGCTGCCCGAGCTGTCCAAAGTTGACAGCCTAGACTGCCCGCGCGTGCCCGGTCTCGGTTGGGGCAGATTAGTCGGCTGCGGCAGCTTTGGACGCATTTATAAGGGTACGCCCCCTTCTGCCATTTACCTGCCTTCCTGTGCCGAGTCGTCTTCAGTCAGTGACTCATACTTATCAAGCACTGACTTAGATCAAGACAAGTGCCGAGATATATAAAGGGGTGCTTCATGCTTTGGGCTATGAACTGCAACCAGATTATAAATCCATGTTCACCTTTAAGGTTTGCTATGGCTTTGCAGCCGCATGACACCTTGCAGACTGGTGAGCGCGGTCTATTATGGTGATGAACATGGCATGTTTAGTTTTGCCCAACCCAATTATCGTTTTCGGCCCCGCATGCCCTGATTGCTATCTTTGACAAACTGAGCCATCCCTTTCAAAGAGTCCTGTGTGCGCTGCAGGGGTGTGGCAAGGGGAGATTGTGGCGATTAAGGTTTTGAGCAGCCAGGGGAGCAATACAGTGGATTTTGAAGCGCTGTCGGAGCGCCTGGTGTCGAAGCAAGTGCACCACCCCAATGTGGTGCGCCCCTTACACCCCGTGCGTGGAGCCTGCACCAAATGATTTCAGAGTCACGAAGATCGCAGTGTTGAAGTCCCGCAGGATTGTTCTTGTACATGGTCTGAAACCGTGATGCTGCAGCGCCAGGCACTTGTGGATTTCCAGATAGCTCACGTTCAAAACCTGTTCTCCTGAATTCACCCTTATGCCACGTGTTATTTACCACAAACATGAAGTCATGCTGAGGAAGTTCTTTGACGTGTGCAGGTGAAATGGTACAAGGTGCTCAGTGTGCAGCGTATGGCATCAAAACAGAACCCCCACCACTTGAATTATCATCTGAGTGTCCAGTGCGCCGCGTCTGATTCGGTAGGTGCCTCGGCAGCTTCCGTAGCAGCTTCCTCGACGGCGGATGACGCCGCCGACGACATCGACGCCGTGGTCAGGTTCTTCCAGGGACATCGGCTCGAGAATCCCCCGGAGCCAAGTTTTGCGGCGGCGGTGTTCCCGAATGCGGCAGCTTCCGGCCGCGCGAAGATTGCCGCGCGCACTCTCGAGGCGGCCGCCACCGGCCGGGTCGAAATGGAACACGAGGTCGAGGCGAGCCCTTTGGTCGACAGCCGACTGGACAGTTGGAGCGCGGGTGATGAGGTAAGCGCGTTACATGTGCATCATCACTTTGCCTTGAATCAGCCTCGGTGCTTGGGTCTCGGCTGGCGGCAGGCGGTACAAGAATTGTCTCGCTTGACAAGGTCCATTGGAGGGTAGGATACTGGCAGCCTTTCTATGCAGCTGGTGTGCAGACGCACCTTGCCTCTGGCGCGAAGAAGAGCATGTAATGGTACTAACAATCGACAGGCCTGCCACAGTCCCATGATGCAGAGCGTTTGCATATTATAGTATTCAAGGTAGAACCAGGGCTGGCCAGGAAGGAGGATAGGTGTTCCGCAATCAGGGGAAAAATGTCCTCAGGGTTTTTTGCGGTTGTGAAGGCAAATGAGATTGGCAGAGTATCAGAACATTATATGATTTGAGTTATACACAGCCATTTAAACTCCACAGTCTGCATAGTTTCAGCCAGATTGCCCCCAAAATCCACCAGTCTGAGATCAAACTTTCTTCAGGTTCCTTTTTTATGGCAACTTTCTGGCTTTCAAAAGTCATAAGTACAAAGCCAGTGTAGGTTTCACTAGTCTTAGAAGACACAGTGCAGGTTTCAGAGGATGAGAGCCAGTGTTTGTCATATGCAGCTGCAAGGCATTCTGGGCGTAAGCAGCGCCTTTGCAGCGACGCGTGCTGTCTCAGCCCCCCTCGCACCGTCACCCTTTGATGCCGCCGTTCAAAGAGCACTCTCCGGCAGCTCAGCAGGTTTGGCACCACTTATTTCACTCTTGAGCTAAGAGAGAATGCAGACGTAGACAGAGCGAGCGCCAAGGAAGGGCTGTCTCGTAGGGCTGTGTAGCAGAGTGCAGCAACAAAACAAACATCTCTCGGCCCAGGAACACTCATGGTCGCATTGCGTGCATTCAGCTGAGTGTTGCTAGGTGAGAGTCAGGGCATCACTAACAAGCAGGCAGGGCTGAAGGTTGGCCCGAGCGGCACGAACAAAAACAATGAAGATGACCGACACCCTGGGCTGGCCTGTGTAACAAACATGATGCACTATCAAGACTCAGAAAGATGGGGCCTGCTTTAAACTTGCGTGAGTTGGCTACAACCCAGCACATCGGTCATCACCCTGTAACCCTGGAGGGAAGGTTTACAACCACCGGCAAGGCAAGCACCTTGCGCTTGGGACACCACTGACGCACGCTTCACGCCGTTTTTGATCGCGGAGACGAGGCTAACATTTTCCTCTACTATTGCAGGAGGCAGCGTCGACCTGCAAGTGGCAAGAACTACGCGAAGTTCTTCTGCTAACACTGATGTGGCACTTGGTGACCCCGCTCACCTGGCACTGTTGGCCGCCGGCGGTAGCAAGACCGGGGGGACCGCGTCAGGTGCACTCACCAACAGATTCAAATAAAAAAAATTGTTGTAGAAGTCAGTCCTTTGCACGCCTGCCATTTGAGTTGCTTCCCTCAAGCATGGGAAAACAAGGCCTAGTTCATGGCCTGCCTTGCTGGTTCACCATGATTGCAGCAGCATGGCAGTAATAAGATTTGACCATTGTGCCTGCAATTTGCGGCGTATGGGCATCAGTTGCTCAACTTATTAGATGAAACTGAGCAAGGCTGGTGAGACAAAATGGCATTTGCGGTGGTACAGGCGCACACAGCAGTGACTGGCAGGAGGGAAGCTGGTCTTCATCGGGGTGTGCGCCCCCCGTCTCTCCGCCACCGCATGTCCCACACTGGGGGGACCCGTCCCCCCGGAACACTGCAGGGGACAGCCGCACCCTCATACTAATGGAGTACGCGGATCAGAAATCGCTGCACGCTGCCATTTCCCGAGGGCGGCTGCAGGGAAACCTGGTGAGTCACACGCTTTGAACGCCTTCAATTCAAATGGAGACTCATGAGAGTTTTGGGCGCCAATTTTGTGAGGCTGAACTACGTGGTGCTGATCCGAACGCATCACCGAGCCAAGTGTGGATTGTCACCTTCGTCTCTTGTTGCAGCGATACAGGAGGTTAAGTGCATGACACTATCAGAAGCATGTGCTCCTCTGTATTTACAAATTTCTCATATTCTGAGAGTTGGCCGCGGCTGGCGGGGGCGGTACAAATACTGAGCACCGTGCCCACGGTTGACTGCGTCTTACTTGGATCTGGCCAGTCCACCAAGGGGGAGAAATTCTGCAGCTTTTCCATGCAGCTTGTCTGCAGACGCACCTTGCCTTCGGCAGGAAAAGCGTGTATAAATAACAATAATTCTGAGATGCATGCATGCATGCATGTCCAGGCTATGAGTGCACAGCGCATTTGTGCGTTACTGTGTACAACAGCAGCTGGTTTGAACCTGTGGGTTCCTGTCAGTTTCTGCTCTTGCAATCCTGCCCGCTGTTGCGCACAATTTAATCGCAACAGTGAGCAGAAGGGCGTTTAAATTAAGTTGTGCTCACATCTGGTGTGAAAAAGTGTTTTCTCATCATGCTTTTGTGTTCTGCAGGAGGCGATTCTGCTGTGCGCGATGGACGTGGCTTCAGGAATGAGCCATTTGCATTCCATGAAAATTATACACGCGGACCTGAAACCGGCAAATGTTCTGCTCAAGAGCGCGCATGCGTCTGCAGACGACCCCCGCGGCTTCACCTGCAAGGTTGGTCACCTCCGTCTGTATTTTTTGTTTCACAAAAGAGAAAAAAACAGTGAAGTAGCTCGAGCAGTCTTGGCGGAATCCGTAAAGTGTCAGTAATCGAGGTCGATCTGGCTTCACCTGCAAAGCAGACTCCCTCTGTCGTTGCTGCAATGCATCCAATACCCTCAGATCACTCGTACATGGGAGGCTCTCAATAAAGGCTCAATTAATGTTAACATCATGACTTGAATCACAGCTGGATTTTAGCCCCTCCTGCGTAATTCTCAAAGGGGTGTGCACAGGCGGCGTTGCAATATGGCACTCTCTGAATGAGCAGTCTGTAAGGTGGGATTAAAATGCACGAACGTGGTTTCTTGCTTTGCTGCATGCTGAGTTGCTGACTGGACGGTGCGTGTGCGTGCAGATCGCTGATTTTGGGATGGCCCGGATGCTGTCGGCGGATGACAGCTACATTTCAACTGAGACTCTTGGTGAGTAACCTGCACCCCTTTCCATCCAGTTCAATGCAAGCACATGCTCACGTGCAATGCATCTCTTATGTGTGTTAATCCATGCATTTTTGTTTGAGGCAATGTGCATGCTATGCATGTTGCCTCAAACTCACCCCTCCCATTCGGCAGCCTTGCGAGCACTTGACAGGTGCACTGCTCTCTTCATGTTCACAGACCCAGATGCATCAACACGCAGAGCGCCATTAGATCGGCAATTGTCTTGTGCTGGGTAATGTTTTTTTTTTGCTGCATAGTGCTTTGAAAGAAGCAATGTGAAGCTTTCATGCGGCAACTTGCTGGAGATCCCTGTCAGCATGCTGCTCGTTGCTAGGACTTCGTGCATTTGGATCAGCAATCTGCAGCTTAACAAGCTACAAAGAGCATCATATCTCTGCTTATGGCCTCTCAAGGGTCGTCAACATAAAAAGATTCCCGGGGATAGGATGAGGTGGCAGTATTTAATGGGGACGAGGATGTAGTCTTGAATGAGTTTGCTGGATTACTAAGCTTCTGCTGACTCATGCGCAGGGTCTCTGCCATATCTGGCCCCAGAGGTGCTGCAGCTGAACAAGGTGACTAAGGCTGGTGACGTGTACAGCTTTGCTGTGTTACTACTGGAGATGTGGGTCGGGGGCGGTGCCTATCAGGACCAGAACTACCACCAGGTGAGTTTTGCATGCAAGATGTCTCCTCATGTACTGTAGGTATTGATGACCAAAGGAATGATCCAGATCCGAAATCTGGGTTGCAACAGACAGCCACAAAGCATTTGTGGATATGGGAGCAGACCTAGTGCGTGTTGCACAGATTCCTATTCCTTGAAAGTACTGCACCGCAGTTCAAATCAAGAATGTTTTGAATGGTCAGTTATGATCCTTCAGCCTAGAGGAGCCAAATTATTGAGGATGGTGCATGCAAAGAGATTTGGTCAAGTGTGCTTTTGCCTGGCCTAATTTGTGCAAGGCTCTTCCAAGTTACAGCAAGGGGACGATGAGAGGCAATATATATAGTATACACCGTTGGTACTGATTTCCCACAGCAGCACCTGGCAGGAAAGGTGCGAAGTAATAGTTGTAATTGCTGAGTCAGCTGCTGACATGTGCCAGCACCTGCGCACAGGTGCTGTACAGCGTCTTCTGCGGCCTCCGGCCTCTGGTGCCGGCCGACATGCCAGCCGCGTACCGCGCTCTGCTCGAAGACTGCTGGGCCGCGGACGCAAAGCTCCGGCCGACCTTTGATGGCATCTTGGTCCGGCTTGCGTCCCTTCTGAAGGCCGAGCGCGAATATGGCATGGCGTGCTGAGGTGGTATGCTGAGCTGGCATGCATGCCACTCGCTGGAAGACTGCCGGGCCGCGGCTACAAATGTCTGACCCACCTTCGATCAAACTATTGCTCGGGTTGCAGCCCTTTTTGGAGGCTGAGCGCGCAAACCCCTGAGGCACAATGTGGGGTGCTGACTTGGCGAGTGGCATCAGCGGGATGGCTGAGCTGGCAGCTGAGATGGCGTGCTGAGCTGGCATCCATGCCGGCCGCCGCGCAACGCACGCTGCCGCGGCCGATTCCGATTCTGCTTTGTTATCACGCGCCGCCGCTGTGTTGCAGCAGAAATCCGCATTCTCTTTGAAGGCTGCACCAAAATGCATCCCTCTGCAGATTTGCGCGGCGAGATCCGTTGGCACATTTAGGTCTGGAATTGAAGGTCAAGATCAGCCCAGATTGCTTGGCGATTGATGGTTCGTATTCAGTCCGAAAGCAAAACCTTGGTGTCAATACTGGCACTTGCAGCAATTTCCACACAGCCAGCTTGCTTCCCTTACCAACACTTTCAGTGTGCTCATTCCAATCGAGGCAGCCGCTCCCTGAGCACAGCGCATGTTAAGATGCTGTGTTCCCTGAGCAAAAATGGGATGTGCCTATTAGAAACAGAGATATTTGTCAGCTGACGGGTCCTGTCCGGGGAGTTTGCTTCTGTCAGACGAAGGTGGCTCAGCCCTGATTTGGGCAAGAGTGGAGGCTTACGATTAAGGGTGGTGCATTGCTGTTTTGCCAGGAGTACCCCATGCCAGATCAAAAGCCTGCACAAGACCTGTGTGCCAGGCAGACTCTGCTGTCCAGACAATATTGTATGCAGCTGTTATTGTGCGGCACGCGCAAGTATTTATCATCGATTTCATAACTACGCCCAAGGGCCTTGGGAGAAATAAGAGCCAGGGAAGATCCAGCGGCTTTTGCCAGCAACGCTGCTATCCTTGTGGAGAGTGCAGAGGTGAATCAGACATTCTTTCAAGCGGAGGTGGCGAGAAGAAGCAGCCTACGAGACGAGGCATGCTCGCACCACATTTCTAGAGAGGCAGATATCTGGCGACGGTGCTCTGGGTTTGGGGTTTGAAAATGGCACAGACGGATTAGTCACACTTATAAGGGTGAGGCGCCTATTTTATGCAGGAGGTGCTTCCTCTCAGCTAACCAAAAGTGGCCGGATATAAAGATGGCAAGTTGCCCCTGTCTTTCTGAGGAGGGGCGCCTCCCAAATTTGAGTTGAAGCGATGACCAACATTGGTTCAGCACCATGGCAATTTTGCTCTGGTGCTGTTGAGATGGTCACTGGTGCACTGGGGTTGAGTTGCAAACTTGGATTTTAGTAGTTGCAAGGTCCGTGGGCGGAAATTAGGGTTCACTAAGAAGATGGGAGGTAAAATTGTAGGTGGACGATTAGTACGTGCAGATCATGACAGATGAGTCTTTATCATGTATATCTTTTATTTATTTATTTGGGGGTATTGAATTTTGGGTATTTGCAAATGGGCAGCCAACTTGATTGAACCAGCTCAGCAGCAGTATTTTCATTGGGACATTTTCCAGAAATATTGGTGTAGCATGCATGGATAGGCGCAAGAATGCCCGCCAACTTGAGGCATTCGATGCTTTCCAATGCTGAAGGCCCTGATCTCATTTTTGGGGGGTGACGGGTGTTTATTTGGGGTGCTGTCACAGCACAATGCTGCCTATATTAGTATTGTGTCGACCTGAGGGTCAGAATTGTTGTTTGCTGTGGACCACAGGCCGCCTGCGGCTGAGGCTTTCCCTTGTCGGTTAAGCTGTGGCTACATGAGTGTGAATACTGTCAGGACGCTGCGTTCTGTCACAAATGGTTCTAAGTTACATCAACAGCGCTTTTGCTTCAATTTGACTCCAAGGGAATGGTGTGTTGGGGCCTCTTGTGTGCCTGCCCGGGTCTGTGTCCAACTGTGACACAGATAGTGTCATATTATACATTGTTCTTTTGTGATGCTAACTTTTTTTTCGCAAAGTGTCCTGCCACCTGCGTGCCAGGAATCTTTCCAAGGGTTTTTCTTTTGTAACTTCCAAATTTGGAATGCAAGTATGCACGTTGCTGCATGGCTGTGATGATGTTGCCATGTCAAGAGTACATGGCATCTGCACAATCTCTGATGGTGCTCATCAATCACTTATCCAGTAGAAGCATACTGTCATGAAGGGCACAAACCTCAAGAGCGTGATGAGCTCAAGCCATCACAATCCTTGCAACAAGCTGTCACAGATGTGTGCAAGGCGCACATAGGCCACAGTGTCTGGCAATCTGGCTGCACGCAGCAACATGCAGCAATGCAGCAGCAGGCACGTGCAGGCATGCCATGATCTTTCTCTTACAGCAAATACCAAAGCATCCATATTTGAGCTGTGCCTTACAGGACCTAGTACAATGCAATTCTTACAATATATTTATTTTTAGGATTTAGGACGCGGTGTCGGTTGAAAGTATGCAGCTGTTACCTGCATGTGGCTACTGACAAGTCCCCCACTGTGTGGCTCAGAATGGCCACTCAGAAACGATTGGGACATTGAAAGTTGCGTGTGCAATGGTCGCATGAAAATGTTGGGGTGCATCCAATGTTTTCCAGTAATTGGACCCTCAGAAACGAACTAGTGCATATTTTGGAGCCTGTGGCATCCGCTCCAAGGCTTAGTCCTACTCTTGCCACTGATACTGCTGCCCTGCCAGTACAGACCATAGCAGCTCGAAAGGATTTGAAGCTCACTTTAAGGCAGGTTTGAAGGCAGTGCTCCAAAGTCATATAAGCAGCGCTATTCTTACAGACCACAGTGGACACAGTGTGCAGGATGCAAGCTTGCATTCCATCATCATTGCGTCAATATTTCAAATTTGAGTCGAACCTTCTGCGCACTGGCGCAAATGCACTGTGTGCAACCTTGACACTTCATCATTCCAGCAAGTTAACATTCACTCGGACAGCAAACAGGCTGTCTGGAGGTGTCAAGGGTGCTGAAACGAAAGCCATCTGCCACTGATGCACAACACAGTGTACACAAGCATCAAATGCTGCTGTTCCGCAATGGCACATTTCTGACGATCGCAAAGGACTGCATGCAGACGGAGTGACTCATATGCTGAAGGAGATGCAACATAAACGGATGCAATGGTCACACTGGTGCTGCAAGTAATGCACACATTCCAATCTCTCAAGGCTCCAGATCCTGATTCCAGCAGGCACTATTCAATCTCTGCCTCACGCGTAATTTCCAACGCTGGGCTCTATCGTCCTCATGCATCGAAGTACTCTGCAGCCTCGCTCAACCGCTCTGGAGTAGCATGGTAAGAGTTTCTGCATGGATCATGGCAGCTGCAGCGGATGTGCTGCCCTGAGCTGAGGCTGCAGCAGTGGTGCAGCGGCATAACCACCTGAACAGCAGCAGAGAAGCACTTTTCAGGCGCTGCGGCAACTTCCTTCAACGTCACGAGCCTGCACAGACGCTTCTCAGCCTGCACAACCCCAAGTAGGACCCATTGACCCTTGATTGTTGAAATGGGGTATTCGGTCCGCCTCATCTGGAGGAGCACCTGGAAAAGGTGGGACAGTCGTGTCACGGCCTGCCCACATGTAAATCGAGCTGCAAAAGGAGGGGTTTAGGGGAGGGGTTTAGGAGCGCAAACAACAGCCAACTCATAGCTGAACGATAGAGAATAGCAACTGTTCAAGCAAGAGCCTTTGAGCGGACCATTCTGGGGTACCAGAATGCAGGATGCCTGCCCAGAATGGAAGCTGCAAGACACCTGTCCTGGATCACTAGAGCAACACCATGACCAAACGTATTGCACTCACACACTTCAGACCATCCCATACTTGCACCTACTAGGCCATTGTGAGTCATGCCTGCTCATGCAGCAAGAGCAGCAACACCCACATCCTGAGCAGCATTTCAGAATTGACATTCGGTTTAGACATGCAGAGCAGGTTCAATCCGCACTTGCTGCAGCGGCAGCGGCGGCGGCCGCAGCAGATTCTCCGCCGAAGCCAAATTCGCGGTTCTCAAAGCCACGGCCCTCTCCAAAGCCACGGTCACCAAAGCCGCCAAAGCCCGCCAGCTTGCGGCCAAAGCCAGAGCCTGCGAGCAGGAACTATCCGCAGGCAACGCATCCATTGAATATGGGTTCAGTCTTGCCGTTCTTGACAAAGGCACCTACTACTGAAAACAACAGCATCAGTGCCGTGCCAAAATCGCGCTCCAGCAATGCAGTATCACATGCAAATTCGAAAGGGCATGCGCACTTGCTGCAGCTGCGGCGGCTGCCGCGGCAGATTCGCCGCCGAAGCCGAACTCACAGTTCTCAAAGCCATGGCCCCCGAAGTCACGGCCCTGTTCAAAGCCGCCAAAATCTGCCAGCTCGCGGCCAAAGCCGGAGCCTGCATGCAGGAATAATTTCATGTTGATACGCTTTCATCATCCATGAGGATCAGTGCGTCGCAGCACCCTTTCTGTCACAGCCTTCCAACCGTCTCTATCTTCGGCTTTCCTCAGGAAGGAGGCTACGCCAAATCACAGAGACAGAGCAAGACACTCCAAGCCCTGTCTGCTCAGACTCAATTTAATACCTGACAAGCCTACCTCTTCTACCATTTGCTACACAACACACAAATTCTGTTTCACATCATGCTATTCCTGCCAAGAGGCAGGATACGTCTGCAAATTAAAGCTCCACCTTAAAACCGGCAGCAGCAGCAATGCCTGGCCACAGCTGCTCTGCAGCATTGAAATTTTCGAATGCAAATATGAAAACGCGCACTTCCTGCGGCTGCGGCGGCTGCCGCGGCAGATTCGCCGCCGAACCCGAATCCGAATCTCAAAGCCACGGCCCGCGAAGTCACGGCCGTGTCCAAAGCCGCCAAAGTCCGCCAGCTTGCGGCCTGCGCCGGTGCCTGAGACACATGTGCGCACATGTCAGCAATATGAAGTACAGTTAGTCATTGCTATGTGATATTAGCAATGGATCATCATCTGCAAAATCTCTGCCGGTGACTGCGCGGAGAGCGCACCTGTCATTAACATGAGATTCGATGTTGTGCTGATCAGTGATACTTACATAAGCTGGGTGCCAGTATTCCTTGAAAAGAGTCAAGCTGAAAGCAAACGCTCAGGAAGCCTCAGACATATGCTTGGCTAATGTGGCGAAGGCCAGCCAGCCCATGCTTCTGGGTTCTGGTCTGCATAGAACCAAAGTTTGGAACATCAACTCACTTGAACTGCCACGTAAAGAACACAAGTCTGAAGTCCTGGGTTGCCTAGAGACAACCAAATGTGGTGTCTGGCCAATCGGGGAAATATGTTTCGGCCGTAACAATCGCTGCCCACATGACAAGCATGTGACCCATAATGAGAGCTGCTCTCAAGGTCCAAGAGAGGCAGGGATCACAGGCTGAAATGATGCTGTGCTTTCTGCAGCAGGACTGCAATGCATGCCCTGCTAAGGGATATGCAAGGCAGCAATACTCCTCCATTATGGGGCAGTCCAATAGGCAAACGACTAACAATTCTCCTGCGGACTGATGAATCCGCAGTGCAGTATCTTGGTTTAGGGTCCCCTGCAAAAATGCAGGTAGGTCCCAGTGTTCATTAAAGGGGGGTACGTCAGGGAAGTAAACGTACCGGCAGCTGTGAAGCTGTTGTCAGAAGTTGCAGCGAGGTGCCTGCAGCTGCGCCAGAAGGGCCAGCAGCGCCACCAGGGAATGTCTGCAGGGTCAGTAATTACCATTAAATACCTTATAAGTGGGGCAGAGGTAGTTTACAAAGGCGACTAGAGGTAATTTACTCATGATCAAGGCAGTTTCTAAGATGTTCCTGTCAGAGGCAAGGTTTTTGTGCAGACAAAGTGCACGGTCACATGTCCTACCCCTTCAAACAGAAGTTCGAATGCTCTGACCAGTCTTCTCAAAATTCCAGTGAGGAACTCACACGCCCACTTGGCTGCCCCGATGGACTTTCCGCATGCAAGCAAAAGGTACCTTGAAAGATTTACTGACTCAAATGCACAGGAGGACAGGACATGTGTTAGAGGAAAGAAGCTACTTATCTGATTCATGACGCATGGAATCTAATTGGAAGCAGCCAGCAACAGAACCAAAGGCACATGCATTGCTCATTTGATTCTCTCTGGCAGCATCCATGCATCGTGGGAGCTGCTAAATATGTACATTACTTTGACAACCCGTTGCACCGCGTCGTAGAGTATTCTTGCAATAATGTGTCCTGCTCGGCTTAGAGAAGGCAAAATGCCAGACATGCAGGCATAGGTTTCGCCAGGAAGCTTCAAAGAGTTTTCAAAAGTCAAAAGTCAAACATCAAAAGCTGAAGGGGATTCTGTACATTTCACCAGCGCAAAAACTTGTCCTGCTCAAGGAAAAGAGGGTAGAATGCCAGGCATGAAGGCATTGCAAGCGCCTCAAATTTTAAAATCGAAGGGAAGTTCAAAGGGTGCTCACGCGTTGCAGCAGGGACGTAGATGGTCCTGGCATGGCCATTCTCATCCACAATGCTGATGGCGCCATTCTCGTCAAAGTTCCCCGCAGCCCCCTTGAAGCCGCGGGGCTCAGAGGAGGAGCTTGGGAAGACTTCCTGGGTGTTGGATGACTCGAGGCCTGGCTCGCGCAGACGCCCTGAGACTTCGTGTCCAGGCGTGGTCAGGGCATTCTGCATGCCACACTTCGGGGAATGTGTCAATTTCAATTCAAACGTGTCAGGCCAAAAATGGGTAATTGAGAGGGCATTGACACAGATCCTGGGTTGTCCAGACGGCACTTTCTGAATTTCCCTGGGCAATCCCAGGGACTCTAGAATAGCTTGGCTTAGACATATAGTAATGGCTTTCGATGTGCTGAAATTCTTGGGACTTAAAGCCCGTGCCAGAACCAAGAAGCAAGAGCCCAATGTCAGGAAGATACCCCGGACATGTCGAACTCTGGATCAAATGGATGCATGGGTAACCGCAGAGCAACAAAGAGACCAGATGCTGCTACACAAAACCCAACAAGGTGCATCAGGACAAAGAGCACATCTTTTTACTGGTGAAGGTCACTCACATTCAGGTTCACTCCATCTTCAGCCGGCCTGCGCAAACACCATGTGCCATGCATCACTCCATGAGCCTCCATTCACTTGCCATGCATTAGCATGCAGCAGCCACCATGCAGCTGCAGGTGACTTCCTTTGGTATCTTTGCCAACTAGAGTGGTCCGCACATAGGCGTTTGCTTGAGCAATTCCTAGTCTCTAATCTTCATCCATCTGTGATTTTGCTGTTGTCTCAAGCTCCCTAGCCCCTGTTTTGCAGCTCGATTCACATTTGGGCAGGCCATAACACGACTGTCCCACCTTTCTCAGGTGCTCTTAGTTATTATTATTATTATTATTATTATTATTATTATTATTATTATTATTATTATTATTATTATTATTATTATTATTATTATTATTATTATTATTATTATTATTGCACGCTTTTCCTGCCAAGAGGCAAGGTGCTTCCTGCAGACAAGCTGCAGTTAAAGGCTGCCACAATCCTACCCCTTTGGACTTGCCAGATCCAAGCAAGACCCAATCAACCGTGGGCACGGTGCTCAGCATTTGTACTGCCCCCCCCCAGCCGGGGCCAACCGAGGCCAGCCGGGGCTCTACTAATTTGGGCGAAATAGATCTTTGAAAAATGTGGCACCATTTCAGCCTTTGCACATGCCATGCATGACACTGTGGCTTTCAGCCATTGATGCATGCCCTGCTGGGCTGCATGCAAGCAAATGATTGCCATGGAAGCAGGATGCTTGGCTTCAGATCGCACCTGTCACTGGCCTGGACTTGGTGGGAAGCACCTGCAGGCCACATAAATCTGAAGCACAGCCACTGAATAGGGAAATAGGCTCTGGTTATGGGATCCAAGGGGAAGAGGCATGCAGATCAGAAGCACACTGAGCATGCCAGCAAGCTGTGTGCTTCCTGCCTGCAAATACTTGCCACGTTCTGGAAGAATTCATTTGCACGTAAGCGCCGAGCACTACGAGGGAGCGAATTCAGGGGTGCCCGACTGTGTCGCACTCGAACAACAGGTCGGCAACAGGCTGGCACCAAAAGCATTTGAGAAGCACTTGGAGCACCAGTGCACACAGCGAGCAGGACGAAGACGCAAGCGAGGCCTTTCATGTTGAAGTGCATGGAGTTCGGTGTGTTTCAGACGGGGCAGTGGCTTCAGCAGGTCTCGTTGACTGGACGATCGCAGGTCGATCCCAGGAAGCCTGAGGCTGTGAGCAGCAAGACGTTTCCTTTCACTTTTGGGACTCAGGATTGCTTCAGCAAGCTTCAGGTCTGAAAGTTTCGTGGCTTGCTCGGGTCCTTTGGCTGACGTAAAGGAAATCCTTTTCATCTTTTAGTCATACTTCGACATCAGTGGGAACTTTTCGATATGTTTCAGTTGAATGTGAAGTCGAGCCATGTGGGGCTCAGCGAAGCAGCAAGGGAGCTAGAGCTTTGATCTCTGCCATTTTTACAGCTGCTCCTGCTGGCACCATATGTGTCTTGGCAGGGCGAGTCGTCCTGAATACGCAAGACGGCTCTACTTTCATGTCGCCAGCAGGTCTCGATCTCAGCACCTCAGAATGGCTCGACCATGCATTTTGCTGCAACTAGAGGGAATCCTGGCAAAGCAGAACACAAGGTAGGAATCACGTGGCGCACCTATCCTAGGTCAGACACCAAGAGGAGCTCCTGCTTCAATCATTCCATGACTGGACTAGCTACTCACCAACGGCATCATGCAGGCAGGGAAACAATCATGATCATGATGATGATGGTGCATAGCTACCAGCCGCGCACGACACACTCCATATTAAAATATTTTATACACTCGCCACTGACAAATTGTCCTTGCAGACAATTTGCCATTCAACAGCTGATCAGTATGTATACAGATTACATCGGGCCAATCTTGATGAATCTGAAAATGTACTTGCGCCGCCAAGAGCTTCTGATGACACAGGCACATACCACAATACAGCTGGAGTGGATCCTATAAATTAACTTATTATAATTTAACATTTTAAACTTTAAACAACTGGGACGGATCAGCTTCCTAAAGCCGTGCGGCGGCAGCTGTGAGAGGATCCCCCGTGGCCCAATGAGCCGCTCAGAACAGCGCAGAGACTGCTCAAGCCACAGGTGCCTCAAAAGGTGCTTGCTGCACCAGCAATCACCGGTGCATGCACCTGCCCGGAAGGCACTGCAAGACCTCTTGTGTCACCCACGGAGGACGGTCAGCAACAAATGTTTTTGATGCGGCAGCTGTGAGAGGAGCCCCCGTGGCCCGACGAGCCTCTCAGGACAGGGCCACAGCTGTGGTGCTTGGTGGACCATTTTTCAGCGATGCATGCAGTTGAGAGGGCACTGCAGCAGCTGGAACCACGGCTGCGCTCGGCCCTGCGGCCGCCTCCTGCGCTGCAAACCTCAGCGGCTCCTGTGGCGCGCGCATGCATGCACTTCAGCTGACAAGTAAATGACAAGATGAAACAGTCATCATTTCTGAACCTGGACAAAATCAAGACGAGCTCGTGATCTTCATTGAGTTCCACCTGGACGCTCTCAAGGGTCCATAAAGTGAATGCAGCCCGCATTGTGTTTTTCTATTTTTGCAAATTTTAGTTGAGCACGGGCATGGTAAGACGCCACTAGTGAATGCTCAATTTTAGGCTCATGCAATCCAATTCAAGGTTGAAGCTGAAGCATTCACCCGGTGCCCGAGGGGAGGCTCACTTCAGCTGACATTTCAGTGCATGCAATGCACAGTCATTAAAACTGCTGACCGAGACTCACCACCTGAGTGTTCCCACTCAGCCAAACGCAAGCAAAGCTGAGGCTCAGCCGAGGCATACAGCAACGATGACGCACTTTTGGGGTTTTATTTTTTGAAATTTTGAGGTCTTTAGGGTTCAGAAGAGGCTCATGTCAGTGTCAGCAGGCATGTCAGATTGAGAGGCATAGGCCGACCCCAACCCGAGGGCCCTGTGAAAATATCAAGGGTCATTTGGCATCGATCCAGACTGCCAGCAGTGCATGGCCCACAGGAATGTCTGCCTCTGCCTGAATCTGCTTGAAGAAGAATTACTCGACTGCGACCGCCCCTCTTGTTATCTGCAATCTATACTTATATATTCAGAAGGGTTTCCTACAAAACAAAAATTGGTGCACAATGTGTTAGGACCACCTGACAAGGTGGTCCTAACACAATGTTTGTTCCTATATGTTAATTTGTCGGTTGCTTGACTTCAAAAAAGACAACGATAAGGTACTTGAAGCTCTCAATCATCAGGAAAGCGAAATTGGGGCCCCTGCGATCATGCAATCGAATTTGCTCACGTGAGTGCTGCCACGTAGATGCCAAGTGTGCTGGCGCCAACGAATCGTCGGCTCGTCTGACCAAAGTAACATCCTTGAGATGCAGAATCTATCACTCCTGAGCAGTAATAACACTCTTGATTGCGTCAACATCGCTCATCACTAAAGCTGACCAGTCCGGGAAAAGAATACAAGAAACATCTTGTTGTATAGGATGTTGTAATTGCTCATTTTTCAACACCTGCGCGGATTTGCCAAGCAAATATCGAGGTTGTTTCACATCCTAAGGTTCCTGCCTGATCATCAGTAAGTATTATTAACGAGAGAGCTGCTCACTTGTTGTTTGCCAAATTTGTGGATGCTTGCCCTGAAAGATTGCAAGGGCTCGTCCCCTGAACCCCATGAAAGAGAGTTTGTATCTTGATGCAAGGTCCATCGTACTGCCGTGCAGGTGCCATGATGATTGAGGAGCTGTGCTCAGTCTCTTCCTCTCCTTCCTTGGACAGCTTACCTGGAGCCTTTCACAAGGTCGGCAGCACACTTGACACATCGGTAGGAGATCTACACAACACGGCAGCTCAGCACCGAATCGTGGGGAACGACCACAACAGCAGCAGCAGCAGCAGCTATTCTGGCTCCTCTGTGCTCTTCGACCTGTCTGACAACCAGTCAGATGTCTTGCGCGCCCTGTCAAGAGGGGTACAGCTCAAGGAAAACCAGCAGCCACTGTTAGCGCTTCAAAGCAGCCAGGCAGGTGCCGCGCTGGTGCCCCTGGAGAAGAACAGCTTTCAGGATGTGGCTGAGAGGGAGCAACTTGTGGCCAGATGGGCCACTCATGACAGTGCACAGGCAGTGCTGGATGTGGCTTATGCAACCGAGAGGGCTCTGCAGGAACTGGAGTTCGAAATGCAGCTGCAGGGGCCGGGCACTCCTATGGTGCGCTGTGCACCCTGTTATTCATTGGAATGTATTGCAGTGGTGCACATACTGTGATGCTTGAAGTGCATGCGGCTACATGCCATCGTCATGACTGGCGAAAGCCACAAAAGTATCATGCAAACGTCATCCTGCTTTTGGCAGACACTGGTAGCAAAAGGTTTCTGGCAATGCCTGTGTGGTTTGATAGGTGAAGCGGGTTTTGCATGGAGGAAAGGACAGAGCTGTAGATTGTGGATTGCCAAATAAGTTTATGCTTATGTGACAGGTGAGGCTAGAGGAGGCAACGCAGCATGCCGGGCACCTGCAGGAGGCAAACCAGGCGCTAGCGGAGGAGAGGGATGCGCTGAGCCAGCAGCTGAGTCACCAGCGATACATTGAAGCCCAGCAAGCTGCGCAGAGCCTTGAGGAGGCACGCGCAGCTGCCGCGCAGCTGCATGCACAGAATGCGCAACTTCTGGACGAGCGCGGGCAGCTGCTCCATGCCCTGGCAGCTGCCCGGCAGCAGCTGCAGCAGCAGGTGCGGCTGCCCCATTAATTATCTTGGGGGTGCCTTACACTAGCTGAAATGTCTCGAAGCATCTACACGAGGCATTTTTCGCTGTGGCATTCTACTGCATAGACGTCAAAATAGCTGGGCCTGCTAATTTTGATTGGTTCATCACGCTCACTGTGTGCACCTAAGGGCCCGTAGCCACTTTTATGCTCGTTTTTCCCTGCCTCTCTCACCAGTAAATAAGACTGCGCGCATTTTTTTGTGCGCAGATCCCTCTTGGCGGACCGCCTACTATTGTCGGCATACACTTAAACCCTGGCAATATGCAATTCCAGGCTGCGGGTGATGCGGAGAGACAGACGCTGATGCGCCGCGCGGCCGACGCCGAGAAGGCCACTTGTGCGCTGTTGGAGCAGCATGCTCGGGAGGCGGCCATGCTAGGTGTGCACACCTCAACAATGTGGCCCCTGTTTGCCCGGCGAGATGGCTCAAATCATCATGATTATACTGTCTCCATGAGAGTGTGACGCGAGCCGCTGTTTCCCTCCTTGCTGGCAGATGTAGCCGGCGCTATATCAATGAAGTGTGCTCAAGATCCTGCACAAACAGCCATCAGAGCAGATGCCTAATACACTCTGATCAACAGATTATTGTCTAAACGACAGAGTTTGATGTTAAGCGCTGCGGCCATCCTGGCCTACAGTGCACTGACATCTGCTCGGATGGTTGTCTGTATAGGATCTTGAGCTCTGAAGACATGTCCAGTAACCAATGAGAATGGCATTTCCGAGTCTACGCACGTGCTGGTGTATCACCAAGCTCATGCAAGAGTGTCTTTGCTTTCCTTTCCTTCTCTCAGCTTTGCCCCACCTATTGACAGAAGAGTGATGAACTTTATGCATAACGATCCGCAGGGGAGAGGCATAGGGCTGGGATGGAACATCTGCAAGCGCTGAGGGAAGCTGAGTCACAGCATGCTCAGCGTGCGGAGCAGGCGCTGACATCAGCGCGGCAGGAGCTTAGTCAGCGGGCCGAGCGCTGCGCTGATCTGGAGCGCGCGCTTGAACAGGCGACCGCTGATGCGCGCGCCGCGGCTCAGCGGGAGCTCACTGATGTCAGCGCACAGGTGGCCCCCACGCTCAAGTACTTGCTTTTCATTCCCCTGAACTGGCAAAGTACTGTAGTTCTAAGCCTTGACGGTACCCTTGCATTGCCCATGTTTGTCAAAAATTTTGGACCTTAGCATTCAGATGAGCTCTATATCAGTAGCATCTCATCAAGACAGGGATGCCAAGACGAGCCCAGCTCGGTCTGTAGGGCCACTCTCAGCATCTGAGTGTTGCCGGGCCTGGGAAAGCCCTTCCCTGGACGTGGGACGCTTATTTCCCAAACCCCAAGCCGTTTTCATTGATTTTGAATGTGCTGTACAGCTGGCGGCCGAGAGGGAACGCAGCGCTGCAGCCGAGCGCGCCCGGGAGGCGGCGGCCGCCATAGCAAAAATTGAAGCGGATCGGGTGAAGTGCGCGCTTGAAAAAGAGATCCAGCAGATCAGAGCTGCAGCAGCAGCCGAATTTAAAGAAGAAGCCAACGCTGCCAAGGACAGAGCCATCCAACAGGTGCAGTGGACTTCATTCCTTTGACCCAATTGATGCCTGATAAGCATTCAAAACATCTGTAACAAGCAGGTTGAGGAACAAAATGGTGTATCAGGCGGTGCTCGATTTCTACCAGCCTTTGATGTGAGCAACATACCTGGGCTGCTCTGGCATTGTGCAACCTCTTGGCAAGATGATGCCCATGACATCATCCATTCGGCTCTGCAGGAGAGGCTTGCTCATGAACAAAAGCTGCAAAAGGTCAGAGAGGCGGCTAAAGCAGACCTGCAAAGAGCGCTGGCGGCAAAAGATCGCGAAGCGCAGAAGAGCACCGAGACGATTGTCAAGCTGGAAGCACTGGCACGCGCTGAGCGGCAGAAAGCGGCCGCTGCCGAGACGCGCCTTGCTACCGAGCAAAAGTGCACTCTCATCACCTTTGCACCTTCAAAACTATGCAGACAGCAGGATATGTAATGTCTGCATCATTCTACTCGCCTGCTAATTGCTGCCACACTTACATGTGGCCTCACCGGAAGGCCCTGTGCTAGTCATGCAAGGCAGAAGCCGGTTGATGCCCCAGATGTATACCCCCACCCAGGCAAAATAAGCAGATATAGCTATGGTCCTTGTGAATATGTATATTTATAGGCTGTCACCTCTATCCCGCGTCAACATGTTTGGTGTGCACAGAGAAGCCAACGGTGTAATTACGCGCAGGAGGGCGGAAGCTACGTTGGAAGCCGAGCGGGCAGTTTCCCGGCAGGCGGCCTGCGCAGCTTCTACCGGAGTCAGCGAGGCGCGCCGCCACGCGAGCAATGAGGCGCACCGGCTGAAGACGCGGCTGGCCGCTGCTGGCAAAAAGGCCGCCGATGCCCGGGAGGAGGCCAACGCTCTGGCTGTTCGGCTACAGGTGATTGTTCATACTGGCATCTCCTGCATGACATCATTCTGCTTCTGCTGCCTTATGGGCTTCAGGAAGGCAGAAACTTAGGGTGGTGCAATGAAGCAACATCGAGGTGCCAAACCTGGCTTGGAGAGGCTTATCATGCTGCACGAAGGTCAACTCTTTTTAAAATATGATGGTGTTTTTTTGCGAGGAAGCCAATTTTGGGACCCACTGTCCCAATGTAGATAACAACACCAAATCTCCGGCAAGGTGTGTTGTACCTCATTTGGGCTGGCAAAATGGTGCAGGAGTCGGAGGTGGCGAGGCAGGAAGCTGCGGCAGATCTCCAGCGCTGCTACGAGGAAGCCGCCTTGCTGCAGGCGCAGCTGTCCTCGCTGGCGGCCAGCTGCCGGGAAGGCGCCGACTGCCGCGTACAGCGACTAATCGCGCAGCTGCAGCAATGCAGCGACGGCCTGCGCAAGATTCACGCCTGCGCACAAGAAGCCATGCTCGAAGAGAGCATTAATCCCTCTGACGACGGCACAGTGAAGGACCCCAGTCCTCTGACTGTGGCGCGGGCAGACAGTCAGCAAAATCCTATCCATTGCGGCGAGGCCCAGATTTGGGTGCGGCCAGAAGAAGACGGGGATGACACATTAGCGTCGGCCGTCGAGGCCGTTATGGCGCTGGCTGAGCTGGCAAAGCGCGCACAGCGGGAAGAGGTACAGCAAAGGGAGCGGGCCGGGGCTGCCGAGGTACAAAAGCTTTTGGGATTTTGCCACAAATGTGACAAAAGCCACCGTTCTGTCTGATTGCATGCGGCTGCACATTGGGGTCTTGAACTCCTTTTACAACGGAATAAAATGCATTCCTCTGGACCGTATGGCCTCACCTGACCTCTTAGTGGGCAATCTATTACATGACATGCAAAAGAGAAATTTACAGCCTGAGGGAGGTGGCGTCGGTGCAGGCGGCGCTGCAGCAGCAGAGGCGGGCAGTGCAGGAGGCGCGCGCGCGGTCGGCCGCTCTCGAGATCCGCGCGGCCGAGGCGCAGCGCGGATTCGCCGACCGGGCGGCCGCCGCCGATGCACGGTTTGAGGAGCTGCTGCGGCAGGCAGGTTTTTTAATATTATTTTTGGACCATATTGGTTGAATAAATTGGCCTGTAGAGCGTCAAACACCAAAGTCTTTGGATATATTTCAGACTGGTATGCCCTTGCATTTGCGTGCTTTGAGGCAATGCGGTAGCAGGCGCGCTCCTGTTCAGTGCACAACTGTACCCGTATTTTGTATTTGTGGGGTTTGATGCTTTTGTGAGAAAAGTTGTTTTGCATTTGTCTACACCAGCAATTGTTTGAAGCAATTATCACTGGTGCATAAAACAGGGGCGGGCGGAGACTGCTCGTCTCCAAAGCGAGGCCGCCGCGCTCGAGCAGCGGCTGGCTGACGGCCTCTGCATCAATCTCGCCACCACCGCCGCCGATGCAGGCGCGGCTCGCGACGCCCTCGCTGCAACAGACGCCGCTGCCGCGGACGCGGCCGCCGCCCGGGACGCCCTGGCTTCGGCAGAAGCTGCCGCGGCCGGCCGGGCGGCCGAGGTCGAGGCGCTCTCCAGCCGGCTGGCAGCAGCGGATGCGCGTGAAGCGGCGCGGCAGGAGGAGCTCGCGCGGACCGAGGCGCAGCTCGCCGGCGCACGTGAGCGGCTGGCCGCGGCCGAGGCGGCCCGGGCCGACGTGGGCGCGCGGTCGCTGCTGCAGGCGCAGACGGCGCTGCTCAAGGCGGAGGGCCGCCTGTCGGAGCAGGCCGCCGATATAAACCGCTTGCAACAGCGGCTGGCAATGGCCAATGCTGATGCCGGGACCATACAGGCACTGAAAATCGACTTGGAGGCGGCGGAAAGCAGGGCGTCGGAACAGAAGAGTGAGCTGACAAAGCTCAGACACGACCTGTCAGAGACGGAGGCAAAGTGTGCAGATGCATGGGACTTGGAAAGGCAGCGCAGACAGGATAATGAAACGCTGGAGGCTGACATGGAGGCTGCGAGAGATCAGCTCGCAGCAGCAAAGAGCCGGCAGCAAGCTCTTCTGGCCGATGTTGCTCTGCTCACGGCGGCCGTTGAAGCCTCAGCATCTCTCCTTGAAGCCACACTGCAGCCCGGTCTCGCATCGGCTATCGTTCTCCCGGAAGCCGCCGTCGGTGACCCACCAAATGTCTTAGGCACCACTACTGAAGAAAATTCACACCCGGAAGGGGAAGTAGAGAGTGCACAGGACGTGGAAGCCACAGCCGCCAGAGTGAGAAATGCAGCGCAATCAGCGACGGCGCAGATCGCGGCGCTGCGCGCAGATCTGGAGTCCACCGCCTCCGAGCGCGAACGCGCGGCAGCCACGGCGGTTGGCCTGGGGCTGGCGTTGGCGCGTGCCGAATCGGAGGCGGCCGCGGCGGCGGCTGAGAGCGACAGGGAACGCGCGGAGACGGAGCGGCGGCTGCGCGAGGGGAGAAAGAAGATGGAAGAGTTGGCGGCCGCGCTGGAAGGGTGCAGGGTGCTGCTGCGGCAGTCGCAGGAGGAGGGTGTGAATTTGCAGGCCACCTGTGAGTTGCTGCGGGAGCGGCTGCAGACCGCTGAGAAGCGCGCCGGCAAGGCAAGTGCCATTCTACCGATAGGATTGTAGAACGTATCCCAAGACTTTAAAGTTTGAGTTGAAGTGAAGTGTAGTGGTAGCGCTTGGAATTCACGCAGGCACACTAAGTGGATTATTTCAGGTACTCAGTGCTGCTTATTGTCAAGCATTGGATGCTTTTCATTGGACCATAAAGCTTTTGTGACACACAAAAGCACAGACAGTACTACATGGCACACTTGTCTGCTGGTTACGTCCTGCTGCACTGCAGCAAAGTGTGTCCTGTCATTGGACAACTGCGGATGATGTGCATGCATCTCTGCAGCCTCTTGAGATGGCATAACAAGAATCACAGCATTGGGCGATTCAATTTGCAGGCAGCTGAGCTGAAGGTGGCGTTGGAGGCTGCACACAAAGAGGGGGAGGAGGCCCGGGGCCGCCTGTCGGATGCTGACAAGGCGCTGAGTCAGGCAAGGGCTGAGTCAGTGCGCAGGTGCAGCCAGAACAGGACACTCCTCGGCAAGCTGGCGGCTGCACAGGTGACTTCCGTGACCCGCTCGTGCCTTTCTCGACACATATAAACTCCTGCCATTTTATATATCCCCTGCCACTTCACTTGCCTGGAAAATGACCCTGCGGCCTCCCATCGAGATCTTCAGCTACGGACTTCCGTGACTCCTTTCATGATGTCGAGGTTTGCAGTGGGATCACCAACATTGCAGCGGGAAGTCTGGGCGGATTTCACAATTGTGTTTTCCTGATGAGTGTAATAGTTAGGATTTACACCTCTGACATGTGAGGCAGGGATCTGCTGGGCAACAAAATTACCTGACAAGTGAGGCAGGGTTCGGCTGGGAAATAAGTATAGAGTAGCAATATTGGCGCTACAACTGTGGAATAAAGTGTTTTGCCTGAATAGGAGCGGGCAAAAAAAGCAGAGGAGGTTGCAGAGAGCAGCAAGCTGCACATTGCTGAGCTGGACGCACAGCTGGCACAACTCCAGGTCCGCAGCACACTCTTCGACTCCATTTGACGAGGAAAGGGCATGACACAAGTGTCTTATTTTGCTACACCTGTCAAGACTGCTGTGTGCACTGAATACTAGTTGCTGCCTGCAGGACACTGTGAAACGGCTGCAGCACAATTGCAAATTGCAGGAGAGCCATATTCCGGCACATGCCCTGCAGGTGTGCGCCCCTCACTCTGCCCTTACCAGAGCAGACATGTGCCTCTCCCTTGCTCCTCATGCTATGCTGTCGGCTGACTAAATTGATCAGAAGGAACAGTTTCACCAAGCCAGATAATTGCACCTTACGCATCACATTTTCCAAAGATGACTCAAGGCGCCCTCAAGCATTTTTTACAATTTTTAAAACAATTTTTACACGAGGGAATCTGCCCACTCTACCCCGCTGCCCCGAGGGCTTTGGGCGATTTTGTGCTGTGTTTTACAGGTCCTTGTCTACAGACGTATCTCGCCTTGTGTGCAGAAACAGCGTGTAGCAATAGGAGCATCATAGCGATGAAATGCACTTCATACTCATCTTCAATCAACAACGCAAATTAAAATTGTCTTTTATGAATGTTCAATGACAACGCAGATGCTGGAGGCCGCAGAGGGGTCCCTGGTGGAGGCCCGGCGGGCGGCGGTGGCCACCGCAGAGCGGGGGGACCGGCTGTCGGCCGAGCGCGACGCCGCGATGCGCCAGGTGGCGGCGCTGCAGGCCGCGCTGGCCGGTGAGTCATTGCTGAACCCACCTAATACATCCCTGCAACCCATGCAATCAGAGTAATTATAATACATAAATTTTAGAGAGGCCCCCGCCAACTGACTGACATAGTGTTGCAGAGGAACATGGGCCGTGGCATCTTAGCGGCTTTTGTACCAAGCGCCGATGGGTGAGTCAGCATGAAATCACATAGTCAGCCCTCATTGTCCGTGCAGTCTGCTGAACGGCTGAGTGAGTTTGTGTACGTCTCATTGAGCAGTGGCGTGGACGGCTGGTATCCCAAAAAAAGGCTCTCTGGCTCTAATGAGGACGTGGTATTGTCAAACGCAAAAGATATGATCCCCCGTGCCTGGCTTCAGTGTGTTAGTGACATACTTTGTCGAGTGTTATCCCTGGCAGGCTGATGACAGAAGGTCTCTGCAACTTTTCCAGGCTATAGAAAAGAGCTTGCCTGCTCATATTCTAACTGCTGCAGACCTTTGCAAGAGAATGTGATTGTGCCATTCAATAATGCATGTGGCAGTGGCCAAATTTAGTACGTGTCATTTTGACCTAGTTTTGGGCACATGCAGGGTTGGAGGCAAGGGAAGCTGCGCTGAGCTGGACGGCGCAGCAGCTGCAGCACAGCGCAGCGCAGAGAGAGGACCCCCGGGGGACCGCAGAAGGGCCAGGGGAAATATGCGGGGGTGATCATGCCGATTGCTCCAGCTGCGCTGCCAAGGCCGAGCGCATCTCTGAGCTGAGGTGACTCCTTAGTAGTCATTTATATGATTTGGGAGGAATAGTTTGTATTCCCCCAATGCTGGATCTATATTGTGCAGCTCGCCTTCAGCCCTACATTCGTCATCCGTCAGGCATTCTCACCCTTGCACATTGCGTGCTGTCCTCTCAGAGGCAATAGGTTGCAACCTGCAAGATGTCTGTACTAGGCATTTGCAAAGGGCCCCTGCTAAGCACCTGAAGTGCATGCATGCGCGCATGCCGGGAAGTCTCCCAAGACACAAGGCGCCTTCAGCATTCCTTATCCTAGTACGGTATTTGCTGAGGAGTCTGCAGCTCACGAGATGGACTGCAGGAGCAAATCATGCGCTTGGCAATTCAGCCAAGGGTCTGGGGAAGACAGATGGGAAGGGACACTGTATCGATGAATTTCAGGGAAAGGCTATTGTGGAATCTTGAGGTAGCCACCAGCTTATATCGAACAGGGAAAGGGTTGCAACGCTGAGTCAAGCATTGTGCAATTGCAGGCGCGCACTTGCCGAGAGCTTGGCACGAAGCAAATGAAGTAATCAGGCCAATGCGTTCGACAATACTTTTGTCCGCCATGGAGCTGACATGAGATGCTTGGAATTAGCAACAGTTTGCCCAGCGCGCATGCATGGTACCAGGTGCCCAACATGATTACCTGATGTTCCCATTTCAACGCTACTTTGAAAAATTTCGTTTTTTCTATTTGAATTTTGACATCGACATTGCCATGCATGCTGCTGTCAAGAAGATGAGCAAATGCGTTTTGAATTTTAAGGATGCCCATGCTTTGCAGGAGGAATGCCAGCTGCCTGCCTTGGATCAGGGCAGGTACTTCGGGATGGATAGCATGCTCAATGACGTGCACCTGCCAGCACACATGTGCAAAGCCGAACTTGAATTCTCGGATGCATGTGGAGAATACTCTGGCAAAGCTGAGTGCGAGTGAGACTAGTTAGGGGACTAGCAGTACTCTGGCTCAAGTAAATTATTCTTGCCTGTGCCTGTTGCATGCCTATTGCATTGATAAGCAGTGAAGCCACACGTGCGAGCCGGTAGCTTTCCAATTACAGGCTAAGCAGGGAGTATAATATGGGTGACCAATTGTTGAGATGAGGCCGAGTCCACTATCCTTGCATGCATTCAATTGATGTGTACTTGTTGGCAACGACTCATTGGGATTGCTTTCAAACCGTTGAGTCTGCTCTGGCTGATAAATTGATCGATGATATCAATCACACACAGCTGCTCACAACAATGATGGCTCTTGATGAAGAAGTGCCGCCCGGTGCTTTACAGTAAATTGAGCGGCCTATGTTTCCAGTCATCGATGTAAAACTTTTCTCAAGGCTGCACGGCATGCAGCTGAAGCATGGAATTGCCGGTGTGAAATGATTGATAATGCCCTGGGAATCTAATGCAGCTTCGTAAAAGACAAAAGGCCAGTCAGATGACAGCTTCTCGGATCTTTGGGCCAGTGCTGCAGAAGCCAGTCAGCAGTTTTCAAACTCTGTATATCTTGCATGAATCTCATGTTAGGGCGGCCAATGAAACAGGCAGTCTCACAGTAAGAGCCAAACTGGTGTCGACAATATCTTTGAGCGATAGCCCCAATCCTCCATCATATCTGCCAAAATCTCTAAACGCTCGTTCTTAGGTAGTCCACCTCATTACTCCCGCAAATGCATCTGTTCCATGCTTCAAGTGCTGCTCTCTATTGTTTGCATCATGCTGATTTTCCAGGAATGGGCACAAGAAGAAGGGGAAGACAAGGAAGATGAGGATCAAGCATGCAAGACAGAGAGCGAGAAAATCCAAGAAAGTCTGCAAAGAAGAGCAAGCCTCAGCCTCAGCTTAAAGTGAAGAGGAAAAAGTAAGCACGGTGCGTGGCTGCAGCATTTGGCTCAATTGCAGAACTGTGTCTGCCTATCCTGGCTCTGCAAGCAGTGACTTGCCAATAATGTTACATCTCACATGGAGCAGGTTGACCGTCATTCACATTGTTCATGGCAGGTTGCTACTGGACACAAAGGTTCACCCCTGCATGCACTTGGGGAATACAACTGGCTTGTAATGATGCATGCAGGTAGTAAGAACATCCATCTGGAGCAGCTGCTGGAGTCTTTACTGGAGAAAAAAACTTGCACGGCAATCGAAGGCATCTGGGAAGTCTGCAGAAAAGGAGCCGCTTAATCGTAATCTGGTGAGCCAGCCTCAAAGTTGTTTGTACGCTGGCATTCTCTGACCAGCTGTGAGACATGCATATGCTCGTGTAATTCCTGCTCACTTTCAGCTCTAATGACGTTCTCTTGAAGCGGTCTCATGGAAAGCAGCACCAGAATCTAAGGGTTGCAGCACTCACAACCAGTCACTGGTAGTAACAAACAGAATGTGTGCATGGGCAAAAGAGGGACATCGTGCAATACTGCCATGAGAAGCTCTCAAAGAAGGCGATGTACCCTTCGTCCGCTGCCATGGAGAAGACAGCGAAGAGCTGGCGTCCAAGAAAGAGAAAGGCAGCGCATCATTCAGACGCGCCATCGTCAAAGTGGTGCGTGGGAACTCAGTTACATTTTGCAGCTCATGCATACATGTGCATGTGCAAGCATGTGCCTGGTCGGTGTCTTGTTCATGCCAAATGGAAGAATGCGGCTACCCAATCCCAGCGCTGGGCTAGCCTCTTGTCATGTGAGGCTGCATCGTGCCTCTTATGGCCATGACGCCTCCTTGTTGTGTTGCAAATGCGCAACACAATGACAAAGCAGGTGCGAGGAGAGACTGCCAAGGAGATCAAGGGAGCACGGATAAAGTACTATGGTCACCTGAAGAAAGAGGAGATGTAGGGATGCTGGCAGGTGAGAGAGTCTGCCCCGACCATTGCAGGAGTTCACTTCTCTGAATGGAAGACAAGCAGCCTAATTGCACCATCCGTCCCATAGCGTGAACACGTGGCTGAAGTAGACACACGCTCAGGAGCACTGACTGCTCACTGTGCGGTGGGCGCAGATGTGTCCTACAGGAAGGACGTAGCACAGCAGTACGGGGTGCAACCCATCTTGAGCCTGCTGCTGGACGTGTACAACCTGCGCAAGCAGCCAGGGGGCGCAATGCAACTGAGCACAGCAGAGGTGGCCTTGGCCGAGATGGGTGTGAGTTGGCCAATTCAACTCTTTGAGTGATGCGGGACTCAGAGGACACACACTTATTGCCATGGCGTGCTTTGCAATGCGTTTGAATTGAACGTGACCATCAGGTCATGCAATCCTGTCCGCTGATCGTGTCTGGTTGTGCCTGCCAGTGTGGCTATTCTTCAACGGCATCCCTGAGTTCCCAAAGGACACCACAGAAGGCAGAAAGCAGAAGCTGGAGAACGACCGCTTTCTCGCTGAGGCTGCAGCTGGGATCAACGAGAAGGAAACCTTATACTGATTGTGATGAAGACCAACTGAAACGTTGTGTATGCTCTACATATGATGTCATCTGATGACAAGAGGCTGTAATTGGATATCAGGATGATAACCCAGCATCACTGCTGGTGCACTGACGTGCATTTGATACAATTTGGTTTGACATGCTCTGGCCCAGTCTGGCATCTCTGATATCCTTTTGACATCATATGACGTGTCAATGACATCACATGATAATGATTCGTCGACCCGGAGACCCAACGCCTGCAGCACAATCCTTCCATCATTTTTAAAATCCGCCATGATATCATTTGGATATATGTCTGAAACAATTGGTCATTTGAAGCCATAATGATATCGGTGTCGCGATGACGTCAAAAGGAGTTCAGCATCATCCAGGTTGCGTACTTATCTCCCTCTTCAAGGGGCTTCTGCAGAGGAAGGAGGCGCATGCAGGCTGAGCGGCTGCTAATGAGCTCAGAAGTCCATCCAGATATACACCGTCACTTATGCTGATGTAAGTCTCCTGAAGGCCTGGTCTTTGATGCTGCTCTCCCCAAACCAGACCAGGGACCCTCACCTGTAAGCATGGTCCTTGTCTGGCGTTCAATTAGATGCGAGGACAGGAGCATCACGGCATGGAATGGGAAGATGATGCAGGAGGTGGCGCGGTGGGGCTGCCGACAGCGCTCAAGTGGGCGCTTTGCCAGTTGCTCATGGCCTAATGAGGACATGGTAGTGCCAAACGCAAGAGACACGATCCCTCTTGTCCGGCTTCTATGCTTCAGTGATAGTTTTTCTGCACTGTAACTTTGCGACTTCATCAAACTTGTCAAGTGCTATCTCTGGCAGACTGATGCCAGAAGGTCCCTGCATTTCTACAATGCTACAGGAAGGAGCTAGCCTGCTCATATTCTGCAGTGATGCAATCCTCTGCAAGATACGCGTGTGGCATGCTATAATGCACGTGGCAGTTTCTGGCCAAATGTAGCATGTATCATTTTGACCAAGTTTTGGGCACATGCAGGATTGGACGCAAGGGAAGCTGCGCTGAGCTGGACGGTGCAGCAGCTGCAGCACAGCGCACCGCAGAGAGAGGGCCAAGACATGGGGCGCCTCCAGCGAAATACATGACATAAAAATAAAAAATAATTAGAAAACAGCTTGAGCAGTCTTGGCAGAATCCTATTATTTTGATTTGGAAAGGGTCAGTGTCAAGGTCGAGCTGGCTCCACCTGCAAAGCAGACTTCCTCTGTCCTTGCTGCAATGAGTTTAGCACCCTCAGATCACTCGCACATGGGAGGCCTTAGCAAGGGATGGAGAATAACAAAATCATGACTTGCATCACAGCTGCATTTTAAACCGTGCTGCGGAATCTTGAAGGGGTGTAAACATTGTGATATTGCACTCGCTGAATGAGAGCAGTCTGCAAGGTGGTGACTGAGAAGCACAAAACGCGCTTTGCTTTGCTGACTGGACGGTGCGTGTGCGCGCAGATCGCTGACTTTGGGATGGCCCGAATGCTATCAGCGGATGACAGCTACGTTTCAACTGAGACTCTCGGTGAGTAATCTGCACCCCTTTCCATTAAGTTCAATGCAAGCATATGCTCACGTGCAATGCATCTTATCTGTGCGTGAACCTATGCATGCCTGCATGTCTCCTCCTGAAATCTCCATAGAGTCAAGGGCATGCATGCATGCATGCATCTATTGTTTGAGGCAATGTGCATGCTGTGCATGTTGCCTCAAACTCACATCTCCCATTTTGGCAGCCATGCAAATACTTGACACGTGCTCTCCTCTCTCCATGTTCACAGACCCATGCATCAACCAGCAGAGCACATTAGATCGGCAATTGTCTTGTGCTAGGTGTTTTTTTTAGCTGCCCAGTGCAGGCCAGTGCATGAAACAAGCATTACGAAGGAATTTTCGTGCGACAGCTTGCTGGAAAACCCTGTCAGCATGCTGCCTGTTGCTGGGACTTCGTGCATTTGGATGAGCAATCTGCAGGTTATCAAGCTACAAAGAGCATCGTATCTCTGCTTATGGCCTGCCAAGAGGTCATCAATATTAGATCCCTGGCTATAGGATGAGGTGGCAGCATTCAAGGTAGACGAGGATCTAGTCATGTTTGAATGTTGCTGGATTACTAAGCTTCTGCTGACTCACGCGCAGGGTCTCTGCCATATCTGGCCCGGGAGGTGCTGCAGCTAAACAAGGTGACCCTAAACCCTAAGGCAGGTGATGTGTACAGCTTTGCTGTGTTGCTACTGGAGATGTGGGTCGGGGGCGGTGCCTACCAGGACCAGAACTACCAGAACCCTAAACCATAAACCCTAAACCCTAAAAATATGTACCGTATCCGTATTCTTTGGGAGTTTAAAATTTTTGTGGGAAAAGATGTTTTGCATTTGTCTACACCAGCAATTGTTTGAAGCAATTTTCACTGGTGCATAAAACAGGGTCGGGCGGAGACTGCTCGCCTCCGAAGCGAGGCCGCCGCGCTCGAGCAGCGGCTGGCTGACGGCCACTGCATCGATCTCGCCACCACCGCCGCCGATGCGGCCGCGGCCCAGGACGCCCTTGCTGCGGCAGAAGCCGCCGCCGCTGCGGACGCGGCCGCCGCCCGGGACGCCCTGGCTTTGTCAGGAGCCGCCGCAGCCGGCCGGGCGGCCGAGGTCGAGGCGCTCTCCAGCCGGCTGGCCGCAGCGGATGCGCGCGAAGCGGCGCGGCAGGAGGAGCTCGCGCAAACCAAGGCGCAGCTCGCCGGCGCACGTGAGCGGCTGGCCGCGGCCGAGGCGGCCCGGGCCGACGTGGGCTTGCGGTCGCTGCTGCAGGCGCAGACGGCGCTGCTCGAGGCGAAGGGCCGCCTGTCGGAGCATGCCGCCGAATTGGACCGCCTCCGAGCGCAAATGGCGGCGGCCAATGGAGATGCTGAATTGTTCCAAGCACAGCTGGAAGCGGCAGAAGGCAGGGTGGCCGACCATAAAGCGAGCTGGCAAAGCTGAGACAGGGCCTGTCAGAGACAAAGGCAGAATGTGCAGACGCATGGGACTTGGAGAGGCAGCGCAGACAGGATAAGGAGGCGCTGGAGGCTGATGTGGAGGCTGCAAGAGAGCAGCTTGCAGCAGCAAAGGGCCGGCAGCAAGATCTTCTGGCCGATTTCGCTCTGCTCATGGCGGCTGTTGAAGCCTCAGCATCTCTTCTTGAAGTCGCATTGCAGCCCGGTCCCGCACCAGACATGGCTACCGTTCTCCCGTAAGCCACCGTCGGTAACCCACCACTACTGCAGGTCTCAGGCACCACCACTGAAGAGAATGCAGACCCGGAAGGGGAAGCAGAGAGTGCACAGGACGTGGAAGCCACAGCCGCCAGAGTGAGAAATGCAGCGCGTTCAGCGACGGCACAGATCGCGGCGCTGCGCACAGATCTGGGGTACACCACCTCCGAGCGCGATCGTGCGGCGGCCGCGGCGGCCTGGCGGCCAACCAGGGGCCGGCGTTGGCGCGCGCCGAAACAGAGGCGGCCGCGGCGGCGGATGAGATCGACAGGGAATGAGCGGAGACGGAGCAGCGGCTGCGCGAGGGGAGAAAAAATTCAGAAGAGTTGGCGGCCGCGCTGGAAGGGTGCAGGGTGCTGCTGCGGCAGTTGCAGGAGGAGGGTGTGAATTTGAAGGCCATTTGTGAGGTGCTGCAGGAGCGGCTGCAGACCGCTGAGAAACGTGCCGGCAAGGCAAGTGCCATTCTACCGATAGGACTGTACACTGTATCCAAAGACTTTGAAATTTGAGGTTAGTTGTGGTGGCAGGGCTTGGATTCCACGCACGCACACCAAGTGGAGTATTTCAGGTACTCAGTGCTGCTCAGTACTCAAGCATAGGGTGGTTTTCATTGGACCATCAAGCACCTGTGACACACACAAGCACAGAAAGGCACAACAGGGCACACTTGTCTGCTGGCTAGGTCCTGCTGCACTGCAGCAAAGTGGGTCCCGTCATTGGGCAACTGCGGATGATTTGCATGCATCTCTGCAGCCCATTAGAATGGCAATAACAAGAATCACATCATTGGGCGATTCAATTTGCAGGCAGCTGAGCTGAAGGCGGCGGTGGAGGCTGCGCACAAAGAGAGGGAGGAGGTCCGGGGCCGCCTGTTGGACGCTGACAAGGCGCTGAGTCAGGCAAGGGCTGAGTCAGCGCGCAGGTGCAGCCAGAACAGGACGCTTCTCGGCAAGCTGGCTGCTGCACAGGTGACTTCCGGGACCCGCTAGCGCCTTTCTCGACATGTATAAACCCCTGCCACTTTATATAAACCCCTGCCACTTCACTTGCCTGGAAAATGACCCTGCAGCCTCCCATCGAGATCTTCGGCTATGGACTTCCGTATTTCCCTTCATGATGTCAAGGTTTGCAATGGAATTACCAACATTGCAGCTCGGAGTCTGGGCGGAGTCCCAAACTGTGTTTTCCTGATAAGTGTAATTATCAGGATTTACACCTCTGACATGTGAGGCAGGGTTCTGCTGGGCAACAAATTTACCTGAGAAGTGAGGCAGGATTAGACTGGGAAGTAAATATAGACTCGTTCCCAGCAATACCGGCGCTACAAATGTGGAATAAAATGTTTTGCCTGAATAGGAGCGGGCAAAGAAAGTAGAGGAGGTTGCAGAGAGCAGCAAGCAGCACATTGCTGAGCTGGACGCACAGCTGGCACAACTCCAGGTCAGCAGCACACACTCTTTGACTCCATTTGACGAGGAAAGGGCATGACACAGGTGTCCTATTTTGCTACACCTGTCAAGACTGCTGTGTGCACTGAACACTAGTTGCTGTCTGCAGGACACTGTGAAACGGCTGCAGCACAACTGCAAACTGCAGGAGAGCCATATTCCGGCACATGCCCTGCAGGTGCGCGCCCCTCACTCTGCCCTTACCAGAGCAGACAATGTACCTCCCCCTTGCTCATGCTCATACTATGCTGTCAAAATAAAGGGAGTTTTACAGGAGGAAGAGTTTCACAAAGCCAGATAATTGCACCTACCCATCACATTTTCCATAGACTCAAAGTGCCCTCAAGCATTTGTTACAAAACCTTTGGGATTGCAGGAAAAAATCTGCCACTCTACCCCGCTGCCCCGAGGGCTTTGGGCGATTTTGTGCTGTGTTTTGCAGGTCCTTGTCTACAGACGAATCTCGGCTTGTTTGCAGGAATAGCGTTTAGCAAAAGGAGCATCATAGCGATGAAATGCAAGTCATACTCATCTTCAATCAACAACGCAAATTAAAATTATCTGCTATTAATGTTCAATGACAACGCAGATGCTGGAGGCCGCAGAGGGGTCCCTGGTGGAGGCCCGGCGGGCGGCGGTGGCCACCGCAGAGCGGGGGGACCGGCTGTCGGCCGAGCGCGACGCCGCGATGCGCCAGGTGGCGGCGCTGCAGGCCGCGCTGGCCGGTGAGTCATTGCTGAACCCACCTAATACATCCCTGCAACCCATGCAATCAGAGTAATTATAATACATAAATTTTAGAGAGGCCCCCGCCAACTGACTGACATAGTGTTGCAGAGGAACATGGGCCGTGGCATCTTAGCGGCTTTTGTACCAAGCGCCGATGGGTGAGTCAGCATGAAATCACATAGTCAGCCCTCATTGTCCGTGCAGTCTGCTGAACGGCTGAGTGAGTTTGTGTACGTCTCATTGAGCAGTGGCGTGGACGGCTGGTATCCCAAAAAAAGGCTCTCTGGCTCTAATGAGGACGTGGTATTGTCAAACGCAAAAGATATGATCCCCCGTGCCTGGCTTCAGTGTGTTAGTGACATACTTTGTCGAGTGTTATCCCTGGCAGGCTGATGACAGAAGGTCTCTGCAACTTTTCCAGGCTATAGAAAAGAGCTTGCCTGCTCATATTCTAACTGCTGCAGACCTTTGCAAGAGAATGTGATTGTGCCATTCAATAATGCATGTGGCAGTGGCCAAATTTAGTACGTGTCATTTTGACCTAGTTTTGGGCACATGCAGGGTTGGAGGCAAGGGAAGCTGCGCTGAGCTGGACGGCGCAGCAGCTGCAGCACAGCGCAGCGCAGAGAGAGGACCCCCGGGGGACCGCAGAAGGGCCAGGGGAAATATGCGGGGGTGATCATGCCGATTGCTCCAGCTGCGCCGCCAAGGCCGAGCGCATCTCTGAGCTGAGGTGACTCCTTAGTAGTCATTTATATGATTTGGGAGGAATAGTTTGTATTCCCCCAATGCTGGATCTATATTGTGCAGCTCGCCTTCAGCCCTACATTCGTCATCCGTCAGGCATTCTCACCCTTGCACATTGCGTGCTGTCCTCTCAGAGGCAATAGGTTGCAACCTGCAAGATGTCTGTACTAGGCATTTGCAAAGGGCCCCTGCTAAGCACCTGAAGTGCATGCATGCGCGCATGCCGGGAAGTCTCCCAAGACACAAGGCGCCTTCAGCATTCTTTGTCCTTATACGGTATTTGCTGAGGAATCTGCAGCTCACTAGCAGTTCAGGCACTGCAAAAGCCTCTGCTCAGGCACTGCAAAGGCATGCGCCTGGCAGTTCAGCCAAGGATTTAGGGAAGACAGATGTAGGGGATAGGGAAGGGACCCTATGTTAATGAATTTTCAGGGGAAGGCAATTGTGGACTTTTGGGGTACCCACCAGCTTGTATTGATTAGGGAATGGGTTGCAAGGCTGAGGCAAGCGTTGTGCAATTGCAGGCGCGCCCTTGCAGAGAGCTTGGCACAGGGCAGATGAAGTGATCAGGCGCATGCCTTTGACAATGTTTTTGTCCATCGGGGAGCTGACACGAAAGAACTTGGGAGTTGCAACAATTGTGCCCAGCGCGCATGCATGGTACCAGGTGCCCAAGATAGTTACCTGATGTTCCAATTTTAATGCTACTTTAAGATATTTTGATGTTTTTCACAAATGTGACGTCGACGTTGCTATGCATGATGCTATCAAGAGGATGAGCAAGTGCAATTTCAATTTTAAGGATGCCCATGCCTTGCAGGAGGAATGCTAGCTGTCTGCCTTGGTTCAGGGCAGATACTTCAGGAGGAACAGCATGCTCAATGCCATGCACCTGCCAGCACGCCTGTGCAAATTTGAATGTGAACTCTCGTCGTGCATGTGGAAAATACTCTGGCAAAGATGAGGCTGAGTGAGACTAGTCCGGGGACTTACAGTACTCTGCCTCAAGTAGATTCAATCTATAGAATAAGTCATTCTCGCCGGTGCCTGTTGCATGCCTGTTGCATTGATGTCCAGTGAAGCCACACTTGCGAGACGGCAGCTGCGCAGGACAGGCTAAGCAGGGAAATTGGAATATGGGTGGCCAACTGTTAAGATGAGGCCGAGTTCACTGTGCTTGCATGCATGCAATTGATATGTACTTGTTGGCGACAACTCATCGGGAATGCTTTCAAAACGTTGAGCCTGCTCTGGCTGATAGATCGGTCGATGATATCACACTACACACACCTGCTCATGACAATGATGGGTATTGTTAAAGAAGGGCCGCCCGGTGCTTTCCAGTAAATTGAGCGACCTATGGTTCAGCTGGCCCCGGGGGCGGTAAAAAAACTGATCACCGTGCCCACGGTTGATTGGGACTTGCTTGGACCTGGCGAGTCCAACACGGGGTAGGAATTTGGCAGCCTTTACATGCAGCTTGTCTGCAGACGCACCTTGCCTTTGGCAGAAAAAGCGTGCAATAATAATAAGATTAATAAAGTATCTCCTGTCATTGATGTAAAACCTTTCCTCAAGGCTGCGCGGCGCCGGCATGCCGGCATGCAGCTGAAGCATGGAACCACCGGTGTGCATGATAAAATATTGATAAATATATCTTTGATAATGCTAATGCTAAATCTGCATGTATAGGCCACAAGAAGTAATTGAGATGCCGCGAGGTGCGAATTGGCATGCGCTATCCATGAAGAAAAGAAACCTACAATGACCCCCCGCTTTGCCAGAGGGAAGCTGACTTCTACCCTCGTTCTATCGTCGTTTCCTGTTTAGGTGGGACCAAATCTCAGCGCGGATCAGCCGGGTTCGACGCATCACACGCCGCTCTTCATTAAAGAATTGGAGAAGTAGAAACTGATTACAGGTGGGTTTGGGTTCCAATCATCCAAAACAGCAATCCATGACTTATGACGAGTCGTTGACCTGGCCAGGTCCAGGGTTGTGTCCCTTGATTTTGCGGCATCAAGCAATTTAAGATCACCAAAAGTATAAGCGAACGTCTTTGCAGAGCTGTTGAAGAAGGGTAACAGAATTGGAAAATGCGCACAGGTTTGGAGGGTTTCGGCGAGGTTGATCCGAGTCTGCACATTTTCTGACGGGCAGGAAGATCCTGCATTGAACCATAAAAGACTCCCCTGGTGGACTACTCAGAATTTTCAACAGAGCTGCCGCGTCTCACTATGGTGAGTTCTGCGGGAATCGTCGCTGCCAGCAAACTTGCCGTCATGTTGATGAGCGTAGCTAGAATACCCTACGCTGGACAAGCATCGATGCTATTTGCTAGCTCCCAAATGTTTCGACAAAATTTCATTCTTCTGTAAAGGTCCCAGTCGACAGCAGTTTGCAGAGAGGGAATACCTAATTCCTGCTGTCCTGGTCGAGTGGCATCATGCTCCTCTTCTGACTATTTCTGGCCAAAAGAACGTGATTGACATTTCCTTGAGCGTGCAGGCAGCTTTGTCTATGAGCGCTGCATTGAAGGGGCAGCCCCTGTGGCCTTCTGCAACTGCACAACAGGTGAGTGCAAAGACCCTTTCTGGGTACTTCCCCTGGAACCAATGTATCACCTAAAGAGATCATATGCATCCTTCCGGGACCCAGCAGATGCAAATCAATTTGATTACCTGACTCCTGAGCAATAACATCCTGGTCGATTCTCCTGCAGGGCCGCAACAAAAAGCAGGCTAGCCGAATGACTAGGCGCCAGCTCTCTACCAGCTGCTTCATTCTTGAGCCCTTCACGTTGGCAACATTGCCGACCGTGGATTTTGGGTGGACGTTTAACAGCGCTGATGACTGCAACGCCGGCTCCTACTGCCGCAAAAATTACTACGGGTCCACTTTGCACGACAACAAACAGAATATTGGCGCTGCTGCGGACCGAGTGCTTGCTGATGAGAGTAATACAAGGAAGAAGGACTCTTACAAGGCGCTCATGCTTGCAGTGGCCATGCAGGTAAATATTTCATAGCGGGACCTCTAAGCCTATTCATTTTCCAGCAGCCAAATTGATGGAAACAATGCATTCCTTGATAAAATGTAAGCAACGCTTGCCCGACCTCATGCTCTTGGATATGTCGTGCCTGGTGTTTCACAATCTGCAAACTTCAAGCACCATTCATGTGAGTGACCGGTGTTCAGTTTTTGAGCATGTGGTACCTTGCTGGGAGAATGTCAAACTTTAAATTTTTACACAATGGCAATGGCAGTCCCTAGTTGCCGGAGTGTTGGCAATCAGAAAAGAAATGTGTCAAGTCAGGGAAATACATAATACCACCCTTGGTAGTCTTTAACAAATTTTGTAGGTAAATGCCTGAATTATGCATGCAGGAAGCTGACAAGATGGATCACCGGGACACGTCCAAGGACAACGATCCGCTGTCAATGAACTGCAGCGTCCTGAACATAAACTGCGACATGCTGCAGCGGGCAGGCAAGCTGCGAGGTCCCCACGGGGAAAGCCCAATCGACACAAACGTTGACTGCTACGCAATCAGGGACCAAAATCTTGACCGAGTCCTGCTGCTCCTAAGGAGGGCCTTTGATGTGTGGACGCCCAAACGCACTCTGGACTTCATCCGCGGAGGAAGCACAGGGTTTGATGATGGCTACGGCGGCTCGTGCAACTGCCCTGTGTATCGGAGGGCCATTGCATCCCTCTACAAGGCATTTTCTGACGACCCCAGCCTCATGACTGATGGACGGAGGGGTGACATCACAGTGCCACCCTGCTAGAGCTGCCAACTGGCACAGGATTACTGTCACTCACAACAAACGCTTAAATATGGGTACAGGTCTTTGTGTGATGCTGCAAAGTTGCACTTGATGACAGATGCAACACTTTAGAGTTGATTGGAAGATTGGAAGATTTTAAAAACATTGAGACACGCACTTCATGAATCGCTATACTGAAGCAAGGCCCCTTCACCCAACAGAGTTTGTCAAGAATATGGCCACAACATGGAATTTATCGAATCACACGTCTGAGACACTCAACTTCTGTTCAGCGTATCATAATCTGTATGTCGCAGCCATCGCAGCCATCAAACAACAGAGACAAACAGAAAAGGCATGTCCGTAAAGCCGTGCAATATCACTGACTTTCCTTACAGCTTTGCATCAGCATAGTCTTACTTTCACAGTCTTACTGATTATTGTTCCCAGCATCGCGGGGAACCAGAAGCAATTGCTGTAAGCGGCTCTTGAAATTGGAATGACAGTACCCCACAAGATCCTTATTCTCAGCAAATGCGCCCAAGACAGGATGTGACAAAATTGTTTAGTGATTGGTATTGCTGGTATCTGCAATGTTGTCTATGCAACCATACTATGTGATACTCAAGCCCCTGAATGTAAGATTACAGCTGCTGCTGCAAACCACTGGATGCAGGATTGAGATCTCAATCATGTTCATGTTCATATACCTAGACAATCTGGGGAGCCTGGTACGCAGGAAATTTTGTCGCGAGGAATTCCCCGATGTGTTTGTCGACTGCTTCAGGCCTGCATGGACGCACATGACCCAAAGTGAGCATTGATGACCATTGAAAGGATAAGCAGGCACAAGGACAGCACTACATAGTACGAAGTGGTGTGGGCATTTGATCTTCTGCGCAGAGAAATTGGGAGGTACTCTGGCAATTGCTAGCGTCTTGCTTGACATGTGCTGCCAGTCCCGTTCAATCTGACAAAAGTCAAAATCAGTGAAGCCAAGCAATGCGCAAAAAATCCAAAAATTGATCAAGCCCTTCGCAGGGAAGGCAAGGCCCCAGAGGCTTACTGGTCTTGGGGGCACCAATGGGAGCAATCTTCCAGCGCTGGCGGTAGCACAAGGTGGCGCACATGCTTGTCAAGATTGTTGAACATTTCAGACCGGAAGTACCCGTCCTCTTTGCCATGCAGCACAAGCGTGGGAATCTCCAGCATTTTAGCACATGCCCTGTACCAAAGACACCAATTCTGTTGCCGGACGCCACGAAAATATTTCTACAATGATGTTGCTCAGGGTTTAGGGAATTTGAGTTTAGGGTTTAGGGTCAATGAAGGGTCTAAAATTTATAGACATAAAAAATATTTGTAGGACAATTTTCTGCGCGCAGGATGCACTTCAAAGAAGATTGACTGCCTGGCTGATTATGTCACAAAGTATGACTCACAATGACCTTGTTGGGAACGCACTCGTCAATCTCTGGAATGGGCTTCCAGGTCTCGTTGTCCACCCAGCCTCGGTAGTAATTCAGAGCGGCGGTTGCAGCGCTTATTGGGCAAGGCTCAGTACCTTCCCCCGGCTTCTGCGCGAGCGCGGCTTTGGTCCTTATTATTTCTGAATCGCTTATTGCCCCAGGGGTGCAGGGACCCTTAGGAGGATTTTTCAGGGAATCGTCGACTAATCCCACATCGCTGTTGAGCAGGACTCTTTCTGCCAGGCCCTTGGCATAGAACAGCTGGAAGTAGGATGATCTGCGCAGCAAAAGCATTTTATAAGAAATTATAAGACCCAAAGAATTAACCTAGACGTTATTTGCAAGGGACCTTATCTCAGCCAATTGTGAAGAGTCCTCTGGTGTTCTGGTGCCTCAGGTTCAAACCGACTCTCTGGTGCAGACAATATGTGCCACAAAGGTTATGAAGACAGCCTGACAGACTAAGACACAGCTCAAGGAAGACGTCTTGCAATGCAATGCAGCAAACCCAGGGAATCTGCTATCTTCAATGTAATGACGCTGTACTTCTCCAACACACAGTTGTTTTCAAAGGATGCAGATCCTAATAGATTCTTCAAGGAGAGATGTAAGTCCCCAGCTCATTTCAAAAGACAGAGCAAGTGTCTTGAGCTCTCTCTTCAAGAGAGTCTCTTGACAATCTTGGGCGGAAGAATGTGATATGACTTATCAGGACAGCCACAGGCAAGCTCTGGTGCGCACTTCAGATTCTGCTTGAAGGTGAAGCAGTCGGGGTCTTTGTAGGCAGTTGGGTGCGGTGCAGAGATGACTACAAGGCGCTCGATTGTCTCTGGGTGCATGATTGCGGTTGTCCATGCCACCTTGCCACCCCTGCATGCATGCATTGTGCGTGTTCGAATTTGTAAGAATTATTTCTGTTTTAAAGGCAAGTCCAGGTTCACTCCGAGCAAAGACTGCTGTTAAATTTTGGCTTGCCGCAACACTGCCTTGCTCGTGAGAGGCCTTGATGGCAAGTGGGATAGGAGGAGCGGAAATATTATGAACATGGTGCAAGGCTCCAATTGATCTTGAGAAGTGGTCATCTATAATGTGATCTTGGCACTTATTTTTGAGCAGATGCAGTGCGCACCAGTCGTGGCCGACGAGGACGCACGTCTTGTAGCCGAGTTCATGCACCACATCCACCACATCTTGGACAAGGCGATCGATGTAGTAGTCTCTAGGATCCTGCATAACAACAAAATATCAAGATTGCATGATCCTGATTGCTCTTTGGGTTTGTCGTATGAATGAGAGAAGCTCAAGGTGGCGAGTGCAAGAAGGATGCGCACTCCGGGGCGAGAGCTTTCTCCGTAGCCCCTCATATCGATAGCGGCCACGTTGTAGCCCTTTTTGAAATGGCTCAGCTGATGCTCCCACATTCCCCACAGCTCAGGAAAGCCGTGCAGCAGCAGCATGAGCGGCTTGTCAGAACTACCTGTTGTCACCGTATGCACCCTGCATCCAACCTTTGAAGTCAGAGTTTCAAGCGCCGTGATAAATTGCTCAGAATACACTATACCTGTCAAAGATTTGCGTACTTTATGCCGTTGACACCCAGCTGTCTATGCGTCAAGCCTTGAATCGGGTAGGGTGGCAACTTCAAGAGTTCCTCCGGCCAATCAGTCTGATGCAGGAACCGTTTAGGACTGCAGGGCACAAATACACTTTTGTAAAGGTCATAATGACACGAAAGTCTTGTAAAATAAGAGATGCGGGTCTTACTTGCGTATGAACTTGATTGCCAGCATGAGGATCGCTCCGAGCCAGATCAGCGGTGCAAAAATCATCTTCTTAAAAAAGGCGATATTCCCGGACAGCGTCATTTTTGGCGGCACACTTATGACCTTCACTGGAACCTTCTGTGCCCGGTGTATCTGCTTAAGCCCTGGAGCTGACCGGGTTCGCGTCAAGTGGCATCCACGGCGAGGCCTATGGAAGCAGCCCAAAGGGGATATATGTCTTTTGAGCTGTGTATGATGCAAGGTAATCAAATGCCTATACCAAAGTGGGTGAGTAGTCTGCATCGCGTCGGGCACTCTCATGTCATTCAAGGAATTCCGAAGATGACATGAGAAGAGCCCAGCGCTTGCCTCAATAGGACGTGCCGGGACCTGACCGGTTACACGAGAATGCTGACCTGCAAATTTTGAAGGCAACCGCTCAAGGCACCATTGATCTGCCAATAAGTCTCCTATTGAGGTGCGCGCTGAAAGAGAGCACCTGTGGCGAGATAGCTGATTCCAAACAGAAACGATCTGGGTTCTTCCGGAACACGCTTTGCAAGTCTTGAGCCATTGATAGAGACAGCGCCGACACTTCCTGCTAACAAAGAATCGATTGTGTAAATAATCACATTGCAGTGGGCCAACAGCCTTGTATAATTTCTGGACATGTTTGAGCTCACCGAGACTCATCGCATGTTGGAGTGCTCATCTCGCTTTCAGCGTGTTTGCAGTAAGGACCAATAATTCGAGCTACTATACGTATGTTGTGCACATCATCGTTCCTGGAATGGCTCTGTCTATCAGCTTGAAGACGTCAAAACATTTCGTCAGGTTGGCTGTTCAGCCAAAGCCAAGACCTTCTCAGGCTCGACGCCATTCAGTTGTGAGGTACATAGCTTCAATCCGGTGATTGAAGGGTCTGCCAACGTCTCAAATACCTTTATACGGCATGTCTTTTCTTTATACCTGACACGCTGCCACCTGTCGCAGGTGCCAACAGGTGAATTACTTAAAGCTGATGCTTGTGCCGTGCTGATAATTGAGCTCAAGCAGCCTTCATAGAGCAGCCTTCATATGTAGCAATCAGCTTGTCGCTTTTCCCACCAGCGCTGCCTTGCTGTGTCACTATAATGCCGCATGCATGCACAAATGGCCCCGGCTGGCGGGGGCGCTGTGAATACTGAGCACCCTGCCCACGGTTGATTGGGTCTTACTTGATTCTTGCAAGTCCAACGGGGGGCAGGATTTTTGCAATGGTCACCTGCAGCTTGTCTGCATACGCACCTTGCCTCTAACAGAGAGATCATGTGTAAATATACCTGATGCATGCACAGGTGTCCGTTGACGAGCTTCACAGCAACTGGAAGAACAAGTATCTTGCCACAAGGAGGGATGGCAGCAAGTACGTCAAGTACAATCTTGCTGGCGATTCACAGCCCTCCAACGCTGTCACAACCTCGGAGGCCATTGGGTAAGCAGACTCGTAAGAGAGCAAAGCTTTCCAAATGTGCAGCAAGCTTCTGCTAGTCCCTAAACACAACACAGAAGACTGAAAGCAACAATATAGGTGTTGCTTGGCGTATCTGGTCCTTAGGACTAGAAAGAAAAACAATACCGGTAATTGTTGAAAATACAAGCATTCTAAGATTGCACAATGAAAGGAAGCAGACTATTCTGTAAAGGCAGGGAACAGCAGTGTAGTGGGGAGCAAGACTAGGGACTGAGATATTATTACGATAATTTATATTATTACACGCTTCCCTGCCACAAGGCAAGGTATGTCCTGCCACAATCCTACCCCTTGCTGGACTCGCCAGAGCAGATCCAAGCAAGAACCAATCAATCGCGGGCACGGTGCTTAGTACTTACACTGCCCCCCTCCAGCCAGGGCCTTGCAGGATAAGGCAATGTGAAGTGGCATCTGAAGCGAAGTCACAGCATATCTCATTATATTTGAAAAAGACAGGAGCTGCAAAGGAACGATGTGCGCAGGTATGGGATGTTGATCACTGTGCTGCGCGGCGAGAAGCCTGAATTCGATGGCTTAATGAAATTCTATCAGAGCTTCATCAATCCAAACCATGGGATGATGAAGTGGCAGATTCTCGACAACTTCACGGCTCCTGACAGCAATTCCGCCACCGATGGCGACATGGACGTGGCTTACGCCCTGTTCAAAGCAGGTTAGTCGTCACTGATGACTTATCAGACTGGCAATTGACATGACACAGTACATCACTGCCCCGACCTTATTCTTCATCCAGTTTAGCTTACTATCATTATCATTATTATTATTATTATTACACGCCTTTTTAATCCATGAGGATCAGGTGCGTCCCTTTAGCTTAGGATTTAGGATATATGGATTCAGGGGTAAGAACTAAAGGAAGGGGCTTCTAGAGTAATATTTTTCAAGGAATATGCAATGGTGGAGTTAGGCTATAGGTCCAATGAAGGGTTAAAAAACTATAAAACACAAAGTGGATGAACTCTAATGCCCACTAGAACAGGTTGGTCTGTAAGTCCTTATGTAGTCTGCTGCTTTAGGAATTGCCCGTTCTTTGCAAGCCATCTGCCTTGCCTTAATCTTGTGGACAGATGTAGAGATGCACAGAGCCGAACAGGAAAATCTGTGTGCGTTGGTTTCTTTTTTGCATGCATGACGTGCAGTGCTGGCTGGCATATAAACAAAAAGCTTCTGCCAGCATGAATCGTTGCATAGCTTGAAAATTTCGGTTTTACGAGGCGAGTCCTTTTCTTGTCTGGCACGGGGCGGCTTCAACATCCTTTGAGATGATAACCAACTTGACATCCCACAAAATGTCTGAAGACAGCTCGAGCAAATTTCTCGTTGCATGCACAGAGAAGAAGTGGGGTGGCGGGTCCTACAAGCAGCAGGCTCTCAGCATCTGCCAGTCGCTGCTAACGCACTGCATCAAGTCTGGCGAGAGTCACATGCCCATGGTGGGCAGCTGGGCAGGGCCGACTGACAACCGGGTGCTGTCGAGATCATCGGATTGGATGCCTGCCCACTTTCTGCTGTTCAAAACGGTGCGCTCTGCATATTAATGCAGACAGTCAAGCTTCAGTATCCCTGGGAATCTCTTGTGCATTGATAGCTAGGAGAGCATTGTTGCCATGATTGCTAAAGGGCACTGCTGAGTGGACGGCAGAAGGACTTGACAAAATATGGTTGAACTTGCCAGACCGCAAGCAAATGAGGGCCATTGCCAATTTCCTGCTGCAAGTGTTTCTATTTATTTGATATACTGTATACTTTACCTCAAACACTTGCATGCAGCCTGTTTCCACTGTTTGCAAGTGTATCCTGCGACAGGGTTTCTGTCTAAGTTTTACCCCCGTTGACAACCATTGATGCAATTTTAAAGTGCAGGAGGACAGCGCGCACGCAGACAAGTGGCAGGCAACATTTGACAAGACAGTGGCAGCCTATGAGCGAAACCGTACTCAGCATCCAAGGGGACTGCTTGCAGATTTCCATGTGTACGATGAGTCAGCCAAGGTCTACAATGCATCCACTGGGTTTGTGTTGGAAAATTCGCACGACAAGGACTACTTCACAAACGCCTCAAGGTGTGCCGAAGTGCTGGACTCCAATGCATGTCTTACATCAAGCGCTTGCCATGTGCTATCAAGTTCAATCAAGAAGATTTTATAAAAGACACTTGTTTCCCATGTGACACTCTGCTGTGTCTCAGAGCAGCTGTGCCTTCTTATATAGTTTGGGATACCTCTGTTCTCAAACCAAACGATTTGAGTCTTAGAGCTGACTAATTGCCTGCAGAGAGCAACTGCAGCCATGTAAGGTCTGCAGAGAAGCCAACATCCGTACCTCTGGAACACGACATGATAATCTCTCATGAGCATTGTAGTCTTGCATGCGAAGCCAGCAATACAGCTGAGGCAGTGCGTGATGTAGCGTGACTGATTCTGACTGATCGTATGTGTCATGCAGGATACCCTGGCGCCTGGCAACTTTCTGGAAGGCGCATGGAGAGCAGGCAGTGAGGGACGCCGGCCTCTACCCTGCAATGAAAGCCCTCAAGAAATTCTTTGAAAGCGAAATCGTAAGCACCGGAGAGGTGAGTCATTGCTTACTGCTGTGCATTGGTCAGAATGCCTCAATTCCTCAGTCTTGAAGCCTTTCCTGTAGCTCAGTCAACACTGTCACAATGGAGAAGTGCTCAGGAAGCCCGCATAAACTGTCGTCATGTTGAATACTTGGCTTCCTTTCAGGGTTTGACAGGGCTCCTAGAAAATGTCAGGCCAGCCCAAAAGTAGGGCAAGGGCGGGCCTGCTGCCATAATAGTAGCTGAAACTTCGGGGCATCCCTGAGGTTCCCAGAATGTTTTAATAGGGAGAAGCTGGTTTTCCCTTTAATCTGGCCTCCAAGGTGTTCATATTGCCTGAAGTCAGGGGACCCCCTGAGACACTGCCACGTAGTCTCGGGGCGTTGCCCTATGCCATTTGGCCAAACCTGAATTTATCCCGGGGTTTCCCTAAAAACCTTGCCCCTAGCACTGCAGGTTGGCCGATCCCTTGGGGGGCCCCGGGGGGTTGTCAAACCCTGGTTCTTTTGGAGCTTGTCCACCCCATCTCATCATGAGCACACCAGTACACTTATTGTGTCTCCCTGGCTACTTGCATAGAAATATGTAGCTGACATGGCAAAAGCATGGCAGCGAGCGCTCTATCAATCAAGGTGATTTGATTAATATCTGAGCTTCGGTCTAAGGCAATGAGCATGCCATGGAGTGGTCTGAGCATATGATGACTGCGGGACAGGTGAAGGGTGGATACTATCTGGATGGCAGCAGAATGAATGAATGGACAAACAACGCTTACATGGGCCCTGCATGGTGCCTGCTCAAGGTAGGGCTCTTATCATTGATGTCTGACACATCTCATAGGACCATCCCACGAGGATCATAATTTAAAAGGTCTGAACACCTGACAGGTCTATAAGCATCTGATAGGCTATTGCTTGGATCTTGCTTGGATCTGGCGGGTCCTAGAAGGGCTAGAGATGGGCAGCCTGTGTCGGCAGATCAGCAGACGCACCTTGCCTCTGGGCAGTAAAGGCAAGTAATACTAATAGTATTAACAGTAATAATGAGATAGGCTATGGAATTAATGTAGGTGTGCTGCACACTATGTGCATAGGCAGAGCAGACTGTGTGCAAGTCTAAAACAAAGGTGTTGCCTCTATGTCGTGGAAAGTGCACACTGGGAACAAAGCTGTTAATCAGGGCATGCATGCATTCATAGGAAATAGTGTAGATGGGTGCTTGCTCACAGGTTATGGGGAGTAGCAAAGCGGATGACCTGGAGCAGAAGGTCTTGGAGCATGTGAATGACCGCTACTTTGCGTGCGCCACTCTCCCTTTGCCTGGCAGTGTTTCTTCAAACACATCCCATTTCCTCCCTTTTCAGTGCGCTGTTGCAAAACAAACACGGATTTGCAGGGTTATTCTTGGAAAACTTTTTTATTACCCCGTGGGTGACCTGAACCATGGGTCACTGACTTGCACGTAGTCAGCTGCTCCTGGCTTCTTTCTGCTTTCCGGGTACTCTTTTACTACGTGAGCCTGAATGAGAGGTACTTACCTTGAATGCCAATATTTCAACCGAGAACGCCTCAAGTGAGAATCAGCATGGCCCACAGAGCAATGCACCACACAATGGCGGGGCTGGTGACATGGCAATATGTACAGTGTGGGCTTCTCAGCTCCTCAACACCTGCCGGTGCTGCAGACCATAGCTGACGCTGGTGAGTGTCATGTAGGGATTCCATACTTCTGATGTCAATCCTGGAGACACAGTAGCGCTGTCGGCTGCGCTCTGCACCACCAGATTGACAAAGTGCAATTTTGCTGCAGCTGTTATTGGCAGGCTATCACTCTTTTGTGCAGAAGGAAACGGGCCTCATTGTCAGGCCGCTGGTTGTTTGCACCAATGACTCAGTCAATCCTTGAACGCCTGCTGGTGCTAGGTAGCCGACAGATTTGTAGGATGGGTCAGCCTAAATGAGTTTAACGCTGTCAAAGGGAGGTGGGGAAACCCCTTTCGAGCAGCTTCTGGGCTCACGTATGGGTTTGAGTAAATAGCCCTGTCAGTGGTCTGCTCATCCATTCAGTCACTGAAGCATTGCTGAGCAAGATTGATTGACAGTAAGGCTGCTGCACATGCGCCAACAGCAGGTTAGACTGTGCATTCACCTTGACGCATCCCGACTGATTCAGACAAAGCGGTAATGCCTGGGCCCAGCAGGAAGCTTCTTGGTAGCTGCGCTGCAACTGCGCTGCTGCATGCAGTCTGCAGTCAAGACCATGGGACTTTGAAGTTGCCAGCTACTTCACAGGCAGTCAATGATGTGTGCAGAAATCAGACGTAACTGTTTATCTGTGTGCCAGTGTTCACGCCAGGTGACACAAAAGCATTTGAATGAGAGTTTGAGCACTGCTGACAGGAGCATGCATGCGAACATGCACGCATGCATGCATCTTGAGGCACAGAGGAAAGGCCTCTGCACGTGGACGATTCAAACCGCATCCGTTACAACAATGTAATCTACACAGCAGAGCCCGATGCATACGCGGCCTGCTATATTAACAACAGGAGTAATATCTGGCAAAAGCCGAACAAATGAGCACAGCTAGGAGGAGCTCCAAAAGACACAGCTAAATTTACAGGCACAAACGTCTCCTGCCTTATGCTTTATGCGCATCTGCAGCAATGCACTCAAGATCATACAGTGAACTACTTCGTCAAATTAAGATAAGACCATCGACACTGCTGGCCATGTCAGCCGCCATGTCAAAACAATTGCAGTGGGGGTGATTTCATTCATTCATTCATTTGCAGCCAGACAGAGTAAAGGAGAAAATATAGGAGTCCAGCAGGTGAATATACATCTGCATTCAAGCTTAGTCCATGTTCGAAATTGACAGTGCTGATATCACTTGCACAATCCACTCATTGCAACCGAACTCCAATATCAAGTGAGTCCTGTGCACAGCCCACACGGCTGGCCTTTGAGGCAGCTGTCAGACAGCAACTTCGTCAATCGTTCCAATTCTCATCATACAACCAGTTATCAGTGTCTCTGGACCACTGCATGTTCAGGAAGATCCAAATTGCAAGGTCTTAGCCAGGGCAGGAATATTAACATTACATCTGAGTCCTCAGTGCCCTAGGCTGCGTGACGCATCTGCATCATGAGGAGCGAAGCATATCTATGGTACATTGGACAAAATCAAAAGTAAAGAAAAAGAGTGTAGAGCACTGATGTAACTAGACTGGACAACAACCCCATCGATTGAGTTGTCTGTGGGCATGGCAGATTTGCTGTGACCAACAGACTTGGAAGACCCATCCTACACTTTTTTCTGCGTTGGCAGAATGGGTATGCGGCTGCAAGGCCATTGCTTCCGGCTCCAAGCTCAGGAAATATGCTTGACAAACTGAGATTCAACCTAGCACAACACACAAGCATCAGAACATCACCAAGAAGAACCAGAGACCACTCTTCAGCTTGACTGGCACAGCCACCAATGTTTCTTCTAATATACAGGGATGAGAAGAAATACCTCCGGTATTACTCAGGAACTTACAGAGCTTAGTCCTACGGTGAGCCCTGCCACTAGGTGGCACGGTGCGCTAGGAACCCATCTTTTACACGATCGCCGAAGACAAATTGCCAGACAAACATTGTAACAGGTCATACATACCAATCAGCTTCAGTATCTGACAAAGATTCCGCGTACCTTTCATTCCCGCCATGGATGTTATGACAAGGCATCAGATGGCTTCAGGGCGGACGGTCACGCCCGTCATGTGCCGCGCAACCACCGTCCAACGCCAGCGGCCATCCTTGACAGGTTGCATCTTGGAGGCATCGATGCTCCAACACCGTTCGAAGGCCGTGCGAGCCTGCAAGGCCAGGATGTTCACACAGACATCCGGGAACACGAACCAGAATAACCACAAAACTGGATCAACAGGCTACATTTGAGGAGTCGATCCGACATAATAGCGGACTGCCAGCTGAGGGCTTCATTGCTGACAGCTCTGGGGAGCAGTACGTACTATGTGTCCAGGATGTCAACATCTGAGAATATAGAACAACTACCACGGCAGCTCCTCAGCACCAAAAAAGCACCGGTGAGGGTCCCAAACGGATAAGGACACACCTGCTGCTCAGCATTCTTGAAGAATTGGTCCATCTGCTCTGGGCTCGGCGAGCTTCCAAAAAGGCGCCTAGTCGCTTGCCTCTTCGTCTGCTCGCCTCCTAGGGTCCCTTGCTGGTCCATTATTGGCGCATCGTACGAACATTGGTCGTGGCAAGGCCGTTTCCTGCTCTGAACTTCCTCACTCTCCCCACCGCCGCTGCTCACATCTTTCTGAGTAGGTTCGCCCACCCCGAATAATCTTCTTGACGACGAGCCTGCCGACCCGTTCTGCTGCTGCAACTTTTTATCCGGAGTGATGAGCGCATCTGATAAGCTTGCAGCCTCCTGCTGCTTCTGACAGAGAATGATCCTGCTGCTTTCCTGGTGCAGCATATTCTTGAAGTTTAAACAATCCTCACTGCATATGCTTCCTGGGTACAACAACACCTGATCGCCCTGACAGCATGCGTACTACAGAGTTCTGGGAGCCTTTGTGTGCCAGACATGGGTATACGCAGGAGGCTGTAGCGCGATTTTATGTGTCCTGGAACAGATTGCGAGCGTTATGATGAGAAAGCATAGTTTCTAGGACAATGCCCCTTTATAAATATGCACATAATATTAATCCAAGGGATCTATAGGGCCAGGACAGCAGGCACCCTGCCATTAGCAGTGCGCCAAATCGCATCTCGAGCAACTTGTTCGTGGCAGGGATGACGTTGGGATCCCACTGAAACAAGAGTCGTCTGGCATGTTGGTGGTCTTCAGGGTCTGAGGCTCTCAGACCTGTTGAGGCAACCTTCTGAGCATTCACCTTGCACTGTGCTCTACCTCAAGCACTGGTGCAGCCTCAGGGACGAATCGCGCTTCCAGTGTGCCAAGATATTTTAAGTAAGCTGGCAAAAGCGTTCAATCACCGCTCCTTGCTGGAGTTGCGGAGGGGATCTGCTGACTTGGCAACCCAGAGCTACTCCTCAGTGCAGTTGTGAGGTACGTTGTTGCCGTGTTGCAGCTGTTTCGAGAATCTTGCAAAACATGTTGCGTGGGCCAGCTTTCCTGCTCGAGAAACATGGCCAGGCGAAGCTTTGAAGTGCACCCTGATGTTCCTTTGAGTGTTCCACGATATTTGAACTAACCTCGGCTTAGAGATGTGTGCTTCGTTGCCAATGGTTCAACGTTCCTCTAAAACCCTGGCCTGCCTTTGGATCCACTCTTGAGGGGGAGTGCAAAGTAGATGTCTGAAGAAAATGCATGCTTCCTGCTTATGATTTTGCCTCCCTGGTCCTCCAGGCGGAGTGGAGCAGGTCTCGGGCGACTGATTTCGCTCCTGGCAATGAACGGACAAGCGACGCCCCTGTGCTCCATCTGCTGGGAGACGTTGGGCAAGTATGGGGGCCCAGTCACCCTCCCATGCGGTGCGGTCACAGCATCCTTCCATCACATGCACCCTCTAAATCCCCTGAACATACCTTCTCATTTAAACGGCCTTGATCTAGCAGAATCTGGAACCTTGGAAAGGCGCCTGCTCTCTGCATGCAAGATCATGGCTCAAGTCTGCGTACTGTAGTGGAGACTCTCTCCTCCGCAGGGGCACCATTACGGATGTGCTTGTAGCCATTCTGGCAGCGCATACAGGTCTGCCAAAAGCTTATAAGGCAGAGATGTTATAAGATGTTGGAGCAGCCGCCTGGTCCCTCTGTGTGTGCATGTATACATTATTTTTTTGATGGCTAATCATTGTGCAATGCCTGGGCCCGGCTTTGGGGGGGCGGCACAAGTACTGCGTGCCCACCCATGATTGATTGGGCCTGGTTTGATCTTGCGAATCCAACAATGAGCAGCGGGTGCGGCAGCCTTTGCGTGCAGCTTGTCTGCAGACGCACCTCTTCTTGCCTTCTGACAGGACCAATGTGCGATACAACTAGTTCATGGGCATGCTCCATCAGATCGCACTCGTCAGGGGCTTTCCGAATTCGGCCTCAAGCTTATTAGAGGGTGATTGTGCGTGTCAGAACGGTGTTACAGGAATATTAATTTTACTACTTCGCGTGGGCAGGACACAATGGCTGCCTATACTGCATGGCGCAGAATCACCTACTCAGGTCCAAACACATGCAATTGCCAATGTTAGTAATGTGCGTGGGCAGGCCACAACGGCTGCCTGCACTGCATGGCGCAGCTGCAGCGGGCCAAGGCGGAGTGCCCCCTCTGCCGCGCGGCGTTCCCTGCAGGGACACCATTAGTCGTCAACCACGAACTGCGCGACCTCATTGCCCTCGCGGCCGCGCTCGGCACCGTGGAGCAGAACGATGGCTGGCAGGCCATAACAGCCCAGGTCAGTGTCTTGATCATGCAACTCCTGCACTAAGCCCGCTCATGCATTCATCAGTAGGGAGTGCATTTGAAATTCGCCAAGGGTCGCGAATGCAGTCACTCGCCTGGACAATGCACCCACAGCCGATACTTGTGTCCGGCAGTTGCAGTGGGGGCAGTAGCGCTGATGAACAGCAGCGGCCCTGGTTTCGGCAGGGTGGTTTCCGCCGTGGCAGTGCTGGTGCCACCGTCAATCAGTAGAACTATGGCGTCCGGCCTTAACGGGTTCATTCACCCTGTCACTGTGGAGATCCATAGATAGCACATACCACCTGTTCAATAGCCTAAGTCTAGGGTGATCTTTGACATGAGGAGAAGCTTTTGAAAGCTGCACCTCAGGACAGGAGCAAGCAAGCAGCTGTCCACACCCTGTTTTTCCAATTCTTGAGTCACTGTCGACCTCAGGCGAGTGGTAGGCAAACCAGAGAGTGTGATACCGGCGTTTGAATCCAAACCTGTTATGGCATGTGCGCGCAGGTGCCGAAGAAAGGCGCGGACGGCGAGCTGGAGGGGACGCAGTCTGAGAACGGCGTTTCTCTGGTGCCGACGGCGCCGCCCGCGCACATGTCTCTGAGCGCCGTTCTGGACGGCGACGGAGACCTGCTCTCCCTGGAGCCCCCCTGCTGGGTCCCCGACTCGCACGCGACAACTTGCACGCGGTGCAAGGCCGGCTTCAGGTGGGTCTGAAGACCCTTTGTCAACTCCCCTCATCTGACACCACTTGGGAATGTCATGCCCCAATAGAGTAGGGTCGGCTAGTACACCATAGCCTGCCCCCGCTGCATGCAGGCTACTAGTGCACCTGCAGCTTGTTTATTGCTCAAGTCCCAGGGAAATGTAACATGCAGGAGAAGATTGACAAACATGCGTCTGCCTCCTTGTGGTTGGTTCAACGACAGTGCTTTCTGCCGCCCATGAGATGGATCCCTGTCAGGTTTCTGGGAAGCCAGGTGTTGGGCAATCTCATTGTGGTGTCTTGAGGTTCATGCAGCGACAAAAGGCAGAAGCAGCTTGGTGACCTCCAGAGTAAAAGCTGATTTTATGAGTTTGCAGCTTGCCCGTACGGATGCATGGTATGCCTTTCATACGCATGGTGTCATATGTAGGGGTCCAGTCTGTGTTTACAAAGTATACACTATGGCCTCCCCCCAGCCGCCCTCATGATTTTAACATTTGGCCAAAGGGTGCAATTACCTGCTTCTGCACCAGCGCGACCGGTGTTGAAGTAGGTACATGTGCCCCATGCACACATGATTTTTATATTCTTCCTGGGGTTGACATCTCTTGCATTACGTCCACTGCCAGGCTCCTCAGCTTGTCAAGGAATGCTTGGCAAAAAGAGTAATCTAGAGGTCTGCATTTTGAATAAATTTAAATTTGAACGCAGGCCTCTGGCGCGCACCCGCCACCACTGCCGGCTGTGCGGGAGCATATTCTGCGGCGCATGCAGCGCGGGCAAGCTGCTGCTGCCGCCCAAATTCCGGGAGGCATCGCCCCAGCGCGTCTGCGTCAACTGCGCTGCGCTGCTCACCCCCCTGCAGCCCTTCCTCGCAGGTGCGCGCACCTGCCGACACTTGACACTGGTACCACCCTTGCATGCATGCAGCACCTACCACCAGCATCAATTGCACTTAGGCCCAGCTGGAAATAGAAAAGCGTTTGATATCTCGGCGCTCTAGCTCATTGCTGTCGCAGGATTGGGTGAATTTATGGACCTTGACATACCTCTGCAATGTCTCAAAATGCCTGGCATCAACTCTCTTGGACATTGACCCTCCGAGAAAGGATGTTTTTTTGGAAGCAGAATTCCCCCTTCTGTTGTTCACTAAGCATGCTGCGCATGTGGGCCTAAGCAGGCACGGTGAGTCACGCGGTGCAGCCGGCAGTGCATGATGTCACGGATGCGAGCGCGCTGAGGTCATGGTTCAACCCCCCAATGGCCGCCAGCCTGGCAGCTGAGCTGTACAAGGTGCGCGGCACGACATTGCTTTTGTGCCGCTTGAGGCCACACACACACATTCAGAACTATTCGCCTGCTATTCTCTTTGTGTTTGCGTTCTGTATTGGATTTCAGGTCATTTCTCGTCTTTTGCATTGAACAGGCATCTAGTATATCGAATCCAAAGGGGCAGGAGACTGTCTTGCAGAAAAGTGCATGCATGCGGTCTCATAAGTGCCATGGCCTGGCTCTGTGATATCTAGATTTACTTGTGTGGTGGGTTGTGATCATTGTGTAGGTTCTTGTCGGGCCATGTGGACTTCTGAGGCTGTATGCATGTATCCGTCTGGCATAGGTCCTTTGGCATGCACGCATCGACTACTGCGCACAACATCTTTCTGATGTGGCTAATGTACTCAGGCATCTTGTGCCTGCACGCCCAATATAGTATGTGGGGGGTATACTGTATTGCATACCCTGCAATATTCTAATTTGGGCTACCCCCAAAACAATTCACCCCAAGATACATTTGGGTGAATACACGCAAAATGGGTAATGCTCGCAGGCGACAAACATCGTGCGCAGCTTTGCGGCGGTCGGCAGCCGCTCGCCGGACAAGGCAATTCCGGCCGCCATCCTTGATGGCGCTGCAGGCTTCGCCATCCTCTCCGTTGCCAAGGTGCGACTGCGCCGTTTGTTCTCCGTTTGTTCTCAATCTCTTCACTCCACTTGCGATAAATATCCAGTCAGTTCTGTGGCACTTCAACATCGAAATAGGTTTTACTAGACCAGCGGGCACGCCTGCTGCGCGCAAAAGGCGCCGCAGCACCTGTCTGGCTCGAACTGGCTATCCATGGCTTGAACTGGAATTAGCGCATTTGGGTGCTGGGGCATTTATTGCACCGCAGCGGATGTCCATGAAGGGAGGCTCTCTTTACTCTGGTTGATGCGCTCTCTTCACTCTGCACGGCAGCCCTTTTTCTTTTCATGCACTGCACTTGCATGTCATTGTTTCTGCTTTGGAACTTCTCAAATATGAATTTGCTACGAAAGAGAACGTGCGCAGTGGCTGCGGCCATCGTAGTGTATTTGCCTCGTTTCTTTCAATGTCAAATTCTAAGTTCCGAGGGGGAACGCCTGTTTCTTACAATTTAAACTCGAATATCTGAGAGGGAACACGCACGCGTGGCAGGGCGGCTGCGGCTGGAGCGTGGCAGCCGGGACGGGGCTGGTGGTGGCGCGCAAGGCCGGGGGGTCCTGGACACCCCCCTCGGCCCTCGGCTTCTACAGCTGCGGCTGGGGGTTCCAGTTCGGCGGCGTTGTCTCTGACCTCCTCATCGTCCTGCGCAACCAGTGCGCGCCCCTTTCTCACCCCGTTGTATTGGATACCCTGGCTTGCCATAGTAGGTCATTTGTGATGGGGGGATCATGTTCCTTGACTTGCTGACAAGACCTGATATCCCTTCATGCCAACTATCCATATGTCGACAGCAGGGAGAAGCGGCAGCTGTTGTTTTGATGAGCACATCAGTGCAGGTTGGTGATCTGGGTGTATCGTGCCATTGGAATGATTCGCAATTCTTGAACGCCCCGTTGAAAAGCTTAACCTCAAAACCTTGCAATGATGGGATGTCTTACATCATGCAGCAGACTTGTGCACGCACAGACCTTGCTCTCCATAAGCACAGTTCTCGAAAATAGCTTTGGACTCTGCCAAGTATGCTTATGGCATTTGCAGGCCGGCGGTGGCTGCATTCTGCGGCACGCTGCACTGCGGGCTGGCGGGTGGGGTCAATCTGGCGGTAGGTCCACTGGGCCGCCAGGCCGAGGTCACCATGCAGGTGCGCGAACATGACCCCCGTCCACGTCAGCATGACCTGCTGTGCTGCTGTGTTGTCCCTTTGTTTGCAGTTGTCGCTAATTGTGGGTTGCAACTTTATTGTGGCCGCGCACTGATGCAAGCAGTCTCTGTTGTCTGGATGGCGGCTCACTGAAACTATTCCACTTCAAGGCCAGGGAACACACGTTGCTGGATGTGATTATGGCATGTCTTTAAAAGTACCTGGCTATGTATCAGCTCAATATATGTATGGTTCTGGTCTTATAAATGGAGCTTTGGGAACCATCTGAACCCGTCACGCTTCCACTACAATACCCTGGAGCTCAGAACAAGTGCTCCATGAGCTGGGGTCACCAGACATGCAGTTCCTCATGCCGATTCTGGACTGCTTGGTATGTGTAGGAGTGATGACTAAAGGGTTACGATCTGCCAGGTGGGCCTGGCCGGCGCGGCGATGTGCTACAGCTACTCATGCAGCCGCGGAGCATTCGCCGGCGTCAGCATCGAGGGCTCGCTTCTGACAACGCGCTCTGATGTCAACCTCAACTTCTACGGTGAGTTCACGTTTGGCTGTGATCCTGCCTCCTTCTGATTCCAGTGTCTCTGGTGCTTCTGTTGTAGCGAATATGTGGAAACTTTAGATTCTTTGTTTGTCATGTGCTCGGATGTGAACCTGAACTTCTACTTCTTTCCTGTCTCTGAAACCAGTGGCTGTTCGTGTCTTACTTCATTTGTTGTTTGAGGACACTTACTCAGAACGGCAGGCACTTTGACAATCATGGTCCCTTGCGCTGCCGATCAGATGCAATTTTGCCCTTATGGAAATCTGTTCTGGAGAAGTGTCCTTTGTTTGTATGTTTAAAGGCTGCTTTGAGGGGCTTCTCCATTTGTGCCCTAGCAATGCAAACCTTGCCAGGGCGAGTGGGGATTGGGGTCTAGAGGGGATTGAGGATTATAAGGGATCCAGGAAGCGCTTGTCCTGCTTGCTTGGGGTGGTTTCACATGTCTGCCAGGTGTTGCATGCAATCTGTGACTCAGCGGTGACGTGATTGACTTGAGTTGCCTGTTCAGGCCGGCCGCTGACCGCAAAGCAGCTGCTCATGGGCGACAACGTGAGTGCGCCAGTGGCGGCCGATGCGCTCTACACTGCACTTGACGACCTCATGGCGCGCGCCGGAGCGCTGTCCGCAGAGAGAAGGTGAGCACTTGTCTTTGCTTTGGGAACCTTCGTCTTTGTTATTACTACTTTTTTCTGACAAGGAGAAAGATGCGGTAAATTGTGTTGCTGGGCGGCGTCTGTTGGGGCCTGCAATGCCCTGCGCTCTGTGGCAGCCTAGTAAAAGCTGAGGGTTAAGAGTCACCGCATCTGGCAAGTGTGCGTCCTGGGAGGCTCTTTTGTCCAAAGCAGCGATGAGAGAATGCTGCCGCAATCCTTACATATAATCAAGCTTGATTAACCGCATCTGGCAAGTGTGCGTCCTGGGAGGCTTTTTTGTCCAAGCAGCGATGAATGAATGCTGCCGCAATCCTTACATTTAATCAAGCTTGATTAACCGCATCTGGCAAGTGAACGTCCTGGGAGGCTTTTTTGTCCAAAGCAGCGATGAGAGAATGCTGCCGCAATCCTTACATATAATCAAGCTTGATTAATCTTGCATAATTCTCTGCAGGGAACGTCTGGAGGCGGGCCGGCGGCAGCAGGCGGCTGCAGCCGCCGCGCAGCCAGCATCGTGCCTGGCGGCCGCGCGCTGCGGCGCGCGGCCAGAGTCGGCTGTCCGGCCGGGCAGCCGCGCCGCGCTATGGGCTGCCCGAGACGGCCCGCCGGCCGCCGCCCAGGCCGAGGCGCTGCCCGAGCGGGCCGAGGTCCTGCCCGAACCGGCGGCCGAGCCGGCTGAGGGCTTTGGGCAGTTTGGGTATGTCGATGAGGAGGGGAGGCCTGAGGACAGCGAGGATGAGCTGGGCTTTCCTGGGCTGTTTGAAGCTGAGTACGACTGAGCTTTCTTCCTTGCTGCTCCCTTCGAGGGACTTCTGTCGCAACAGAGAACCCTTCGCAGGAGGTTGCCAGACTGTAAGAGAGTGGGGCCTTTACCGGTCAGCGTGGATCAGCTGAGCGTCGGTGAGAGAAGACAGATGCAGAGAAGATCAGAAGATGGGCAGTGTCTCTGGTGCCTGCAGGCTTGGACTTCTGGCTGCATTAAGAGCAGATTCCATTGACATACCCGTAATAGCCAAAGGGTGATGGCCTAAGAAGTGCCAGCACTGCAAGCTTTCCCTCCTGCGGTCTATTTTGCACTGGTCAAAGCCAGACGAACAGCCTGATCTGGCAGGGCTGAAAGGATTTCCTTTTGCCTTCTTGCACCCAGGCGCACCTTGCAAACAGGTGTCTCCGGTGCTGTAGCAGCAAGAGTCTTATTGTATATATTGTACATGCAAAAAGGGGACAAAGAAAAGGTGCTCCTTCTGTATCTCTAGAATGCTCTCTGCTCGCAGCAAACGGCAAGGAAGGATTGCCGGAAAATTTTGGTCTGTGTGGCAACCTGCTTTGTTTTGTTTTGCAGTGTATCAAAATGCCTCACGCTCCAAGTTCCTTCAGGCTTTGACAGCCTCTGATTTCGCATCGCTTTGTTTTGCTTTTGAATCCAGCCTTGCTAGAACAACAACTTCAGTCTCTGTGTCAAGCAGAAAATGCTTTGTACATGATGTACCAATGCTTGTTCTTTTCGAGCCACCCGTTTAGCTTCCAGGCAGCTTGCATGCATAGCATGCACTGGGCTGCTGCTGATTTTGTGTAGGCGCGCCTCTCTTGTACATGTGCATATATGACCTTTGCTTGATTTCAAGCGCCACTTGTCTGTGAAGTGAATCTTGCAAGTAAATAGACTTGGCGGGGAATCCCGGGCTCTTTGGATCTTTGGCTCTTTGGACCCTAGCAGGCCTGCAGCTTGTCTGCAGGCACATCTTGCCTACTGGCAGAAATAACTTGTAAAAATACAGTAATAGCAGCAATTGCTCTCTTGGTTGCAACCAAAGACCACCTTCAGGAAACATCCATGCCAGTGGCCGGCCAACTTGAAGTTGGAGATATTGCAACTGCAGTAGCTAGTGTACTGCCGGATTGGCAATCGCAGTCTTTGGGGGCGAGCCTCAAGAAAAATACCCCGGCCTGCAGGTACCAGCTGGTACCTCCCACTCAGTGCCAAGCTTTGTGGCGGTTACTAAGTAGTGCTATTCAGCTGACAACTGCAGTCACCACGGTGGCATCATGCTGATGATGATCATGCATCATGGATGATCCACCGCGCACATGCGTGGGCACAATGCGCCACCTGGGCGTTCAAACTCTCATAGTATCCAGATTATCAAGCACAATATTGAGTGGAATGCACCCTGCTGAGTCTGGTATCTGGGAACGTGAGATACGGCACAGAGCACTCCTCACCTAACACCTGGCAGGGCCATCCGAAAGGCACGTGTTGATATGAGTGCTTGGTTGGTGAAGAACGCCAGCGCAGACCATGGACGGCCCCACATCTCCACTTTCCTAATCGCTGCCACAGAACAATATTCCAGTCACCAAAGCTCGTCGATCTCCGTCCGGCCCCTGACTCTGTTGCTCCTTGCGCTCGAAGCAATCTGAAAGCTTCGCAGTAGGCCCTCCGGGTTGCAACTCTGGCGTATATTCTGACCAGTAGATCAAGAGCAGAGCATGGAACCAATAGGCGGCCAGTGCTCACAGTTGTGTAAGAGTAATAGTTTCAGTACCAGCGGTCAGAAGTGCGAGCGCGATTTGGCATTCGGAATAGAGGACGTCAGGCCTTGGGGCGCACAGCAGAAGTTTAGCGCAGCTTTCGCAGATGTGAGTATCCTGGCTTCTGGGGGGTTGTCTGGCATCATGTGCTCGCTGCTGGGCATGGATCAGATTCTCGTCGATATATGAACAGCATTGCAAGTAGGTTGAAGTGGGCATGCATACCAGGGTCATCAATCTGGACGTTGCTGCACTTGCTGCTACCTGTGTATTTTGCGTAGCAAGACTGCCCCAGGGCCGTATGGTTGGCTGCGGACCCAATGTGCAATTGCTTTGTAGAGTATCTGGAATGGATGGTTTGCGCAAACCTGCCGTGCCAAGTTTCGTTGCTCACAGCAGCTTGTTGTGTGGTGCAGTGCGTGAAGAAGCCCTCATAACAGGAGCTAGTGGAGCATCAGTCTGACAGTTATTGGCAAACATATAGGGAGCGACCAACAGAATATAATGGAAAGCGAGAGCGTGCTTCCTTGCCCCTTATTTGAGGGAAGCGAGAAACGCCTTGCGGCCGAATTCTCCTTTGGAGCCGCCAGCCGTGTTGAGGGCCTCCGGGCGCTGCGCCGTGGCCAGATCGATGCGCTGCTGCACCAGGTGTGCGACCTTCCCTGGATTGATTGGAGACATATTCAAATTAAAGGTGTCTGCTGTCTCGGTGCAGACTCGAGCTGCTGTCCTACTGGACCGTGAGGTCCTCTAGAGTTCTGCAGCGAATGCATGGAGGCGTTCACTTGCTTGGTTATCGTACGAGAAAAGGGTTTTATCATTTGCATGTCACTGGGACCCTTGCTTGATCGCAGCTTCGTGTTTCCGGATGCTCGGAACGTGCTCGTCGAGGTCCGGAAGCTGCTCGGTTCTGCTCACAGCGTCCTTTTGCCATGCAGGCGGCGTGCTGCATCGTCTCGTGCCGATCCAACGAGGAATTCGATGCCTACGTGCTGTCCGAGTCGAGCCTGTTCGTGTACCCCGACAGGCTCGTGCTGAAGACATGCGGCACCACCGCGCTGCTGGCTGCCGTCCCGATGCTGCTGGACCTGGCAGCGTCGCTGGACATGCGCCCCTCCAACTTCAAGTACTCCAGGGCATCCTTCCTGTTCCCGGAGAAGCAGGTCACTCCTCACATCACTTCCTCAAGTCGGCTGAAGACCAGCAGTGCAGCACTTTTTTGCGTTCCTACATCAATATGCTTTGCGTTCCTACATCAATATGCTACTGAGTGTTTGAGTATCAAACCATCCATTTTGTGCGGGCTCGTGCAACCTTGGGAGTAGCTGCTAAGCCATTTTCTGCTTGGGGTGTTGCCGCCACGGGCATGCATGCATGCTTCCCTGTGCCGCAGATCAATGCAGTGGGCCTCTTGCTTCACTTGGGGTATGCCAATGTTCTAATGCACGGCCTTGAGCCTGAACTGAGCAATGATCTGCGGAGTAGAAGTCTGATCCGGGCGCTGTGTTCTATGCAGCCGGACCCCTACCTGTCTTTCGAGCATGAGGTGGCATTTCTGGAGGCCCATTTGGGCCATTTGGGCGGAGGAGGGAACGCGTATGTCCTGGGAGACGCGCTCCACGGCCTGCGCTGGCACGTCTACGTGGCGTCCGACTGCGGCTGGCCGGCAGCTGCGCGCAGGGATTCCTCCGCAGACCACTCCATCGAAGTCTGCATGACCGACTTATGCCCCGTCAAGGTGGGCACTGTCATCATGCTGATCTATTGTAGCGGTCATCAGCGGTTCATTTGCTCCACCGTGGCATGCAGCCTCTCTGTCCACTGTGGCTGCATGCATGCCCTCTTACCTCTGGCTTGAAGTAGGCGAACTGAAGCTATAGGGGACTCATGCAACTTCTGTCATGATGCTGAAATACTATGCGCATGGAGGACCCCCCTTTTCACCCTTTGTGCCAACATGCTGACCTTGGAATGTTCTTGTCTCGGTGCTGGCTCTGTTGCTTGGTAGCTTGCTTGCAGATGTCTGCTGTGTCGCTGTCAATGTCTGTGAGTGGAGGTAAAGTTTCATCTAAGATGATGTTAAAATTTGCCGATTTGAACCATGTTGCCAAAACAGGCGGCGCAGTTCTTCCGTGGCGACACATTCGTCTCGGCACGCCGCACGACGGCCAACACCGGGATCGCCGATTTGTTGCCCGCCGCCGACATCGACGAATACGTATTCGAACCGTGCGGCTACAGCATGAACGGGCTTCAGGGCGATGCTTTCTCAACCATCCATGTCACGCCCGAAGCCATATGCTCCTACGCTTCTGTGGAGCTGACTGGATGCGCGCAAGAGGATGTTGCCGCTTTCGTCGCCAAGGTGCGCTGCAGCAGCTGTGCATCCTGTGTCAAGCTATTCCACTACAGCGCATGTTCTGCACCCTTCTGCAACCTCTAGAGTGCTATGCCACTTACTCTATTATATAGCACTCATCTCTGTTGGAAGGACACCCGAGCAGGGTATGTCCAGATAAGCGGCTGTATTGCAACTGCTTTGTAGTTCCTCGCAACCTTCAATGTAAGGCTCTTGGCGTTTCGAGAGATGGTCAGAGTGGCGCATGCAACCTCTAAGATCTGTACTTAGGCATGAATATGTTTTAATACCCCGCATGCTGATCGTTGTGGTGACTCCTGTGCAGTCTGCGGGGATATTCTGCCCGGGCAAGATTACGGTGTGCATCACAGCCGCCGCCGCCGCACCGCTGAGCGGCTCTCTGTCCGCGCCAGGCTACAGCGTTCTGGGCACCGCTCTCCAGTTTCTGCCGGGCGGCGCCAGCGTGCTCGTCCACAGCCTGCAGGCGATTGGCGCTTCTGCAGCGGCAGCGGCGGCCATAGAACAGGTCTGGGTGCTTTTTGTGCACTAGTGCGGAAAGTATGATGGAGCATACTTGTGTGCTCGCACACGTTATACTGAGCCAATTTGTAGGATGATGAAGTCGAGAGAAGTTGAAGGCGTGGCGCCAGCTTGGTGCGGGATGACAAGAATCTCACACCAGGCTGCTGCCGTCTCTTCAGCTTCCGCAAACTTCAGAGGTCGTGGTGTGAAAGGGGGGTGAATGCATGCAATCAAGGGGCAGCAGCGTCATTCCTTGCATGCTTGTGTCAGGCGGTGTCCTTGCATGCATGTTGAGTTGCACACTGTCTGCAGCGCCATTACCGTTTTGCAAGGAATTTAATTTTTGCAAGAAATGTACTGAGAGGAGCCATACCTGAAATTTGTGTCTCTGCTTGTCCAGGCTGGCAAGGGAGCGGAAGCAAGTGAGAAGCTGGCGGCAGCTGCCAACGGGGCAAGCATGGAGGAGGACAGGCTCAGCCAGATCAGCGAGCTGACTGGACTGGAGCTGAGCGGACTGGCCGGCAGCGCATGCTGCTCTGACGATGATGGCTCTGCCGCTGCCATGAGCGCCAGCTATGCGTCCAGCCTGGCATCCGAGGCCGCCAAGCAGAGCCGCCCCTCCACTCCCGAGGCCGTCTGGCCAGGTGTGCTTTTGCTCACCTTTGCCTTTTTCAATGATGAATCTACCAATCAGAATGATGGCGGACAACGGCGATGTTGATTATAAACGCAATGCGCTGTAGAGGTGTCTGTGGTGAGTGCATCCTTCCTAGACACAGCGGTATTATCTTTCAATGGGCCCCTATTTCCCACTCAATGATTTGCTCCAACGCTCTGCGAGCATTTAGCTAAGAATGTAATTCTACCTTTGATGAGGGTGGGCATGTGGGTCTGTCCCCCTCGCAAGGCCATCGCATGCACATGGTTCGTCAGCACAGTGAGTACAGGCCTCAAGTGAGGGGTTTCTGGATCTTTCTGGTGCAGAATTTTGCAAGAGACTACGACATGGTAATTGAAGTGAAAATTTGAAATTGAAACCGCAAGAGATTGTTATTTGAGGGGACTTTGTATGACCTGCAGACTGGCAAATGGTGGACAAGCCAATGCCATCGCCGGTGTCAGCCGCCAGGAACGCGGCTGGAGACATGACGTCCTTGCTGTCAGGGGTCCTCGCGCAATACAGCGCCGTGCCGCTGCCATCTGGCGACGAAGCCACGCTCGATGCATACCTCTCCCGCCTGATCAGGTGCACGTCCTTCTTTTCCACCATGCAGCTGGTGAATCCTCCTGATCACATAGTAATCACAGGCTCATCTGCGGGGTTGGAATGGTGTTTCCTTCCTGCATTGACAGAGCCTCCGTGACACTTTCACGTATGGACCACAATTTTGACTGTCATAAGATTTGCAGCCTGTGCATGACATGTCCTCAGATTGCACATGGGCTTTTTTCTTTGACTGGCATTCATCTAGTTCAATCTTCAAAATTCAGTTTTCAAGATTTAGCTTTGAATTTGAAAAGTTTTTTTGGATTTAAATTTCTGATTTGCAGGCAGCACCGGCTGGAGGATCCGGTGTGCATCGTGGATTTGGGCAGAGTGAAGGGCCTGCACGCGGCCTGGGTGGCTGCGATGCCGCGGGTGACACCGTTCTACGCGGTCAAGTGCAACAATGACGAGGCGATCCTCTCCGCGCTCGCCGCTCTCGGCGCCGGCTTCGACTGCGCCTCTGACGCAGAGGTGAGATCTTTTTTCTCGTTAGTGCTAGATTACTGAGATTCCCACAGGGCCTGAGCTCTTGCCAGGTTAGCAAGGCGTCCAATATAGTAGTAGATGCAGTTGAGGGTGACGGGATAGATATTGTGTGCTGAGACAAGTGCGGTTTTGTCAGGGGCTTGTATGCCTGCCTTTGGAATTGTTTTAATCTCTTCCACCTGAATCTCTTGTCACTGATCCTCTTTGTGCACTGTGACATGTCGGAGTACTTGCACAAGGAAAGGAATTACCTAGTATTAGCTGCTTCTGCGTAGACTGCTGGCTAACATTCAAGCTCAGAATATCCGCATTCTGTCGGCTGCTGAGGTGAGATTTCTTGGTTCCTGCAGCTGGACATGGTGCTGGAGTTGGGGGTTCCCACCGGCCGCATAGTGTTTGCCAACGCATGCAAGCGCCCACGAGACATCCGCCGCGCAGCCGAGAAGCAGGTCCGGCCTCATATGCCTCGTTCCAGCACGTTTTTCCAACGCCAGCATATTTTGCCAGCTTGCCCACATTTCCCATGATAAATTTCCAGATGCCTGCATGGCACCACTGAACAGGAAGATTAGGCCTCATTGCCTTGAAATGATTTCCCATTTGTTTAGCTGCTGCCTTACCTGCTGTGCAGACTAGCACAAGTCTTCAGCCTTGCTTCAGCCCCTGTAATGTGGTTCCAGAGGATTGGCGCCTGATGTGATTGTGACTTGCGCAGGCGAATCTGACGACCTTTGACACAGCGTCTGAGCTGGCCAAGCTTGCCAGGTGGCACCCCGCCACGCGTGCATTACTGCGCATCCGCGCAGACGACCCGGCCGCGCGCTGCCAGCTGGGCAATAAGTATGGCGCCGACCCCTCTGAAGTGCCCGCCCTGCTGCAGGTGGGTGAATCATGCATTCTTCCAGACACTATTTTCCTGAGGAGGGGTGTTATGGGAACAAAGTGGGTCTTGGAGGGCCCTCCAAAACCAGGCCCGCCAAGACCCCAGGGGATTGGCATTGAGCTCGAGGGCAGTTCAGCTCTTGCATGTCGGTATTGAAGCAAGTCGTTTACTGGCACAAATTTTTAGTCGCCTGATTCCTTCGGTAGTGTGCCCCTGTTCTCGACAAGGCAGTGTCTCAAGCGCATGCTGTCTGCCTCATCGTTGCAGTGTTTGTGATTGCAAGCACATCAGTGGAGGGCAGAAATCTCCATCGTCCGGACCTCATAAATCGCTGCGACTAGATGCTGATGTGGCCTTTGTGCTGGATTAGGCGGCCAAGGAGATGGGCATTGAGGTGTGCGGCATCAGCTTCCACGTCGGCAGCGGCGCGACCAATCCGGATGCTTTCAGCGAAGCTATCGCTCTCGCCCGCACCGCCTTTGACGCTGGCACAGGTATTGCTCGCGCTGCCGTGCTTTTCTTTTCTTCCCGCAGACACTCTGGACCTGGCCTTGCACCAGAAGTCCAGGGCTCATAACACGCGTATCGGAGTATTTTCAAGTTTAGTGCGCCTAGCATTCCATTGTGTAGCTGATGTCCATGCCTCCGCGCTGGTCTCATTCGATGTCTTACAGGAATACAGTGGTGTGTATCCGATGTCTTACAGGAGTATAGTGGTGTGTATAGGTTCAGGGCAATCTTTTGTTGCCCATCAAGACAACATGTTGGCTGACTCTGCGTTTTGTCATGTGTGCAGGCTTGGGATTCACGATGGACCTCCTGGACATCGGAGGGGGATTCTGCGAAGGGCGAGTCATGGGCGACGTGGCGGTGGCAGTCAACACCGCGCTAGCCCTGCACTTCCCCGTCTCCAGTGGCGTGCGCATCATTGCAGAACCCGGCAGGTGTGTTGATCAACCCTGCCAGACTGCGAGACATGCTCTCTGTCAACTTTTGTATCAGATGTGCATGCGAGGTCGTGTTTTGTGGGAATTGTGCACCTCATGCAGCCTAGGTTTGAGGAGGTGGGAAAAGCAAAATATGGTTGCCAGCTTCAAACATGTTGGCCAATGGTATTTTTGGAGAGCTTCTAACCTCTCAGCCGGTGGCACATACAGCTAGCATGCGGAAAAAGTTCAGGGACTGTTAATGGCCAGCATTCCTGGCGTGGTCAGCATGGCGAACAGATAACTTGTGCTAAGGGAGTTGATGTTCATGCATTGCAGGTACTTTGCAGAATCCTGCGCCACCTTCGGATCCATGGTTTTCGGTGTCCGGGACGGCCGGTGCGCCAAATCCGGCGCGGCCATTCGCGATTACTGGATCACTGACGGTGAGTCATGCTCTGGCTTTTGAGCGGCTTTCATATGCTGTGCATGCGTGCCATGTTGTCCTTTCTCTCAACCTGGAGTGCCACACGATGCAAGATTGTGGTATTTGTGCTTGCATACCGTTAGCTTAAAAGGGTGTAATCGAGAGGTGCAAGTATTGTAGTGCGCAAGTACCGTAGTTTGCCAGGATCGCGGCATGCTTGAAACTTACTGGGTAGGAAGAGAGTGCTGTGCAAAATACTAGAGTATCAGGCATTGGAAATATACCTCCATCTTGTGAAGGAAAAGGCCTGACTTGTTCTGTTACATTTCTCCTGTGCAGGCATCTATGGCAGCATGAATTCATTGCTGTACGATCATGCCACGGTGGCGCCGCGGCCGCTGCACATGATGACTAATGAGGCCGTGAACGGTGCTACGGACCTTACGGATGGTCCCATGCTACGCGGCTGCGTTTTCGGCCCTACCTGCGACGGCCTCGACACCGTGCTGCATGACTACGCGTTACCTAATCTCGACGTGGGTGACTGGCTGGTGTTTAGGAACCACGGAGCTTACACGTTCGTCGGAGCCTGCCCCTTCAATGGCATGGACCCTGCTCCTGCCACGTTCTATGTCTTCTCTGAGAATTGAGCTGTGGGGATTCGAGGAAGTGGAGCGTGAGTAGGAAGTGCAGCTGGCGATGCATTGAGGAATTTGGATGTGTGTTGATGGGCACTGAACACGGCAAATTTCATGGAGGTGTCATGCAGAGGTCAGAGGATTAGAGGCAGGCAGAACTCTCAGGAGGGAGGGGTTATTGCAGCGCTAGTGATGGATTAGTACAACAGGAGAATTGGGTATTGATGATCATTTTATGAAAGGAAAGCAGAGTGGGATCATGGAATAACAACCGGAAGTATTTGTCATAAGCAGGCAGGTTCCTGCTGATCAGCGGTCGGTGTGCAAGTTAGTTACATTCCACAATTACATCACAATCACATCAGAAGCAACCCAAATTTTTATCAGTTCTGAGCTCCTGAATTGGCGCCCTTTAGGAGGGTTGTGCATCAGCGGGTAGTTTGTTACAGGTTCTGATCCAAAGTTTCAGTATGAATTCAGGATGGTCATGATAGTGCACTCCTATGGAGGAAACAGTTCAAGCAAGCTTACAGAGGCTGGGCCCAATGAGTATTTTGGTAGTTTGTCGTCCGTGGATAGTGTATGGTATGTGGAAAATTCGAGAGTTCCTCATTTGCACTTATTTGTTGGAAATCATGCTCACCTTAAATCGCCCTGATTTGCAGTGCAGTGCAAGTTTTGCACACGTGGGTGGAAAGCGGAACGAGAGGGGGTGGACATGTGGGTGACACGCGTGTCAGACGTGTACCTGCTGACACGTCGGACACGCAGACTGGGAGGTGAGGACGAAGTGGGCGTGTCGAGGGTGTAAGATGATGCGTGAAAGCTTTTCTACGCGAGTCTGTGGGTGTGAAACCGGTGTTGATCATACCACTACTCTCATACTTTCTGATAAAGATGAGTCCGATGCAACAAACACAAAGTGCCTTGAGGTATCGCTCCCGGCCCATCTGCGGCAGCCCGACACTTGCAGATCCTGACCTGCCCGTGAGGGCATAAGTCCCACTAAATTTTTTGAACATATTGTGCAACCATGATGGCGCGCTGATGCGCTGCGCACCCTGCGCGCCTCGAGTGGATAGCGGCCGGCGGAGCGGCAGCAGGCGCTGAGATCATGCCGGCGCTGCAACCATGATGGCACTGCAGCAGTCAGATGCGCTGCTGCCGATCTTGGCGCCCGGTGGCGGCCTGGCTGGGAACCCGGCAACGAGGCGGCCGCTCTGCGCGTGCTCGGCGTGCTCGCCGCCGTCTGGTTGAGCAGAGACAGGAGGTGGGCATCGGGACCTCTGACACACACTTCTGCTGAGTGTAGTGTTCTACTCGGTTTCCAATTGATGGGAGTGTTCATATAACACTGGATTGTGTAGGATAGCATACGGTCTTAGATCTCTTGGTCCTGCACGGTCAGGAGGGAACACCCTCCTGCCTGCCTGTCACGTGGGTAACAGAAACGCTAAACTGTGACCGATGCTGTGCTGTGGTCAAAAGGTGCATCGCGCAAGGAGACGGAAAGCTGTTCAGCAGAAGTACCCAATAAGGAGCTGGCCGCCTCCAAGTTGTGCTTCATGGGGCAGGCAGATAGATTCCAGGAAGCCATCAGCAACACCCTCAGCCATATGCAACAGCTTCTCGTTGCTCCTGGGAACTCGTTGGAGGCTGTGCGGCTCGCGAGGAGTCCCGCGTTGGACTTTGATGCACTCTGAAGCTGAGGATTACAGAGTTGCTTATGCGCATGACTGTTTTGCTTACATGTCCACTCCGAGGGAGTTGCAGCGACAACATAAGGTAGATGACTTAGCATGCATTCACGTACGGCATCCTGTACAATGATCCTCATTTCGAGATGCCGTATGAGCTCAACCAAGGCCGGTTGACAACAGCAATCCTATCAACCCGATGTTGTACCAGATGCATGCCCAGCAGCAGTACTAGGAGATGGTGCCACCAGCAGTGCTGGAGTAGTCGAGGCAGCATGGCATCAAGTACTGCATGATTGTAAGGGTCAGAGTAGACCACATAATCAACTTGAAGAGCCTGACAAGCAACTATCCGGATTTTGCCCTGTGGTACTCGCGCTCCATGGCAGCGATTGTCATCCCGCAGCCGGGATGGGACTTTTTAGATACGATGCCGGCGGTTGGGGGTTACCAATTGGAGTGCCACCAAGATGGGGGGAACCAATATAGAAGAGGGTGGGGGCCTCCTGAGTACATGCAGTTTACATGAGACGGTGAAGCCATTCTTCAACAAGATCCACATAGAGAGTGGCCGCCAGGGCCGAAAGGGCCGCGCTTGGAGCTTGCGTATGCACATACCACGTATGGCGTCCTTGTCAATCAGGTTGAAGATGACCACATGCAGTATTTGGAGGTTCCGCACAACAGAATGAAAGGGCTCATCAAGCTCACCGGTCATATGAGTCATATGATATGACTCAGAATTCTCAGAAAAGGCTATTTGAGACTCCAAAAAGCTTTTGGCACCGATCGATGCACATGTGATGGTGACGTTGTTGGCCCCAGGTCGACTTTTTGGGAGTAGTAAATGCACACTGTGGCACGAATCACACGTCGTGCTCACGGCACAGAGCCATGTGACATTCTGGAAGTTTTGGATGGTTGCAATTTCTTTTCTATTCTTTACCTTAGCATCATAGTTCCAGCCTGACACCTCCTGATATCAGAGCAATTTGAAGTTGAAGCAGCAATCATGCTCTGCAGGTCATAGCCAATCAAAGGGGTCACTGTCATGCCATGAGCATCAGCACAGGTGCCGTACAACAACCATGGAATTATTCGCCATGTGCTTCTGCTGTAGTGTGAGGGAGCCTCTGCCTTACAAGATCTCGCAACCTTCTGTTATTTTGCTCCTTTCTTCTTCTACGCACACAATTCCCAAAGAAATTTGAGTCTCTGGCTGTACTAAGGCAGACTTTGCCTGCATCACATCTTGTTCAACAAGTTGGTCATACGCAAACGGCTTTGGCAAAGCGGAGCTGCCCTCAGGATCCTTCATCTGGTGTGATTTACCCAAAGAAATTGAGGATTCTCGGCATCCCTTTGCACAGGCATTGTGCTGCAATACGCAACGTACTCCAGGCCGTTATATGCAGCATCATTCAGAGAGTTACGAATGTGATACTCCCAGGCATCGCTGGGAATCTTGGCGTTCACCTGCAGTAAAGGATCCCAGGAGCTTGGTTCACAGTGATGCACGGAATCAGAAGCTGATTTGGGGACGCTTAAGTCTTCAGTAGCGTTAATATGCACGTTTCTGCACATATAGTTGTTCCTGTTACAGCTATAACGCTCACTCTTCGGAGGTCTCTACATGGTACGCACCGCACTGCTCCAAATGTCGGGCTCTTCCACATTGTCCATCATCGTAGCACCTCTTTGCTTTTCCTGCTTGATTGAGGTCGAGTCGAGAGCTCGAACCTAGCGGACACCTATACGAAGCAGGGCAGGCCACAATCATAAAGACTGAGCGTTATGGTGAATACAGTCAGAGGTCGCTTGCAATCTCACCTTTAAGCGATTGCAAGCTTCGTAATACGTTTGTTGCTAGGTGCAGGTAATATGGCTTTATCACTATATATGCTTGATCAATCGATTTCATGTGAGGCTCATGCAATCACGGACAGTTCCGAATGAGCTTAAAATAAAGAGTCTTTCGTTTAAAATTGCTTCTAAAAACCTGGGAGACTAAATAATGCCACTTTGGACAGGAGAGCAATAATATTCTAACACTGCGCATCGCAAAGGCATGACGGCCTTCAACATCTCAACATCCTGGATTCTTGCCTTTCCCTAGCTGCTCTGTGCCATGTCCTTTACATGGATATCATGACAAAGCATGGCGTTGGTAATTGTATTTGCATGCGCATATTCCTGTGCAGCACACTTGTCTCCCACATCTTCGCAGGTATGCACCGCCTCCAAAAGGTCTCCGAGAGTCATGTCATGAGTCATGTCACATCCCTTTATACGCGCCTCAATATCAAAGCGAGAAACTTCAAGCCTTGAAGGCCCTGCAGGCATGGGCCCCAACATCTAGTGCAGTGTATTTTCCAGCATCATACTAAGAGTGACTCTCATCTCACACGGTACTTATGAATGAACCTCATGCTCCGCATATATTGGACCTTTTCAAACCGCCAGATCAAGTCAATCCAAGACTGCGCAGATGCATTCTATAATCTTGATCGACACTGGGGTAATGATAGAGGCAGTGCATGAACTGTCCCTGCTCAGAATCATCTATGTTGACATCAGACTTTTTACAACACAGAAGGCACACAATGTCTGTACTAGGAAGTCTTGTGGATATTCCAATGCCTGCCAGGACAACGTACAGGCACTGCTCACAGGAACAAAACATATGCACCATGCAGGATTTCTATATGTTGTCATGACGTTTATACCACACCATAGATTTAATCCCTCTGTAACATCTTCATTACCGACGAATCGGCATGCATGCATCTGGCAGGAGGGTGTTCCCTCCTGCAGTGCAGAGCCTGTGCGCACATTGGGCAGTGTAAAAATAACACTCCCAGCATGTGGAAACCGATTCATATCTCATACCCTCCATGAGTGAGCTTCATGCCTTTGAGGCCCCCATCTTGTCAGGGTGGCCGCCCAGCTTGCCTTCCTTGATAGCTTGCAGCGGCTTCTGCCCCGCCAGAGCAGCCTTCAGGGCTGTTGCAAGACCACCATCCACCTGCAGAGCACCAAACCTGTAAAGCCCCGACAATGGAAAGTGATTTCCAGACTGTAATAACATCTTGACAAGAGACAGGCCTCTCAGCTGTGCTGAGACCGATCAACAGTGTTCTGACACACCCAGGATGCCAATACAGCGGATTGTCACCATGCATACTCGAGTCTGCGTACCGGGATGCATTGGAATAAGCCAAGAAACTGACAAATTCTCCTGCCCAGCAGATATGCATACCAAGCTGGTGCCAGAAATATGGTTGTGTGACAAAGCATGCAATGACCCCTACCTTCTGCAATGATGTTGCTACTAGCAACAAACATTTGTGCCTGTAGTCACTCAGTTACAAAGGGAAACAGGCAGAGGGCGTGCCTGCTGCCAGATATCCAGCCAGCGATGCCTAATCTCAGGGGTGCACTTTGGGTCGGCCATCCAGTTGCTCAGGGTGAATATCAGCTGCCCAGACCTGCAATTGCCAATTCAACAGATCAGACGGGGCCAGCCTGGACCTCTTTAACACCAACTTATTTGGCACAGGACGCAAAAATTTTGCCGCCTTGCTGGCGCTCTTGCACACATTGTTCTGCACCAATTGGGATGAGACACCTTCTATTGGAAGGCAGGTGCGCATAAAAAGGCATATATGATTATCCTTTTGAGCCTGTGCATCGAGAGGAGCCCTTGTTCTGCTGAACCATTACTTTGCACACATGCCGCAGGAAAAGCTCAATACAGTCAAGTACAGCATAGATGCCTGCTGTGGATGGGAGCTCACTCGCGCATAGACATCTTCCTGTAGCGGTCACCCGCCTGCTTGAAGTCATTCTGCTTCTCCTCCGGAATGTCCTGCGGTTTAAAAATTGAATTCCATCTCAGCAAACCACTCTCCTGGCCCCGGCTGGCGGGGAGCGGAACAAATACCGAGCACCGTGCCCACGGTTGATTGGGTCTTGCTTGGATCTGGCGAGTCCACAGGGGGTAGGAATTTGGCAGCCTTTACATGCAGCTTGTCTGCAGAAGCACCTTGGCTCCGGCAAGAAAAGTGTGTAATAATAATAATAATAATAATAATAATAATAATAATAATAATAATAATAATAATAATAATAATAATAATAATAATAAACCACTCTTCTCAGGGGTATTTACCGCAGCTTGAGCACACTTGCTGGGCACACTGATTGAGCCCATTCATGTACCGGCGCCAGCTGGCTCGGGCGAAGGTCTCCATGTTGCTCATAAGAACAGACGGGCAAGTGCCTCGGAAACGCTTCCAACAGAGACGTCGCAATTAGTGCTTGGTAGAAGTCACCTCAAAATACACGTATGAGGTTCACTATAGGTGACGTGTAGAGCAGGTAGCACCTGTTTCACTCTCTGACCGTTGATCTCATCTTTGCTGACGGTGTGGGCCTCCTTGCTAGCAGGGCTGGTCTCAACGTCGTCCAACGTGGACGGCCAATAGTTCACCTGCAATTTCATGTGACCACCCGCTTTGAAATTGACTTGGATTTCCTGTCGCTGCGTGCATTTGTAATCGAAAAACTGCGAAAGTCAAAGTGCTTGCTTAAAAGCTTGTGTGCTCTGCTTTGCGTCATGCAAGCTCTGAAGTATCTAACACTGCTGGCAGCAAGAGGACAGCACTGTTTGCAGGGATTGTGGCAACTGAGAAATAATGAGGATGGTGAGATACAGCAACCTCACCTGTCCAGACTTCTCCATGAAGTTCATCGCTCCTGCACAGCCAGGAATTTTCTGCATCAGTGAACACTGCACATAGTACAGTAAAAAAAGAGTCTGGTGTCCTGCTCTTGGATTTTCAACACTTCAGAATGAGGATTTTCTTTCTTGAGGCAGATTAGTGTACATGGCGTCTCCTGACTTGTGTCCTCACCAGGCAAAAGGCAAAAGGCAGAAGCATTGTCTGCAAGGCACTGCAGAAAGTGTACCCTGACCCTTGCGGTTGGAACAAAATAATCAAATAACAAAATGGCACCTATGTTCTGAAACACAGTGCTGCGCCCTTTTAAACAACAACAAACATTTCAAGTTTCTGTGGACATTCTACCATTTTCCAGAACAGGACATTTAAGATCCGTAGCGACCCCTGGAATCAACAGGGGGTTCTGCATCCAAGTTAGATATAGAACCCCCTGGAATCAAATCACCAAGGGTGGCCGCACCGTTCTCATGGGAGTTGTGGAAGGGGCATCGGGGGGCGTTAATGGGAAGCATCTGGTAATTTGTGCCGATGCGGTAGCGCTGAGTGTCTGCATATGACAGCGCTCGCGACTGCAGCACCTTGTCATTGCTCAGGCCGATGCCTGTGCACGAGAAACAGGACCTCAGCTGCCTCCTCCTTTCTGGTTGCTTGTAAGACTTCGGCCCTTATACCAAAGCATAGCTTTGAAGCCACACTGGCTTCCAGCTGAAACAAATTCTAAAAACACACTGCTTGCTGCCTGTGACGCTCTGGGGCAGCTGTTGGCCTTGTAAGGCCTGGACATTCATCCCATGTCTCCCTTCAGATAATGCTCGGCAGAAAGTGTTTGAGAAAGGGTGAGTAGCCTCTCACCTCCGACGGTGACGGATGGGCTGAAGGCGATCTGCTCAGACTCATTGTGGAAGTTGTCAATGTTCCTATTCAGTGTCAGCGTGCCCACTGGCTGCAGTGGGAAGTCCTCCTCGGGCCACACCTGCAGAAAACAAATACTCCATTTGGCACATCATATTTACAGATATGTGCTCTGAATCGATATAGATCTCAATATTGCAGGGGGTGCAGGCGCTGAGCCATCAAGTACTCTTGTGCCTAAAATGGCTTTGGAGCACTGAGTTTTCTGACTACGGGCTGCTACTTCTCAGGCTTTTTCAAACCTACTGAGTAAAGCAGACATGTCAACAGACTATGCCGGACCAAGAGACAGACAGACAGCAATAGGAGTCAACCTGCCAGGGCAGCAGAAAAACTTCAAAAGGCCATGCTTCTGGTGTGGGATCTAAACTCTCATCGAGACACATGCCTAAGAGACAATTTTGTACGAGTGCAGCTGTGACAATTTGTAAGAGAGGGTAGTTTGAGGCTCCGTGACCTTGGTGCAGTCCAGAGGGTCAAAATCGAGGGTGAGCTCATCCTTAGGGTCCAGCGTTTGAATGTAGAAATCATATTTAGGGTAATCCCCGTCTGCGATGGCGTTGTAGAGGTCATGAGTCGCGTGACTGTGTCGCATTTGGAACTCCCCTGTAGACTGCGCCTCGTCATCAGTCATGAACTTTGCGCCTGCATGAATGCAAGTAATATATTACCATCTCAATATCAAACTTCAACCGCCTGCGGGCGATATATCAAATAATCAATCTGGAGCAAGGAAATGAGCAATGATCTTTCCATCTAAACATGAAGATTGACAGAGAGAAGCGGAGCATATGCATAATTCTCAAAAATGCTGTGATTGCCCAGTTCTATCGTCAAAGATAAAACTGCGATATTGTACTTGTGTGAATATAGCGGCAAAAGGATGAGAGCAGAGTACAGCTGGGGTAGCAAAAGCATGGATGCATGTTGAGCAGGGCTGAGCATCCAGCGAACACCACAGAATGCATCTTAGTCCTCAGACTCAGAACTTGACATTCAGAAGCAAGGTCCACTAATGAGCAGGGGGATATGATGCGCACCGAGCTGGGGCCGCCAGTGGAATTTGACGTAGGTGCTCTTCCCCTCAGAATCGACAAGTGTGAATGTGTTGACCCCGTAGCCCTCCATGTGGCGATAGTCCTTGGCAATGCCCTCCATGCCCGCCAGCCAGGTCATCTGCGCAGCAGATAGTTATTATTATTATTATTATATTATTATTATTATTATTATTATTATATTATTATTATTACTATTACTATTACTATTGTTATTATTATTATTATTACTGTTATCACACGCTTTTCCACCGAAGGCAAGGTGCGTCTGCAGACAAGCTGCATGTAAAGGTTGCCGAATTCCTACCCCTTGTTGGACTCGCCAGATCCAAGCAAGACCCAATCAGCAAATGTAAAAAGAAATATGAGCATTGACATTTGAACTAAAACTTCAGTGCCGTAATGTGTGCCAGCAGAGAACCCCCAATTCCTGGTACCACACCCTAGAAGATCCTCTGAGGCTTTTGATAACTCAGATCTGGCCTCTTCGCCTGGTGTAGGAGATGCAGCCTTTACCTGCTGCTCGTTGCATGCGTTCCAGAAATACTTAACATAACCTTTCAACAGACTGCACGAGCCGCGCTCTGACATCTGGCGGACACAGGGTGGATACTAGGCAGTCAAGGAAGCACTACTGGTAATAACAAACAACTTACATTCAAACGTGGGGGATTCTTTTCGGGATTTAGGGGCAACTTTCCTGGCACTGCAAGGGAGCGATGACATACATGATGTGGGCGAACAGGACAACCCAAAGACCAGAAAGGGGTCACATTTGGTTTCTAGTTTTCCAGGGTTTGGAGTTCAGATTCCTCCCCTGGCAAATGATAAAAACAGTTCTCACCGTGTGGGCGGACCGGGGTGGAACGAAAAGAAGTCGAGGAAGCACAAACTTGACATAATTGTAAACAATTAAATTCAAATTGAGTATTTCAGGGATAGGGTTCATTTCTAGGGTTTTCTCACTGACAATAATAGGGGGCGTGGATATATATACCATGTGGGCGGACTCGGGGTGGAAGGAGAGGAAGTCCAAGAATCGCCAGGCCTCCTGTATGTTGTTGGCCGGGTTCGGCCGCAATGCATGCACCAGGTCGGGAAACTTGAAGCCGTCGCGGATGAAGAATACCTGCGAGTCATCATCATGTAATCAACCAGTCAGTGGTGTCGAGGGTTTGGTAAACAGGGTCTTTTGAATCAAGGGCTGCCGCGGATAGAAAACACGTGTGAGTGATGAAACCAAAAGAAGTGAAGCTGCGAGCGCACAGCTGAAAAATGCGGTGGATCCCGACACACAGAGCCTAAACAGACCTCAGATTGTTCGTGTGTTGCTGACAGAGTTTTCTGGCGCCCAGATCACAGCGCTACTAATCAGCATTGACAGCAATTCACCTGGCCTGTAAAAACTATGGTACAGAGACAGACACCCTGAAAATTTGCAACGCCTAGACCTTATACAACTTTTTGGAGTGGTCCGCCTGTGATCAAATTCTTAAGAAGCTCACCGAGATATTGCTGCCGACAAGGGCCCAGCTGCCTGGACTTGTGTGACACTTTGTGGCAGAGCCTGGCTCATGCTGATGTGAGCACCCCTAAACCCTAGCCAGCATGTGGTGACTAAAAGGTGCTTGGCGACTAATGGACTTGACTTCAAAGACAAAAGGAAAGGCTCACCGGGATGCTGTTGCCGACGACGTCCCAGTTGCCCTCGCATGTAAAAGTTTTGTGGCAATGCTTGGTACGTATTTTTCTTGATATCCTCAAGACCCATATTCATATATTGGTAGTTAGATTACAGTTTTGGGGGTGGAAATGCTACTCACAGGGATGTTGTTGCCGACGAGGTCCCAATTGCCCTCCGATGTGTAAAACTTTGTGGCAAAGCCTCGAACATCGCGCAGGCCCTCAGGGCTGTCGCGGCCGTGGGTCACCAGAGAAAATCGAACCGCCGTCTCAGTCTGCGTTTGGCAGAGAAAATGGTGTTGACAACTTGATTTAATGACTCTTTAATGTGATGTTTCTTGGCAAGAATATGACAGCAGTGAATGGCGGCCTAAGAGATTGCCTGCAGATTGATCTGCTGGAGGAAAGTGATTAAACTTGCTCCGTCTCATTCAATTTACATATAAAGCTGGTAACGCCATGTAAATGGAAGGTTGGCCGTCCGCAGTCTGCACATCTGTGTGCAGCTGCTGCACATGCAAAGCAGGGTTGTGGCATGTCATGAATAAATGGCGGTGGAAATGAGAAACTACTCCGCACCTTTGTACCGACGCCATTCAGAAAGGCCGCAGAGGTGAGGTGGCTGATGTCATGAGTCACCTGGAACCCCACAGCGCATGCTTATCATTGGTAATTGGATCCTGGTTTTAGCAGGTATTGCATGCCATGCTTAATTTCCCTTATATAAAATAGCACTGTGAGAGCTGTGATGCAGTCATGCCATCCCTTGAAAATTATCTCTCAAGCCACTGCTACTTCAAGGCTTGCATGCTTTGGTGTTTCATGCTCAGGGAGGTACAGTCATTCAGCAATGAATTTCAAGCCCACTGAATTGTCAAGCCCACCTCAAAATAGCCTTTGGCAGTGATTCCTCGAGCGTGCACAATTCGCTCTGGAGTCTTCTCCCGGTCAAACTGCACCCGAGCAAGACAATTTCTTAGGCAGCAGCTGCACAGCTTTTATAAAATAATTATGACTGCCAAACATCAAACACATGTTCCTAATATTGTCAGCAATGAACCTGCGACATTATTGTTGTTATTATTACACGCCTTTTCCTGCCAAAGGGCAAGGTACATCCTGCAGACAAGCTGCAGTTGAAGGCTGCCACAATCCTACCCCTTGACAGACTTGCCAGATCCAAGCAAGACCCCATCAACCCGTGGGCACGGTGCTCGGTATTTATACCGGCCCCCGCCAGCCGGGGCCTGGTACGAGGATTCTGAATCTTCCTTCATTCCACGCCTGTATACTTGACAGGAGCTCACTTGTTAGTCAGGTGCAGGGACAGACCTGCTGCAGCTTCTCGATCAGATGAAAGTCCTCCAGCAGAATTGGTCCTGCAAACAGCAAAACCAATTTCTAGAATACCATCAACGATGGCCCACTATCTCACCAAAATTGTTACTCCGCCCAATCTAGAGGAGCACTTGAGAAAAGCGGGACATCGTCATTATGGCCTGCCCAAATGTATGTCAAGCTGCAAAAGCAGGGGCTGGGGAGCTCGAAACAACAGCAAAGTCACAGATAGATGAAGATTAGAGACTAGGAGACTCTTCAAGCAAGTGCCTACATGCGGACCACTCTAGTTATCTTTTAGGGGGATCCCCTGGCCCATTCTAAGGCATGTCCCACAATTTCCAGACACACACTTTGATCATGGGGCATCAGCTCAATCAGCGCTGCAGTGATTTGTGGCACCTGCAGCAGCTGACAAAAATCTGGTGTACCAAGAATTGCGTGCACTAAGCAATGGCAATCCTGTCAAATTCTAGACTGATGCATGAAGCCAGCGGTGACAGTGAAACAGCTCCCTGCATTTGTCAAGCCATCAACAGTTTCCTGATTGGGTCTGCACCTCTGGGGCCCACTGTGAGGGAGTGATCGTTGTTGTACACCCGAGTTCCCTGTTCAGTTGTCAGGTAGGGTACGTTGTCTTTGTTGGTAGGTAGCTGCCGTGTGCTCGACCCCTGCATTCAAGACGCCAGAAGCTCAGACGTCTCACAGATGCCACGAAAACTACTCTGCATAAGGTGTCCAACGGTCACGAGCGGAAAAGATGTGGATGAGTAGCCGTCTCACCTGAGATCCATTGCCGTTCGAAGCATTGGTCTGCAAATAGAATAGCGTCAGCATCATGTAGTGCTGTAGATAGGTGCATCTTTGTAGCCCAAAGTACTGATCAGTGTGCTTTCGGACAACTTTGTAACTAGCTGCATTGGCCATTAATTTCGAAAAACGATTACTTACCGACTTCGACATTGCTTGGAATCGCGAAGCTGATCTCTGGGGCCTCTGAGTGAAGGACACCCACCGTGCGGCCATGGCGGATCGCCCAAAACGGATTGATGACATCTGCATCCTGGCAGGCTTCAGGTTCCTAGCTTCTATGCTGGCTACAATTCTCAACTTAGATACGCAGACTTTGCTGTTGCCCGAAGCTCGAATGTCCGTGGCATCTCATTTATCGGACTTTGAATTTTGGGTGAACCCTAGCCAGCGAGGAACCCTACAGGCTTTCCCAAAAATAGCACGAAACGGAGCAACGTCAGCAGGACACTTCATTCATCATCATTGATGGTGCACAGCTGCAATCGGATCCTTGCAAACGCCCAAGCTTATCTATAGGATGACTCCACACAATGCATTACGCAGCGCTGCAGCCAGCTCTTCAACCTTGTCTTCAAGAGCTTGAAGCTCTTAAGAGCACATGGCTTGTGCAATATGTTTGAAGCTGAAATGGGAAAGCGGCGGGTTCCATATTTAGGTCAGGGGCCCCCCAACCGGAAGGTGAGACACACCGTGTGCTTCGTGACGATTCGTGTGATTCCAAAGAGAATCCGGTGCTGGGCAACATCATGCGTTGCAATTGACTGGTATAGTCGATTGAATTTAATTGTAGCTGCATCCCAAAGGCAGGAATGCAAGACGACTGTGGCATCACGCTTGCCTGGCATGATGCTTGCCTGCCCAAAGCATGAACACTGGTATCCCACAGGCACCTGTGAAGGATCGGTCAGGGGCCAATCTCGCTGCCATGCGGCATGGCACAACATTGACTTACGACGATTTCTCTTGTTCCTATAGGTACAAGCCCACATTAGGACCAGCGCTATTTTCATCTCCAGTGCAAGTATTGAGATCTACTTTCCACACAGCAACCGACTACACCTGCTGCCAAGATTCCGAGTGCAAAACGTCTCTCTAATGCGTCAAATAGTGACAACTTTCAGAACTTATAGCTTGTCATTATTTCCAAACGTTCATCGCTGTGTCAGCCTGGGAGTCACTTTTCTTTTCCAGCCGCAATTCAGAATTAGTCCAAGAGGGTCCGCACAGTCAACAAGACAACCTGAAGCCTGCAATGTAATCCTCCTCTTGACTACTCTGCTACTCCCCAACCAAGAAAACAACTGGAAAATCACATACATGGAGCCGGATCAGGACGCGGGCACAGCTTCAAAAAGTTGTGAGAAGTAGAACTTGCTGGCAGTCAGCTCGCGCTTAGTCACCTTGTACCCGGCCTGCTTCAGGGCGGCTTCCACATCATCCTCCTTGTGCAGGTACGCCCTCGTAGCCTGGCCCCAGCAAATAACATAATCCTCAGGCAAGATTAATATCAATATTAGAAGTAGATTGTTGCTGCTGGAGGCAAGGTGCATCTGCAGACAAGCTGCAGGAAAAGGCTGCCACAATTCTACCCCTCGTCAGATCCAAGCAAGACGTATTCAGCCATAGGCAATTGGTGACGACCTCTTTCTGGAGCCAGCTCATTTGTTTGTCGACTAGATGTTGCTTGCATGTTTGCACAACAGAGTGCACTGACAGTGACGGATACTTCTGCAGACCCCACTTTGCTGCGAATGCTCTTTGGCAGGCTATGACTCCTTCGTACACTTGTTTTATGCGTCAAAGTACATGTAATCAAGTTGCAGCAACATAACAAAACAGGATCATGGAAACCAAGAGTCCTTGCATCCACTGACCTGCCCTTTTGTGTCCCTAAGACATCTCTATAAGCCTGCAAAAACACAGCCAGACTTGGCACAGAGCAGTTGGTCCTAGCAGATATTCGCCCTGGCACATGGTCTGATGCTGCGGGCAGGTGTACTGTGATCTGGGCACCGACTGTGCGGACTGTGGGCCATGGGTTCAACATCTGCCCAGCTCTTGCCTTCCAAATAGTCAGAGCCCCCCAGACGGCGCCAGACATGCTTGTACGTGCCTTCAGGATCCGCTACTTGCAGGATGACTTACCTTGGAGCCCTTGGGGAAGAATTCCCCGATGCGCTTGAGGATATCATAGTAGGGAGTGGAGGGTGCAAAAGAAAGGAAGTGATATTTTTTGTTCACAGATTGCCCCACTCAGAGGTCAATCTGGTGCCTCAAGAGTCCACGGGGTAAAGAGGGGAAAGTCACCTTGGAGCCTTTGGGGAAGAACTCGCCGATGCGCTTGAGGATTTCGTAGTAGGGGGTCGAGGGTGCGAATGAAAGAATCAGCCGCTTGTCTGCCAGGCTCGCCAGATGGCCCACCATCTCTGCCATGCGCTCCTATGAAAGAAATTCGAATTTCAATATATGAAGTTCAAATTTTGCATTTCAAGCACAAATGTCACCTAGAAGACCCCACAACGACAATGCAAGACTCCCATTCTTGGCGACACCACATCAGACAAAAATCTCAGCATTTCATCAACATTCCAACTCCCAGACAAGAAATAAATGCAGCAGGTGAGGCTCCTGTGCACAAAGCAGGCTTATACAAAGAAAGGAAATACGATTCTTGAGCCTAGCTCTTGATTCGGGCTATAGTTAAATTCTACATCCTTAGATTCAGATGGTGCTGGCCGCATTGATACTTCTGGACCCTTTAAAGTAGATGACTCTACGTCATGACCTGAACCATAACCATGCGTAGACAATGGCACGAATCTTTGGGCTATTCCAGCCATAGCCGACGGGCTCAAGCTAGCCGTAAAGGAGCCGGTCTTGCCAAGCAGCGCCAAGGAGGTGCTCTTCCTTATAGACCCCTTGCTCACCTTCTTGTTGAGCGAAGTGGCCTGGGTGGTGATACCCTGGCTTGGTACATGCAAGTGCTGTCATCTTGGATATAGTTCTTACGAACATGGATCGACATGTGCTGACTAAAGACAATGAGGGCCTCACCGGGGGGTAGTGTATCAAAACATCGATGCAGCAGACGGTGTGGTAAGTGCCGCTGATGGACTCCAAGTCCTTTGCCTCAAATTTTGGCGCCTCTGCCGCTGTGTTTGACTTCGCCTCCACCTCATACCTCCTGGCAGCCTCATTTGCCTAGAGCACATTACTCAGCAATTACTCACCAGCTTCATGCATGCATTGCATTTTTTTTGGAGGATAATTTCACAGGACCCTGCATCCCAGCTGGGCTCTTCAATTTTTTTGGTCCTCTGGACAACACGAGACCACCTGAGCACCGGGGCCTTCAAAGCAAGCCAAATCAGCGAGAGAAGAGGAAAAAAACGACTTTCAGTCTCCAGCTAGACACTGCTCGGACACGTGAAGTTATGGAGTGTAGTTCAAGAGCTGCTGGGATTGAAAAGGAGGGAACAGCGCCGTACCATGGCCTCTGAGATGTCTGATCCATAGACCTTTGCTCCCTGGAGGGCCAGGGGAATTGATAGGGAACCGGTGCCGCAGCCGGCGTCGCATAGCGTGATCCCCTTGACCCCGCTCCCCTCCGATAACCACCCTAGGACCTTGTCCACAGTCACTGCGTGCCCCTCCCTGATGTCCATTTGCACCTGCAAAAAGGAAACGCCCACACATCTCAGCTCCCTACTTCATCAATTTGCCACCTCATAGGACAACTGCTGCATTATTGTGACTCCGCCCCTCACATGCAAGGCTTCCCCCTTTTCCTCATCATTCTAAAAAACGGGAGCCTTGAAAGAAACCGTGCCATTTGCATTCCTTCCTGCACCCTGCATTCCTTCCTGCACCCTGCATTCCCAAGCCAGCAGGATTAGGCATGGAAAGCTTGCACCTCCTTCCTGCACTGAACCATCTTGGGCACAATTTTACCTTATCTGTTCCAAACTAAGATTAATGATCACATCTGAGATCATTCTTTAAGAAAGGGCAGGTGGGATTGATCACGGAGCTGATCTCATCAGTGGTCCCACCAATCTAGAGATAGGCACCCCCTTGGCTTCCCCATTTATTCTCTACAGATTGCAAAACAAAAGTCTTTCCCAAAGGAGGGTCCCACAGCTTGCTTTTGCTGAATGCCCCTTACTGCATGCCTTCATAAAATTTCTCCTGGTCGTGTTGCACTGTCATCAATTTTGCTGGAATGTGTGTAAATGTCCTGCAGGACCGGTCAAGAGTGGCTCACCGAGCTGATCTCATCGGTGGTGCCGTAGATCTTGTTCCAGCGCTCAAAGCCGACAGTGTTGAAGTAACCCTTCACCGCCTCTTTCTCGTCGCCCCCCGCGGTGGTCGTCTGGGCGGACCTCCTGCGCCAGAACAGGCAATGCTGCCACGTCAGCATGACTACAGCTTATGAGGCTTCTCACTGCTTGTTTGTCCTTCTGGGCTGCTGAATTGCAGAGAATGCTGCTATCGCAGCTGCGGCGTTTACAGTCCCACAGGAGTCTCAGGGAAGTCGCTGTAGTCATTATCTTGTAAATACTGTCACATATATTGGGCTAACAAGAAATTCGCCTCACTCTTTCGTTCTGAGCAGCGGTCTTGCGATTCTCTTGCAAATTGGTCATGCCCGCGGCGCTCTCATGAAAATTACACCGCCAACAGATCAGCACCCAGCATGGAAATGTGACGCACCTCTTCTCTGGGTCTGCCACAAAGAGCGCTGCGCCGATGAGCCCCACTGCTCCAATGGCTGTGAAGGCGCTGGGAGGGATGGCCAGAGCGCCATCAGCAATCTGCACCATGGCATCAACCTCGCCGGCGTCCCAAGTCAAGCTTGTGGAAGCAATAATATTGAGTTGAGAAGTGGATGTGGGCACGCTCTCTGTCAGCATGACTGTGCGCTGAGCGTGGCTCAGGACATGGACATCCCAGCTCTGAGGGCTGTTTGACAGACAAAGCTGGTGAAGAGTTCCAGGCATGCGCGCGCCTGCGAGATGATCTCCGAGGGTGTGCTGGCTGCAACTGTCCTGCTTTTATGCGATCTTCCAGTCCTCCTTGTGGAGAATCTGCCCAACACACACTGCCTTAGACTTGGAATGGAACATTTCAGCTTTATAGTCCAAATCCAGATTGGCCCACGCTGCAATATCATTTGAAGCCTTAAGGAAGACCATCTCGATGAAAAGTTGGTCTTAAAGCGTACTTTGGGGCTGCAAACTGCTTCCTGCTGCTGATTGTCGTCTGCTCCAAGCTAGTGGATCGCCTGCCTAAGCGTCCCAAGCTGCAAATGTGCTGCGAATGAGCCATCACCATTGTGTCGATGATTCTTCTCAATATTAATTTGCCGCTTCTGTTGATGAGGGCCTATTGCAGCACTAGTGTAGCAAGAATTTTCCGAGACTACCTGGATTTTGTCTGTCAGAATTCTTGACTTCTACTCACCTGAACGAGATGTAAAAGTTCAAGAGCTGAAATGCAGGTGGTGCAAATTTAAGAAGGAGCGCAGAAGCCAATCGGGATCCTTATCCTCCATAGGCTTTATCCACCCCTGTCGGAAGGCAGAACCCGAGCAACAAATCTCGGGAATCCCCAATTAGAACACGACCTGCCCGAAATTGCCTCCAAACTCAATTTGGGAGGGTCAGCAGCGAGCAGCTGCCCAGCGATGATGGCGAGCCAATCCGTGTTCCTTGGCACTCGACCAGCCACGCGCTCCCCTCTGCCGATTGGGAGAGCTGGGCATGGTGCGTCCTCGAGGGAGTCAGCTTGTTAGATAGCAGAGCCAGTTTTCTGCGTGGCGACTGTCCTTGTCACACCAGCGCTAGCTGTCAGCAGAGGCTGTCATGCGTTGCTTGAAGGCGCAGCTGGTTTGGGCAGGAGGACATGTCCTCTCAGCTGCAAGAGACTGCTTTGCTCGAGTCTCATTGATACTTGGAGTAGCTCTATGAACATGTGGTGTTGTATGCTCAGTCCTGGACAATCTATTTAATGCCTCTGGCTGTTTGTCAAGCTCCATCACAGTGAATAGAGTGCATGATCCGATGCCATCACCTTCTGTGCCTGTCTCCATCTGCGGCTGACATTTGCTGCAAGCATGTCATGATTTTTCTCGCTGGTGGTGGACTGAAGACGTCTCCATCGCATCTTCTTTTTCCCGCTTTTTAGTGGGCCTGTGGCATCCCATCTTTGCAGGATCAGCAGGAAGGCGAGCACTGCGGGTCAGGGCGATAATCAAAAGCGACAATCCAGCTGCAGATAAGTATGACTTCATCCTGGTCGGCGGCGGCACAGCAGGCTGCGTGCTGGCCAACAGGCTGACAGCAGATGGATCCAAGAAGGTCCTGCTGCTCGAGGTGCGTACACTTGGACTGCAGCTAAGTTGTGCAGCCATTTGAGCGAGAACACAAACAAGTGCCAATCGAATTCAAAAATGAGGCTTTCACCTGCTCAGCATCTGCTGGAAAACTGGCCCTGACACATCTCCCTTATGTGCGGAGCAGCAATGACTTTGCTTCCCATGCAGTTGTTGTGTCAAGTGCTTGTGTGGATGTCTGGTAATTATTTCCGAGCCCATTTGTATGTGGACCGTCTGCAGTCCTGTGACAGATCAGGGCAGCTGCAGAGCATGCAACACACAAGACATAGCAATTACCATTTGAATGACAGATGGATGAATGCTTACATATTCTTGACAGGATGGCAGAGGGTATCCTAATAAAGGATGAGCGCCCGGAGAGTAATGTGGTGACTAACATGTATGTTATTGTTCAGGCGGGAGGCGCCAACAAGGCGCGGGAGGTACGCACACCGGCCGGGCTGCCGCGCCTGTTCAAGAGCGCCCTCGACTGGAACCTCTACTCCTCCCTGCAGCAGGCAGCCAGCGACAGATCGGTGCGCGCCCTGGGGACCTCCTCACATCTGGGAGTCATTCAACGCAAGGAACATCAAATCCAGTGAGTTTTGACGGGTTTAGACAAAGCAGTCCAGGATTTGGTGGGGTGCCATGGATGACTGTGCCCAACTTTGCATCAAATGCCTAGCAAGCTTGGCAGGCAACCTTGCTAGATATCTCCAGCCGATCGGATCCTCCATTCCACAAACGGGACATCGTCAGATGCCCAGCAGTTATAGTCATGCAGCAACAAGTCCGATTGCAGCCTGCCAGCATAACCCATGGGCCACATCTCTCGAGGCGCATCCTGTCAAAGTATACAGGAGAAAGGCTGCAAGGAACAGTACTGGATGGAGACGCCTGTCAACAATATTGGAGGCTGCAGATTGAGGATCTCTGGGCAGGATGATAGCAACATGCAGCAAGGTGTACTGTTACAGGCAAACTTCCTGTGCGGGGAAGAAAATCGGTGGTGCATGATGCTGATTATGTGGCCAAGGAACCCTCCAAACCCGCCTGAATATCTTCCGAAGACCTTGGGATTGTGCCTCTGCAGATCTACCTGGCACGGGGAAAGCTTCTGGGTGGCAGCTCCGCAACTAATGCCACGCTGTACCACCGGGGGACTGCGGCAGACTACGACGCGTGGGGTGTGCCGGGGTGGACCTCCCAGGACGCCCTGCGCTGGTTTATTCAGGCAGAGAACAACTGCAGAGGTGGGTTTGGGGCAAAAATAAAATTTAAATCTACATAGGGTTGGAGTTCAAGATAAAGGGTGCTGGGATAGCGGTGAGGAGAATCTCCCGGGATGCTCCTGCGCTGGTCCATCCAGGCACAAAACATTCGCAGGGGTGGGTGCAACAATCCTTTTTCGGTCAGCTTCCTCAAAGGACAGATCTCCACGGCACTAGCTTTGTTCTTCTTCGGGGTGAACAACTCTTCAGTAGGGGATCTTGAATTCCGCGCCTGATGCCCTGCAGTGCTTGGGCCAGGGGTTGTGTGCCCGGCAGTAGAATCACATACCCTGGAGGGATGCCGACGTTCTTGAACAGCTCCTGTTCCTTCCCACCATTTGCAGCAGGTCAACAGGCATTCGCTGGTGTATGCTTGGGAATGACAGCTGTCGCATGCATGGCAGGGATTGAGGACGGGGTGCATGGGACCGGGGGATTGATGCGCGTGGAGAACCCTCGCTACAACAACCCCCTGCACGAGGTCTTTTTCCAGGCGGCCAAGCAGGCCGGCCTCCCAGAGAACGACAACTTTAACAACTGGGGCAGATCACAGGTGTGATTTCCTTCTGATCACTTCGTCGTCATTATCATCATCACACACTTTTCCTGCCAGAGGCAAGGTGCGTCCTGCAGACAAGCTGCAGTAAAGGCTGCCACATATCCAACCCCTTGATGGACTCGCCAAATCCAAGCAAGATTGAAACAACTGTGGCCACATGCATGGTGCTCAATATTTAGGTTCAATATTTAGGTCAATAATAGCAAGGATCAAGTATTCAATATATGTTAAGAGATCTGTTGGGAGCCACCTAATGTCTCCGGATGCACTCATGACTCCATGTGCTGGACCCCTATCTGAGGTTTTGCGCATTTTCTGAGTGTGGGCGTTGCACATTTAATCTAGTCTTGTTGCAATTTGTATCTATGAAGCTGACTGCAGATTACTCAGATGCACTGAGTGTAGCAAAATCTACCACAAGCATGCTCGCAAACAATCTGAATGTAAGGTAGGACGCAAGATATACAGGGCAGTGCGAGCGCCAAGAAGGGAGGAAGGGCTACTTCGCGTTTGAAAATAATTTAGTCCAAAAAGCTGAAGAAATTAGTACCGCGAATGCTTCGCCTTGCAAGGGCCTCACAGGGAGCTTCACACGCAAGCATAAAAGCCGTCTTTGAGGACACACAATTTATGCGAGAAAGATGATGATTGCAGGCGGGGTATGGGGTTGTAGTTGTTAGAGGGGAAAGAAGAGGGTGAGATGAAGGGTCAGGCGAGGTCTCGGGAATTTACTGTGAGCGCAAGACATCAGGGAACTAATCAGGGGTCTTGATGCGTCAGGCGGGGTACGGGGAGTTCCAGGTGACTCACAGCAAGGGTGAGCGCGCCGACTGCTTCCGGATGTACCTGGAGCCAGTCATGGGGCGTTCCAACCTCACAGTGCTCACCGGAGCCAAAACGCTCAAAATCGAAACTGAAAAGTCCGGCGGCGCCACGGTCTCGCGCGGCGTCACCTTCCAGGTCAACGGCCAGGACGGCAGCAAGCACTCAGGTGCGAGGAGATGAAGAAAGAAGAGCACTGAGTCGTTGTGCTTTGAGCTGTAGAACATAGCAGCAGAGCATGAGCCTTTCACGTATGGCAGACATCTCCTGCGCTTCAGGAGTGTGTGTTCTATTTTTCCTAAGTTCTCCTGTCCCTCTGGCACTGGGAAGCTGGGAAGTTTGGTTTTCAGAATATGGTTTCTATGACACCTGCAGCGTAGCTGAGGCGAGGTCACGCTGCAATTCGTCAGTTCACGCGAATAATTTACTTTGTTCATGTGTCAAGCCAGGAGGCATGCATCGCTGAAAATATCAATAATTTCCTGAAGAGCTGGTGTAACTTCTGTCGGTGGTTGGGGCCCAGTTGGGGCCATCCCCTTATTCACGGCTTTCCTGACATCGAGCCAGCAAGCATGCATCCCTCGAATAAGATGCTTTTTTTTTTTTTAACTTCCTGCAGCTGAGCTGGCTGCTGGGCAGCAAGGTGGCACTGCAATTCAGCAGTGCATGCAATCACCTTGTTCATGTATCAATCCAGCAAGCACTGAACGCTTGAAACTCCAAATTACATTTGCAAATTATCGAAAGGGTGATTTGAATGCTGCAGCTGAGCTGGCGGCTGGCGGCGAGGTGGTGCTGTGCGCGGGGTCAATCCACTCGCCCCAGATCCTGCAGCTCTCCGGCATCGGCCCCCAGGCGGAGCTGCGCTCCAAGGACATCCCTGTCGTCGCAGACCTGCCCGGCGTCGGCCAGAATATGCAGGTGAGACCAGATTCTCTTTTTTCTGCCCCTAAACCCTTCAAACCCCTAATTTTCCCCCAAGAGCTGGAAGCAGAGAAACTTGGCGCTGTGAAGGCAAGGTGCTTACAGCAATCTGCCGGGCATGGGCCAGAACATGCAGGTGACCTGCTTGTCCTGCTGATGGCCATGATGTATGTGACAACCTGAAAGTGCTGTGAAGCACTTGGACAACATTACCAGTGCTGATGATGCATATGGCATACGGCAGTATCAGACGCTAAGAGTCAATCACTAGCAGTGCAAAACGATGGCCAGTCTGCACTTGAAAGCCATTCTCCCCGACTGTGTTATGTGGTGTTCAGGGTTTCGACCCCTTATTATGATGAGGCCCCCTTCATAGAGTATTGAGAGACCCCTCTGATGCGGGGACACCTTGCCTGCTTGTTGCATTCTTCCTCAACCCCTTTCAACTCTTCAACAATTCCCCAGACCCTGTTTTCTTATACATACCACCCGGGCATGCCTCTCAGCAAACTGACCGAAGGACAGCAGGTCCCTGTGTTTGCATCCCTGCTTCGGGCCCCAAACCTTGTTCTGTATTAAGTAACAAGCAACAAACCTGTCTCCCGATGCAGGACCACCCGGCGTGCCTGTCAGCCTTCTACCTCAAAGAGAGCGCGGGTCCCATCAGTGTGACTGATGAGTTGCTGCACACCAATGGCCGAATCCGCGCGCGCGCAATCCTAAAGTACCTGCTCTTCAAAAAGGGGCCCCTCGCCACCACAGGATGCGACCACGGCGCCTTTGTGAAGACTGCAGGTGCGCCTTGAATTACGCATGGAGGCATTGGCCATGGCTCATTTAGGCCAGATGTGAGCTGGTGCTGCATGCTCAGCTGCCCGCAAGCTGCCAAGCTACGCTGATGTTCACTCTCCTGTTGTCAGTCAGGCTCAGCCTGCACCTGCTCATGCCTTGGTCCGACAATCCTGCGCATGGCTGGCACCTTATGTATGTGACAGTGGGGACTGCCCAGCTGAGGGCATTGAGCCGTGCGGCGAGCCAGCTACTTAGGAGTCTTAGGAACCCTTGAAATGTCTCGATGCAGGTATCATGAACATGTATTTCTCTGGTCGTTAGTATCCAGACGACCTTAGATGGGGCACCCTAATACAGCATGCATAGCATGGATGCATGATGGCAAGCCTGGCTCGGTAACATGAATGCGAGAGGACTTGTCTGTTGCATGCACAGATCCACAGCAAGCCAGCCATGAGTCTCAGTACACGCTTGCGCCGTGCCACTGTGAAGATACATATAGTGAGTCTGCATTATGTGCAAATTCAGTAGAGCTTGGACTGACTGGTTAACATGACAAGACAGCTGAGTTGGCAGGAATCAGGCAGCTTGCTGACCTCAGCGTGGCCAGGTCAGCGCCCCTCCTTGTCAGTCAGGAAGCCGATGGCCAGTTTTGGTGCGTCCCAGGGGTCGTCGCTGCGAAGACCCACCGACCCGCGGCTCCTGCGCAGCATTGCACAATCTTATTCAACTTTCCCTCTCTCATTGTCAGCGGATTTTAGGGCAGAAAATTAAGGAGAGCTGTCTGTGTTACTGTGCAGGTCAGAGTGAGCCGGACCTGCAGATCCGCTTTGTGCCGGGTCTGGCGCTTGACCCTGACGGCATCGGATCCTACACGGCCTTTGGCAAGATGAAGGACCAGAAGTGGCCCTCCGGAATCACCTTCCAGCTGCTCGGAGTGCGGCCCAAGTGAGCCTTTCTCACTTCTCTCACACTTACGTGTGTACACTATAAAAACGTGGAATCCCTTAAAGCAACCCTTGCCGCCCGTATAAGATCCCATTGTGTCTTGCGCATGTGATATCACACCGCCAGGCTCTCTGTCAGTGCGCGCCAGTGGAGCTGTCAGATCCTCATTGTGCTGCTCTAGAAGGATTAAATTTCGGAGGCTGATCCGTTGCAGACGCCTGATCAAGCTAGCTGCAATCAGGCTGGATGCCAGAACTTGCAAGAGCTGCTCAATGTTTGTAAAATGGGATCTCTAAACATCTAAATTGGCAGGCTGATGGCCTGCTCTCCTCAAATTTGTGCCCCAAAACCCGCTGATTTTGGGGAATGTAGTGAATGTTGAATTAGATTGTGCAATGCTGCGCAGGAGCCGCGGGTCGGTGGGTCTTCGCAGCGACGACCCCTGGGACGCGCCAAAACTGGACATCGGCTTCCTGACTGACAAGGAGGGCGCTGACCTGGCCACGCTGAGGTCAGCAAGCTGCCTATCCCCTGTCAACTCAGCCGTCTTGTCATGTTTATTAGTCAGCCCAAGCTCTACTGGTTTTGCACATAATGCAGAGCGCACAGTAGCATGCCATGCAGCGTTTGCATGCGTGCTTGCATGCAAAGCCTGCAGCAAAGGCTACTGTTCTTAGATAGCTGAATTTGAATGCCTTCTGAAAGCATGCGCAGCGCAACTGAACACCTGGTTCTTCGCCTAGATCATGTCCCACTGTGCCAGACCGCAAATTCAGAAAGCAACTAAGAAATGCAGCCTAGTAACTAACGGGTTACTTATCGTGACTCATCATCGCCTGCAGGAGCGGCATCAAGCTCTCGCGCGAGATCGCAGCGGAGCCGGCATTCGGAGCATATGTAGGCAACGAACTTCACCCGGGCGCAGCCGCCTCGTCCGATTCTGCGATCGACTCATTCATCCGTGACACGGTGCTGATTTTATACTTCTGATCACTTTTGCATGCACAGATAGACTGCTAGGTATTTGGGCGGCAAAAAAGGGCGATCTGTCCGGGATGCATGTGCTGGGCATTCAGCATGTCAGGAGGGAAGATGCATGGCATTTGTAGAGGAGTACTTGCATGCAATGTGTGCAAGCAAAAGGTGGCTTTTCTGAAGAGCGCAATTGTATCTGAGATACAGCAAATGCTGGCTGGCTGGCAGGCGTGCACCAATGCAGTGCTTATTGTACAGGCAGGCCTTGATCTCCTATTACAGTGTACTTATTATTATTATTATTACACGCTTAGGTGCGTCCTGCAGACAAGCTGCAGTTGAAGGCTGCCACAATCCTACCCCTTGTTGGACTCGCCAGATCCAAGCAAGACCCAATCAACCGTGGGCACGGTGCTCAGTATTATATCGCCCCCCGCCAGTAGGGGCCATTACAGTGTAGTACTCCACGAAAAAGTGGCTGCAGACGTCCCGCGTGTGAATGCCCTTTTCTGCCTTTTCCGTCTGCCGCTTTTTTTATTAAATGACAATGACAACATTATGACTAAATTTTATTTTTGTGCATTTTCGCAGGTGCACTCGGGCAATGCCAACGTGGGCACATGCTCGATGGGGGTGAATGGGAACGCCGTCGTGGACCCGTCACTCAGAGTGTTCGGCATCCGCGGCCTGCGAGTGGCCGACGCATCAGTCATCCCCGTCATCCCAGGTCAGTACTCACTCTCCTGTGATACTGTAATGGGTGCTTATTTTCGCTGGCACTGCTGGGTCTTGACCCCAGGCTGAAGGTCTGGGCTGGACCTTCTGAATAATGTTGCTACAAGGGTCTGCAATGAAGTTATAGCTTGGGGCTTGAAAGAATTAGGCGAGATAAAGCAGGCCTGTTGCTTGCAAGCATGACACTGACGGGCACTCCAAAGTCGGCCTCTCGCCGTCAGCAGCACATAGCAATTCTATAGCAAGTGTTCCCTGCCGTACCTCGGATGTCCGCAGCAGCTAACATGGGATTTTGTTTTTCCTGTAGGAGGCCAGACCGGCGCTGCAACGGTGATGGTGGCAGAGAGGGCCGCGGAGATTCTCCTCGGCTCGAACCAGAAGCAGCCGGCCGCCGCCGTCCCCGCCGCGCAGCCGGCCCTGGCTTGAGTGAACGGCTCATGACGTGCGCGCTGCGGGGCCTATTCTGGCACCGGCATGTGGCAACACCGCATCTCGGACATGCCTCTGCCCTAATCTGGCGCTGGCGTGAGGCAATGCCGTGCGAGGAATGCGATGCGGGCCTATTTTGGTGCTGGTTTGAGGCTGCGCCGGTTTCCCAGCTGCCCGGCCAGGCAGTCGTCTGCTGCCCACGGCCTGCCCGGCACAGGGGCAAGGGATTGCTGCTGCAGACCGGGGCGCCAGGTGCCATGGATGCTTAGTCAAAAAGGGTTGCCTCTACCTGGCAGATACACCTTGCCATGCTTGTGCGGGAGTGACTGCAAATATCAATAAACAGACACAATCTGACAATGGTCCTGGTACTGGTGGAGAACGAGCTGGAGGCGGCTACGTAGATATGGAGGTGGCAAGGGGTTCATCTTGGTAAGGGTGGAAGGAGAAAAGATTGGTGGCCTTGTGGGAGGTCATGGAGAGGCCACCTGGCACATTGCTGCAGCAGCATTCGCTGTACACGGCGCACAGTGTGCTTGCCAGAGCGCATGACTTGTTGGGTGGCCTCAGGAGATGTAGGCATTAGTACAGCTGTGACAGAACAGGGAAGAAGAGGGAGGTTGAGGGCTGTGAGTGAGGGATGTGCCAATGGCCCCATACAGCAGAACTGCAGCCTTATCATTTCGTGAGTTGGACACGTGTGTGGCTAGCGAGAGTATTCTGATGAAGGACACAGTGCATGATTGGACGAGAATAAAAGGGCGGCAATAAGACCAAATCGTGGCTTTCAGTTGACATGACTAGTCTTTGGGTCAGGCTGCTCACTGGTCACTCCACAAAATCAGAGTTGAGGCTCCTTACTGGTCACACTACGATGTCTTATTGGATGCTGAATAACAAGTTTTATGGTGGTGGGTGCTTAGCTCTTTGCTTGCTGCAGTGAGCTCTTTGGCCCTGTGCTGGAGATTCTCCTGTTGAAATATTCGTGAATCAGATAGAGGATAGTCAGAAATGAGCATTTCTGCATGAGTAGTACTGAAAGATGCACCCAGAAGGGGTGGGCAGACCAGAAATGTATATTTGCTCCTTTGGAAGTATCGCTAGAGCTGTTGTCAACGATTGAATCTAGGTTCAATGCGATAGATCTATCGCAAGTTGTCTTGCTCGATAGTGCCTGAGAGTCTCCAATTCCAGAGATTGCTTTGTTTGATTTTGCATCATGCCGTAGCAGTCTGAGATGAACCTCAATTTTGAGAGCGAGACAGTCACCCAAACTCAGTAAGATACTTGCGAGCAGAATCGGGAACAAATCTTTCCACTGGCAAAACTTGCGCATGAAAATGCATATCGTTGAATCATTGCTAATCATTTCTTCTTAGTGACCCACTGAGGCCTGCATTTTGTGCATGCCCAAGTGCAAATCTTGTGGACACACAATGGAGCATTGACATCACTGAGGACTCCTAGTAAAGTCTTGGCCAGATTCCCATGGGATACTTGCACGATCGCGATTGGTGCTACAGCTGCTTGGAGGGCAACTGGTTCTCCCAGATTCTAAGCTTGAATAGAGTTGGAAGACCGTGCTCTGTGACAGGAGGCTTCTTTGCTACAAAACGCGTAATATGTACAACATTGGAGGATCAAGAGTCCGCACTACTGCACCAGAATTGTGAAGGTGTACTTGCCAAAACCAACTCTGGAAAACACATGCTGCCCGCCAGCAGCCCCTCCGTGAGTAGAGGCGCGTACAGAGTGCGAGTATTACACATTCAGGAGAGCTGCATGCCAGGCAATGCCTAGCTAGCTAAATAAGCAAGGGCTTTCTAGATCCGATCAGAATCTGACTCACATACTGCAGCTCTCGTGCAGGGTGAAGTCGCGCAGGAATGCCGCAGCGCCAGGCGTGCTTGGGATACAAGTAAGATCTGGGAACTTTCCCAAAGAGCACAGGCGTGGGCAGGCCAACTGGTGTTGCAAAGACTGCTTCGGCTTTCAATTTAAAAGTGAAGCTGGGCTGTTTCTATATTCCCCTTGAGTACAGGGAGAACCTTTTCTTGGTCAGAAGGAAACTTGGCATCACTCCAGACATTTACGCCAAAGCAGCCAGATTGGGACATAAGATTCGGTTGGTGCGTTGTATGTTGTCAGTCCGAGTTGGTGAACGGGTAGTCATTGCCAAGATTGAAATTTTCCTGAAACCATGTTGATCTGGTGCTCAGACTGTTATCTGATAAACATATACAATTCGATATTGACATGTAAGATTGAAACAACCATTTAAGACCAGGTGATCTTTGATTGACTTTATTATGAATAGTATGACCATTACAAACCATGGCACCCCGTATCGAGTTGCATTCTTTAGTCGTTGAGGAATCCTGTGCCTTTGAAGGGAGGATCATGGGGAACGATGGACAACAGAATGATCACAGCCGGTCAGGCAGAGCTGGGGAGTGCTTCGTCTGCGGCCAGGTTTGTCCAGATGATCTTACCCATCACTGCTGCTCTAGCCGGCCAAGATGTGCTGTTTCTTCATTCTTTTGCTTTTCTCTTCTGTCAGGTGTCTGAGGGTTTTTTTTGGTGCGTGCAGCTTGGACATTTTGCGCGTGACTGCCCAATGAAGAGGGGAGGGGGTAGCAGAGGTTTCTTGGGTGGAGGCCGAGGTGCTTTACTACCAAACGCCTTCTGAAGCCAAATTTATTGATTGCCTCATCTTCTGAGAGCAACAAAATGCACCTGTGTGTATTCTGTTACCGTATATGCAATGTAAGGTTGCAACGAGCACCTTGCACCCAGCTTGAAGCTCTTCCCAGCCCATCAGTTCACAGTAGTTGCCCGCTCTTGCAGCGCAATTGCTGACTACCATATGTTCATCATTCCATCTGCACACAACATAACCCCTGGTGCAGCACCATTGCTGACCATCATATGTTCAGCCTATCATGTGCACACCTTGAATTAAAGAAAAATGTAGTCACGGAGGGGAAGCGTGCGTTTGCAGGGGGTTTCCAGGGGAGGGGGATGCCAGGCCGGGGGGCACCCTTCGGCTCCTTTGGCATGAGCGGTGGCCTGGATGGCAGTGGGCCCATGATGATGGAGATGGGTGCGGCCTCTCACCTCCTGCAACACACTGCATCAGTGGCAGTTGAACAGCAAGGGCAGAGCTTGAGGTGCCCGCATCGTGAGATTTGGGTGCTGCTTTACGCTCGATGCAATACACTGCATCACTGGCACTTCAACAGCGAGGGCAGATTTGTGAGAACCACCATCCTATATATCAGGAGGCCTGGAAACTTGGGTGCCGCATGGCGCCCGATCCAATATACTGCATCTCTTGCAGTTCAATAGCAAGGAACGATCTCAAAGTGCCAGCATCTTATTCTGTCAAAGGCATGGGAATTTTGGTGCCGCATGACGCTTGATGCAATACAGTGCATCTTGTGCTCTTGAACAGCAATTGCAGGACCCTGTTACCAGGAGGCGCCAGACAAGTTGGTGCTTGGTACAGCTTGCAGTAGCTGTGGCTCATACGGCGTGGCGCAATCAGTAGATGAAGGGCCCTGTCAGGTCTACTGGGGAACCACTGTTGCAGTGACTGCAGCTGTTGGAAAAGACAACGTGAAATGGTAGATGTTCATGATGACATTGCCCCAGTCATCGGAGGGTCACCGGAGGCCCGAGGGTCCAGAGAAAAACAGACTTGCAAGGGCGCGGGTGTTCAGGTGTGGGGTGACGTGGCAAGTGTATCTGCGTGCAGGCCAGGCGGAGCCGATGTTTATGGGCGGCGGGCAGGGAATGATGGAGAATCTGCCGGGCCCCCCCGGCATGATGATGGGGGACCCCATGCAAGGCCTCGGCTCCCCCTTCCCAGGTGCAATTTTTCAAATTCCCGTACAGTCCCTGAACGTCCCTCATTCCATTCCAAGCACCTGCACGTTTTCACTGCACTTGGATTTTTCTTGTATTCCAGCCCACCAAAAATACCACTTGAATGCCGCAATTTTCATATTCCTCTGTAGTCTCCCAAGTGTGTGCTGCAGATCTGCTGACACTGATGACATGCGAACAATTCTCGTTAATTTTTGCTGTCTGTAAGGGATGGTGCAAGGAAATCACACACTAGAAGTTTGTGATATGAAGATGGGCAGCGACAGACTGCCCACAAGACCCACAAGCCTTAGGTGGCTCCCAACAGCTCTCTTAAATGTTAAAATATGATTAACAACTTCATCGCTGCTGGATGTATTCACAACAGCTGCTGCACTGCAGGCGCAAGGCCCATGGGGGGGCCGATGGGTGGACCCCGGCTGCCACCGATGGGGGGCCCGCCGCAGGGTGGGGATCTGCACCGTATGGGCGACGGCAACGGACTGGCCTTTGGTTTTGACAGCTTCGGCGGTGAGCTTCCCTGATGATCAGATTAGATTGTATAATTGTTTGAAACTTGATCAGTGCGCTGTTGCAGGTCTCCTGCTGTCACTCGTGTCTGTTGAACGCCAGTCCTGGTACTGCACATCAGCGCTTATGCCATGCCTAGGATGCTTGCAAATTCTCAAGACAGATGGCTACAACAAATTCCCATAATCACTTTGTCAAATTCCAAATCGCTGCATTCAGACTACACACCAGCTGGGTGCAGTTTTTTGATGTGTTGCAAGTACTTGGTAGACAAGCTAGTGGAAAGGGGGAGATGTGAGAATCCTTGCACATTGGTGTTAAGGGCCGGGGGAGGCGCAGAACGGGGAATTCACACCGGGCAGGGGGGGGTCCCGAGGGCGCTTCGATGGCCGCGGCAGAGGGGGGTCCTCCGGCCGCCGCGGCGGGGGCCCCCTCTCCACCGGGCCGTCCCGGGGGGAGCAGAATGACTACTGCCAGCACTTTGTCGACACCGGCGAGCGGCCGCAGAACTTCCTGAGAGACGTGCAGCTGGTATGAAACATTCCCTCCACTGCCAAAAGGATCAAGGGTCAATAATGAGGGCTACATTTTAGGATCGGAAGTACCATTGGCACTGTGGATGCATTGCTTATATCACTGACTCTCACATGACCCAATTTATGCCAAGTAAATTCTCATTGGTATGCACTTCAGAGTACGCAGCATCCTAGAATTGGAGTGAAATGCGCTGCTTATTCTAATATACCATATACATACCACACCATTGGTACCATACCTGGTACCATACCAGTACCAGGACCTTTGCAAGTGTCTAATGCCCGAGCTTAGATATCAAGGCGCTCTTCAGCTCTTTTCTGCAGCACGAGCATGCTGCTGGATGGGCAGCTTGTGGGCTCTCAGTCTGGCATGCCTTTTGCTTTGCAGCAGCTACACACGTTATTCTGGATTGCTGGCGCTGAGATATGTTCTGGTCCCTGCTCAGATGGACCCATTAATATGCTACTTAATTAGCCTCAAAGTTGCCTCACAAAATGGCCTCTACTACTTGGGTTAATATCTTCTGGGGCTGTGCAGATGGATCGTTATGAGGAGTACCCAAAAATGAGAGAGCTCATACAGCGCAAGGACGACCTGGTCGCCCAGAAGGCAACGCCGCCCTACTACCTCAACGTAAGCACTCTTGTACTCACAGCTCTTGATCACTGTCACGCGGAGCTCTGTAAGCAATGCCGATGACTACTTGCTCGGGGACAAAGCTGCACTGAGAGGAGAATGCCACATTCCCGGTGTGCTGGCGCATATTCCAAGCCTGTCAGCACTTGACTGCTCTCTGACCTGTATGAGAGTTTGTATCAGTGGAAATGGGGACAGGTCATGTCCTCTCATCCAGAGATCAATAACCGGTAAGATAGGATGGCTTCGAAATTCTGATGGCTAGTTTATACTCTGCAGGCGGACCTGCGCGAGCTGAAGCTGAGCGTGGCAACGTTTGGCACCAAGTTTGACGTCGTCCTGGTGGATCCACCCTGGGAGGAGTACGCCCGCCGCGCGCCCGGCATCGACGTTCCCTCCTGGCCCTGGCAGGACATAATGAAGCTGGAGATCGAGGCCATCGTCGACGTTCCCTCCTTCGTCTTCCTCTGGTGCGTGGATACACCCTGGGACGATTCACCTGTTATTTTCATGCCCGCATAATTGGCAATCTTCATTTACAGAGGATTTTCGGCCTTGCCTCAGGTTACCATCCCTGCCCTTGCCGTATGCATCAAAGTATCTTTGCAACCAATACATCCCAAAAAGCAACAGGTCTGGTGTCTTGACAGCAGAGATGGCCCCAACACCTAAAATGCCAAAGGATTCTTGAATCCCAAGGGACTGACATTGAACCGGCCTGATCCACCACTCTGTGGGCTGCGGACAGAGAGAGCAGTGTCTTTCATCGTAACTGCAGGTGGGATCAATGATTGCCGAAACACTCCTGTGGACTACAATTTGAATTTGAATTTATTACAATTTGAGTCCAAATTCACAGGTGCGGCAGCGCGGAGGGGCTGGACGCCGGGCGGCACTGCCTGAAGAAGTGGGGCTTCAGACGCTGCGAGGACATCTGCTGGATCAAGACCAACGCGCAGGCCGCGCGGAAGGTGGCCGCCCGACAGGACGCGCACGCCGTCTTACAGCACACCAAGGTGGTTACCCACGCTGTCTGATGATAATGTCACTGACCCCTGACGGCATATTGACCCTGGGATACATGAAGGTCTCAGGGCCGGGACATGCATGTCGTCCTACAGCACACCAGGGTGGGAAGCCTGGCTAAGGCCCATAGTCCCCCCTAATACAACTCGAAAACCCTTGAGCGCCCCAAAAGTTATGCCCTGACGTGACAGCATTGGTGTGTGAAGCGCTGTGCCTCACCTGAAGTCCCAGAAAGTCTGGGTCATACTGCACCTTGAGCACGCCAGGGGCATCATTCGGTGGAACACCCATCTAATACATGCATAATTCGGACTCTGAAAGCATGCAAAGGTTTGGTCACTCTCTACTAAATTTCGCAGGAGCACTGCCTGTTGGGGTCTTGTTCTTCCTCCACCCTGGGTCCACGGCATACCTGTATCCTTGCTATCAAGGCGGAAATCACCTGGTGACCTATCACAGACCTTGTCGTTTACGCGCGTGAGCACTGCTCCTTCATAACCACCTTATTACCCACCCATGACTGATCCGCTCTCGCAGGAGCACTGCCTGATGGGGATCAAGGGCACGGTGCGGCGCAGCCAGGACGCGCATGTGATCCACGCCAACGTGGACACCGACATTATCGTGGCAGAGGAGCCGGCTTTCGGATCCACGCGCAAGCCCGACGAGACCTATTCCCTCATCGAGCACTTTTCGCTGGTGCGCGCCCCTTGGCGATGCTCCTGATACCCTCAGGGTCAAATGGTTTAGGGGATACGGATTCAGGGTTCAGGGTGTGGAAATGGGTCCAGTTATAGTTTTTGCCCTCATTGATCACTTGTCCCTGGCGCGCCTGATCCATCTTCCAATTGGCAACTGCTGCATGCAGCTTTGCTGGTTTCTAGGATGCTGTCGCCATGTTTGGGGGTGTTCGTGGAGGCAGAAGTGCTTTTGTGCGCTGCATTGACCTGGAAACAGCATGTGTTGGAATGAGTGTGATGATTGTGACACCGCATCCCTTGATTGCCGCCCACATGCCGTGTCAACTATCGGGGAGTCTGCAATGGTCAGCACCCTCAAGGCTTGCAAAAATCCCCAATTTCAGCATCATGATGATCAGGCATTGGAGATGTGATTGAGCCCGAAGGTACCAACCATAGGGATGTCGAAGTTATCCTGGTCTGGGTTTGGTGACTTGTGTTTCTTGGGCAGCAGCAGACATGGGAACGAAGATGCATGCCCTGTTTGTTTCTTGGTAGGGTATTTTGTTCCCCTTAACCCTATGTGTGCTCCAGGGCCGTCGGCGGCTGGAGCTGTTTGGGGAGGATCACAACATCCGCCCCGGCTGGGTCACTGTGGGCAACGATCTCACCGGCTCAAACTTCGGCGCGCAGGTGCGGGGGCCGTTCCCTGGCAGGATTCCCTCCCCCTGGAGGATCCCCTCCCCCCTCGTGCTGCGCTTGCTGCTGCTTGTAGGAGCAGCAGCAGCAGCAAGCTGCAAGGCTAAAAGTCAAAGGAATAGACGGGGGCTCATACAAGTGGTGGAACATGTGGTTTAATTCGAACCAACGCGCAGAATTTTCTGGTCAAATGAATCTTGGTTCCATTTGATAGTACCCGTACCGGTCACCCTAAACTTTACAGTGGGGTTGTATTACCCGCAAAAAGTAATTACTTGTGGCCAGAAAGGGTTGATAATCAAGACCCTATCTCCCAAAATGTATGCCCCATTGAATCCTTGAGACGTGATTCGACAGAAACCTTGACAAGCGCAATCCTATGGAGCATGACCCTGGCATTTTTTGGAATCAGGAAGACCCCTATAAGCTGCTTTGAAACGATTCTTGCACCGCCAGGGGTGCGGATTCTAGTATGAGCACCATTCCTGAGCCAGCTGTCTTGTGTGTCTGCGCGCTTGCCGCATTGCGTACAAACTGCGATGCTACCCTTCCTGCCGGGCGCTCGCAGTGGCTTCCATTTCTTGTGTGCTCCCAAATCACAAGGGGACAAAGGTCCCATGCAGCCCAATGCATGCAAACCATTGGCAGGCGCCGAGGCAGGCTCTTGTTGACAAGTGGACCTTGTCCTCTTAAGTGTCTACAGCGAATGCATGGAGGCCTTCAGATGTTTAATTATTGTACGAAGAAAGGGGATGTGCTTGTGTGACTTGCATTGCCTGCACAGAGGTCTGCAGCGCAGGGCTGCTACTCTTATGGGAGCTCCATGCAGCTGTAGTCTTAGTAGGCAGTCCAAAGAGTCACAGTGCAGGCTGCTCATTGTACAACATGTCTTTGTATTCGTGGGAGCTGTTGGACTCACTTATGTTTGGCGTGCGTCTGCGTGCGTCTGCGCACGCAGCGCAAAGCTGCTGCTCTTCTTGGAGCCTCTTGCAACTGTGTTCTTAGCAGGCAGGGAAACAACTCGCAGTGCAGGCTCTTTGTTGGCTTCATCCTGAGAGACTGATTCGGATGTGTTGTGCACAGACGTACGCTGCGCAGTTTGCTGACGAGGCGGGCCGGCCGCATGTGAGCAGCGGCGGCCGGCCGCCACCGGGCGCGCCCCACCTCCTGGGATCCACCCCGGAGATTGAGGAGTTACGCCCCAAGTCCCCTTGAGCGGGGGGACCCGCCACGGAACCGGGGGGGGACTGGCCGCCTGTCATTGGCATGCCATGCTACTAGCAAAAAAGCGAGGATTGCGCATCATATGATATCATATGCATGATGCACCCCACTTGTAATAGATCAATCATATTGTAATCATTGAGGCGAACCCGTATCACATTCTAATTATAATATTATAAATAATTATAGGCTACTTGGACCCAAAATGCTTGTGGCGCTGTGTCAATATATCAAAGGTGAAAACATTGCTATAAACCCCAAATGATTCTCACTACTAGTAGTGGTGCCACCACCGTGGTGACAAGCTGTTGGTAGCCTACTGAGATGAGCATACCCGGGATGCCGTAAGGCCTACAACAAATGCTTCAAAGTGAACTTCAAGCTTGAAGCTAGGAATGCTTGTTGCGCAACAAGTGCACGGGCAACCTAGTCAGCATTGGGCGTCACGCCAACGGTTGGCACCCACTTGTGCTCAGAAGGCTTCTTTGTGATTATAAATTGTGCACATGGCATACACTTGCACGCACACTTGCAGTGCACCAACATGCAACTCTCCTTCTGTGGCGTGGGCCATGGCTAGGGAATGTCTGTTTCAAGCTGATCTGTAGTTCTCAGGCCCCAACGCTCAAGCTGATGGGCTACTAGCAACCAACTGAGGATGCGCCTATTGCAATCATGGGCATGCGCATGCACACTGTACGTGGCATCATGCCACAAGCATGATGCATTGAAAAGCAGCGGCAACGGGTGCTGCTTGAGCTCAGGAAGAGGTCTGGATGATTGATGCAAAAGCAAGATGTCACAGGGTTTTACAGCTGGAGATCTCTAGAGTTAACGCTGAAGCTCCCAAATGAGCATATAGCATGTGCATCAGCTCTCAGAAGGGAGGCTCTTCAATCTTGGAGGCTCGCCCCATCCTGCTTGTAATAATGCCCCCAGCCCACCCCAGGGGTCGCTAGCGGGTTTGACACTGGCAGTGCCTAAGCATTATTTTTGGGCTGCCCGCACAGCACTTCCTCTGGGCAATCCCAGGGAGATCACCCAGTAGATTTGGCTACCAATGCACAAACAAGTCTGGATGGACCAGAGTCATGTGCAGAGACATGTCCTAGACGTAAGAAATATGAGCCCAATCTCGGGGGGACAGACCCTGGTCACTGGCGCTATATTCAAAACTCTTCCATAGCTAGGTTGTCGTGCGGTCCTGCTCATGATCGTGGGAACTTGTGGCGACGATGACGGCAAAGAAGCTGCCGAGGCACAGCCCGGCGAAAATAGCAATGCCGGTCTTGGATATCAACTCCGCGCGGATCATGCTGCGCCGCTCGCGGCCGCCCCCCCCTCCCCACGGCTGTGCATTAAAAAATTAATCAGTGGGTATTGTGACACATGATGACTAAGGCAACCAGAATAGCGCTTCTAGTAATATGTCTGGTCACACCCTGCGAATTACATAAGTTGCCAATCGCCCCAAACATGCCGCAGAGCCCAAACGGGAACGCCTTAAAACCCATGTCAAGAGATACTCCTTGCGGCTGCGCGGGGATTAGTCACTGGTGAGTGACATGCATGAGTCATAATGACAAGCTCGGGTCTTCGCTATACTCTATTGTGTTTTTGATGTGCGCTGCAAAATCCTCCCTCAAGGGATCCCTGTCTGGCTCGGACTGCTGACTGTGAGTCAGTCCTAGGAGGCCTCGCTGAAAATGTTGCATTTCACCTGCGCACCATTTTGCATACAGCGGCTGCCCTGGGAGCTGATCTCTGTACAATTATCAATAGTGAAAGCCACATGTGAACACTGGGGTTGACACAAAAATGGAAGATTGGAATTCAGACGAGTAGTGTGCTCCTGGGCTGCAGATGTCACTAGCGTAGGTAGAAAAGCCCCTTCGAGCGTTCATCCCACTGATGTGTCCTTGCAGCTGCCTGTTCTGTGAATGCAGACAAAAAGTCCATGACTTCTTGCTAAGATTCCCCATGGCCATCTGCTGGAATCTGGAGGAGAAATAACGACCACGTCAGAAGCGTCTGTGAATATCCATCTGCCCACTCAAAACCCAACGATATCTGGCTTTCGAAATATCAGGACGAGGGTGAGAAAGGTCTCCACAGTAAAGTAGTAGCCCCTTCGCTGCTGGGACTTTGGTGCTCTTAGCAGGAGTGCTCGAGTGGCATCTCTGTGGGTACTCCGTGGTTTAGATTCTGTGAGGGTGCAGTAGACTCCATCTGTCTCACCTGATAATATCAGGCTGATATCCACTGCTCCGAATATCTTCTATGCAACACGTGACTCTGAAACCCCCTTGTTTGCCCTCCACTGAATTGGTCCTGGTTGGCCGGTCCATACTCTGGGCCCAGCCTTCACTGGCCCATCTGATTGGGACGCAGGTCGATGCACCTTTGCAATTTTCAGCAGTGCATCGCAATTGACTGCGTCCAGCACAGCAAGTATTCAATCAACAGTGGTGCAGGTGTTTGTTCACATGTGCAAACGTCAGGAGTGAGTCTACATAACAAGATGCAAGGACTTCTCGAAACCTCAATGCGGAAAAAATGTATGTTGACCCAGCTGAATGGACGATTTGTGAAATATATATAAGGCAGATGATGATGCATTGGGATCGATGCATCCTTAACGAGCAGAGTTGCAGCCGTGGTCTCACCCATCATTGTATTGGTACAGATTCAGAGTTGTTGCATCTCGACTTAGCCTGTCAAGACAGATCCACCCCTTACACAAAGAAGGGCTGATGTTTACCCCCGCATCGTCAAACTTGCCTTGCTAGGTATGTATGTGAAGAAAATCGCAACGTAATCTCAGCACTAGAAACATCACAGCGGGAACCGACCAAGAGCACTGGTTCCTATGTTGCCTTAAAGAATGGAAATGTTAACAGTTGCATTTTGAATGTCCAAGACTCACTGACCGTTCTCCGAGAAGTACCGCGTCATCTGTTCACAAATATGCTTGCCGTCAATCTCTCGAAGGCAAGCAGGCACGACCAGCTTTATCTTGGTCTTGTTACAGCTGGCTCACGCAGCGAGATTTACCCCTCAAGTGCACCAGTTGACATCATTTGGAGAGAAGTGCATAAAGTTCATCAATCCAGCAGGGCTCCAGGGAATTGTTCCAGTCAGCGGCAGTTTGTCACCCATTCAGCCCTTCCAAAACCCTAGCATAGCAGATTAGGTGTTCCCAAGGAGCCAATTTTATAGCGCACGGACTCATAAAGACGTCCTGATAGGGCCAGTAACTTAATTTTGGAGTATTGGTGACCTCTCTGCGGCGTCAGAAGGTCTTTACGTTTTGTGAGGATCGAGTTGGCGGAGAAGGATGACGGCGAGGCGGTGAGCGCGAAATGTGCAGTGCCCCCAGAATTCAGCCGAATGTGTTTTGGGAATGTCGAGAACGATTTCAAATCCCTTTCACTGGCTGTGCCGAGCACCAAATATTTGCTTTCGCCCTTCATGTGTCATGTGACGGCCTCTCTGTTTATTTACTTTTGCGTGTTTATCCTCTTGTCCAGGACATGTGGGGCCACCCTCAGAATGGATGGGTTGGTTGTGGAGAGCCGAGACATCGCTGCCTGCTCTGCAGACGCCTGCAGCGAGTGTCCATGCTGGTTCTATTGAATGGACGACCAGCAAGAACACCCTGCAAGGTGAGCAAGAATCACATGCACCCTGCCGGAAGTGTATATTTGTATATTTTCCAAACTGGACCAAGCAGTCGTGTCTTCTGGCTACTTCTGTCCCTTGACGTGGACGGCCGTGAGCAGTCCTTTGGCATCGACGCTCGTCACGTTGTATTGGGTTTTTCCTGAGACTTATTCTCCGGTGCATCAGGGTCCAGGTGTCGGCCACCAAGAAGCCGCTACATTTCTATGTGGAGCTGGCAAAGGTACACACGCGTCCTCGCTTTGTTGTCACCACGAGCGCTGTTGCACATAACTCTAACTAAGAAATGGCAATGGCAGCTTGCATGTTCTGTCACATGTATCTGTGAAGTATCTACATGGTTGCTTATCCTTGGCCTGACAACAGAGCATGGAGTTGCTGTTTTCGTGGACGTTCTCAGACCAGCAAAACAGCACCCATGGCAGATGGAGAGGAGGATCCTCCTTTGATTTTGTATAAGCATTGCTGAACACCTTCTGTGGTTCATGCAGAGGTTTCTGCAGGAGCATGGACAGGTGCAACTGTCAGCGATTGGCCTTGGTAAGACACAGCCCCCATCCCTTGGCCACATTACTGCAATACTTGCTTGGACAATTCCCGCAGGGCAGTTGCATTTCAACAATGAGCCAACAACAACTGGGATGCTTGCCTTGAAATCCTATTGATGCTCATACCTCAACAGCTGAAGATCCATTTGCAGAAAGCATGCATTGTGGGGGTCATTGCAAGATGTTTTCCACGGAAACGGCCTTCAAGCAGCCAGGGGTTTGATCAGGTGCTGCCGGTTTATAAGTGAGTGAGAATACTGCAGCTGATGTTGACTTTGGCTGTGTGGCTTGCAGCAATCCCCATGATGGTCAACCTTGCGGAGATTTTGAAGGCCAACCGCTGGGCGACTGAAATAAGTGAGCCCCCGTATATTCCGTTCCCTTACATTGTTTCGATTGAAGACCTGCATTAGCCCGGAAGGAATTGCCCTACTGGCCCGGCACCAGATGCACCCAGCTGCGAACTCGGTTAGCTGATTTCTCCAGTGAGATTGTGGCTTGTCTTGCTCTATCGACATTTGTAGTCTAGAAGAGAAACGGAGTGCGTATGATCTGCTGTCAGGTTTCTCTGGGATTTTGATTCGGTCTCAGGCAATGGAGATCAGTAGCAACTGCTGGTGTGGTCATGCTTTGTCGTAGCAGCCATTGCATAGAATCTGGCGAGTCCATCAAGGGGAAGGAGTTGTGGCAACCTTCACCTGCAGCTGATCTCCAGACGCACCTTGCCTCTGGCAGGAACAGCGCGCAAGACTAGCAATACGCACTTTACCTATACCGGTATACTGACTGGAAGCAGACAATTGTCTGCAGGACGTAGCTTGCCTTTTCGCAGGAAAGCGTGTAATAAGGACAGCAATACTGAGGGGAATGCTGTGCTGCGCAGAGATCCGGACTGGGCTGTACCAGCTGCCTGGCGAGCCCGAGCTGCCTGCCAGCGGGCTGCCCAAAGCAAAGATGGAGATCGTGCTGTCCAAGTCAGCCGAGTTCGATGACATCATGGCGGGTCCCCCCGCCCCGCCACCGCCGGGGCCCCCGCGGCCGCCGCGTGGGGGCCCCTCCCCGCCGCACACGGGACCCTACGCGCCGCGGGGTCCTCCGCCGGGGGGCATCGCACCGCTGCCCTTGTGACCACTGCTTGGCCCGTAACTTCAGGCAGGCAGACACTTGGCAGCACTTTTCCTTTGGATCCTTCCGGACGTTGCCTGCGGCAAAACCGGAGCACTGCACGTGGTCGTGCAGCCTAGGCCTTCTCTAGAGGAGGGCAGGGAGGCCCCTGCAGGAGGCCCATTCCTGTGGGCTGAGGGGGGGGAGACCGCCGTCTTAGTCAGCATCCAGTCAGCGCAGCAGTCAGCGCGCGCTCTTCTCCGCACGGCCGGCGCCCTCTTGTGTTCAAAGCATCACCGGCCGACTTGGCGGTGGACAGGGCAGTTTCTGCGAGGCAGCAGCCGGCTGGGACGCCCTCTGAAACGGGGCAAGACAGCATGGCGGAGGGGCGCATAGCGACAAGTCTGGGGGGATTATTGCGAGGGCCCAGGGGTGAATACCTGTCGACGGCGCGCGGCCGGCGCGGGACCGGGAGCCAGGAACGCCCCGCGACAGAGCGCGCATTTGATGAGTCAGCGGTGACTCAACGCTGAGTCAGCAGCGCAATAGTTGCGCCTAGAGAGTGAGTCCTGTCAGCACAAGACCCACAGAAGCTATCCGAGCGCCGATGGCCGGTGAGACGCCGCGGCCGCTGCCCGGATCAGCCAGGGCTTGTTGCTCCCTCTTTGCAGCGCTGAGAGCTTTCCCCCTGTTTTTTCATACTGTGATTTTGTGCCTGCTTCTGAGCCGGGCCCTGCGAGCATTTGCCCTTCTTCTCTCCGATCTTTTCGAAATTCGAATTCGGACTTCATTCTGGCATCCAGGAGAGGCGGCTGGGCTGCAGGGCCTGGCGAGTCATTATTACAGGTCTATAAGTCATCAATTACAGAGCCTTGTTTCAGCGCAAAAGTCCCCGATAGTAGGAATACTGCTGCAGAGGTGGGCAGAGAGCGCCTTAAGTCCCATTGAGACGTGCTTTGCCTGGGTTTTGGAGTCCCTTGCAGCACAGGAAAAAATGACTGGTGCGGCGTAAATTGCCCTTTTATTTTGATTCAGAGTACTGTCGTGAAACAGAAGAACCCTGCCGAACATCCTGGTTGCCAAGTTGTCAGCTGCCAGTTTTGGCACGGACCGGAGCTTACAAAGCGGGGCTGACTAACCGTACTCAGGCATGAGTCAGTCTCAATGCCACCTGGCCTAGTGACCCGTGCAGGCATTTTTTCGCAGAGGTTCAGAGGGTACGGAAACATCCGGAGTGCAAGGGAATTGAGGAGAGAGTGTCAGAAGTGCATTCAACAAGTGTTCTGAGTGCGACCCAAGTAGGGGAAACCCAAATGCACTGAAATAGAATGACACTCGAGGCAGTCGCCTGGTTACTAGGGAGTTGAGTTTTTCCAGTGTGCTCTTTCTTTCGCTGCGGTTCATTCATTCTCATATCTCCATGCGCGAATGAGAGAGAGCTTGCAAGAGACTCCTCTCTTCTTTGGTGTGCTGTATTCTTTCTTAGTGGAGTGGCTCCAGAACCCACAATCTCGATTGATCAGCATGCTTCAGGTCTCTTAGAAGGGACACCATCTGAATTGGTTGCAAATCTGTCTTTGTAGTGCTTTTGCTTTGCATGCTGATACTTGGCAGGATGGAGGTTTCAGGTGGTTTGACACACTGCCCGGTTGTTAGCAATGTTCGGAGACAGCCCCGTATTGTGTGTGACAGGGTAGTGTGTGCTTGTATTCGAATTCAAAACCGGATGTAGAGGTGAAGGCTTACGTGGCGCAGCTGGCAGCAGCCGGCTGGGGGTCACAGGGTGGCTTGGTGGGAAAAGGACAGGGACACACTTTGCATGAAAGGGTTTTTATACATTCAAAGGGGCCTGAAAGGGTGGCGCCTGGGCATAGAGATGGGTCTGAGTTGGGGGGTCATCTGTGACTGTGGCTCAACAGCGCTGAAGGCCTGCCATGTGGCTGGCGTTCCCTTTTTGCATGTGCAGCACTTCTACTGCAGTTCAGTGGGCAACAGAAATAATGAGAGTTCACCAAGATATTTCAGGTTGCTCATCATGCCAGGTGATTTCTGGGTGAGGCAATGCATACGCGTGAGGTTGACTGAATAAGTCTGCTGCATGCGATGCCACACTCAGTGGCTGGCGGCTCCTCTTTAATATCAGATAGTATTGCGATCGGAATCTTACAATTATTCGTAATCACTTCTGTGCAGCATTGTAAGAGATAGCTATAGGCCTTGCTGCCGCAGTGGCTGTGCATTATGTATATATGCATGCAGTGCATGGCATGGCATGAGCAAACACAAGAGAAAGAGGATTGCTAACATGCATGAGGGCTGGGCGGGCACCAAAGTTAGGACTGTTGCAGCATATCCTGGCATAGTTGCACGACACCTGACACGGGGTGTCGGTGTCGGAGTGTCGGGAACGTTCCCAAACGCGTGTCGAGATTTTGGCCATTTCCGACACCGCTCCGACACAGGGTTACGTAAGGGTTACGTTCAACCGTTTCTGACCGTTTTTGGCCGCTTGGACGCCGGGAAATGATCCAACAACACCCCAAACACATATAGTACGCTTATAAAGGTGTTTAGAGACAATTCCGATGTGTTTTGATGCGTTGTCGGGTCCGGAAACAGCTTTTTGAGGTTCCGTCAGCCTTAGTAACCTGTAGTCATCCCTTGATTACATGGTTACTAACGTCCTCAGGTTTCGACACGCGTGCCGCGGTGTCGCGGTGTCGCGAGCGTTCCCAAACGCGCTCCCAAATTTTGACCAGCCGTGTCGTGCAACTATGTATCCTGGCGCAGCCAGCACTGAGTAATTGCACCAGACATCATGTCTTCAATGAAGACTCTTCATGATGCCAGGTGCAGTGTGCTTTTGCCGGGCATGGGCATGCATGTGTAGAGCATGGGTCATAGACTCTAAACATATATTCTCAATACAGTCTTTCCGGCATGCTGAGCTGTGGAATTATTATCGACCGTTATAATAATATTAGTCTCTCCACTGCAACATTGATCATGAATCATGATGTCAACACGGTTACACTCGGCTGTGTGCTACCTTGGATTCTGTGATGCATCTCTATTTTTCTGGATGGAGTTCCCAAAGTCCATATTTATGGAGTTGAAGCAACGATGCCGATGCTACAACTCTCAGCTCTTCCTGGACTCGTTGATTTATGCGCTTGAAGCCACCGGATTGACCACAATAATGTTATTGATACTGGCATTCAATGTTACCGCCGTTGAAAGGCTGGTGAAGTCCTAGCAGATCTTGACTGAACAATTGAAGAGTCACACAATGCCTTGGCTGAAGTATTGCCTCAAGCTTTTGGGCGCATCGAAATGACACGATATATAGCTTCAGTACTGCACATTTGCAGCTCTTTTCAGCTTGTATCAGGATGACACCTGTGTTGACATCACCTACTTGACAACGTCGACATGTCTAAAACGTTATAAATAACGCAAACTTGCTTTCTTCTTAGCGTCTAACAATTGACTGCTCGTTGCTGTCTCGACAGCCCAAACACTCCGGCGCAGGTCTGCAAAGGAAAAATCCTAACAACGACTGAACGAGCCATCTCAAATGCGAGAACGAGAATTGATGAATGCTCAGAAATACGCGAAACGAGCTGCATGCCTGTGATCTTAAACGTAGAGGGCTAGGCTTCTTTTGTCACTGCTAGCCTTCGCCAAGGTAGGTTCAGCAAATTTTCAAGGTGAGCCTGAAAAGGCTACATATGCACTCATGCCCATGCATTGATCCTGTCAAAGTCGTTTGCATCAAACAAAACAAGAGACTTGAGTTGATAAACTTGATCGTCGTTGCCCAATATGAAGCCTGGGAAGGCAGTGAGGGTGTGTGTGATTGGTGACTCTCAAGTGGGAAAGACATCCCTCATCACAGCAGCAGCTACTGAGTCTTTTCCTGATAACCCACCGCCTCTGCTTCCAGCGACAAGATTAGGTGCTGATGCGACACCAGAAGGTGTTCCACTGATCATCACAGATACATCATCGCGTCCAGAAGACAAGCCAGCTCTGGAATTGGCGTGCCTGAACTCTGATGTGATCATCCTGGCGTATGACACAGGTGAGGGGGAGAAGTTGTACTCCCAGTCACTTCTTTAGTTACTTGTGTCTGCATTTGCGTAAATTGTGCTATTTTTGTAAGTGAGGCCCTTCCAAAGCTACAATGCTTGATCAGTACTTTGTATCATATCCATTTTGAGTCTCGCTTTCCTCAACACAGGGAATCCTCGCACTCTCAATCGAATCACAGAAGTGTGGGTGCCGGAGCTGCAACGTCTTGGTGTGAAGGTGCCCCTTCTCCTGGTGGGATGCAAGAGCGATCTGAGGCCACAGGACCAGAACATGCAGCAGGTCAGTAGCTATGAATTCCACTGCAGCCTTGCGATCATTTAGCAAAATTATATTTGCTTGTCAGGCATGGTGCTTCGTGCTTTTTATGGTAGAAACTATCAGGGATGCCATTTTCCTGATGTCATTACTGTGAATGTCCGCATGCAGGTGGTGGTACCAGTGCTGGCAAAGTGCAAGGAGATCGAGTCCTGCCTGGACTGCTCAGCCAAGAACCTCATCTTTGTCAGCGAGGTGTTCTACTATGCTGTGAAGGCTGTAGTGCACCCAGTGGCGCCCCTCTTTGATGTCCACGCTCACAATGGCGTCGGCGCGCTACGTCCGCTGTGCATCAAGGCTCTCATGCGCATTTTTGCCATGTGCGACAATGACAGGGTGCGAGCATCCCCCCTCTATGCTCCCAAATGTACTGCGCTCGTGCAATATGCAGTTTCCACATCATGTGCGCCATCAGGAAGTTCGTGCATCATTGGAGTCCAAGGAAGCAAGCAAGGATGCAAAGTATGCCCCACTATGTGCTTGGCATTAAGTCCTTGATTGGTGAGATCTTGAACGTGGGGTCATCAACTATTGCACTTGCCTGATGCGCCAACATGTTTTATGATTCTGCAGCTTGCCAATGAGCCTGCATGATGTACAGGCATGCACATTGGTCTTGACTGCATAAATGGCAGCTTGCTGGCCCTGCTAGCACTCCTGGGGTGTTCAGATCTGACATTGTGAATTTGAATTGCAGGACGGGACGCTGAACGACGCAGAGCTGAATGATTTCCAGGTGCAGTGCTTCTCAGCACCGCTGCAGCCTGAGGAGCTGGCAGGGGTCAAGAAAGTGGTGGCCCAGAAGATGCCACAGGTGGATTTCCTTTGCTGCAGTGAATGCTGTGGTTCAGCTATGGCTGGCATTGTTGCCCTGAACAGAAGGCGTATAGTGAGTTTAGTCAATTCATGCCCGTGATCAAGGGGTATCACAGAAAGGCCTCGTGAAGCAACAAATGGCTGACGCTGCGGGGCGTATTCCTGGGTGCCCTTGGTTTGGGGTTTAGGGATGGGGTTAGTTTTTCATGGTCTCTGTGCTGCAACTGGGCGTGAGCAACAACGTGCTGACGCTTCCTATTCATGAACGCCCAACTTTTTTAATTTCTTACCTCGGCCTAGGGGATAGGGATAGGGTTGATATCAGGGTTTTTGATTGACCCTTTTTAAATATGTACGGTATGTGCTGCGGCAGGGTGTGAGCAACAACGGGCTGACGCTGCCGGGCTTCCTTTTTCTGCACGCGCTGTTCATCGAGCGGGGGAGGCTGGAGACTACCTGGGCGGTCCTGCGCAAATTTGGGTACAACAATGAGCTGCAGCTCTCCGAAGAGGCCCTGGGGGTGATCAGTTTCCAGCGCTCACCCGACCAGGCAAGTTGCAATTGCATTTCCCTTTGGTGGTTCACTTTCCAACTCAAATCCAGGATTGCATTGCAAGCCCCATGGTGTGCATCTGTCTTGGGGGTGCGTCCATTTTGCAGATGTGAGGCCTGAGTGCACCTGCATGTGCATAATTCAGCTGATTTTCTTGCATTGAGTACTTGCCTGACCAACATGGGGTTGTTGCAAGATATTTATACCAATCAGAGCTTGTAGAGATGCACAGCATTTGTCAAGGTACACACATGAGCTGGTGGTCACATTCCCAAGAGACATGGTACTGAATCTGAGCCTCTGGCGAGGACAACCTTCAGCTCACTTGTCTATCAGCTTGTCAGCTGACGTGGACAACCTTGTGGGAGAGCGACTGCGCTTGTTTGAGGCCCCATACACTCCTTTGAGTTTCAGCCTTGCGGCTGCACCTCAATTCCGGTGTCAGGGACCGCCATGCAATACAGACTGCAGTATAAAGTGCAACATCCTGGCACCTTTGCAGGCTCTCTGCGAGTGGCATGTTCCTTTGTACATCTTTACAGGAGTACTTCAGAAAACTGTACTACGAGTATTCTGTCTCACCGCGTACTGCGAGGGCGGAAAACGGGCCGTACCTAGTACGGAGCACTATCTCGAGGGGATTACGGGGAGATGGTGCATTTAAGGAAGTCCAGTGACAAGTCATAGATTGGAGGCGGGATTTAAAAAAATCTGCGGTGTGTTAAAGAAGCTGGTTGAAACCGTGAGAAAGCTAGAAATTTTTCTTCAGCTGTGTAAATTTCTGCAGGTGGTGGAGCTGACGCGGGAGGGCGTTGACTTTTTGGAGCAGCGGTTCGCGCAATTTGACAAGGACGGCGACGGCCGCCTGTCACCCGCGGAACAGGACGACATGTTTGCATGCGCGCCATCCAGGTGCATGCTCGAATTAACCCCAACTGATACACCCTGCGATAAAGATTGCCAAGGATGGTCCAAAAGTAGTCGCAGTGCAAACGGGCAGTTTGCCACATCCTCCTTGCTGTGTTTTGTGATGATCCCTGAGATGCATGGCGCAGCGTGGCAGGTGTGTCGAGCAAAAGAAGGCAAGCGATCCTCAAACAAGCACCATCGCAGGCTGGAGTCCTTGCATTCTGTTGTGGATTCTCCTATCTAGGCTGCAACCCATCGGAGTGCATCGCCGTGTAACGTTTGCAAGAGAGACAGCAGTGGTAGGGAAGCAGAGCAAAGCGGGACAAGATCAGTCCGCACCTGCTGTCCAAAGAGCAGAACCCTGATACTTCCCCTGACATGCGCAGGCCCTGGGAGGGTCCGGAATACGAGGGCCTGCTGGTGGAGGGAGAGGGGGGCACCGGGGGGCGCGACGGCCTGACCAGGCGCGTAATTCAAACTCATTCTCATCATTGGTTGAAGTGTCAGGGTAAAATGAACTCTGAGCAGAGGTAATGGAACCCTAGGAGTGAGAGAAACTCTCATTCAAAATCTTAGATTCCCATTACACCCTGCACAAGAAGACCTGTACTGCTTTTATGACAGGCCGAGCACAGCAGGCGGTGTGGGTTGCATCGTGTTGTCGCAACGCCTCCATCACAAGGCGCAATTGCCACATGTTTGTACTGCTACAACAGAGACTTGTATCAATTCTAGTTTTCTTAGATTTATCTTGAAATTGTCCAAATTTTCCTTGACCAGGCGTGGGTTCCTGTCTCGGTGGGCGTTCACTACCGCGGTGGACCCCCGCGCGACGCTGGAGCACTGCTTGTTGCTGGGGCACCGAGGGGACCCGGCACCGCTCTTCTGCATCAGCCGCCCGCGCCGCGCCGAGCGCAAATCCGACGCGCCCGGCCGCACCGTGTTTCAGGTGCCCACCCGTTCATGCCACTTTTGTCTGATGCTGTCCTGGCCCCTGCCTGTGCTGTGTAGGGAGCTGTGTCGGCAAGGCAAATTAGAACAAACACAGCAATCCAGATGGTATTTGTAGGTGAGGGATGAGGGTGAGAGAAACTTTCAAGATAACTTGCTTCAGAGGGATCATTGCTCTGCCTGCTCCCTCTGCCCCTCATCCCTGTCTTTTGGCATTGTCTGAAGTCATGCAAGGATACGTTCCTCAAAAGGGAACTGTCCAAGGCGGGTTCAGGTTACTGCACGCATTTACTGTCTGCGTCTCTGCAAAGAATGCTACAGGTTTTACTGACAACGGTCCCTTCACATGCAAGTTCTGGTGATGAATTCAGGGCTGTGCATGTTAGCACCGGCATGGTTCCATAAGATGCTACAGGGATAGCAGGCAAAAGGAGTGAACACGTTATTTCTTGCACAGATTCTGGTGATGGGCGGGGAGGAGTCCGGCAAGAGCAGCCTGATGCGGGCAATTGTCGGGCAGGGCGAGCTGCCCACCCGGGCAGCTCCTCAGCTGCCCGCGCGGGCAGTCGCCAGCCCGGCCTCGGGCAGCGACCGCGGCCGGCCCGCCGCCGCGCGTGCTACTGCCGGCCCCCAGAGCATCTCCGCTGTCCTGCAGACTGCTTCCAGCGACCGAGAAGGTATCGTGCCTGCAAGAACCTTTGAGCATATCACATGACCATCGCAGAAATTACCAACTCAAAGATCAATCTGTACCATAAGCCTCTGCCAAACCGCGGACGAAATGCTGCAAAGTATTGACTGAGTGATCCTCAGCTTGTAGCTGCAGCAGTGGAAAGGAAAGGTATCGTACAGTCTGCATTCAGCATAGCTGCCATTGCTGCATCTCAAGATTTGCCCCGCCTAAATCCCGCGCTGTGACAGGGTCCGCATACAGACCGCAGCGATATATATGAAGGCCAGTGCTGCACATTGTTTGCGTCTTGCCCCAATGAAGGATCGCTGAGCAGGGGTGAAGCAGCCAGGGCACTCCAATTCAAGTTGAATTGTTGAATTACGAGTCCCCTGCTCTATATTTAGGGTTGAGGGATTTGTGACCTAAACATTAAACTCTAAATATATTTGTGTGAAGGGGTTTGCGCCGCGCGCAGGGGGCGTTGAGCCGGCGGCGACGCTGATAATGCGAGAGGTCGGAGAGGGCGCGGCCGAGGATGTGCTTTCCAGAACAGGCAACGCCCCGGGAGCGCCAGATCTGGCAGAGGCTGACGCAGCGCTTTTCATATTCGACTGTTCGAATTTGAATTCGCTGCGAACCGCCATGCAGCTTCTGCATCGGACGGCGGCGGCTGCCGGTGATGCGCTGCCTTGCGTGCTGCTTGCTGCAAAGGATGACCTCGGCATGTCACCGGTGAGTTTATTCGCATTTCTAATATCCCCGTACTAGGTATGTGTAGGCTTGATGCGGTTAAAAACCTTGGGAGAGAGGGCCTTAAAAATGTGACAAGTGCTGAGGGCATGCTAATTGCTTCCAAGGAGGACATGGACATGTCTTTGGTGAGTCAGGGCTTTATCAATCCCTGTTGACTCCTCTTATCATTCCCCCTGTGCAGGAAGTGGAGGCTGCCTGTGCAGAGGCGTGCGCTGAGCTGGCGATGCCCATGCCACTGGCAATGTCTCTATCCGGCGGCGATGCTGCAAGAATCCCTCAGCAGCTGCTCTCCATTCTGCGCAGCCCCGATGGCGCCATTCCCCTGACACCATCCCTCAAGGTGTGTCACATTTGAAATATCTCGCCCTGGCGCAGATTGAATTTTTTTGCCATCTCTTGTGCTTTGGAACACAAAGTGACTGACTGGCCCGTAGACTGTCTTCAAGCGTCCCTGCCTTGCATTTCATGGAAGTGATTGCCCCCCTTTGTAGGTCTGTGGCGTGAGGGGTCCAAAGGATTACATATGAGACCCTTGATCTTGTGAGTGAACAGTTGCCTCCATTGGAGGCTGTCATACCTTATCCATTGCATCGCTTCAAATGGATAAATTTTTTCAGATTGACATCTTACCACACAGCAGAAATTTGCCATTTATTAAGTATTGCTTTTTTTTTGGGTGAGAACCTGCCAAGACCTGAACATCAAGTGGACAAGATCTTGGCACGAGTACAGCAGAGACAAGAGGACAGCCGTGCAGTCCTCTTCTCCGTGGCAGCAAGTACCTTCCTTTCAGCTGCAGCGCTTTCATGGGTTCCTTTCCAGGCTGCAAAGCCGCATGCTGCCCCGTTTTAGGGCACAAAGGGTCTGCTGCCCATTCAACAAGGCGGCTAGAGCAACCAGTCACCTGCAACCCTGGTCAACACTTGTCCAAACGAATGCCAGCCTGCCTAGAACCCGTGCAACAGAACCGGGATCAGTAGTGAATTCCATAGTCAGTGCCCTGAGGTAGGGAAGAATCTTTCCGGGCTCGAATAGGATGACTAACGCCACGCATGTGACTTGTGCAGGCTGCCCGGCGGTACAATCGGATGCTGCGGAGGGCGGCGATGTATTCGGCAGGGGGAATGTTGGGAGCACTGGCGCTGTACGGCCTGTTTAGGATGCAGCGGTCACGGTCCAGTCAGCAGAGCAGTGACTCAGCGCCAGCTAGGCAGCCCGCGCCAGCCGCTCGCTCAACCCCGGGCCTGAAGTTGGTTCCTCGCAGCTAGAGGATGTCTCCTGCCCTGATACAGTAGAAGCTCTTTTGCCTTTATGTGATGCTTGCACTGCCCTGTATCTTTTGCAGTGAAACTCACTCTTGGTGTCCAGCAATGCCCAGAACATGCATGCGACCAGAGTGAATGGAAAAATCGTATAAGTTCGGTGCATCACGGCGCAGTTGGGATGTAATGGTCGCGGGTTAGTCAGCTGGGTGACTTATTACCTGCCCAGCTCGGGCAGCCGCTGCTGCCCGGCGCAACAGCTAGAATATTTTACTTTTTTTGTGGGCTTCAAAGTGCAACGTTGTAAGCATCTTGGATGATGGGCAATTAAGAACCGGAGCGCTCTTGCTGCATTCTAATCGTTATGGCCATGATGGCTTAGGCTTGCTGTATCTCACTCTGTGAAATTGGGCCAAGGTAGGTCAAATTTTGTATAATCAGCTGGTGGAGGCTGCAGCTGGTCAAATATGAGCCATCATGCATTTGTATGATGCGCTGTCAGCTGGGTAGGATTTGAGTGTCAATTGCCAAACTTGTCCTTTGAAGGAATTCCATCACAATCTCTTTATTACCAACCATCAAACCAATGTGCGAACCTCCTGCTTTCATTGCATTGAAGGCCCTCCAACGTTTCGAACCAGCTTGCTCAATGCGTGCATTGCATGCAGGTGAAACTGGAAACATCACTTCCTATATTTCACTGCCGAACTTGGCGCATGCCGCTCCATGTCTCTAACTGTGCACCACAGCCAGTAAGAGGGTTCACCATAATTGCAGCTTAGGCCTGATATTGTTCCTCTTATTACACGCTTTTCCGGCCAACAGGCAAGGTGCGTCTGCAGACAAGCTGCATGTGAAGGCTGCCATAAATTATACCCCTTGTTGGACTTGCCAAATCCAAGCAAGATTGAAACAACTGTGGCCACAGTCATGGTGCTCAATATTTATACTTTTTCTCGCCAGCCAGGATTTGTCAGCCTGTCAGCCGTGCAATAAACATTGAACAGGGCTAGGCAGTAGGGAAGGTTGGGTAGGGAGGTGCCCCTACCCAAGCTAGCAACCCCGAGCTTGAGGCAATGCGTTCACTTGGCCCGTCGCTCTGCTTACAATGACAAGTGACATCAGCGCCTGTGTGGCACCGTGCACTGCAAGTGTCCACGTTTGTTCTCCACAAATTTCTTTCCCCACGGGAGTTTGCACTACTAAGTGTTCCTAATTGCTACTAGGGGATCCCCCCGTAGGGTCTCCTACTCATGCCACATTTGGAGGTAGTGAATCATCAGATTGATGCAGCAAAGATGCGGCATTCAAGTCTTGCACCATCTAATCAATCCACAAGCAGCTCGCATGCACATAATCGGCATCTTGGATTGCACCTCTCCGCCATTACTCATCAAACGCAACCACACACCAGGTCACGATGAGACCACAACACATTGCACACAAGTATCATTCGAACACATCAACGTGGCAGCCACTCAGGCTTTCCTTGGCCTCTAAGAGAATTGGCCGGACAATCAATGGTCCCAGCACTAAAAGGAAAAGGCACACATATCTGATCAGCAAACCACCCCACACTGATCAGAAGGCCACAATTATCCCAAGCACCCTTGGATCACTGATTGGCAATTGGTGGCATACTTGACTCCAAATAGATAGAAAACTCCCAAAGACATATCACTTCTTCCAAAGCCTGCGAGCCCATCGTCTGGCAGACCATGTTTTGCCTGTCAGGATTGTTGACTCACATGCACCCGGAATTGATAACTGCACTACAATGGGAGGACCCGTCAAAAAAAAAATTTAGTCAAGAGAAGCAGTTTTCAGTCCAGTGCGTACGGCAGTATCAGAGCTCAATTCAGTAGGCAGGCTGTTGCCAAAATAAGGCTGCCTCCGAAGAGAATGATTGGACGCCCAAAATCCAGGAAAGTCCGCATGGTTGATCCTGCACCTCACAGACGCCATCACAGTGACTAGGTGTCAGTCCATTGACTAGACACCCTCAATATCTACAACAGGGCCGATGCAACCAACACAGGGGTTCACACAATCCGACACCGAGAATGCAAGGCCCGGAACTCAAAACACATTAGAATCTTCATTTCACGACCGGGAAAGCCACCATCCTCCTCTTTGTAAGGTGCATATCAAAGGCCTCGTTACCCAAAACCCAGAGAATGAAATGCCTCTTGGCAATACCTGGTGACCACATGCCCTGACTCAGGTATAAGGCCACATCACAGCTGATCTTTTCTCACCTTCACACCATCAAGAGTGGCCTGTGAGAAAGAGTCTTGCTGCCCTAGCTAGGTGCATTGCATAAAGCACCTCTGTCCAAGAATGCCCCCAGGCAACAACACATTTTGTAGGTGATGATGTTTGCGCCAAAATGGGCGCCGCTCTGAGGCAGCTTCCGCCAGCTTCCGTCGCCGAGCCTAACCAGGCAATCGACGACACCACGCGCTGCCATGTCAGCATCTATACAACCCCAGAAGACCTGGACACAGTGCAGGGGACCGAACAGAGTGTGTACCCAAAATGCTGACAGCGCATATACGGAAGGCCCGCTGTTCCGCCCAAAAAGCATATTAAGTACAATGCAGTGCAATGATGTCATGCGCACTGAGTCAGCGCTGAGTCAGCGGCCAGAAAGGCCGCTGTCTGTTGTGCTTCAACCCTCGGATGCTGAGAATCCTATCTAACGGGCTGGAGCTCAATTGTCCGTCATTGGCTGCTGCCTAGATAGCGCTGACCCCTCCTTGTCAGCAGCAGTGCCCGCTCTCCCTTACACCCCTTTATCGACCCTGGCCGCTCACCCTTAGATCTGACTAGACTCTCGGCAGCAACAGCCCTTCCACACCAACCGCCTCTCATGCAGTGCACCTGCCCTGAATTGCACCCAAGACAAAATGAGCTTGCCAGCCAATATTACACTGCGGCCGTCGATAGCTCTGTGATTATGCCCTGGAAAGGGGCTGTGACCCGATCTAGCGATGCCTGATAACAAATGTCCCCTGGGCCGAGCCTCATCTGGCCGCCGGGTGCCAGACCTGTTTTGGCGCTGTAACGCTCGAAGTCGTTCGAATGCGACGCCAAATCTGGCGCGCTCCGCTGCAAAACAAGCCGCCTAGCTAAGCGCCTTATGGCGCTGCTTCTCCTCTCCGGCAATCCAAACGCTCCAAGGCAAGCCCGCGCAAAAACTTCTCAGCACTGCAGCCGTGCGGACAATTGCATGACAAATCTCCTCTCTGGGAGGAGCTGAACAGCGAGTCGCGCAGTTGGCTGAGCCCGGCATAAGGGCAGGCTACAGCCGACGGGGGTCCCACTGCTGCTGACTGGACTGCTGCGCAGCATGCTGACTGGACAGGTGACTGGGCAGGCTCAGGGATACTGCCTCTTGCAGATTCTGCCATTCCTGCTGCTGGCTGATCAGGAAGGGGAGACTGGTCGAGCCCCCTCTTGACATGTCGGGCAGGGCGAGCTGCCCGGCGGGCAGGCCGCCGCTGCCCGCCCGGGAGATGTTGGGCAGCCTGGACTGTCCGCCGGGCAGGCCGCCGCTGCCCGCCCGTGAGATGTTGGGCAGCCTGGACTGCCCTCCGGGCAGGTTGCCGCTGCCCGCTGGGGAGATGTTGAGCAGCCCGGGCAGGAAGGACCCCCCGCCAGGCAGGCTGCTGAGACCGCCGCCGGGTAGGTAGGACCCCCCGCCTGGCAAGCAGGACCCCCCGGTGGGCAGGCCCGGCAGCGAGACCGGGGGGTTCCCGGGCAGCGGTGGCAGGGTGCTGGGCAGATTGCCGGACATGTAATCTCTGCGCGAGACACAAGCTTCCCTTCAAAGACTGTAACGACACGCTGACTGTGCAACACAGGCAAAATATAGACAAGCTGCCAGCTAAGGGCTAGCTTGCAACTCACCCGAGACAAGCATGATTGGACCCAACTGTAAAGACCATGTATGGCCCACGATTTTCTTAGATCCATAACTTCAGACCCTGAAGTGCAAAGAAGGCAGCGGCATGGCTCCAGCAGAGGCCATTTGATATGGCATCGGTCCACTTGAGCTTGAAGCAAAGTGGATCTGGGTATAAATTTTTTGAATCCAAACCAGAGGATTTCCCCCTCACCTCATGCACATGCCGACAGCTTCATGGAAGAGGCCCATAGCATCGGCCGGTACCATCATGGCTGCGCGCTCCTGTCCAAATACCTGAGCACAGCGCATGTATATATTCAACTTCAAAAACTTGAGCTAAGAAGGGATCTGCCCGAGCCTGATGTCCTGGCAACCACATTCTCCAGCTTGGGTTGTAACCTTAGTAAACTAATTTTGAAAGCAGCGCAGGTTGCAATAGAGCCAACAGGCAGAGAGCCCACAGTTCAAGTCACCAACTCGACGCGCTGATCAGGGTATCTTTCGTAATGCTACAGGTGTGAGCCTTAGTCGCTGTTCTGCTACTAGGTCTTGCGCGTCTGGCAAAGAAGAAGTGCGCATGGAAGGCTGGAGCTCTTCAATGACCTCTGTGGCTCAAGGTCTCACACAGCACGAGTCTGTCCCACACAGGGCATTTGACGTTCTCTGCCAGGGCAGCAGTCAGGGCATCCGTGCTGGCGTCCGGATCATCAATCAATCGCTGTGGGGGAGCCCCTCATCCCCCTCAGCAGCCTCTAGCAATCCATAAGCTTAAACAGGGGATGGTTGCAGGGAAAAATGCCCACCTCGGTGATGCGCATGTACTCGCCGTGCTGGCTGGAGCACGCGTCGAAGAAGTACCGCTTGTGGCCCGCCCTTACTAACAGGCTGCCGGCATCAGTCGTGGTTAGTAACGGCGGCGCCGGCCCCGGCCCGACCATCGTCTCGTGGCCCACGTGAAGCTGCGGCGGCGGCGGCAGCGGCGGCGGCGGCGGCTGCTGGCCCCCCTGGGAAATGCAGAAAGAAATCATAATTTATTAACAGGGGCCCCAATGAAGCCTGGGGCTTGACTAAGGAGAAGGCATAAGGAAAGCACGAGTTGCCCTTGCCACCATGAGGGCATGGGTGGAACAATGCTGTTCTACCCTGCCCTAGGAGGATGACAGAGCCAATAGCATGTTGAATTGCAGCAGGATTTGCCTAATGACCCACAAATGAAATGTGGGAGAAGGGAACTATTGAGAGGTTCCTGCAACGCACCTAGCCCTGAGGGCTGGAAAAAGCGTGTAATAATAATGATAATATTAAAAACGAAAAGTTCATTGGGTTTGCCGATGTCTGCCTGGCTATGCAACGAGATCAGTATATACATTTTGTGTTGAGAATCTACACCTGTATTTCCACCCTGTAGATCCTCACTGCCTCTCTGTGTCATTATACTCTAGCTGTGGTGCATGGCCGCTTTGACTCACACTGTGCGAAAAAAGAACATTCAGTTCGAGGAGGACTTCAAATGGGCATCATGCTGCACCTGTTCGGAGGCGCCCTCTCCCACGCCCAGTTGGAGATTTTCCAGGTAGGAGCCCAGAAGATTGATGTCCTGCAGGGGGGACCCATGCGTCGCGCTCAACAAGTGTTCCACGTTGATCTGCGCGCAACTCTCAGATTCTCAGGTGCGTCGATGCCGCTTGATTTGTAGTGTCACAATAGCGCCCGGCTGGTGGGGGGCGGTATATATACTGAGCACCGTGCCCACGGTTGATGGGTCTTGCTTGGATCTGGCGAATTCAACAAGGGGTAGATGCGCAGTTGATTGCAGTGTTGGCCCGACTGGCACTGGTACTTGGTTTGGGGCAGGTCCCACTCTGCTGCACTTGCCTTTGGGCAGGCTATCACTCGTCTTAACTTTAAAATTCAGGCCCCTGCCTTTGATATATCTGCAGCAGTGCCAACAGCAGATATGCCCAAACACTATGAATAACAGGGGCTTATTTGAGTGGCCAAATGGGGGCCAGATGGCGCTGGTTCACGCCGAAAAAACCACATTCACAGGCAGAATTGTGATCAATACATGCAGCCTTCAATTGCAGCTTGTCTGCAGGACGTACCTTGCCTTTTGACAGGAGAAGCATGTAATAACAATAATACTTGCGCTGGTATCCTCTTCCAGTAGTGTGGCGATAGCCTGGTCTCAGATCTCAGATGGAGAACATAACCCAATTCATCCAGTGCCAGAAATATGCATGCAGAAGCTGCTTCAGCCATCAATAACTGCGCTCAGATATGATCTGCGTGCTTATATTGCAGCTCTATACCCGGTATGGTGAAAGCATCAGATGCCCACACCGATCGCTACGTATTTGGGCGAAATTGTTTGCTAATCTGTGTGCTTGCTGGCTGAGTCATGACGCAAACGGTAGTCATGGTGACTGATCTGGTGAGTCACCCACCTGAGCGGGCGCGGTCTGTGAGGTGAAGGCTTCTATGCGCGACAGCGCGTCTCGGAACTGCAGCCAGCCCTCCGCATTCGCTCCCCCGCAGGGCACCATTATATGGCTACGCCCCTTGGGCCTGCACAACCACATACTCAACATCAGCATTGGACTGTCACTGTTTCCTTTTATAAAGCGCTGCTTGGCTCAGGGTGAATGCTCCAAAAGTGAGGTTCAAACCCTGATATAGTGGGACACGCTCTGACAATGCCACAGCTCCATTGCTGCATTCATGGTAATGCTGCATGCTTTACTGAGCTAACCTCCTGCATGCATCTGATGACCACTTGAGATCCGCACATCTCCGCCGCCTCAAAGGGCACAAATGTGTTTTCCAGATAGACTGCTTCACGTAAATTTATTTATGCATGAATCAGCATGCAGCTGTATGCTCTGCTACAGCAAACCGCCGCAGCGGAAGGGGCTGCGGCAAAGGCAGCATGCAGAAACAATGAATAAAAGCTCATGCACAATCAGGGTTCAGCCGGATCCTTGTCACAGCAGCACAGTTGTGACCCGCAAAGGCAAGCTCCATGCAGAGGAAAGGTAGGGAGTCTGGAATTGTCAGCCCTTGCTAATGATCCCCAGACGCACCTAAGCGCCCGCCTGGACACGCATCTTACAACAGAACCCAGACTACCCATTGCAAAAAAATCAAAAATGCTGCTCACGCGGCGCCGTTCTCAGATATGCGCAGGTAGCGACCCCAGGGGAAGAAATCTCGCAGATTTTGAATTGAATATTTGAATCGCAATGATGAGATTCTCAAGATCAGGAGTTCCTTAGCAATGCTGCTCACCCGGCGCCGTTCTCAGAGATGCGCAGATAGCGGCCCCAGGGGTTGCACCCAAGAGACCAGTGGAAGACCTTGCTCTCCACTGGGTACTCCTTGGCAGTCGCCATCCTGCGCCCACCAGCATTATTGCTAATGATGAAACAGTCATGAAAATATTAGTCCATGCTTTTTCTGCCCCGGCTGGCAGGGGCCAATGTGATTACGCCACTACTCGGCATCTCTTTGTACTCAGTCTTGCTTGGAGTTTGCACATACTCCTAGAAACCGAGCTGGGTCCTTGGTCTGTCTACGTGCACAGTTCATTGCAGTGTTGGCCCGAATGGCACTGGTGCTTGGTTTCAGGCAGATGCCACTTTGCTGCACTCGCCTTTGGGCAATTTGTTGCACTCACCTTACCGAGAATTCAGGCCCCTGTCTTTAATATACCTGCAGCAGTGCCAACGGCAGATATGCACAAACAATATGAATAACAGGGGCTTAAATGGGTGTCCAACCTGAGGCCAGATGGGGCCGGTTCAAGCCGAAAAAATCACATTCACAGGCGGAATTATGATCAATACAAGCCAGAATTGCCCCTGATTTGATACTTTTATAAGTGGGTCCACAGATTCCCTGCACCCACTGTGTCATGGTGGAGAATGGTTGGAAGCTCTCAGTCCTCCAGGATGGCTGGAGGTAAATAAAATTTCCTAGCCCAAGAGAGACCCGCTTTCCCGCCTTTGCACTGCAAATTCCTTGATGCTGACAAGCGACTTGTAAAAGGACTTGAGCAGGTGTTGCTCGCCACGTGGCCACAGTGGGGGCAGTCACATGCTGCGCCCATTGACAAGGAAGCATCCCAAGCCAGACAAGCGCTGACGTGTCTTTTGGGTGGCAAGCTCAACTCGGGTCAAGCACTGGGACACAGGGTAGTAAGGCGCGACTCAGGATACGTCTGTGCTGGCATAATAGTACACTTTGCTGCCTTGATCGGGTGGCAAGGCCAGGTTACATCAAGCACTGGGACAGAGGGTAGTAAGGGGTGACTCAAAGATGCGATCATAATAGTACACTTTGCTGCTTTGAACAAATGGCAAGGCCAGGTTGACTCAAGCACTGGGACAGAGGATAGTAAGGGGTGACTCATCGATGCGATCATAACAGTACACATTGCTGCCTTTATTGGGTGGCAGGTTCAGATCGGCTCAAGGATTGCAGAAAGAGGGTAGTAAGGGTTGACTCACGATGCATCGGTGCTGGCGTAGTAGTTGAAGAGCTCCCGGAACCAGGGCAGCGACTGGCCAGGTACAATGATCGTAGACCGCTCCCTGTGACACAACGAGATTATTGTGAGCCTTTATTGATGATAGTGAGTGTCACTAAACAATCACAATCATTTATCTGCAGCACTCGTCTTGCTTATGCAGCATTCAGCAGGTGGGCAGCATGCTGCGTCTCTCCAGCATGCACTGTCCTGCTGTGCATGTTCTCCTCCGGCCGGAAGAGTGGGATCGGGAGGCAGCTTCTCCCCCGGTGTTCCAGCCGGCCGGCCTTGCTCAAATAAAACACATGATCAATCCATCTGCTAACACCGCTACATGGCATCAAATAACGATGCATTTTCCGCCACCGTTTGGATAAAACCGCCGTTCTGATGAGCATTCTCCCATTGCACAGCGCAGACTTTTGTTGAAGCAACGGGCCTTGGTTGCATGCTGAGCATGCGCTTCGCTCCAGACCTTTGATGATGCACTGGTCTGACCAGCGCGGCGCTGATACCAGGGGAACATCGCTTGCTTTGAAAAGCAGTGAGTTCTTGCAAAAGCAAGCCCCAATACTGGAGCTCTTGCTCACAAGGGGGAAGCTATTTACTGAATTAAAACTAATTTTCGTAAAGCCATCTTGCCAGGAGGTCAGATATGGCCACAGATGCATTGCTACAAGAACTTCTGGGATGGATTTCGATGGTAGAGGGAGTGAAGAATGCGGGCACACCTGTTGGCTTTCTTCTCAGAGATTTTCAGGTACAGGCCCCTGGTGTTGGTCTTTGCGTCGCAGAAGAAGATCTTGCTCTCAATCTGCACCCGGCACACATGTGTTGAGCTCTGCTGCAGCTGCTTGTGTGTGCTTTGCTCTTAACTAGTGAGTCCACAATTTTGGCAGTTGCACGCTCTCCAGGCGTTTGTCCCTTGCCACTGAGCTCTCAAGTACAACCTGCGAAGGTGATGTGGGGCAAGGGGAACCCCATGTATCTTTCTGTGCTGCAGATGGCGCAGTCTAAAAGGCTTTGACTCAAGATTCTAGGCAATGATAACTAAAAAGAACGACGCTCAAGGTCAGAAAATGGAGTTTGGAGTGCCACTGGAAGCAGCCATGCAGCGCAGTGCGCGTACGCTGCACTCACGTGGCAAGGAGAGGGGATCCGCAACGTGACATCACACACCTGAAGAGCCTCGCTGCAGACTTCGATGTCATCTCCGCCTGCGCTCGGTAGCCCTTGCTGATGTGTCCTCATATCACATGACCGAAGCTGCTCGCCTTAGCCTGGCCGCAGATTGAGGGCCCACAGCATCCACATCCCAACCCCCCTAGGGGTGACCTGTCACAGCCCGAGGGAAAGCTTCAAGCATGCTTCTTTCACCAACTTTTGAGTGTCTTTTCCTATCACTTCAGAGCAGCACATCCAGGGCATCGCCTTTGAGCCGCGGTTGACACCCCAGGACATTGTTGTAGAGCCAGGCCTCCATGGCCCCCATTACGGTAAGGTAGGCGGCAGAAGCGTTTGTAAGCGTTAGTGCCCGCCGGTGCCGGCACGAGACACTTACAGGCATGAATTCATCTACGCTGTGGTCTGGTGGGGTCCATCTCTTCAGTGAGCATGTACCGGACGTCGAAGGGCAAGAGGCTTTACGATCTACCTGCCAGCCCGCAACTTGGGCGGCTTTTGTAAGGGCCGGCAAAAAGCTCTGCTCAGCGCTGAATCGCGTCCTGATCTACTGATCGACTGGATGTTTGACCTCCCTGCAACCACGCTGTGCAGGCTGTCCTGGCCTTTAAACCTTCCTCAGCGCGCGTGCCCCGGGGCTGAGAGTGTTTGGTGCTCCAGGAGCACAGGGCCCTGTTAACCGCAAGTGGCGCTCCGGGAACGTTTCCAGGCCTGATATAGATTGAAGCATTTCTTACGAATACTGGACACTACCCCAAGGTGACAGAAGCAATACAGAGCTCGCTATTGAGGAACGCCGTCTTACACCTGGAATGTAACGAGAGGTGACAGGATCGTCTGTTTTGGCTGATGTAACCCTATAGCAGCAAATGGTTTTCCCGACTGGAGGCATTCCTCCCTCATGTGCATCTCCCTCAAGGCTTCAGCTTGATCGTACTAGTTGCCAAAATGGACGCCGTAGTTATCTATAGTGCCAGAGGTGTCAGCACCAGAGGGATACTGGTCTAAGACAGGGATTGCTTGATTGTACGTGCTATGCTATGATATGCATTTGCTTGCTGTGTTGTGTATACAATACGTAGCATTGTTTGGTGGTGGGGTTGGGGGTATGTTCCTCAATACGGTACGCATGCTTCACTTGGACTCAGACTTATAGTATGATACCATATGGGCTGCAGACCAGACCTTCAGGCCCCATAGCTGCAGCTGTGGCTGCAGACAGTCTGTGTGTATGCCCTATGCCTTCGGGCTTTGGTTTGCCGACACTGTAATCAGAATCAGAATCAGTGCCCGGGTTACTGAGTCACCCGGACCGTCATGATCATGAAGGGCACGCCCCCAATTATTATTATTATTATTATTATTATATTATTACATGGTCGGCAAACCCAAAGCCAGAGGCCATAGGGCATACACGCAGGGCGTCTGCAGCCACATCTGCGGGGCCTTCATTAGTCTGCAGCTTATCACTCACTCATCATGTACATGCATGCACTCCCCCAATATTGATGCCGCCAACTTGGCAGCCCAGCAGCCCGGGCGGGCCTTGAAGGCGGCTCCGTGCTCAAAAACATGCATTGCCGTCATCTTGATAAGCAACCACAGGCAACCGACAGCAGTGCTGGCATTATCTCACTATCTCAAAAAAGTTTGGGGATCTGAGACCCTAAGTATCCGTAAATCTTCCGGGATCTCCCCAAGATTGTTCGACGGCCTTCCAGGGAGGAAGTCATGCCAACGTACATTCAATTTCATACAACCAGATTATGGCGATCGCAACGTCCGTCTAGTAAAATTGGATGGTGCTTCTCTGATGCATGCGGTCCTGTCGAGACTACAAGATCTGATGGAAAAAACTGTTTATAGATTATGGTTGTACTGTCACTCCTGGCGACTAATGAAGTAGATTCTGCTGATTCTTTCATCTGAGACTTAGCAGCAGGGCTACAGCATCTTGGTCTGATCAGTGCCCCTGGCGGACAACAGCACTTTTATAAGAAAAAGCTAGCAGTTCTCTCAGCATCCTGGTCCTGAGCGCATCGTGCGGCTCTGAGGCCGCCGAGTACGTCTTGTTCTCTCAAAACTCACGCCTTTGAAATATTTCCTTCTTCCCCAGAGCTTCCCCTTGTGGCATTACATGGCAACGTTGTCTCAAAGGCCGATCGAAAACCTGGATGTGCAAGATCTAGAAAGGACACCCATTTTCCGAACTGTGCTCATAGAATATAAACCTCCCGGATGGCTTGAATGCTCAATCTAATGGCTGGATCGGTCCAAACCCTTAATAGGAGCAAAGCTCTGGGGCTTCAGGATGCTCACGTGCTGTGCAGTATAGACCACCACCAGAAATGCCAGTGCAGCCATAGCCAATGCAGGGAGGCTTGACGATGTTGCCTTCCAAAAGGTGAGCATGTGCACAGGATCAAACCCTGCTACATTCTGCAGTGCAAAGCCCTACCTCATTTTCCTTCACATTGCTTGCATCCTCTGCACTCGTCTAGCGGAGGCAATAGACAAAGGCTCAAACCTTCAACATTGCTTCCTCCACTTTTTACAGGAGGCGACGCATGGCCAAAGGGTCCCCCAAGAAAGTGGTGAGGCCAGCCCCTGCCGAGCAAGCTGGTACAGCAGCTCTTCCCGAGCATGAAACCAGGTCAGTCCCTGGCGACCATGGAGTGAGGTCAGCTCCTGGGAAAAATGAAGTGAGGCCAGCTCCTGCTGAAGCGAGGTCAGCTCTTCTCGAGCATGAAACCAGGTCAGCTACTGGCGAGCATGGAGTGATGTCAGCTCCTGTCGAGCAAGCAGTGACAGCTCTTTTCGCTGAGCATGGAAGGAGATCAGCTCCTGGCAAACATGAAGGGAGGTCAGCTCGTGATGAAGTGAGGTCAGAGCCTGCCAAGCAAGCGATGACAGCTGCTCCCACCCAGCATGAATCCAGGTCAGCTCCTGGCGAACATGAAGTGTGCTCAAATCCTGGCGAGCAACTAGTGGCAGCTCCTCCTACCCAGCATGAATCCAGGTCAGCTCCTGGCGAACATGAAGTGTGGTCAAATCCTGGCGAGCAACTAGTGACAGCTCCTCCTACCCAGCATGAAACCAGGTCAGTTCTGGCGGCAATGAAGCAAGGTCAGCTCCCACCAGGCAGACCAGCCCTCCCTCGCCAGCACAGATGCCACGCACGCCGCCGATCAGCAGTAGCCCTCACAACTCGGGGCCGCCAGCATCGAGGAATGCAGCGGGGACATCTGCAAATGTCACAGCCAATCCAGCCGCTCCCGAGGTTTGTGAACCACGACCCCTCTTTGCGTGACATGAGCGTGCAGTATAGAAATGTACAGCTATCGGCAGAGAACCAGAATATGCATGACAGAAACCATCCAGAGTGGGTTCAACTTACATATGCGGACAAAGAATTGGAGCACGCATATATGAGATGCACATTCTATGTCCTTAATACCACTTTTGGTACCAAGTCCAGGGAAGTCAGTCGCTGTCAGGCTATGGCAAAGCCTGTCAGGCCTGCTGAGTCCTGGGGAATTTACCGAAGTGAGCACCATAACGCCCGCACCCCACAAAATTTAAATAATTTTGGACGTGTTTTTGAAAGCCTTTCCTTCCTTGATACGATGTTTCATTATCACCGGCGGTCTGGCTCAGCGAGAGGTTTCCAACACTGGTCTGAAAAGTGTATTGTGGTTTATATTTTGCAGTTTAAGGCCTTAGTTTTCGACCCTTTTCAAGAAAAAAGAATTATTTTATGCGCAGAATCTGGTGCTGACTACGGTGCTTGCGCAGGCCGCGGTAGGGGCACATGCACTGGATGAAGCTGAGTCACCGGGGCAAGCTGAGCTGGCCGTCTTGGCTGCAGCCTGCATGGCGGATCACCATCTGCCACCCAAGATGCGCAGGTATTTGCGTTTCATTGGGCTCAAGATTTATCAATTTTGATGGTCAGTTCACCCAGCAGCAATGCAGCGTCACCAGCATTTTCCCCGTGTCACTACGCGTACCAAATTCATCTTAACATCACATAAGGGTGTAGGTGAGACCCGACCATCGACAGCATAATACGGAGCAGGCTTCCTGTAATCAGGTCTTCAAGGAGGAATGGTTGTACACTGTGACTGGAACTGAAGCATGACATAGTGTCTAACACTATTAGGCGAGTAAGATTCAAATTTTGTGGCAAAAAGAAAATTCACCAGAGTTTGGAGCATGTTGGCTGCTGAGAGCCTGAAATTTTTGGGTTGCGAAGGGTTCAGCATGCCCATCCATGGCATTCTGCAGGAAGATCGCAGCGCTGCAAGCTGCACAAGCGGTCCAGATATCTGTAGCCCCAAGATCGGCGCAGCCAGCACTGGCTGGCCCAGCCGCAGCTTCTGCGCAGGCGCAGCCGGCTGCGCCGGCCGAGGCCCCGGCCTCGGCCCCGGCACCGGAGCAAGCCGCTAGGAGGGAAGTGGCGGCCCCACGGCAGAGTGCAAGGCAGGCAGCACCCGACCAGGGATCTGCCCCGGCAGCAGAGCAGTCGCCGCGAGCGCAGCAGCCGAGACAAGCGCACCCGCTTGAAGATCATCCGTTTGATGGTGCCATGGGAAGGCAGGAAGCTCCGATGGACAGCGCAAGGTCAGTCTAGCCCGA